TGGGGAAGTACAAGTATTTCACGTTTGAAGCCACTCATGAAATTATAAAACAATAAAGTGCATTTTTAATTTACTTTTTTTAGAATCAACTGTGAATCTATACAAACCTAAAGATTTGCTGAATCTAGTTTCATTATATAAACTCTAAATTTTTCTGTTTTATTCATTTTGTTTCAGGAAGAAATTGAAAATATCAAATTTGAATTTTAATGAAGTTAATACGATTCACGCCCATGAAACAAGGCAATTTAATTTATTGATAGCAAATAATTATGATTCAAATTTTGTTAAACAATGGAATAATTTTATATAACTCCTTACCTAATGAGTTGAAAAATATAGAAGCAGAAAATTTCAAAATCAAATTAAAGAATTTACTAATCATTCACAATTTGATTACTTGTATTGTACTTGTAATTTTTGTTTAAGAAAAACAATAATTGTGCAATTATTATTGTCTCGATTTATTATGTTTTATGTATGTTTTGTTGCATATATCCCTATTATAAACAATAATGTGTCTTGGGGTAATAAAGACAATCAATCAACACACTTACCATGTTGAAAAGAGACAATTTTCATGCACTCAAATGAAAATAAAATCACTCACACACACACACAAACGTTCCACTATAATCACTCAATGACACCATACATTTTGATTCCCACTTGTAAACAATATAAGTTATTTTTTGAAATCAATCAGATCGACTGCACGCGATGAAATCTAATACAATACTGCGTCGCCACCGGTATCGGATGTATGATTAACCTCCATAGTGATTCATCAGTTACGTCATCATTCTAACAGAATAATTCTCGAACAGGAATTGTATTTCTGACTAATCACATCAAAAATAATGTGAACGAGGTGTGGTTTAGAAAGAAATTCAATATACAGTGTCATCGTTAAAGTCCGTATCATGAGAATATGTTTAATCACGCAAATTTGATGTTCATGAATTGTTTTGTCTCTGAAAATGATTGGAAATTTCGTCAATCTCGAAGTTTGTATGAAAAAATAACAAATAAAGTGGGTTGTTTCACAAAATTTTATATCCATTTAACAAATTTCAACAATTTCAATTTTTTTCCTCAATTTTCGGGCCATTGTCATTTCTAAAAATTCGAAAAGGTCATTCAAAATGTGGAATAATCATCAGCAATAACAAATCCATTGAATATACAAATGTAACATCATTTGAGGAAAGAATTGAATCCTATTGCTGGTATTATATATAATATTCGAAATGTCATTCCTGTTAGATACCTAAACAGTATTTATTTATGTCTTTTTTATTCAAATTTACAATATCTTATATCTATTTGGAGAAGTACAAATATTTCACGTTTGAAGCCACTCATGAAATTACAAAATAAAACAATAAAGTGCATTTTTAATTTACATAATTTAGAATCAACTGTGAATCTAAACAAACCTAAAGACTTTCTGAATTTAGTTTCATTATATAAACTCTAAATTTGTTGTTTTATTCATTTTGTCAGGAAGGAATTGAAAATATCAAATTTTAATTTTAATGTTAAGGTAATACGATTCACGCCCATGAAACGAGGTAAATTAATTTATTGATAGCAAGTAATTATAAGTCAAACTTTGGTAAACAATCAATATTCCATAATGGAATAATTTTATATAACTCCTTACCTAATGAGTTGAAGTCAAATTAAACAAATATCTGCTCAGTAAACTTCAATTCCATATCTACTAATCATTCACAATTTGATTACTTGTAATGGATTATATAATATTCTCATTTTATATTTTATTATAATTTTTTTTATGAAAAACAATAATTGTGCAATTATTATTGTCTTGATTTATTATGTTATATTTATGCTTTGTTGTATATATCCCTATTATAAACAATAATGTTTCTTGGGGTAATAAAGACAATCAATCAATGAGACAACTTTCATGCACTCAAATGAAAATAAAATCACTACACCGGAGATCATTTTTTGTTTTTCGCTTTTAATAAATGGAGTTCTGTTTTTTATCACTCGAATAAACCGTACGCGTTGAAATCTAATACGAGACTGATGGCCGATTGGTTTGATTCTAATGACTAATTAGTTACGTCATCCTTTCATCCGGTTGAATCCCAAACTAGTATGACTAATATCGATATCGACAGGAGATATACAGTGTGGGGAGAAAAGAACTTCAATATACATTGTAACCGTTGAAATCCGCATCATATAAATTTTTTTCACTATTTAGTTTGTGCAAATTAGGATTTCATGAACTGTTCTTATTTTGGAAAAAGTGCAAAACGAAGTTGATGATTTTTGCAAATCAATAACTGTCGAATTAGACATTAATAATTAGGCATTTTCTGTCAGACAATCACAAAGTCAAAAAATCAATCTTTCGAACAAAAAAGATTTTGAAGTGTCACATGAATTCATTATTAGTAGAAGGAAAATAACTATTGAAAATTCCTGATACATGTCGATCTTCGGTTTAAATTTTCATAAACTATTGTATTTTTGTTCACCTGTACCAATTTCAAGTAACTTTTGATCCTTTTTTGTAATCAGCTCAGCAGAAAAATCCGAAAATCTAAAAAAAAAGGGATTTCCAATTAAAAAAGTTACTCATGAAGTGATCACACGAAGTAAGTTCACCATGTATATAAGATTATTATAAAAAAAAAAAATGGTAAATTGAAACCAGAATTGATTTAGGAAATTTCGGTAGTACTGATGATAGAAATCCTATTTTACTTTATTCAACTTCATGTTTAACCGTTTCATACGAAACTTTATAAGCTCTATAGAGGGTTTTCAAATATATGTCGGCACTCTTGCGAACTTGGTCATCAATGGAGCTATCAAGTCAGGTAAATGGACAAAGTAGTAGTATTTTGGCGAAAATTAAACGGGAATCTAACACAGCGTTCACGAGTTACGTAAAAAAGTTCAATGTCTTTAAATGGGACACCCAGTATACAATATTCTCAATCAATAGGAAATTAGATTCTGAATTATGTATTGATTTTGAAGCTAGTGCAGTGCATGACAAATAATTTTGCACCTTGTTCTATTGATTTCTATTTAATCACTCCGTATATGAATAAAAAGAAAATAATAAAAACATCACTCACCATATCTAAAAAGAACCACAACAATACAAGACATCCCAGTCTTTTCATTGTTGGAAAATTCCACCAGAACTCACTCATTCACACACAAATATTGCACTATAATTACTCAATGACACCATACATTCTGATTTCCACGTGTAAACAATATAAGTTATTTTTTCAAATTAATCAGATCGACTGCACGCGATGAAATCTAATACAATACTGCGTCGCCACCGGTATCCGATGCATGATTCACCACCTCAATGATTTATCAGTTACACGTCATCATTCTAACCGAATAATTCCCGAACAAGAACTGTATCTTTGACTTATCACATCTGAAATAATGTATATGAGGTGTGGTTTAGAAAGAAATTCAATATACAGTGTCACCGTTAAATACCGTATCATGAAATATGTTCAATCAGGCAAATTTGTTTTGGCTCTGAAAATAATTCGAAATTTCATCAAACCCGAATTTTGTTTTAAAAAAACATCAAAAAAGTGGGTTGTTTTGCAAAATTTTATATCCACTTAACAAATTTGAATAATTTCAATATATTTCTTAAATTTTTCGGCCATATTACTTTCTAAAAATTCGAAAAGGTCATTCAAAATGTGGAATACTCAATTACTCATCAGCGGCAAGAATTTTTCCAAACATTTACGGAGGAACAACTTTTTTATTCATTATTTTTCGAAATATCATGAAAACCTAATTTATTTCATCAAAAAGTTTGTCAAAGCTTGCAAGTACATCCAATTGACGAAAAAATAATTTTTAAAATTATTTTGTATTGTTTTTACAGCAAAAACTGATTATGAATTACAAATTTTCGTGAACTACAGTGCCCTCGAGACGATTGAAATGCGATCTAAGACCTTCTGCATGGCACACGTTAATAAATACGAAATTTCAAAATACTTTGTCACTCTTCACAAAATTGCAAATAATTTCGCAACTTGTTTTGTTGATCTCAATTTAATCACTCAGTATATGAATATCGTTTTTCTTTTTCTTCTGATAGTGATAAGACATAGAATAAAACTGAAATTTCATTTTTAAGTCAATAAAAAAATCAATAATAATTTCTTAATGATAATTGATTGCAACATTATCATTTTTCCAATATGAATATTTTTATTTAATCACGTTTACTCTTAAATAAAAGCAAAAAACGAGAAAATATTTCAAATAATGCGAACGCTTCCCATTAGCGCCACCTGGTAACATTGATTCCCGCGAATAGAAAGAGATAAGGATGTTTATCAGAGATAAGTATCCGCAATTCATTGAGATCCGTAAACACTGCGGGTTGCCTGAAAAATATTTTTGCCTCACTTCGTTCACAGAGGGTCCCTTCCAGTTGTTTATATTGAGTTCATTGTGTCACTACCACAGAACTCATATACCTAACCACACTGTCACTCACTCTAGAAATATGAAAATATCAATTCCAAAATTCCATATTTTCATATCAATCCGGATTAGGCTGAGTGGCTGAGCCCATGTGGGATCAAGAAACATATCTATAATGCAATTAAAAAAAGTACTTGATAATGAGGGACTAAAATACATGTAGATTCTATTTACATCAATTTCGAATAACCCGCTCATCTGAGTAATTTCCGGCTGAAACAACCAATGGAGTTTCTGCTATGGCCGTTTCCGTTAGAGAAAGTTGTCGGCTTTTCGATGGAGTGTCTTCGTAGTTTTTTTATGGCGTGAACATTTTTTAAGTAAATAATTAATACCTTATTTATCAGAAAATCATTCCGTTACTTCAACCTTCCTCGAATATATTCTAAACAGGATATTCTGATAGGTTAAATAGCATAAATAGTCGAAAAATGCCGTCAGCGGCTAACGTCAAAATTGACAAGCAAATTAACCCGGATAGTGCTTCAGCCGATCCCTCACAAAATTTGACTTTGTCTCCTCTTAGGCAAGCTATTACTACTATTGAACATAAAATTAGGAATTTGGAAAAACGTAAGGTAAGTCGATTCATCTCAAAAACATCTAGAGATTGTCAACATCACTATGATCGAAGTTGAACCCTCTTCTATTTATGAGGTACTTGTAGTACTTAAAATACTACTTGTGGGGATTCGAAATATGTACTACCACATACTGTAGTCAGAAATTGTTTGGAAGAATCCTGAGTTCATAATAAAATCAAACTGCTATCCAGTGGGAGCATGTCTCATTTTAATATAACCATTCAAGATTTTTATGTCCAACTGCTCAAACTGATAGCATCTCATACTTTTAAAAGGTCAAACCTCCTATACACACCAAAAGCTAAAAGGCTTAACAGGGAATAACTGTATGACAGTATGCTGATACATTGTTCATTAAAAGCAATTTGTTTTCTTTTTGTGATTCATTAGGTGTGATATATTTATTAATAACTATTATGATTATACTTCAGAACTATTGTTCTTGTTATTACTGATAATATGTTTAGGTGTGCATTCTTGATATGAATAGGTATATCTTGAGCAATAAAGTTCATTTGAGATTACTGGGGTTGAATTCTGGTTGAGAGAATACTCATTGAATGAATTTTGCAGGAGATCCAATATGTGTTTTGTGTTTGTTTTTTTTTGCAAAGTATTACTGCTTAATCAGTGATTTTCAGTTATTTAGTAATTTTATAATGATAATGCTACTGGCCTACAAAAATAAGTAAACTTGAAATGCATGATCTCATATCATTCTCTCACAATTTTGAGGTAGCCATTCAATAGTTGAGACTTCATAAATACTACAATGAATCAAAGAACCTTTATAATTAACATGTGACTTCACAATAACTAATTGATGTATTTCTTCACAGTCAAAACTAGAATCATATAGGGAATTACAAAATGCTGGAAAAGAACTGAACTCTGACCAAAAGACTGCTGTGGCTAAATATACTGAAGTGATTAGTACATTGGATTTTGCTAGAGATCTTTGTAAACAGTTCCTAGGCATAGCTGTTTCCACAGAAAAGGAAGCAAAGAAATCTGCTAAGAAAGAGGCTGCTGCTAAATACCAGGCCGAACTAGCAAGGCTGAGAGAAATACTCCTTGTACAAGATGCCTTGAATCAAATGGGGAATGAAAATGTGCGTGATGATTTTTTACATGGAAGAAATGGAGCTGCTCAACTTTCTGAAACAGATCTCAAGTGTGTTGAATAAAAATCCTTTTTTGTATTTTTCTAGTGAATTTAATTTGTATCTGTAATATTCTAGGTTGCTTGACGACCTTTATCCTGCTGTGACTCCAAAGCATGAAGCAGGCAATCCAACTGCTTTCACTAATGAAGTTCAAGCTGCTGCTGAACATTTATTAGCAGCAGTTGATGGAAAACAGAAGGAAGTGTTTGGTGGAAGTTATAGTCAGATCAAGGAAATTTTAGGAAAAATCCATGAAAGTGGATATTTTGATCAAGCACAGGTAAAAGTTTCATATGAAAATTGAATGGCAAAAAAATCCACTGATTTATGTACAAATTTGAGCTCAAAATCCTATGATACATGAAACATAACTCATACATGACAAACAAGAAATGCATCATTAGGGTAGTGACATTCATGTTACAAAAAATTGATTGTGAGTCATTGAATGTCCATCATAAATTGAAGATTTCATCATATTGTTGAAAACAAATGATTATTATGGAACAAATAATGTCATACAGACAGCTATTGGCCATAGTTGATTCTGAGATATCTGAAACAGATCCATTTCTTTTCAGCGGGGAATAACTGATTTCTGCAGGAAAGTCAACTTTTTATACAGAGTGACCCTCATACATTTTTTTATTTATGGAGCAATTTTCACGATTTTTTTTTCAAATGTAGAGGGAGGAAAGGTATATTTTGGAGCTAAGCAGCGTTCTATTTTTTGAAAAACCAACGCCTACTGATCACCTTCAGAAGCTCAAAAATCCAGAATCCATATTGACAATTTTTAAATCGGCGTACATCACTGGAATCGGCGTCCTCTGAAATAGATCTGTACATACCAAGTTTCATGAAAAAATATTCAATATTAAGGACCAGTATGAATAACCATCAATGTTATCAGTTTGCACCCCTGAAGTCATGATTTTGATTTTTCATGAAAATAGGTAGGTTGATTTGAAATTACTGGAATTTACCGAAAATTCCTTGGGGAAAAAACCTTTTGATTCCAGACCAATCAGACTGTATACCATACGCTTGGATTATATCCTACATGAAATATAGGAAAATATTTGTTAAATGGCAGGATTCTAACTCAGAACTATTTGATATGGATATCGGTGTACCACAAGGATCAGTGTTAGGACCTTTATTATTTTTACTATATATTAATGATCTCCCACAATATATAGGAGGTACATCAATCACATTATTTGCTGATGATACCTCAATCTCGGCTGAAGCCGACAGCCATGTGCAACTTCAGTCCAAACTAAACATAATAGGTGAAAGATTTACTGCTTGGTGTCAGAGTAATAGACTGATAGTTAATGCTGAGAAAACTGTGCTAATTCAGTTTTTTGGTAGAAAAGCTACGGATTCACCTATTTCTGTGAATATTAATAATATTACTGTACACCCTTCGGATACAACAAAGTTTTTAGGTGTATATATAGACACCGAATTGAAATGGAAACACCATATCAACTATGTATGTAAAAAAATAAATAGTAGTTTTTATGCTCTACTGCAGCTCAAAAAAGTTTTGGGTGTGAATATTCTTGTCGATGTTTATTATGCAATGGTGAACTCAGTACTTTCCTACAATATTCTCCTGTGGGGTAATGGTACTACGATTGATCGGGCTTTCATTGGTCAAAAACGCATAATTCGACTTATATATGGTCTGAAATATACCGAATCATGTAGACCTATTTTCAAAAAACATAAAATTCTAACACTACCTTCTATATACATTTACCATTCTGTCATTTACGTGAAAAAACACGAATCCAAGTTCGAAACAAATGGAAATTCTCATACTTATCCTACAAGGAGCGGTAATTTACTGAGGTTGAGACAACACCGCACTCAGATTTTTCAAAAGTCACACCTCACAACTGGTCCGCGGTTCTTCAATTCCCTGCCCTCAGATATTAAGGAAATATCATCTCTCGTAAAATTCAAAAAAAAAGTGAAGGATTATCTGCTGGAAAGAAGTTTTTATTCTGTGAAGGAATTTTTGGAGACAAAAATCTGAAGTGAGGTGATTGTATCTGTATTTTTGTATTTGTATTTTTATTTTTAATGTGATTGTATTTCAAATGTTAACCTCCAATCATAGTTTTTGGATGTTTTGAATGTTAGACCCATTTTATCTTTATGTCAATATTTTAACTTTTATGTGTTTGTATATTCTCTTTATAATAATTTTATACAACTTTTTTTTTGACGATTCCTATATCATTTTTTGTATGATCAATTCAAGGAATAAATACATTATTATTATTATTAGACCTCACAGAAATTAGTCCTTGTGTTTGAGATTTTAATTTTCACTCACTATTTGGGGAAGTAAAAATATTTCACGTTTGAAGCCACTGATAAAATTACAAAATGAAACAATAAGTCCATATTCAATTCAGCTGTTTCAGAATCAACTGCAAATCTATACAAACCTAAAGACATTTTTGCAATTTTCCGGCATTTTTGCGATCACTGAATCTGGTTTCATTACATTTTTTGTTTTTTTCTTTTTGTCTGGAAAGAATTGAAAATAGGGATGCACTGGATCGGGACCTAAATTTAAAATGTATGTGCATGTCTATTTTTATATGTTAAAATATTGAAAATATTGAGGCTGATTCATTTTTCCTTTTTTTTTAACTAGCTACAGTATGCAGAGTGTTAATTATCATTAATTTCACCTAGATATTCAAATATTAATTTTCAATCAGCATTAACAAAATTGAAACAATTCTACTCATTCAATCCAATAATAAAACAATTGAAAAGAAGTCGGGGAACCACAGCCGCCGGTCTATCATAGGATTCATAGGCAAGGAAATACGATATATCTGCCCGGAAAGTCGGGGAATCACAGACGCAAAAGTCGAGAAATCCCAGATGCTTCCACGCTTGCTAATCTGCTAACCATAAGCAAAGAAACAGGGCAAGGGCTGGAGGTCATTTCATTATTCATTTGCTCACAGAAAATCCCTCTGCATTTTGAATTTATGTCTGCTGGTGTTCACGTTTCCAGGTTCTGAGAATTTTGTGTTGGTGTTTTCAGTTACTATTTATGTTTTGTTATTTTTGGAAAGAAAATATATTCTGTTCGAAAAAAAAAAAATATTCGTGATTAATTAATGACTTGACAATAGGTAAGTAGGCACCAATTAAAAAAATCTTGAAAATTTCCAAAAAGTTCCGAAAATTCCGGCCGGAAAGCTATCAGGTCGGAGCGATCCGGCCGGATTTAGTGGTTTACCGCCGGAATAGAGCATTGTCAGTGACGTCATATGACGTAAAATTGTCGGCCATTGAACACCTGATGGGGGACAAGCATACACATTTTCCATAAGGGTACATGTAACTTTCTTGCACATTTACCACTAAAATACAATACCTGGAGCATTTATTTATTGACATGTTTGTTAATTCATTCATCATGAATCTTGTGAGAGAAGTGAATGAGTCCAAAGAAAAGTTCAAATTGGTTTATTTGTCAATAAACCAATAATATAAAACTATGAAATGTAATGTAGGTGCTCATGCAAGAAACTAAAAAATTAAAACTAAGAAAGATGGCCAACGTTCAACTAAGAAATTAATTTCTTCCATAATTCACCACAACGCATGCGCCAAATAATAACTAGCCGCGCTGGAGAAGGAATAAACAGCTGATGAAAGGTTATTGCATGAACACCCATATATTTTCAATTTAAAATTCGTTTAAATCTTGAATTCATTATAATTTAGTTGATGTTGCATGAATCCACCTTTACTTGAGTTCAGCTCTAATATTTTATTTATTTATTTATTGAACAAATAACTTCCAGACAGAATAGGCTCTGGTATAAGGAAGTACATAATTATATACCTATAGGTAAACATATCATTATACAAAATATATCAACAACTGTAAATTGACAAACAAAGAATAATATTTATAAAAAAAAATGACATGTTTAATTTTATCCAGTTCGCTAAGAAATAATCAATTTTTTCACCTCATTTTTGAATGAACCTATGTTTCTGCAATTTTTTATATTGCCAGGTAGTTTATTGAATTCAGTTAAGGCTGAATGAGTGAATCTTTTTTGTCCGATAATGGAGCTAGCGGCGTCAAGATGAAACAAGTTATATTGTCTTGTTTCATGATTATGAATTTCAGAATTCCGTATCAACTTAAAATTCGACTTCAATTTTTTATTTATGATATTATATGATATTTTGAGAGTTTCAATTCTATATATTTCATCTAAAGAATACGTATTTGTTATTTCAAACAATTGATTGGTTGGTGTATCAAATGGGAGACGATACAATACTTTTAACGATTTTCTATATAATGTTGATATTTTATTGAAATTGTTCTTTGAACTAGTTCCCCAAACATTTATACCTAATGTACCTCGTAATATACCTCAATAGATACTCATTTTGGAAGAAAATGTACACATTCTTCTTGTATAATATCTACAAGTTCAACAAAATCACCAATGGGTCAGAAATAATAAAAGCAAAATTCACACACAGCTTTGTTTGTCCCCCGATCAGCTGATGAAAACGACGAGTGCGCCTTGTTGTGACGTCAGCAGACATTGCTCTATTCCGGCGCATCCCTAATGGAAAATATGAAATTTGAATTTTAATGAAGTTGATATGATTCACGCCAATTTTGGTAAACAATCAATATTCCATAGTGGAATAATTTTATATAACTCCTTATCCCTATCATAAACAATAATGTGTCCTTGGGGTAATGAAGACAATCAATTAATGGCGAGTGCAAAATTACCCACTAGCTCATTTTCATTCATTTTCGGAGAAATTCCGACTCTCTCAACCTGTGTTCGGCAGATCTTCGAAGGCTACACCGAACCGGAAGCCATCGCCGAAGAACCCGAAGAGCCTTCAGTCGAGCAACTACAGCTCAACAACCACGAAACGCAGCAGCCCGAACAGCCCGAAGAACTGGCGCATCCCGCGCCCCCAGTCGATACGGCGTTCGTCGATCAGCCGCCCCTGGTCGAGCAGCCGCCCCTGGCAGAGCAGCCGCCCCTGCCGCCCGTAGTGGAGGCGGTAGCGCCGCCCGAGCAGATTTTCTACCAGCAAATCGCGCAGCCGCCGCCGCTCAGGCCGATTACGGAGATGCTGGGTACCGGTAGCTTCTTCTTCCTTCAGGTGAGTTGACTGAAGTTGGTTGTACATTGAAGATCATTTGTTTGTGTCATAGTGTCGTCAATGCATTTAGTGTCAGTTGTCATATTTCCTGTTTTGGCAACACTGTCATGAAAATAAACGATGCCGTATGATGAAAACTTTTGACCAGGCTGTTTTCTTTTTTCCTGTGATCGAAATTAACAATACACATTTCCTTCATTTCATCAGGAATTGATAAATTGTGTACAAACATAGACATATAAGAAGAGGAGAGACGAAATTGTTTACATTTTATCCATATCCAACATCGTTTTCAGCAGAAAGTTTAGTTTAGTTTAGTTTATTTATTGGTAAAGTATAACACATAGTGCTTTTACAGGTCAATAGGGTATATAAAGTATAGAACTTGTTTGAATGATAATAATATAGTAAGAAAAATACTTGAAAATTAAAAAGTGAATTTAACACACATTTTACATATTAAAATTGGTTTTACATATTAAAATAGGTGTTACATATTAAAATAGGTCTTACATATAAAACTAAAATGTCCTTAAGTCACTCTCAAGGTACTCCTCGAGGGAATAGAAGGCGTTTCTTAGGAGATAGTTTTTGACTCTAGATTTGGAGCTATTTAGATTTAGCTGCTTTACATCCTGTCGGTAGAGCATTGAAAAATTTGATGCCATAATAATCGGTTCCCCTTCTAGTATGTTACAACCTGTGGTAGCCGGGCACCAGATTCCCTCCCCCCCTAGTCGCATATGAATGAAAATCACTGTGTGTTCTGATGAAGTTTTCCCGATTTTGTTTCACATATACTAGACAGTGAAAAATGAAAACGCACGGAAGGGTGAGCAGCCTCAGCCTAACATAGCCATCTCTACAGCATTCGCGGTATTTGATACCTGCAATAATTCTAACACAACGTCGTTGTAACTTGAAAATTTGAGCAGAGTTTGGGGAGTGACCCCAGTTCAAAATTGCATAAGTCATGGTAGAGCTAAAGTAAGCATGATATGTCGTCAATAATGTGCTCATAGAGACACTTCTTGACAGACTCCTTATCAAGAAGGTGATTCTAGACAGTTTGGAGCTGAGCTGAGTGATATGTGTTTCCCAGAACAGTCCAGGATCTAGGTGAACCCCCAGAAACTTCACAGATGCATCACTTTCTAGGTTCGGTGGAGAAGTTTGTAAAGTGAAATTAATGAATTGAGTTTTACTGTTATTGAGGCTAAGCCTATTGGCTAGAAACCAGTTCTCAATTCGGACCTGACTGTTTTGAGTCCACTGCAGAATTGGATCAGAGGGATGGTAACATAACAATGATGTATCATCAGCAAATAGGATTATCAGTAAATTCATTAGATTATTGGTATTTGGTAGGTCATTGATATATACCAGGAACAACAGGGGGCCCAACACTGAACCCTGGGGACACCATGCTGAATCCCTCTTATTCCTGAGGGTTGATTTTTAAAAAGAACATATTGTTCCCTTTCCTCAAGATAGGACTGGAGGGATACGCTGCTCATATCGAAGTTGTAGTAGAATAACTTTTTATAAAGAATTTCAAAGGATATGCAGTCGAATGCCTTAGTCAGGTCCAGGAAAGAGGCATATGTATTGAGCTTGTTCTCAAAACCCTCTGAAACAAATTCAGTTAGTCTGTTAATAGCTAAGGTAGTGCTTCTTCTGTTACGAAAGCCGAATTGGTTTGTGGTAAAGATGTTGTTGGCCTCAAAATAGTCGTTTTGAGATTATTGGTAATAAGGATATTGGCCTGTAGTTTGTTTGATCTTCGCGATCCCCCTTATTCTTGAAAATAGGTATAACTTTTGCTAATTTGAGAACAGAGGGAAATTTGCTAGTGCGAATACAGTGATTGAACAAGTCGGTCAGTGGTTTGCTTATAATGTCTTTAAGATGTTTAATGATTTTAGTATTAATGTCATAGCAGTCCTTGCTACTGCTATTTTTAAGGTTAGATATCTTATCTGAGATATTATTTTTGTGTTACTGACTGAAATTTGAAGCAAGCTCCAGTATATGAATCTGTTAGGTAGTCATTGTATGAGTTGTTTGTGGCGGGAAGGTTATTTATTATCTCATCTGCTATTGACACAAAGAAGTCGTTAAAGATCTGAGCGTTTAGGTGGTTGGCTTGAGGGGCCGGAATAACATTCTTGTGGGATTTTATGATACTCCACATAGCCGTCTGCTTATTTGTTGCATTATTAATGAAATTATCGTGTGCTGCTTTCTTTGTATTAATTAGCTCTAGCCTATATTGTTTTTTGTAATCAGAAAGATTAGATGGTCAAAATAGCCAAAGTCAAGTACATTTAGGAACTCTATTCTTACCTACACTTCACAGAACTCTCTAAAGGCTCTACACTCACTATTTCAGAAGTCCGAAAACGATCCCCAGCCAGACGTTCACAAACCAGAATTTTAGCGCCACTTGCCCCATACGACGGCCCCTTGAAAGATAATGTGGTCTATACCGACACTCTCCTGACAGAACTCTCTGAAATCTCTCCCCTCACTATTTCAGGAGTCCGAAATCGATCCCCCCTGAAAAGATCCCCAGCCAGACGTACACGAACCAGAATATCGGTGGCCCCTCGCCCCATGCGGCGTTTCCGCTGATTATATGGTCTATACCGACACTCTTCCTACCTACACCTCACAAAACTCTCAAAAATCTCTCCCCTCATTATTTCAGGAGTCCGAAATCGATCCCCCCGAACAGATCCCCAGCCAGACGTACACGAACCAGAATTTCGGCGCCCCCTTGCCCCATGCGGCGGTGCCGCTGCCGCCCCACTTCGCGACGAAGCCCGCCAGCATGCCGCCGTTGCCGCCCAACAACCACCACCTCCAGCAAGGGCCGCCCCAGTCGGTTGGCAACAACGGCCTGGACGAGCAGGAGGAGCACCACAAGGTAGGATTTTGAGAGCATCATGTGACAGTCCAAAATGTTCCTAATTATCTGATCCGATATTTAATGTGAAGCTTAATTAATGTGTGTGAAATTCATTAGGCTTTTTTATCTCTACGTCGGTTTCCAGGCCGGATGATAACGGATTTATCGGATAAGGGGGTCATACACAAAGTCAAGCGTGCTCATTTATCTCTACACCGATTTCCAGGCCGGATGATAACAGGTTTATCGGATAAGGGGGTCATACAGAAAGTCAAACGTGCTTAATTATCTCTACGCCGGGACCCAGGCCGGGTGACAACGGATTTGTCGGATAAGAGTAGTACATACGATCGTATCTTTTGAACATTGATTGACTTCCGGCCATGATGATGGACAAGCGGTATCCTAGTGGTCGAGTCCAGTGAAAATTTAATTATATATCCAAAATTAATTAACTGATCTGGAGACCGGGATCGGCGAAATCCGATAAACCTAAAATGAAGAAGAAGAATAAGCAAGAACAATCATTTTCAGAAAAAATACTATGGCGTTCATGACACAAAGACCAATTAGGACGCCTGGGTGCTGACGAGAATTGTTTGTATCTTTCGCTTCTCGCTTTGCATGGATGGTCCGATTGCCAAGCTTGAGGTTCTGGTTCAGTCCTCATGAGTCTTTTTTATTTGTTTCAAATAATTTTCCGAAAAATATACTTTGAAAAAAAAATTGATTTTGGTCAAGTTAGGTTAGATTGTTCAGAAAAAGTCGTCTATTTTGTTTTCTATAGAAATTTTTCGAAATATATACTTTTCAGGAAGAAGGTTCATTCAGGCTGTTTGATCAGATTGATGAAAAAAAGTAGTCCTTTCTCATCCTGAAAATATTTTTCCTTTTTTACATTATCTGTATAAAAGATTATTTCTAGGTAGGTATATAATGGGTATATATTTATAAAAAAGCGCGATTTAATTCAAAACATTCAATAAACATTTACAAAAGTTCAGCAGAAAACTTTATCTAACTTCTGATGTCTTTTGGGTGTCCGCACTGGCAGCCATTTTGGAAAATGGCCAAGCAGTTGACCAATGACTCTACATCCCATTTTTCTCATATTATATTGGCCTACCTCTGTGCCGAATTTGGTGCCTTTATCACAAAGTGACTGAATAGATTGAACTCCCAAAATAATCAACAGTAATTACACAAGAAGTAGTAATGTTTTGATTATTTAATTAATTGATTCGGTGTGATTATTTCTTCAACTATTTCACGTTTTACACACTTCGGTTTTTCGGATTTGCGTCATTTTTGTGCCAACAGACTTATTGTTTGTCTAACAAAATAGCCTACCAACAGGCAACAATGCAGTCTATGTGCCCCTTTATGTACTCAACCAGAGGTGAAAAAATTATCACTATTATAATAATATAGTTATATTTATATCATTCTTTGCTATAATCATTACATTGCATCTCATATAAATATATTCATAAACATTTACAATGAAATAACATGAATAATCAGACAGATTCATATCTGGTATGAGATTATTCATGCGTTATCGAATTGAATTATAGTTAATGAAATAAACAACAGATTGAAAAAAAAATAATAAAACAAAAAACTCATGAAAAGTACATTATGACATGATGAAATAAATTAGTGAATGAGAAATCATTCACTCAGGTTTGATTTTCTCTTTGCAAGAGGATATGTTTCTTGACTTTAATTTTGAATTGGGTGATATTTGTGCAACTTTTGATATCATCAGGTAATTTATTGAATTTTGAGATAGCTCCGTGAGTGAACTTTTTTTGGCCAAGTGTAGAATTAGCAGCATCAAGATGAAACAAGTCATATTGTCTAGTATGATGTTTATGGATTTGAGAATTCCTTACCAATATGAAGTTAGATTTGAGGTGATTGTAGAAAATATCAAAAGAAATTTTGAGAGTATTTATCAGATAGTGCCCTACCAAAGAAAATGTATTTGTTTCTTCATAAAGTTGATTTGATGGGGTGTCATATGGAAGATGATACAGTACTTTTAATGCTTTTTTATATAGTACATATATTTTGTTAAAATTATTCTTGGAACATGGACCCCAAATATTCATGAGATATTTCATTTTATTAAGGATGTGAGAGTATAGAACAGTATTTGCTATATTTGGGATAAGTTTTGGACATCTTCTTAGGGCACCAACTATGGGAGACATTTTTTCTTTGAGCATGCCAATATGCTTGTCCCATTTTAACTTTTCATCAATCCAAATACCAAGGTATTTGGTATAGGCAGTGTTTCAATCTTTCATTTTTTATTCTAATATTCAAATCAATATTTTGTTTATTTCTTTGATGGAAAATTATATATTAGGTCTTATTAGAATAAAGGAAAAGAAGATTGGACTATAACCATTCTTCCATTTGTTTCTAATCCTCATTTATGTTGTTTTCTAAAATTACTGGGTTTTTGTTTTCAAATAAAAGTACTGTGTCATCTGCATATATGGCATAGTTTCCTATTAAATTTATTTTTGAAATGTTTTGAATGTATAAAAGATACAGAATTGGGCCCAACATTGATCCTTGGGGAACTCCTTTGTTAATATATAGTATTTCAGATTCACAATTATTGATTTTAGTACTGATAGTCCTTTTTTCTAGATGTTTTCTACTAACAATTTATCAGTATGATATCAAATGACTGGTTAGAATTACGCATTGATATTGGTTGAAACAACGAAAACGTCACAATGTGACATGTGAAAAAAAATGATCTGAAATTCTTGTTGTTTTTTTTTTCATCTATAAAACATCTTTCTATCTCTCAAGGACCTTGGGCAGGGTAGGTCTGCCAACGCGACCTCCTTCTACCATAACAACGGTTACAGCGCCAGGCAACAACAACGACAGCCGAACCCGAACAGGAGCGGTGGAGGCGGCGGGGGTCCTCCCAGGCCCGCCAACAGGCACCACTGAAACGATCGCATACGCTCCGATATTCATACCTTCTCTTTCTTCTTCCCGTTGATTTTTTTTTTATTTAATTTCTAAGTCAAAGCGAGAGTTCTCGAATTTTTTTCGTCGTCACGTCGGAAAGATGACCTCAAAGGAACAAACTGCATTCGCGTATTTTACCCATATACGTATTAATAAACAATACAATACGGATCATAACGGGTGCCAGGATGAAGCCAAAAATATGAAACAAATGAATATCCATAAGGATTTGGTGGCATGATACGCATGCGCCATGCGCTATTATAGTAGTCATCAAAGACATGCGTTTCGGTGGACAATGACGTTTACTAGCCTTTCAATCAAAGCAGTATGTGTCTGATCATTTCAAAACTTTTCCTTATGGATAGTCATTTGTCTTCAAAAATCGGCTTCAAGTTTAGCTATGGAAACAGATAGAGATTATCCATATTGATAATTAATACGTATATGATTTTACCATCAATTGATAGTTGAAATCAGTTTCGAGATTTTTGTGAGTTGACCGCAGTTTTGCCAGTAAATGTAATTTACCAGTGTTTTAACTTTGAAAATTCACCAGGATAATTAACCCCTCCCCCCCCCCCCCCCCCCCCGAGCATAACAACAGATCAATATTTTTTTTCAATTTTATTCACAGAAATAATGGTGAAAAAAAAATTAATGAACCTAGCCTAGGCACTAGTGTGATTTTTGAACTATTTTCTCGATTTTTCATTGCATTGCAGGAGATGGGTCTGGAGCTATTTTTATTATAGTAATTCGTATCCTACTACCTATCGGAGTTCTTGAAAGTTGCCAAAGTGGCTTGTTCACTTTGTTTTTATTGGTTCACATTTGTTTCTTGTTTGTGCTTATTGGTCAATCAATCGTCATATACAGTGTGTGCGATTTCACCCCGCAACACCCTTTTAAGAGTCCATTTCACTCATTCTGCTAGGGGATCACCTGAGGAATGAGGTGCGAGAGGGTGACGGCGGTAGGCGGAGACATCACAACCCCTTCCACGGCGAATTTGCAAGCATGTATTCAGGTGGTAATTTGGCCCGCTGGCCACTGCCACAGAATTCTCAAAACATTTCATTATTTTCATTTTACTTATCTCATCTATTTTTAGAACAGCTTGGCGCAGTACGGTTATAAAATTGAAAGCATAGGGCATTTTAGGGTGAAATAAAACGCTATTCATATTCATTTGGATATTGGATACAATTGTATTATTTCAGAAACTCAGCCATTCATTAGAATATAATTTATAGCTAACCCAACGAACGATTTTTTGCTATACACTGTGTCCCAAATTGGTGGGCATGTATTGCTATTTCGGTTATTATTAGAGCTAGATAGTCGTTCAAATGAGCAATGTTTCTCAGAATTCTATTACTATCTCAGAATTGCCATCAGATTTTTTCGATCGTTTTATGTTTTTGAAATAATTGTGAAAAACCAAAATGGTGCGTTTTAGACAATTCCCTGTATGTCCGTTATTTGAAAACTTATGGCATTCTGGCTTTGACATTTCCTGAGCACTTTTTCAAGAACTTTTGAACAAAAAATAGAACAATGAAATATATCTTTTTACGTTTTCGAGATAATGAAAATAACTTTGTTTTTTCTTATGGAAATTTTCAGGTTCGTTTATTTCTGTATTTGTTCAGAAGAATCTGATATGTTGTGATACATTTTTGAGAAGAGGATTGACATTTCTATTTAATGCAATGAAAATCCAATATGGCGCCCATATCAATGCCGTAAGTTTTCAAATAACGGAGATACAGGGGGATTGTCAAAAACGCACCATATTGGTTTTTCTCGATTATTTCAAAAACTAAAAACGATCGAAAAAATCTGATGGCAGTTCTGGTTATAGAATTCAAGTTTGATATTTTCGATTTTTGATTCACGCTGTATCAAAGTCTGACGAGTTGATATAACCGGTGAAGTAGTCATTCAATGGAGAAACACATGGGATACTCAGATACAAAGTTTCATCGTTGTAACTTCTACAGGAAGATCTCTCTTGTTCAACCAAAAATTGATGAAATTGACAATCACATTAAGTATCAGTAAATCTCCTTGCAGTCTTTGGAGAATGTTTGTTTATCATTTTATTTGTGTTTTAACAGTTCTTCATCAATCGAGAAGATCTTCAAAGTTACTGTGTGATGAAGTGTGTGAAAAACGGTTTACTTGAGTTTTCAAAATGGTGAACCTCAACATTAATTTTATTGATTTTTGGTTGACCTAGAGAGATCTTCCTGTAGATGTTACAATAATGAAACTTTGCTTTCAAGTATTCAATGTGTTTCTCCATTGAATGTCTACTACATCAGTTATATCGATTCCTAGATACAGGGTGAATCGAAAAATCAAAAATATCAAAATTTTCCATTCAATAACTAACACCCTATATGAGATTTTGCATTGAAATTTCGTATGAGGGTATTTAAGCTATGCCTGAATCGAATGAGCTAGTCACTGTTTCGACAAAAAATTGCCTAATAGTCGTTTTTGAAACTTTGGCCCATTCAGCAATCCAAAGTATTTTCTCGAATTTAGCTCGTTGAGTACTATATTATGAAGTTTTTGTTTTTGAAAATTGGTCGACGGGACGACGGGTTCCAAATTAGAAGGGTGTTGCGGGTCGAAATCGCACACACTGTATATCATCAAAACAAACAGCTCAGAAATGTTCAAGTTGTTGCCGTCTGGTGGTGGAGCAGTTCAGCTACCGTTGAGAGAGAAAAAAAATGTCTTCCCCATCTGTCCTTGTCTTCAGTGTTCCAACATAAAATAATGAAAATATTATGTTGGCATCATTGGAAATGGGAAAAAATGGAGAAGAATATCATATTAACCTCGATGTAAAAGAAGGTTAGAACGGTCTTCTTCTCCATTTCTTCTCATTTCCAGTGTTGGCAACATACGATTTTCATTATTTCATGTTGGAACACTGAAGACAAGGACAGATGGGAAGACATTTTTTTTCTCTCTCAACGGTAGCTGAACTGCTCTATTGTGATTATGCATTATGAGATGCAAATTGAACTGAACACAGATTCTTTGACAAGATAGCAAGATGGTCATTCTTATGCAGTGTAAAATAGCCTGCATATTATTGCCGGAAATATAAATAGCAGCAATCAATTGAATGCCATGAAAAATTAGATAGGTACTATAAATCGGCTCTAGTCAATAAAAATAAAACAAAGAGCAAAAAAAACATGCTCAAGAGGTACCCACCTAGTTTGAAAAATGACTATTGCCCCCCCCTGGAATTCACCTTATGACCGCCCTTGTTAGTATTGACCAGGAAAAGCAATTTAATCCTCAAAATGTACCAGTAATAGTGAAGGTGATGAGGTAAAATTGGGAATTATTTATTTGACATACTATTAGCATTGAAGTTATGGAATGTTGTTGAATTTGTGTGACATTCCATTATACCCTGCTGGTAATTTTCCAAAAAAAAATCTACTGGTAATTTAGCAACACTGGTGAAATTCCTTGAATAGAAAGTCGAAAGGGATGGGCATTTGTTCTGGGTTGGATGGTTGTATTGATTATGAAACCAGCACAGATATTGACATTCAAAATTGGTAATTAGAAGTAATGTGAGTTATTCAAATAGTGACTACTATCCCTTTTATTTCCATGCTCAGATAATAAATGGTTGTTCCTTTTGTCTTTATATTCAAAGATTGAAATTATTGATGGATGTATTGATAGCTACATTTTTTTATTAATTATCAGCTCCTTCATTATTCAATGTTTTGATTCTATCAATGACTTCAGTGATTTTTCCAAGATTGTGAGATTGTTTTGTTCTTTTAAAGTTATCTTATTGGCATGTAATAATATTTTGTAACACAATTGCACAATTTCAATAGCTCTGACTTACTATTTTCAAATTTTTAATATTTTTTTTCGTTTCCCCTCATTTTCATTATGATGTATTATACCTAATACTTATGTTTATTATTGGAGAACTTGGAAGTTCCATTATCCTAGCATAACTTCAAATATATTTGGATTACAAAACTTCATTGTGTTCGAATTTATTTACAATCACTATTTCCTTTCAGATGCTTTCAGTAAAACTGTGAATTTATATAAAAAATACCTTCCAATGCATTGATCACACAAGTCAGAGATTTCTCCATATTTCTCTACAAATAAGTGGCAAACTCGGTAGCAAATAATAGATAATTTCAAACATCAAAAAATTATTCACGGTAGTCAAGGTCGCAAGGTCCCCATCTGATATTTCTTTGGGGTGGAATTTCATAGGAACAAGAAGAAATTGCATGAAAAGGTTTGTGACACACTATATGATCATGTGATCAATTGTATACAGGGTGTTTCAAAAACACCTAACCCCCTTGTTAGGGTAGGTAGAACATTGCAAAATAAGTTGGGATTGCTCAGTAAAAAAATGTCGGAACGCCATCCGTTTTCAAGATACGAGGTGTTGAAACAATATTTTTTCTACACATTTTTGTCGATTATGTTGAAACTACTGGCAACCTGTGATGAAATTTTGTATGGATGTTTCTTGGGATCTGAAACATCGCATGCATTTGTTTTCATATCTGACTCTCATAGAAGTCGCTAGTTACACGGTTCGTACCATAGAAATCATATGGTAAAACTTGATACTGTGTTCCGTTTTCGGAATATTTCGATTTGAAAATGATGAAGTGGTAACTGTTGCTGGTATGAAGCTATGTATTAGAGTGAGTATTATGAAAAATTATCACCTATTTATTGAAAACCGAAAACAACAATACATTTCTGATGCAAAACTCATTGATTTAACAATGAATCACAAGAATAACATCGAAACAGATTTGAATAAGAACATGGATTACACAGTTTTGTTGTATGTTGAGCAGAAAGTCTATGCTACATAGGTGAATTCACATCAAGAGTTGTGAGACATAATTGAACATCACTCAAATGACCTAACAGCTGATCCTTAACTGTACAGAAGAAAAATTTGAACACGACTTACTCTAACTGATTCAATATTTCATGTTTCTAGTCAAATATCTCTTAATATTCTACTTATGATTCTTTGTTCCATCAATAACTTCAGCACAAGAATAATTTTATTGTTTTTGAACCTGAATAAATAATTGACCTCAATAAAATTCATTTTATACCAGCATCATTACTACTCAATCATTTTCTAATTGAAATATTCCGAAGACGGAACATAGTATCGAGTTTCACATTTTACATAGTAAAAGTACAGTACATTTTTGGTGTAAAATTAAGTGATGTTCAAGTTCATATCATATTTGGATTGAAAAATCTAACCTCAAAAAAGTTATGTTCAAAACTACTCGGTACGAACCGTATAACTAGCGCCCTCTATGAGAGTCAGATATAAAAACAAATGTGTCAGATTTCAAGAAACATCCATACAAAATTTCATCACAATGTTGCCAGTAGTTTCCGAATAATCATGAAACATTTTTAAAAAAATTTCAACACCTTGTATCATGGAAACGGATGCCGTTACGACATTTTTTCACAGAGCAAACCCAACTTATTTTGCAATGCTCTACAACCATTCAGTTCATTGCCCTAGCAAGGGGGTTAGGTTTTTTTGAAACACCCTGTATAATAATTAAATATATTTCTTTATGAAAATGTACACAGTTATGATTATGCAAAAAACACAACAAAGAATATGAAGAAAAATATAAGAACGCCGAAAATCTTTATAATCAACCACCTGTTTGAAGATACTGATTTGAAATATTTGACAATCTGTGCATGGGCAGCATCAATGTTCATCCCAGCATCCTGTACATTGGTGTCTATCCGTTCCACCATCTCTTCTTGCTCTTTCACCATGTGAGCCAGCTGCTGAAAAATGCCACCAAGTTCCACAATGGTAGACTCAATGTTCTGCATAGTTTCTGCCCTACTATGCAGGTAGTTGTCTGTCTCATCATACATCAATGCTGCTTGCATCTGATTTTGTTGTTTAGGAATGAGAGCTGTACTTTCCAGATCTATACTAACTTGGTCTTGATCTTGCAGTAAAATACTACCTGAAAAGTTTTCACTGATTATGTGGGTATTTTCAGAACATGACATTTCTACCTGTTGATGTTGGTGGAGGTAGTCCACCCTGTGAAAATTGCTCCCTCCTATTTTTCTGATGCCTCAGGTTTTCTGTTCTCACTTCCAATATTTGTTTGAAATCTGTAGACATACTAGCTAGTTTTGACTGGAGGGTCAGTACAACACTACTAGAATGAGATAATAAATGCTTTCCATTGCTAGTTTGCCTCTGTTGCTTTGACACTTCTTGGAGCTGGGCTATTTGTTGGTTCAAACTACTAAGATCACCTTTAATTATATAAGTCAATTCTTGGATTTCTGCTGTTTTATCATCAAATAAAGATTTCCGCTTTGCCACTGAAATAAGGATCTGTTATTAAATTGTTGAACAAACATCTGTTTATCATAATATTTAGATTGGTCTGAACTACTTAGCTACACTTACACACAGTGAGTTTTTCTAACTTAGAATATGTATTGGCAATGTTCTTGCCAACATTTTTTGCAATCAACATAAATTCAGAATGATTCTGTAATGCTCTGGATCTCTTAGGATCCCTAGCAGCAACAGCTCTTGCTATATTACGGCCCTGTAAAGTCTGTATAGTATTGACAAATTCACTGGTTCGGTCCCTTGCAGTCATGATTGGGTCAGGTTCAATGCATTCCTCTACAAAGTCGTCTGTAAAGTAATCCAGGGATACATTATTTGGATATGAAGAGTTCAATTGAGACACCGTATTCGATTTGGAATGCGTCCAATAACTTTCACCACCAACTACCACTGACGTCTCGTTTTCTGAACCAGTCCGACGTCTTCTAGGAAGCATTGCATTATTAAATTGAACCAGATTTTGATGTCCTTCAATAATCACAAGCTATCCATATAACAACGTATGTTCAACACACACTGAACAGTTCATTATAGCAGTTAATTAATCATAATTTTTTTAACAGAGAAAACAATAAACATGAAATTGACACGTCATTTTTGATTGAACGTCTACTTTAACGTCATTCATCAGAAACATAACCCTCAAAAATTACATCTATCTGTCTGTCTGGTCTATTTAGCCATTCGCCCTGTAGAGCAGAGGACGGCAGCGACAATCGCGTAAGAAAAATATCGAAAACACTTTTAAGGTCAACGACATCTTTTCTTGTCCTGTGCAATGACTGCAATGTGCAAAATCTGCTAATATGGTGTTCTGTGTCAGAATTTAGAATATTATCATCAATATCATCATAATATTATCATATTAAAAAAATGAAAATTCCTAAATTAATATAAAATTGAAAAAGGCGTCAGCAATGAACGCTCAGGCAAAAGTATTTCAGTGTCGATTATGTTTGAAGAAATCTGCTACAAGGGTTAACATATTTGGTGGAGATTTCCCCAAAATGTTGGAAATATTAACTGCAATTAAGGTAATATTATCATATTTTGTGCTGCATAAATCCAGCGTACATAAATAAATGTACGCTGATAAATCCAACTATGCCATTTTATACTTTTTCTTAAAAATTACCAATATATAGGTACACCGTACACCGGGAATACCAGGATAGCTGTCCTTCAAGACCAAATAATGTAGATTATTGTACTTATCTCAAGCATATGAATTCACTGTTCTTAATAAATCTTGCACAAATTTTGACTTCTGGGTAGTTGGTTTCCAACTTCAAAGTTGTGATTTACAAAAAAAATTAATATATATAATTTTCTTGATATTAATTTAGATTTTCAACTACAAATCTTTCAGCACGAGTACATAGAATGCAGGTTTGCAGGAGAAACTGGTTCATTTAAGTGTGCAACATATGGGAATTTTTTTAATGAATTGCACAACCAAACTACAGATAGTGCCGAAAGTTGGTGCATGTTTGGTAACCATTTTAGGTGCACTTAGAATGGTTGCAACTCCACAGCATGCAGGGTAGGTCAGAAAATATTAAGATTGCTCAAGAGTAAATTAATTAAGTACCCTCATTTCAGAAAATTCAGCAAAATGTTATTGAGAAAAGTTGTGAAAGTTATGCCTAAATATATCAAAACATGGCCTCCTAAGACATTTTTTAGTTTTTCAATTTTGTTTGTGAATAATTTCCCAATTTGTAATTTTTTTTATATTCACCCTAAATACTTTCATGAGTTAATTATAACAAAATCAGTTGAGCATACTTTTGTTCAAATCCAAGCTTATTTGTGCAATTAACTCGGATTTTATTTTTTTCAGGAAATCATAATCTTTAAAATTTCGCAAACAATATTTTTAACAAGGTAAAACATTAATGATAATATGCATATTCAAAAACTTCCATTTAATGTGAACATTTTGTATTTAAAATATTACAAATTGGGAAATTATTAGTACAATTATAATTGAAAAACTAAAAAATGTCTTAGGTGGCCATGTTTTGGTATTTAGGCATAACTTCCAATTGTAAACAACTTTCCTCAATAACATTTTGCAGAATTTTCTGAATAAGGGTACATCACTCTTGAGCAATTTAGATATTTTTTGACCTACCCTGTATATGCTGTTTGACTTGCAACCATTCTAAGTGCACCTAAAATGATCACCGAACATGCACCAACTTCCGGCACTATCTGAATTTTGGTTGTGCAATTCATTAAAAAGATTCCCATATGTTGCACACTTAAATGACCACACTGTATATTTTAAATACCCTACTTTCGTCTTGTAATTTTTTTTTTCAAATATAAAACTGATTTTCTCATGAAACAATTCATAAAACATGAATAATTCAAAGAAATGCTGTTGGTTTTTTTGAATGCTGTATTTCACTGCCAGGGCCGGATTAACCTCACCAGCCCCCCTAGACAATGCAATTCTCGGGGCCCCTCTCCCCTTTATTTTACCCTTTTTTTAATTTTTGAAACATATTTTTTCTATAACAAAAGTCGAGTCAGATTGACTCCTTTGGTATCCTGTTACTTCAATTTCTCGTGTGATATTGTAACAACATGGTTACCTTGAACTGATGCTACAGCTACAGCAGAACAAAACAGCGCATGACAAAACAGCGCGTTCTGAAATAGCGCTCATTTCCATTGTAATTTCAAATGTTTGAATGTTTTCACACATTGATTATCCAACTTATCCAGTGAGTCAATCATTGCGTCTTTGCTGTGAAAAAGAAATTCTCCAATATAGTACCATGGATTGCCTGTAATCAGTGGAAAAATTACGTGATAGGAGAACTAATGAAATTGAAAGCTCGTTCATTTCCGGTTCCTACTTAGAATATATTTGCAAGCATAATTAAACTAATTGCCCACGACAAATAACTCTTTGGAAGCTATTGACACAATTCGTTCCAACATTCATTGGATTGCAAATTATAAATTGCATGATTATAATCATCTGAAAAAAGAACAGAATCATGATCATGATGGATCAGGAAATAGAAATGAGACGCGACGCGGTTATATAAGGATTCGGGAATTATATTGTTCAATGTTTTTTGTTCGTGCACGGGGCCCATAGTCGGTGCGGGGGCCCTAAGGCAGTTGGATAATCCGACCCTGTTCATAGCGCTTCTAATTTAAGTTTGTGAAAATTTTATCAGTTTTTATATAAAATTATGTATTTAAGGTTCGGGAAAATGATGGACTTCCCAGATATTCCTGTGCAAAGTGTGCTCAAGAAGTCAAAAATGCATTGCTAGTCAAAAGACGTATCATAAAGGTACATAAAATGCTTTCTGACGCGATCAAAAAGAACCGAGAAAAGCTCATTTTACAAACTTCAAATCCAGTTATAATCATTGAGGATGGAGGAACACCAAAAACTTCTTTGAATTGCAGAAATGAAGAGCCATCCAATGAAAAAACTATTGTAGATAATGATTTAGCATCTAGGGACCCAGATAATGTACACTCTGCTAAAACAGAATTTGTCAGTGTTGATGAAGTAGTAATGGAGAATAAGAACATTCCACAGTGTGAAATTCCCAAGAAAAACAATTTAATAGGGTTAAACTCAAAAACTCAGGATATTATATTGTGTTGTGAAACTTGTGACGTGAAATTTTCAGATAAACATTCATACACATTACACATGGCTAAGCACAAAAAAACGACATGTAAAACTTGTGGTCGTCTAATAAGGTCAGACAACTTCAAAAAACACATGATGATGCACAGTGCAGGTCCCTCTGAATGTCAATTGTGCGGGGTAACTTGCAAAAACGTGGAAAGTTTGAGAGGACACATTTTCTACCAGCATAAAAGTAAGGCAGAAGAATATATCTGTGATGAATGTGGCAAAAATTTTCGAACAAAATATAAATTTTTCCTGCATAAAAAGAAAGTGCATATGGGCTTGAGAAATTTTAAATGTGATACGTGTGGGAAAGGATACTTCACTAAAGGATATTTGAATAATCACATTAGAATGACACATGAGAAATCGCGGCCTCACATATGTGAATTCTGTGGGGTCGGATTTTCATCAACATATGCACTGAAAACTCACAAACGCCAACATACTGATGAAAAACCGTTTGTATGCAATTATTGTCGTGAAGGATTTCGGCAAAAAGTATCTTTACGATCGCATCTGAAATCAAAACATGGTATTGAAGAGGAAAAGGCACATTTTTGCAAATCCTGTAATAAAGGCTTTGCTACATCATATGCCCTTAGTATTCATGAGCGACTTCATAGATCAGAGAAATGTGAAATTTGTTTAGAAAGCTTTGCAGGCGAGTTTTTGAAGACTCATATTCAACAGATGCACAGTATGAAAATTGAGAAAAACAATCTTGAAGAAGAATCAGTTTTGTAAATGGGTTCAAAAATAGAAAAATACTGAGCATACCAACCACATAGAAAATGTTATAGGTAAATACAAAAAAAGTTGTCTTGCACTGATTGGTTTGGATAGTTAGGAGATTACTTTATGTTCAATACTTTTACAAATATCCAAATGTGAATATACTTGTTATTTTCTTTAGTTTTTGATTTCACTTTTCACTATTCCTTGGATGAAAGGTCACAAAATTTATTTATTTATTTCAGTTATTGCATTACATTCTCTTCTTCATTGATACATTTCATACAAATAATATATAAAGTATAATTAATTTTCTAGTAGGAATGACATGAATGATCAGACAGTTATTATTGGTATAAGATCATTCATGAAGTATTATCGACTGTTGTATAATTGAAATTACAAATAGTGAACAAAACTTACATATCATTAAGATACAGTCATAATATTATAGTGAACAAGAAGGGGAAAAATAAAAACGGTGAAAAAAAAAAGAAAAAAGGAAATTCATAGTCTTTCAGCTTTGATCATTCCTTTGCATATAAATATATTTCTTAACTTTATTTTTGAATTGCATAATATTTGGGCTGTTTTTGATATCATCTGGTAAATTATTGAATTTCGAAATTGCCTCATGTGTAAACTTTTTTTGTCCAAGTTTAGAATTTGCAGCTTCAAGATGAAACAAGTTATATTGTCTAGTGTGATGATCATGATTGAAACTGATTTTGAAACACTATAAAATTCATTGATTGAGATAAATTATATTTTGTGCAAAGACATTTTGAAATTATAATCAAGGAAGTAGTGAATCATTTCTAAATTCTGGTAAGCATGGTTCAAACAATATTTTTTTTATCAGTGAGGAAAAACAAAGCATGAGGAATAACCTAGAACTAATTCTTGAGGGTGTTTTATTTGTTCATTGCCATAATGAATTTTGTGTTTTTTATCTCTTGGTGTGCATGAAAGGGAATCCTTATATTATTCCAAGAACATCCTGCATTTTTTTTATCGCTTGGAGCGCGCGAAAGGGAATCCCTATAATGTTCAAAGAATATCGTGCGTTCCTAGAGAGGATAGGTAGAGGAGGTAGGTGTATTTTTTTCAACTTTTGGAGATTATGGGTTCTTGGAAATACTTCCTCAGGCAATGGATTCAGAGCTTTGCTTAGGTAGATGAAAAGAAACATTTTATAGGATATCTGATTATTTATTCAGATTGAAGTTAACAAGGTCAGCTTCTCATTAAGTTGCAGCTGTGTTTTGATTAGCTGTGACAAACTGATCACCATAAGCAAATCCTTTACATTACTATTAAACATTTCAGAAAACTGTTCATTACTCATATGTGGAACAGAGTTGACCAAGTCAAGCAATGATCTACCAATAGCATTGTTGGGTTTCACTCTATTAGCCAGTACATCCTCAACATATCCTAGTACTTGATCCAGTAAGGAGCTCATTTTACTCCCAGCTTCGGCAACCTGTGTTAAATCCAACATTGGATTGACATTCCTGGGCCTTCCAGTACCAACACTCATGGTCTTCTGACAGAGTTGTAGGCCAAATACTTCTGGATCATAGCAGGCAATATCTATTGGAATTGAGGTGAACATGGAGCCCTGCTTACCATTTGGTACACCAAGAGCTACACAAACATAGGCTTTCAGACCCATCCTGCCATTTTGTAAGCTGGTGTCAACAGTAACATGTACAGGATTGTTGCATTCCCGTGAATAATATTCATGAATCACAGAGCTGTGATTTGTTACTTCATGGCCTGTTGCCCACCATCCAACAATAGCCTCACTGGAATTCACTCTTTTATTCAACTCATAGATATCCATTGCATATAATAGTTCAGCTTCAACTTGATCAGCATATTCTTTGTGAGGTACACAAAAGCAATTGGTTACTTCTATGATACCTTTGTCTGTAGTACCTGAAGAATAAAAAAGTGCATTGAGACAACTTGGGACAGGGTTTAAGGGTTAGGAATCCAGCTTCACTAATAATTTTAGTTGGATCCCATGGTGCATTGGTTATTATATCAGGTACAAAAACCACATGTCCAATCAGCCCCATGTCCATTCCACATAGGTTATGTGACATATGTGTGTGATGGAGAATTGCAATCGTGTTTCTCCGAATATACCGAAAATAATATTGAAGCTGAATTGCTTACCAAGCAGGGTTCCGATGACGCGATGAGAATCTGCATTTCGCCTTTCATATGCATCAACAATTTGGAATAAAACCACTGGATGCACCTTAACTTGTAAATTGAGAGCCATTTTGATTTTGCTTTAATTGCTTTTGCAAAACTGTTTGTGGGATTGTGGCCTGTGGGTTGAGCAGTGTTGCCAAAAAACTAATTGTACTGAAATCAGTATTGAGTTGTACTAAAACCACGTGAAATGTACCAGACATGGAATTTTGAAAAAATCGATGAGAAAATTGATGAAAAACAAAAAATGAAAATATTTTTGATCAGGTACATATACGAAAAGATACAAAACATAAACATCCATGTTTGTAGTGGGTGGGTCATGATTTTTTAAAGACAAAGGTTGGTTGAGCTGATGATTTAATAATTATCGGTTCTACCAACCTTGCTCGTTGTTCTGAAACAGCAGGTTTTTCATTCCAGTTTGAAAATTGCTAGTGGTGAAACTTAGATCTTTAATCTAGTGACTCGAGTGGAACTGAAAGTGCATGATCGATATCACTCATGATACTAAAACCAATTTAGTATCATGGATATCACTCAAGCATTATAGGTTCTTCTATCAAAAATATTGGCCTTTACATAAAATAAGGTGTCGCCATCTTCCGGGAAATCGAAACGTTTTTTCAAAACGATCAGTGCACTCACCAAATTGTACGCATCTATTGAATTACAGAGCATGCGCAAAAATTGACAAATGTCAATTCTCAGCATAGCCAACACTAGTCGTCGAAAAGTCACCAAATTGTATTCAAAAGCTGGAATTACATTATTTTGTTTATCGAATGATTTCTTAACAGAATGAAAAAACTGACTGTATTCTAAAATTTTCTGGGTTGAAATTCTATAAACTTCCTGCTGCGGTGTCATTATCTTGTCGTTTTCCCATTCAACAGGGTAAAATTTAGCTATCAAGATCGGATTTCTGCACCGACGGCATTTACCAAAATGGTTTCGCGGCCAGTCGTTAGACGTGAATATGCGTTGTTTTGTGGGTATATCTATATCCGCAATGCAGGCGTGCCTGTGTATTACCAGCTAAAACTGTGTGCGGCCAAGATATTTCTGGATAAAACCTAGCTCAGTGTCGAAGGTGTGTACCGGCGATTTTTTCAAAAATGTTCATGACCCCCTCCCCCGCCTTTTCTATAACTCCTAATTTCCCAAATGTTTATTGATGGCTCCACTCTTCTTGAATTATGGAATATTTTGATATGTCTAATGAATGTTTGACTGTTATTTAATGATATATTTAATTATTGTTGAGTTTAAAGGTGACCTTGTTTAATATGGAAAATGTTTCAGTCATGAATGTTCTAAAATTATATCTGAGGAATACTTGGGAATGCACAACTTTTAAGTTGTTGGCCACAGAGGTCAAGAACCTAATCTGTTAATTACTCTTGGTTTATTGCAAAATTCCAATCAAATATCAAAATAGTTTTTTAGGAAAAGAATAACCTCAAAATGGACAACACAAGCAGTGAAGATAGTTCATCAGACTATACCACTGAAAGTTCTGATGATGATGGTATGGAAACAGCACAAATAAATGGTGAAAAACTGCAGCTACCCCAAGGGCTGTGCGAGAGACAAGATATATTTAGGGACATATTCTGCACAGAGACTTGGAACTCCTTATCTGATGAGAATAGGCAGCACCTACAGACATTACTACCAAATTTTCCTGAAAATGATGATGAAGAAAAGACTAAAACTCTGCAGAGATTATTTGATTTTGATGTATTTAGATTTAATAGCCCTTTAGTTAAATTTCATGATGACCTGAAAGCAGGTTACTTCAGGCCTGATATAGTACGTATGCGTGGGATTATCAGAAAGACAGAACATAAAGAAGCAAAATATAGGCATAAGACTTTTAGGGAACAACTCAAGAACGAAGTGATTGAATCTCAAAGTAAGTTATTATCACAATTTAGAAATCTCCCTCCTGGTATTGAACCAAGGCAATCAAAAAGGAAATTAAATGTAGACTATGTGTCACATAGGACTAAAAGAAGGTATTTTCAAATTGTATCTTCAATCAGGTCTAAAACTGATGATCCAGGCTGCTCTTCTGATGAAAATTATCCAGAAGGTGCTCCTTTACCCATGTCTAGAAAACAAAAGAGACATTTGAATAGTATAAGAAATAGTTTGAATAGTTCCAAAGACAAATTCTTCAATTCTACAATGATAGCAAAATTGAATGGTTTCTCATTAGATTTGGAAAAATATATTACTCCAAATCATAATCCTTTTTATGTAAACGATGAATCATATAGAAATATGATAGATCAACACAAAAGAAGGAAGTTGGAGAATCCTGAAGACCCAGAATTGAATACAAAAGGTATAGTTTTAAGTGATATTGTACATAGAACACAGCTGCCTTATAATAAAAATTTACCAGTGATAGTGAAACATCAAGTAGAAAATAAAGTTGTAAATAGAAAGAAAGTGAAAAGAGAACATGTAAATCATAGGAGGTCCCCAGAAAACCTGTACTTCAATAAAGTCAAAGCATTATATGAACAAAGTTCCAACTCTGACTCAGATTCTGATTCTACAATAGATGCTGTAACTATTAGTTCCAATAATAAACCTAGATCAAAATCGCGGCGCACCCCCACCCTCAAACCCAAAGTCGAGATTAAAAAAGAAATCCCCTCCCCTGAGCCAATAAAAACCACAAACATAGTGAGCATATCTACTAATGCCAAACCTCCTGTATTAAAAACTATAAACAATATTAGTCAATATGGCAAAATCACTCCTGCATGTGTAGAAGACCTAGATGGCATAGATGTCATGACTATACCTATAGACTTAGATAACTCTGAAATAGACATACTGGAACTGACCAACAAGCCAGAACTGATGCAAGACACACACGCGAATTTCTTTTCCCTAATCAGAGACATCATTTGCTCCACCAATGAGCACCGCATGAACATGTACACCCTACAAGAACGCCTGAAAACCTGGCAAGAAAACCCCATCAGCCCTCTGAATGACTGGTACAGCTTCACTGATAACTGGATCGGTATCCTACCGTCAGCCATCACTTTCTTGTGCGGCAACGCCTCTGAGCAGCCCGACGATTTTGTCCCCTACATGGAATATAAGTCCTCCCTGGACGTTTACCAGTGGATAGGGGCAGGCAGGGATTCAGATAACCTTCTCAGTTCCATTTGCAATTTCTGGTTGGAGCACAGGTCTGAGAATAAGAGCGTTTCTCCTGCAAAGGACAGTGAAATCGACATGGACTTGTACACAGACAGGTCCAATACTCCACCTCCGCCGAGATGTCCCACTAACTGGACCGTCCGGAAAGCTACCCCAGAGGAAATCAAGGATTTCAGGGAGCAGGAGCGACGGCGATACGACAACCCCCACAAAGCGTTTACCTATCGGTGTAACAGCTACGAGTCTGTCGTGGGGCCCATCAAAGGGATATACAACCCTGCCGTGGGCAATACGAAGGCCCGCGGTCACACTATGCTGTCTGCCGATAGGCCGAATTTCGTGACGATTCTTTCTTTGGTGAGAGATGCCGCCGCTAGATTGCCCAACGGGGAAGGAACCAGGGCTGAAATATGCGAGCTGTTGAAGTGTTCCCAGTACATTTCTGCTACGGCGACGGACAATCTGCTGCAATCGGTGGTGTCGGGGGCGCTTGATAGAATGCACACCCAATGGGATCCTTGTGTCAAGTATGACCCGAAGAAGAAAATTTGGATTTACTTGCACAGGAATAGGACAGAGGAGGATTTCGAGAGGATTCATCAACATTATCAAGGTGAGAGCAAAAGTACTTGTGATTTTGGCATTAGTCTACGGAAATTTTTGGATATTGATATGGAATAAATTTGTGCTAAGGTATTATTGTGATTTCAGGTATACAGGTTGTACAAAAAATGCATCAAGCCATAGCGTTGCTATTGATTATGTGGTTTCTCTTATCATATTTACAAATTTTGACTGTAGATCATCTACTGTCAACTTCACTGGCGAGCAGTGTATATCACTTACAACAATGGTATTTGGTAATTGAGTGTATCTTTGATAGCTCTCTGGCTCCTGCAAATTACAGAACTGTACCTACATAGTTAGGAAGTATACAAGGTTGTAGCCATCAGAAGTGAGGTACATGTTATTTTAGTTCTTTTATATTCTTTGTAAGTACCCAATTTTGACGAAAGAATCATAATCTCCGACCCCGGAAACCCCCACATTACGAATTTTGAATAGAATCGTCTTCTAATTACTAAACTCGTCCGCCATATTGGATCCACCGTCTTGAATTCCCCAATTTTGACGAAAGAATCCTATTCTCCGACTCTGGAAACCCCCAGATCACAAATTTCCAATAGAATCGTATTCTAATTACTAAACTCGTCCGCCATATTGGATCCACCATCTTGAATTTCCCAATTTTGACGAAATAATCCTAATTTCCTACCCCGAAAACCCCCAGATACCAATTTTGTATAGAATCGGATCATAATTACAAAACTCGTTCGCCACATTGGATCCGCCATTTTGAATTTCACAATTCTGACGAAAGATTCATAATCTATGGCCCCATTGGATTATAATTACAAAACTCATTACCACTTTGGAGGCACCATTCTGTTTTTTGGGTTGAAATCATGTTGAAATCACGTTCGAAGATTCTTTTAAAAACAAACATACATACCAAAGTGTGTTGAAAAGAAAATGTCATAGAACCTTTTTTGTGAAGGATTATCATATCTATTTATTTGAATTGATGTATCTTGGTTGTTAAATTTAAAGGAATCCAGAAAATCGCGAAAATCATTTTGAAACAAGCATTTCTGAGACGTTATTCAGAACACCAAATACCTGAAACCACACTAGGTTAGGTTAGGTTCCATGTGAGTGGGGCGAACACCTCCCCTCCACTGCGACCCCAGATGGGTCTATTGTGGCTCACCCCTAGAGGTTACAGTTCACCGTACAATCCACATCTTTTTACAAAGTTCATGGTTGAATTGGGTGAGATTTGTCTGAAATCGATAGGTTCTAGGTTGGTAAAGCCAAATGTGTCGAACCTTAGTCTTTCTAAGCTAGAGCATGAACACAATATGTGTTCAGCCGTTTCGTCTTCCACACAACAGAACCGACAGTCCGTTTGTTGGTTCAGACCCATCCTTCCCAGGTGGTATCTTAGACGACAGTGTCCCGTAAGCAGTCCAGTCAGAATTCGCAGGTTACCCCTGCTCCATTCTAGGATCTGCCTGGTTATTTTTTCCGATGGTTTAGGCAGGAACGCCTTCGAATGGGTTAATCCTGGTAATTCGGACCAGTACGTGAGTGTTTTTCCCTCCGCCCAGCCCGAGATAGTTGTTTTCGCCGCACTTACGGTGACCCCAAAATATGGTTCTGGTCCTATGAACACAGATTCGGTTCCCTGTTTGGCGAGGATGTCGGCTTTCTCGTTACCCTCCACCCCCTGGTGTCCAGGCACCCACAGCAAAGTGACTCTGTTGTTAGCACCCAGGCTTTCTAGGGATTCAATGCAGCTCCATACAAGCTTGGAATTTATCTTGCTGGAGCTCAGTGCTTTAAGAGCAGCCTGACTGTCTGATACAATACTGATATTTTTGTTTACTAGAGGTTTATTCGACAACTCTCTAGCACACAATGCAATTGCGAATACCTCCGCCTGAAAGATTGCAGCATATTTGCCGAGATTGACGGAAATTTCCGTCTTCGGTTTTCTGCTGAACACACCGGCTCCCACTCCACGAGGGGTTTTCGAACCATCTGTGTACATTACGTGTTCGGTCTCTGGGAATCGGATTGATCCGCTTGCCCATTCGTCTCTCTTCGGGAAGAGGACTTTGAAAGACTTTTTCACGTGTGTCTGAGTGGCCAACATGTCGGAAACCATTCCTAGAGTTTGGTGATTTTTTGTTTCACACAGTATCCCGGAGTGGTCCAGCAGTCGCCCCCCTTCTAATTTGATTTTCCAGTGACAGGACTCTGTAGGATACCATCCTGACTTCCTTCCCCAAGACAATGTGGACAGGAGTGAGGTTCAGGAGGTTTTCCGTTGCTGCCGTTGGAGTAGAGGACATCGCCCCTGTAATGGCCAGGCACGCCAGCCGCTGGAGACCAGCAAGCTTTGCCCTGGCTGTTCCCTGCAGACCTTTAGTCCACCAGACTACCGAGCCATACGTGACCATTGGTTTTACCATTGTTTGGTAAATCCAGTAAATCTGTTTGGGGTTCATTCCCCATGATTTGCCGCATACCCTTCTGAGGTTCCAGAGGGAAAATCTGAAACCACACTTACTAATACCTCAGGACTAAATCATTCTACATCAAGGCACAATTCATTAATATCAATGGACTGATAAGGCAGTTAAATAATCAGATAATCATGTCACAGTTTCAGGAATAAACAAATCCAAAAAATCTTCATCAAAGAAATCCCCGATCAAGCCCAAAGCCAGCAAGGCAGCAGAGAAAACGGTGAAAACGGAGCCTCAACCGATCGTCGAGACTGTCCAAGAAAGTCCTGACCCCACACCAACCCTTCCACCTCCACCACTATCTCTGCAAGAACCTCCTACAAAAGTGGCGCCCAAGCAACAAACTGTAGTTCCTGCATCACAGAATACACCTGTACCTGGCCTCATCACAGTGGCGGCACCCTCGAAAAGTACAAGTCTTTTGTTGTGCAACAATTTGCCTAAATCTCAAATGCTGGATGCTAGTCAGGCCAAGGTAAAACATATTTTGAATCGATAAGTATGCTCTTATTATTTAAATAAGAAATGAAATCGTCTCAACATATTTACAATATAAAAATTGAGGATTTTCTTTGTAAGGTTGTGATTTCCGATGAACCACCACCGCTTGCAGTAACTTCTTCCAGCCCTAGTATTCAACAACAGAAAGAAGATAAGGAGATCAATGATGCTATCCATGCTATCATACAAAATAGAGTTTCTAGTCCTACTGTCAAAAGTGGTGAGTATAAATTGCGTTTTTGTTCCATTCTGGTAACGGTGGTGGGAACAGAATGACGTTTACAAATAAAACGAGAAACTTCATGACCTTGCACGATCGAATTGACATATTATTCGCGGAAATCAATGTTACCAGGTGGCGCTCGGTTTTCATCGTTCCATGTCAAAGCCACGTCAAAACTGGGGGAAAACAAACTCAATCCCATTAGTGCCATTAGCTTGTGTACTGTGTACTGATAAGAGTGATGAGTTTTTAAATTTCTTGACATTAATTGTCAATATTCTATCGAAAACGCTAATAACGCCGGTTGTAGATGTTCTTTTGGCAGATATTTTGCTCTATTTAGATGGAAAAAGCCGACCAGTAGTGGAAGGAGAAGCAGTTCTCCGTACTAATCATGTGATTTTGTGTGAGGCAGGAGACTTCAACAAAAGGCACATTTTTGCACTTTGTCTACAAACTTCGGCGATGAAATCTTCCACACATGAAGTAAAATTGGAGTTGGGGTCCAGAGGAACTCCTGCAGAACAATGGATTTGTATTTGTTCATGCAAAGCAGGAAAATCTGGGTATTGTGAACATGTTGTAGCTGTTTTTTTATATGTCAATTGATTGGCTCGTCATAATTAGTTTGAATTGTTTGAACTATCTCCAATTCTTCACCCTCTCACTGTTCACTAAACTAATAAAAATGTTATAATGTAAAAAAAGTAACCCACTCAACCATCATCACTACCAACAGTGCCAACACTTTGTCATTGACAAATTTGACAACAGCTACAGCAAGCTGAATGCAATGTAGTCTATGCACTTCATCCATAGACAAAAGCTTGTTTTCCCCCAGTTTGAAGTTCATATTATGCAACCTAGATGTCGCCCACTTCGTGAATCTCGCGAATAGATGATTAATAGAGGTTATATTTATATATTCGGCTTCAATATCATAATCATAATACTAGATTTAAAAATCAAGAAAATGAATAAAATGATTCAATGCACATTTGGAGCAGTGATTGTGGTGCTTGGAGAAAGTTCTCTGAGATCAAGAGAATTCATTTTATCTGGGAATGAACATATGAAACCTGTCTTACTTGAAAGAATCATTAACTTGTGAAACTCACGATAAAAATGTCTTCTAAAAGTCTTCTACTTTCAAAAAGCTTCGTTTTTCGTCAATCTAATTTCATTTTTTGACAACGGTCAGCAGTCATTCCACGCCAATCTTTGTAGTGAAACGGAATGAAAAGTAGCAACCAGAATCGGTAAAAACGACACATCAAAGTGATTTCGGCAGCGGAATCGGATAAATAAAACGCAACTATAACCAAACAGATGAACAAACAAGAACATTGTAGTCTAGTGTAGTTCGCGAACAAACTGATTCAAAAGAGCGCTCCTCGAGATGAACTACGCGAACTAGTTAGCTGTCAATTTTGGTTTCAGTTCGTTAGTTCACTGCAAAGTGCAAACATTGACCGATCGATTATCTCTCTCTCGCTCTGATCAAATGTTCATGCGATTGGAATCATGGGATTGTGTCAGTCCTGCTCACCTCAAGCAGTTCTCTCCCGCTCCATTCGCACGAATCAGTTTTGCCCAAACATGTGCATAGGCGATTCCTATGTACCAATCAGAACAATCTTAAAGAAGCGCCTGCGTGTTGACAAACGTCTATTCGCTATAGAAACTTACATGTCGCCCTACCTGACGGTAACAACTTGAACACTTCCGAGCGGTTTGCTTTGATGATATGACCAATAAGCATTGACATGAAACAAATGTGAACCAGTCAAAATAAAGTAAACAGGCAGCTTTGACAGCTTTCAACAACTCCGATACAACAAATACTCCATGTGCGGGAAACTGGCAACTGCTTGTGTTAACTAAATTCTTTCTTGAAATGAAATATTCTCAGAATCATGATTGGGTTTTCTCTATTCAGAAATTCTTTCCACGACCTGTATGATGAAGATCAATTCATTATATTATACTATCAATGAGTTGTTCTGCGCATTCGACTTCCACGCCGGCGATCCTGGTTCAATTCCTTTATATTTTCTAGGAAGACGGTTAGAATGTTTAAAACATAGTCTTCTAACTTATGCAGAAGGGATATTTTCCTTCCTTCCTGAAAAAAGTACGACTGTTGAGGCCGATAGTGATTCGCTATTTCAATGATGTTTTTTTTCAGGATCGTCGAGATCTTCAGTAGACTTGATTCTGCGCCAATTAAGGGTATTAGCTATTATTATGATGTGAGAACATTCGTTATTCGAATACCACCCTATACATATATTTGGGCAAAACGGATTCGTCGCTCTATTCCCGCTCTTAGTGTCGGTTCCGTTCAGTCTATCAGTCTATTCGCGATGGGAAATAAGCATTTACTTTTTTCCATTGGTTCACATTTGTGTTTTTTTTGTGATTATTGGTCAATCCTTCAAAACAAACCGCTCAGAAGTGTTTAAGTTGTTGCCGTCAGGTGGGGCGACGTTTATTTTCTATCGCGAATGATCCATCACAGCACACACATTCTTTGTTCCCGTTCGTAGTTAATTCTGGAGTCGATCCGCGATCAGGAAACCAACAACGGACACACAGAGGTGCTAATATTTTCTATGTTGTGTATTTTACACGATTCGTATTTCAATTTTGAACATATTGAACTTTCGAGTTTTCAAAAACCAAACAGGAAGATCAGCCTACAAGTTAGCCATCATTCAATATTTAATTGATGTTTTATTTATTTTATTTCCTATTCCTAATACCATTCTGCAGATTGCACAATAATTTTTGAACTTCGATTTATGCTGCGGTCGTGGCGTGTCAGTGCGGCGAAGGAAAAGAACTAAAGAACTAAAAGAGCGAACTAGTTCGCCATTGGGGATAGAACCAATAAATTAAGCGATCTCTTAAGTGAACTAAAATGCCAACACTACAACATTTTCACTTATTCCTCAACATTTGACGTTTGAGCTAAAGGTTAATTAGGTTTTTCTTATTTCTTTCAATTGCTTTCAACCGATATTGTGAAGTTCAATTAAATTGAAGTTGGGAGCATTTTCATCCCAGCATAATAATCATCAAAGTTAATGTAGTCAATAATCATACCCACAGAGGCAGTTTCTACTACAGTACATTCTAATTTAGAAGACAGCATTGAAAACCACCATCACTTTGAGTATTTTATATTGGTGGCAATGTTACACCTGGCAAATAATATGACCTATGACGTGACGAAAAAGTTGGGAGATGATCACATCACATTCCATTCATTTGTCATAGTTTTTACCAAGGTTCTTATGTTGGAATAAATCCTGAGAATGAACTCGAAACTCAAAATGGAATTCAATCGTTAGAATAGATCAGGCATCATTTATTTATTTATCAGTGTAAACAATCCTTCATAAGCAGTTCCACATATATCATCTTATTTGGAATGTAGTATACAGTGTTTCTACCAGATGTTGAAAGTGGTGGGTACAATAATCAAACTACTGCCATAACTACTATCTGAATCGCTATTATGTCATATATCAGCAACCCGAGAATCTGCGGTAAACTGCTTGCTTGAAAACCCTCAAAATGTCGTTTCGACCGGTTGGGACACATGAGTAAAAGTGCGACATATGACAGGTCCTATAAGGCAGTAACCGCATTAGCGGTCTAAGATAGTTGTTTATGTCAGTGAATATGAATTAAACAGCTAAACAACACTTGGCATTTAAGCTCGAGGTTAAGTAGGTTCTTTTTCTTCTTTCTTTTGTTTTCAACTGTTAATGTTAATTTCACAAAATAGTTTGGGGTACCATGAAAGGTCAGTAGTTGAATCAGAGTGGAACCTGAACATTTTCAGTCCACCATGTCACTCATTGAAGTTTATTCAATTTCTAATCAGAAATGGCAAATTTTGATTCAGTATAAATGTATGTTTGGTACATTTGGCGCCATCAATTTTCTCTGAAATTCGAAACACGATATTTTGACAGAGAGTGATTGCAGGTAAGAGCCTGGTGAAAATGTTATCTCCATCGCAAGGCAAGTCGCTTATCATACCCACCACCAATCCTCAGCTGATCAAGCAAATTCAAGAGCAACGTGGCACACCTACCAAACAGATGAGCCAAGTAGTCACCCAACAGCTGCTTCAGACGATTGCCGCCCAACAGAAACAGATTCTCGTGCAGAAACACAACGATTCTGTCGAGAACCGGCAAGAAAAATTGAAGGTAATATCTGTGAAAAAAGTGAATGTGAATGAGAAAAGAGAAGTCTCCAGCCATTGTCGATCTAAATGAAAACCTAGTAGGCGACCTAGTACGCGAGGAGGTACAATATTGTCTGTTCTTTGAATCAAAATCTGTCTGCCTGTCAAGTGGCGCTGGCATCCTGAAAATGGAAAAAGCTCATTTGTTTCTGTCAAAATAGACCATATTAGGTTGATATTCTCTTCTTCTATTTTTTTCCAATATGTACTCAACCACAGATGTGCTTTCCATCATTGACGTGATATTTGATACAAAGGCGATGAAGAAGATTCTTTCATGAGATTGAGATGTCATAATCAAAAAATTATTTTCTGACAGTTGTCATTAACTTTTAACTTCGTCTTTGTGAACATGTTATACTTCGAATTCGTATTCTTGAAAATTACAATTATTCCTAATTATTTCTTCTAGTATTGGTTTTGTATTGCAGTTTGTTGATTGGTTTGTGAGTGCGATTGTGTTATTTTGCAATGTTATCTGAAAACTTCGCACTCTAGGAGGTGTAGGTGTAAAATTATCAAGACCTGGTTTCCCCTATCCTCACTGTTGTGAATTTGAGCCACAAATCCTGAGGCATCAATGAGTTTATGCCATATTCATTGGATTGCAAGGTGAAATTTGTTTCTTGAATCGCATAATATTTGAAACTTGATGCATTGATATTCCAGGAATGGGAGTTTTTGAAGTGAGCGAACATGATACTGTATGTTTCCAACATTTTAAGGGAACTGTTTCTTGCCAATGAAGAATAGGAAACGGTTTTGGAAGGAGGGTTCGGTTCCAAGTTTGTTAAAGGAAGGTATATATAAATAAAATTATTAGTTTCTAGTTGACTGGAACTATTAGTTTCAGTACAAAAATTACCAAGAACTTGACTTTGAAACCTCTAAAAATTGTTCGATAGTCAATTGTCATTAAAACTCATTTCAGAATGGCACAGATCATTGAAACTGGGGAAAAAATAGATATCAAATATTTTTATAGTTCCAGACTCATCAATGTAGTTTGGAATATGATGCTGAAGAGAAACTCCTTCCTTAAGGAACACGACCTGAAGATTAAGAAGGCATCTGAGGAGGAAACGGGCATTTGAACAGATATTATAGAATGATAATAAATAATAAAGAAGTTTATTCAAAATGAATACATAATATAAATTAAAAAGTTATACATATTGGTATTGAATATTCCTATGGAAATTAAAAAGTTATACATATTGGTATTGAATATTCCTATGGTTCAATTTGTGGCAATTATAGACCATCTTCCCATATTTAGTGAAGTTCGTGGATAAGATGATTTTATAAAAAATAATCATTGTTCAGCAAAGCATATATTTAACCTATATACCTTTTGTACAATATAAATAGTGTTTTCAAACTTACCTGCCAATACATCTGTACAACAATAAACAGGGTATCAGAGGAGAACAAATTAGTAGAATAAAAATTGCAATAATTCTTCATAATTATATTCAATTTATTGAAAAATATATTTGTATTGTCATTCCTACATATACAAGTTATTTTCCAATAAAAAAAAATTCGAAATATCTCAGCATCTTGATATTTTGTGTTTGGAAACATTGATGAAATAAACAGATTGAGTCTAACCTTATTGCTTCTATATATTCATTTCAGATGGAAAATTTTCCATTCTGTTCTCAAACATCATCATCCTTCTGGTACATTCCTTCTGAACATTACTCACATAATGATTCCTGATGTGATTCTTCCACATCAATTTGTTTGTATCACTCATAGTTTTTCTCTTCGCTGTAGGTAGGTACCTGAAATTTTCAAGTATAGTGATTCCGATATGTACATAGTTTACATCACTAAAGACATGTTTCCACTGCAAATAACGGAATTCCATGAATTATATAGTAACTTATCAAAAATATAGAAGGAAATAAGCAGCCCCTACCTTTCTGCTTGGCTTGCATGTCGAAAAAGTGTAAAAGCACTGATGAGTTTCCGAAGTTCCCACAGTTCCAACTCAAATTCAAGTTGCATCATAAGTCAACCTGATACAGCATTCCCTAAACATCTCCCTGCTTCCATTCAAGTATAGGTAGATGGTTTTCATACTTGATAATATTTTTCGTGATAATGTTTCATTTTCGGGTTTCAACATGACAGATTTTTATTTACAAACTTGACAGGACCATGAAAAATGTTATGGGTTAGGAATAAAATATGAATAACTTAGTTTACTTGGTTCACATTGATGTCTCTGTACTACTGAACGCCTTCATTTATTTTTTCAAAGAACAGACAATATTATGCTCTCGCCTACTAACTACCTAACTAGGTTTCCATTTAGATCGACAATGCTCCAGCAAACCACTGTTTATGGAACTGCAATTAATGACACTCTACTCTCTAATTGTATATGAGAAGTTAGTATAAAGAGCAACTTAAATAATTATAAGGTACACTCTGATGTTCACTCACACAACATCAGGCTACTGCCCCTCACACGCTCAAAAAGATGTGACGACATAGGTGTCAAGCTTTTTAATTCCTTGCCATCTGATTTTCGTGACTTGAGTATCAACATGTTCGAATCAAAGTTGACATTTTTTCTAACAGCAAATCCTCTTTACAATGTGGAAGATTTCTTTATGCTTATGAAGAGCAGAGATGCCCTCCTCTGATATGCATTATTTGTTTCTTCAGATACTTTTCATTTCTCTACTCATCGATTGTATTCATATTCTTTGTAGTTTTCATTCATTCATCAATCACCATTTATATTTATTCATTCAACATTATTCATTGTAATTTGTAATTTTCATTCATTATTTTTATTATATTTTATTTTATTGCATTGCTATAACGAACCCAACACAGTGTACTTGCTGTTTTTAAAGGTAAATATAGTGTATTTGAATTTGGTGGAGGAGATGCAACACCAATAATGATCTATGAAATGTTAGACATAGCTCCACCTTGTTTTTAATGCTCATTTGATTAGAAATTCAGAAATTTGAGATGGCTCCTCCAAGATATCGGACGGTTCCGTCATTTCTTGTTTGATTCGATTCATCTGTGAAATATACATAAAGTATAGAGGTTTCCAAGGTCGGCGAAATTCAAGATGTCACCTGCAAAATAGCGAACGATTTTCAAGATGTCGCCCCCAGAAGGGCGAAAGATTTTGTGATTTCTGGTCCGATTTGCCGGGAAATGTACACTTTTTCAATACACATGTGTCTGCAAATGCTTCTTCACCGATCTACGGGACGTTGAAGTTTCAAGGTATTTTTCAGCATTATTTTCCATTGTGTAGTTTTGTTGAAAATGTTACCTGAATATCTCAAAAACTGGAAGAACTTGTAGCTCTATAGATCGGTAACGAACATGTAATATAATTAAATAATCTTATCTGACCTGAAAAATACGTCTTTCAAGTTTTGATGCTAAATTTCGGAATAACATATTTAAATGTACTTGAAATTTAAAGTTATAAAATCGTACCTGTAAAATCTTTACCTATATCATGAAAGATACACATAAATGAGATAATAGTGTACACAAATATATATAAACCATATATTACTCCAAGAAACATATCTATTCATAATAGGGATACAAATATCAACAAAAATTATAATAACTTAACTAATGAATTCGGCTCAGGATGATTGAAACACAAAATATTCAAAGTGAATCACAGCAACATTTTTTCACCAGTCAAATCTTCCCCTTGCTTTTCTCAAAGGAAATAAGTTGGAATTCTTTTACCTTAGGAGCAAACCAATTGATTGAAAAACCCCAAAAAAATCAAAACCAATCAATTCTTCACCTTGATTTTCTTACAGTCCAAAAATTTGGTCTTGCTCTCATCATTGATAATTAGCAACAGTTTTTGATAGGAAAAAAAAAAGTAATGATATGAAATGTCTAACCCTCGAAATTATCGTCAATAAAACAGTGTCACCTGACGTCACAACATGGCGCATTATAGTGGGAGATGTGCAGAAAACTTACATGTACCCTTATGGGAAACGTTTATGCTTGTCCCCCCCATCAGCTGTTCAATGGCCTACATTGTTACGTCATATGACGTCACTGACAGTGCTCTATCAACGATCATCATAATGGGGAAGTTTCCTTCAGATGAAATTTCATAAAATAAGTTCGGAACTCTCCAGTTTTGTGTCCACGCTGTGCAGAATGGCGACCGATAAAGTCCCAGTCGTTTTCATTTTCAAATTGACGTACATTCTGAATGTAGTCTGATAATAGCTGATGGTGAAGAATATAGCTAGCGAATAGCTAACGAATGAAAAACGAATGCAAAAAATTTAAGAAGAAGTAAAACTGGTGAACAAAAACATACATAACCAGAAATACACTCGGAGCAGGAATGCAGAAGGTAGTTGGCTTCTTTCTGACAGGTTATGGTTTTGTTATTTATGCATTGAAATATCTCGAATAGCGCTCGATCCTAAACGAAAATATCACTGAATCAATGAATCACTATCGGCTACATTCAATGATACTATCCTTCCTAATTTACTGCCATCGGTTAGAACAGAATGAAGCCGACACCCATGACTCCTTCCTCTTGTTGTGCCTGTCAGTATTTTGAGTGGTGTGGACGGACTCGAAATATTAGGCGCTGTTGCAAGATATAATCTGCAACTTTCCTAGAAAATAGATCCGTTTTATCAAGGAACGAATTCATTAGCAAAAAAATGACTGACAACTTATGAATAACATATTGTAATATGACGATAGTGAAAAATTATAGATACTATTGCAAAATATCATAATTCATCTTTATTAGTAATCAACTTCATTCAGCCAATGAGAGAATTATGGGAATTATTCATAATACTTGACAAAGTAGGATTGAAGAACCTATTATATCCCATTGCTGTTATGGTATATTCATTATGCATTCAAAGAACAATTTCCGGAAATCTTGACATATTCATGATGCTGTATTTTAACTCTGTGTGAATGTGGATTTTCAGAAAGTAAGTCATAGGAATGGTGGAGGAGCCAAGTTCCTCTTTTATTTATTTTTTCCTGAAGTGAAATTTGATCTTAGGAAAAAAGAAAAAATACGTATACAGTGTCATTCATAAAGTCATATGGGGAAAACTTTTATTATTGACTTATTTTGGAATATTGGATGAAAAATGGCCTACTCAATCGGGGTCACGTGACTTTCGCTACATGTCAAAAGTGACATTTTTTCAAATTAATGGCTGAAAGTAGGCTTATTTGTTCGAATATCGAAAAAGTTTACTTGAAAAAGTTGTTTCTATTTCAATTTTAAACATGCTTCCCGAATTTGATCTTTCTATTGCAACTTTTAGATTTTGATGTTTTTTTAAATTTTTCGAAATTTCTGTAATATTTGAAGAATTGTTAATTCCACGAAACTACTTAATGCCAGTAGCTTTTTCATGCTACTTACTTTCAATTACTTATTATCACTGATTATGGACAGAAATATGATTTTCTTCAGAAAATGATAATACTCGCTTCCAAATTCTGTTATGTTTGATGCAAAGTTGATATATCGTCAAGCATTTAGAAACGAAGTTCATTTAAAGTGATCTTTTCAGGACTGAAAAAATAAATTTAAATGAATTTCGTTTCTAAATGCTTGACTCAAATACTGTCTGTAGGTTAATCGAGGAGGTGGTACATTCATTATTTCAAATTTTTGTGATTTTCTCTCCTCGTTTCTATAAAATAAAAATATGAATATTATTTCAATATACGTGTAGTAAGGACAAATCAGAAACGAGGAGAGAAAATCCCAAAAATTTGAAATAATGCTTGACTCAAACATTACAGAATTTTGATGTTATGTTTGGATCAAACATAACAGAATTTTGAAGAGGAGATTATCATTTTCTGAAGAAAATCATATTTTTGTCGATAATTAGTGATAATTAGTAATTGAAAATCAGTAACATGATTAAGCTAGAATTTACAATTGTTTTAATACAGAAATTTCGAAAATTTTCAAAAAATATCGAAATCTAAAAAATGTAATAGAAAGATAAAATCCGAGTCACATATGTAAAATTCAAATAGAAACAACTTTTTCAAGTAAACTTTTTCGATATTCGAACAAATAAGCCTACTTTTAGCGATTAATTTGAAAAAATGTCACTTTTGACATGTCGCGAAAGTCACGTGACCCCGATTGAGTAGGTTATTTTTCATCTTTTTTGAAGCAAAACTTGACGTCCAAATCGAATTTCAAAATAAGTCATTGATAAAAGTTTTTCCCATATGATGCCGACTTTATGAATGACACTGTATATTAATTTTTCACAAACTTCACAGTGAGATAAAAACCTCAATATAGAAAACTTCCCCATTCTCAAGGTTCCTGTCAGCGTGCAACAGCAAATCCTGCAAAGCATACCGGCCCAGCAGCTGCAAAACATAAAAAACGTCACCTTACTGAGGTCCTCCAGCGCCAACGTGAATCTGACACCGATCGCGAGCGTTTCCTCGCAATCCATCGGCGATCAAAGCAACATCGTGGCGGTGGCGGTATCGAAAACGGAGGACCCTGTAGGTCAGCCCGGCGTCCAGATCAAAACTCACGGTACTCTCACGCAGGCGCAACAGCAGCAAATTTTGCAGACGATCAAGCAGAAGATCCTGCCGAATTCCGGATTGTTGGCGAATTCGCAGCAGCAGATTATTTTGAAGCAGAAAAGCGGGGTGTTGCAAGTTCAGAAGGCTGGTGCTGGTGGACAAGTTATCGGTCAGCATAAAGTGAGCCTTGGTAAGGATGTCTTATGTTTTAATGAGATTTTTCGAAATTTTTTGATACATGATGGAAGATACACCCTGTATATCGAATATAAAGGGCTAAAATGAAAAATCGTATTTAGAAACTCATATTGTTTTTGTTCAAGGAATATATGATTAATGGATTAACCTCCTTTTAGCGGAGACCCTGTATATCCTACTTTCCCAACCTGAAGGATAAGTTACCTGTGGACAGGTTCGCTGAACCTCCATTTTCGGAAATTAGGCACAATTTATTGAAATACGGTGTACCCGATCATCTGTGGATCTTGTCCTAAGGTATATATCGGTCAGACAGGTCGTACGTTTAATCAGCGCATTCATGAACATAAGACGAATTTTTTGAAAAAGAAAACATTACTAACCATATATTAGAAAAAAAACATAGTTTTGATAATAATTTCGAAATTCTACACGTAGAAAATAAAGAAATAAAACTCAATCATTTTGAATCATTAGAAATCAACAAACTCAAAAATACTGACATTTTACTTAACGATCAATTAGACCTCGATAGTTCACTACTCAGTTCACTACTCAATAGTTCTCCACTGTTGAATTTGTTTTCTTCTCTTGTTTTCTTAGTAAATAATATGTATTTGATATCAACCCTTTCAAGTTAATCCGGTACACCGTATTTTGATGTAGATATTGTGCCTAATTTCCGAAAATGGAGGTTTATCGAACCTGTCCACAGGTAACTAATCCTTCAGGTTGGGAAAGTAGGATATATAAGCAAGCCAATGTTAGTTTAGTTCATCGTACCAGTATATCACCTGACGAAGCTACTGTGTTAGCGAAACATGCCGTGTGTTTGAGAATTTTGTGGAAATCTAATCGTTTGTGAAGTTTTTACACATTCATTTGAGTTAACATTTTCATTTTCACAATTTCTTGGTTAAATGGGAACGGTGCGTCATATTTTCGACTTTCAATGGTGAATTCATGAATGACACAAAGTCCTAACTCAAGAAAATCCTGTGATAATAGTTTATTTACTCACTTTTGGTACATAAAATATAACGAATGTTCGGATTTTCAAATAATCCTCACACATTGCAGCAGTCAGTCCATGATGAAAGCACAATACACTTACTCAACTAATAATATAATATCAATACCTGCTTAATAAACTACTAATGCTCCTAATTTATAATATTTTTATTTAAAATTTGAACAAAATCTTGAATATGCCGAAAACATGACACTGTTGACAGATTTGTCGAAATCAAGATGTTTCCGCACGAATTATTTGATGCGCCATGTCTCTTTTGTGTTCTGTCTCTAGATGCTTCTTATCAGCTATTATTGAATTCGTGCATCATCAACGGGAGTCCCGAAAGAAGGAAAACGCATCCTTGAAAGTCTAGTTCAACTTCATAATAAGATTCGATACGCAATTTGAAATTTTTCAAGAAATTGTCCATCGCTGACGCCATCTATCATCGAATATGAGAACCCCACGTTCCGAACTCGCATTCAATTGTTCATATCGAGCGCTAGTCTGACGGAACAATTGAAGAGTGGGCACACCAGAGGAATTATAAACATCTCAGATGAAAGTTATGAAACAGCCAAGAAAAAGTTATAATACCACAAAAATACAGGTTTTATTATAGGCAGAGTTCAATAATTAATCCTTGAAAAATGCACGTCCAATATTTACTTATGTCAATGTTTTTTATTGCAGACGGCACCTCAAAATCGATCTCATCCCAAGGGCCTGTTGTTGCCAAAGTGCTGACCAATGCAGCCGGTCAGGTCATTTCTTTAGAGAGCTTACTGAATCATCAAAAACAGCACGGCTCCCTAGCTCAAGGTAAACATTTTTATAATTTTAATAAAAAATTCGGCCGACCACAAAAAACTTCTGTAATTATCGTGTTACAGGTTTCGGCCCTTGGCCATCATCAATCACAAGTAAAAGAAAATGATACCTAAAGGATATCTCTAAAATTCGCGGTAGTCAAGGTAATCATTTGGCATTGCGATGACATAAAATCTACGGGGAATCATCTCTAACTTTCAATCTAAGCCAGGAGTTAGGAATGTTTTCCCGTAGTTTGCATGTCATCACAACGTCAGATGATGACCTCGACTATCGCGAAATGAGGGCCAAATGAAATTACTAACCTCAAAATTACAAACCATAATCAGTGGGCATCACCCTAGCTTCTCGGGTAAGGCACTAGCCTTATATAATTATAAAATTCAAGTTTTCTTCGACCCATAAAAATGCTCGAATGTAATTCGGTATAGATCAAACCATTGTTGATGGTTTTTCCAATTTTTCCACTCGAAGACTCCAAATCGCGACATTTCCACAGATTAGATATTTTTTGGACAAAGCAAGAGTGAGAAAAATTTACATAATCGTCATTAAACCACGATAATTCATAAACTGAACGAAAATGGTAGATAACGAGAGAAAAACAACTACTTTCCTAGCTATATGCCACGCAGAACATTGAGACAAATAAGATTGCAAATGTTTCCTTCCTAAATGCAGAATTGTGCTTAAATTGTTCAGAAACGCAAGGGCCACCTGCAGACCGGTTTCAAGCTTTTGGCTATCATCAGCATAGGGTTGTCCCCCAGATAGCATTCTTGACCGCTATTTGGTGCGAACCTGACCCAACGTAAACGCATCTCAGCATTTAATACGCCACGAGACGTTCAACGTCTGCGAAATGAACGCGACCGCCACCCAGCAAGGAAAGAAACACTCCAAAACAAGATCCCATTTCAGATGAAATGAGAGTGGCTGGTTGTCCGACTGGCGTATTTTCAACTAGGAAAAAGCCAAATACTCAAAGTAGAATGCAATGGTCACAAAGTCACAAAGAGAGAGAAACTTAGTCATTACCACAGTACTGCTAGATCTCATAACTAAGAGATCCAGGATGAGCAGAGTTTCGACTCACCAGGTCTCATCAGCCGCTCTCGTTATGCTGACAACTGGGACAACTCTACGCTTCGGGTATATCACCCATTTCAAAGACGCAGGGTATAACATGAAGTTCTAGTCATGTTGTAACCATCTAGTGGCAAAGCTCTATGATAGGATCAAGACCTGGTGGGTAGAAACAGTACTGTCTCGCTCCTGCTGACAATTGGGGCAACTCTGTTCATCCTGGATCTCTTAGTTATGAGATCTAGCAGTTGAATAGGTCGGTGGAAAAATCCACTCAAGTATATCTCAGGTAGTGCCATCTGTCAGCAGAGTGGTTTACTTGTACCACTATGTAGCGTGCTGCGATGGCAGCACCATACAGTGTGTGTCGCGATCTCTTGAGCCTTCCTTAGATCTTTGCCACTAGAGGGCTACAACATGACTATACCTTCTCAACTTCAATTTCGGAATCGGTAAGTTTAATTTCGGAGAAGGTAAACTCGATTTCAGAATTGGTTAGTTCGATTTCAGAAATGGTGAGTTGTATTTCAGAAAATAATTTTCAGTTGCATATGAAAAGAATAAACCATGATTAGTATATTCAAATTTTTTAAATCCATTAAATAACATATACTGAACTCAATCTTCAATTAATCTATACAGACATGTCTTCCATTCGGATCGCAGAAGGATAGTGACGTTGCACATGATTTAAAAGAATTCAAACACTTATGAGGTATGTGTTCTCATTGAATGACCTGAACATTATTCAAGACATCACAGTCTGAATTCTATTTGGTTAAGCAATCTGTTCGGATTCCCGGCTATGACCCTTTGGCGATGCTCTTGCAAGAAGCTCTTCACTTCTGACTTGAAGGTATTCCATAATATGTTCAATTATTGGGTTCAAACAATGTAATGTGCCAATCTGCGAAATAATAGGGAACATCTTGAAATCCTTCCTTCATGCAAATCTCCTCTATATATTCCTGAATGTGCAGGTGCATTATCCAGAACTACCACTATGTTATCTGTAGGATGCCCATTTTAAATGCACGCTCATCATCATCCTATGAACTACGATTCATACAGTGACTTATTCAATTCACGATAGTGTAATCATGTTTATTTATTTCAAGTTGAACTTTACTTTCTGAAATTGAACTAACCAATTCTGAAATATAACTTACCATTTCTGAAATTGAATGGACATTTTCTGAAATTCAACTCACCGATTCTGGAATTGAGTTAACCATTTCTGAAACCGAGTTTACCTTTTCCGAAATATTACTTACCGATTCTGAAATTGAAGTTGAGAAGGTATAGAACATAGACAAACCAAAAATAAAGAGACTGTTCAAAACATAGGAAATTTTGACCATCAAGTTTGTGCGCAACCCAGTCGCGCATGGAGGCGCTGTTCGCAATCGACAAACGAGTCATGACATGAAACATTTTGAATTTCGACATTCGACAGCACGACAGTATAAGGCCTGTTCGTATGTGTTTGCTCTACTGGTTAAACTTATTTTTTTTTTCTATGACTCTCTGTTTATATCATGCTATGAACAGAGACAACTATGGAAAAACATCAACTTTAGCAAGTTCCATTTTAGAACGAAGGAACAGACCAATGGAATACAACAGATATTGTTTATTTTCCGAGTTGATGTTGATACTGAAATTCGAGTTTCTCTTTCACATTTATTTTACTTTATTTCCGAGTTTATTTCTATTATTGACAAGGTGAAATTGATAACATTTTTATAGAAACAAGTGATATTCTTTCATTCTGAACTAACCGAAATATGAACGGAACTGAATTAATCATACATTTTATCGAATTGAAGTAGGTATTCTTGAAGAACGCATGTTAACTGATTTCAGTTTTATGTTTGTTTTATGTAATATTTCAGTATTTCAGATTAAAAGAATATCACAGATGTAAAAGTGTGGTGAGATGTCAAGACCCCGTGCATATAAATTCAAGTGTGCAAGCAAGTGTTGAATAAGTTGATGATACCTAAAAATGCCAACAAAAATTGTGAAGAAGATGTGACTACCAAATTGGATAATCTCAACTCATTTTTAACTTGCCCAGTGGAGCCAGAGCCATCATCAGTTCTTGTCAATGAGTTGAATGAATTGGTTATTCCAAATTTCGATATTGTGTTTTCTAACTCAGAATTTGACACCCAGGCAACATATGTAGCAGGACAATTTTTTTTTCAGAGTTAGTTATTCATTTATTCATAATTTTCATCATTTTTGTTTGTTTCCTTTTTGTATGATGTCTAGTCATTATTAGGCTGAAGAGTTTATATCTTATTTTGTTTTTTTTTTTCAGAGTTTTATTTACTTATTGTTTCATGATATGTAGTTCTCTAGTCTTGGATGGAATAAAATATATTTTTTAAGTTTTTTAATTTTTTTTTGTAATTTTCTCGATTAATACAAATTTTTAAAGTAAAGGTTTGAAATAAACCGCCTTATCTCAATCGGTAACTAGAGAATCTGTTGTATCGATCATAGAACTAGTTCCACCCAGTTGCCAAGTGTGTCGCTCTAAACATGGTGCCAATTTTACTGCAGGTTTGACAACTCTCTTTTTATTCGTTTCTCTATGGTATTAGGTTTCTTATGTCTAGAATGGCAATTCAAATCATTTCATTTTCCAAAAGACAGCAATTTAGAATTACTAATGGAGTAGACTATAACGTACTACCTAGATCGATAGTGACATTTGGAGAAATTGAAATATCTCTTCATCACCTTTCAACAGAAATTAAAATTAGAATGATCAACCTCAAAAACGAGCTGTCAGCATCATCGTTATTTTGTATATACTCATAATTCTATAATCGTCAATCAGTACACTATTTCTAATATTTATATTTCTTCACTAATTTCCATTTCATCAGGTATTCGGTATATAATTTTACATATACGTCATTTCAGGTACCATTGCTAACTATGATGTTAGAGCAGTTTTCCGAATCATTAGATTTATCGATAAATCTTGTAACGCGGTATTGGCGTAAAACGGCTCACATTTTTAACTGTTCTGAGTAGTACGTCATGAAAATGGTGAAGGAGCCGAGACTATATCTTCACGAAATGTTTCTAAACTCAGATTTTATCGCACGAAGAACAAAATATGTGTCCAATGAATTCTCATAAACTATACAGAATAATGTTGGAAATTTGCTCATTTTGAACCGTTTTGAACGTTCTTTACTATGGAAACAGATCATTTTCTATGGCTTACTCTGTATTAAATCACGTGAACAATGTTAAAAAAGGGAAAACCAACTTTAGCACTAACGAACAGATCTTATTGATTGAAGTAAATATCATTGTTGAGACATTTCAAGAACGTACTGATATTTTTGTGAGGTATTGCTGAATTTCTAATTCGGTTCTATATTATAACAGTTATTTACATATTTTAATGAGCTCTAGCTCTGAACAATTCAGTTTCGACTCCATAAATATCTTTTGACCTATTTTCAAGCTTCGCCTTTCCGATAATTCACAATATTTGATATTTTCACATGCCCAAAAAGGTCGTTCAAATTCATCAGAGTAGAAGACCCATCTCGAACAGCAATAGGAAGCATTTTCGTTCTCCACCTATCTCTTTTTTGTGCGGTTTTTCGTATCTGCCAATATGCTGCCGTATCACGGTAAAGAAGTCTGCAATACTCTTACGGCACCGCAGAACGTGCAGGCCTTGATAAACAGTTGGAGTGTTGCTACAGAATACTCAATAAATATTTTGAAGGTTTTAGGATTTAATTTGTCTTCATTGCCTCGATTAATACAAATTTTTAAAGTAAAGGTTTGAAATAAACCGCCTTATCTCAATCGGTAACTAGAGAATCTGTTTTATCGATCATAGTAACTAGTTCCACCCAGTTGCCAAGTGTGTCGCTCTAAACGTGGTGCCAACTTTTACTGCAGGTTTGACAACTCTCTTTTTATTCGTTTCTCTATGGTATAGAACTTCATGTTATACCCTGCGATTACCACAATAGTTCATAGAATGAACGAAAATAGTTACGAATCGAATTGTCAATCAAATATTCAATATCAGGCACGACTCTGAGAGTGTCCGGCAAGAGCGGTCACCAGAACCTGATCCACCTCACCGGTACCACCAAACCCAGCAACCTCGCCCAATTCGCGGTGGGCTCCCAGCACAGCGTCCTGACGCTCGCCGGCCAGCCGAAGCTGGTGGTGGCGTCGCACGCGTCGACGGTGACGTCATCGGTGACGGCGACCAAACCCTCTTCGAGGACGGCGGGCAAGGCGCAGAGTAATGCGAAGACGGCCCAGCATCTGGTCAGCGCCAAGCTGCTTCAGAGTTTGGAACCGCAAAAGGTAAATGAAATAATAATAATTATTAACGAGCTTTATTGGATACTCAAAAGGCTACCGACCGAGGTCCTTCAGCCTGTGTTACACAGTGATTATACATTGAGTTTACATTTATCATTATTGTATGTACAAGATACAGAGGTGTGCACAAAAAACGGCTAGAGCTGTAACTTCTGAATCATTCGAGACCGAAATTTGAAATTAGGTGGGTAGCAACTATACCATATTGTTAAATTATTCCGTCACTTCCGGTCTAACCGGAAGTGACCCCAACTTTTGATTTTCAAATGGAACCCCCTTTATACTTTTCCATCATTGGATTCAGGGTATCATTTTACATACAGCAGTAGTTTTTCCGGAACAAAATGTCAAGAGGAATTTTTTTTATTACTTTTTATCTTTAAACATTGCCCATTAATTGGTAATAGTCAAGGTAATAGTAATCAAGATCTAGGTAGCCTTGTAAGTCAATTCCAATGTGACAGTAACATCCAATAATAAGTTTCAATATGGGTGATGATATTTTCTATTTCATAAACATAAATAATAATGGGTTAACCAATATGTTACAAGTTTATTTTGAATGTTTGAAAAATTCGTACGGTGCTGCTCGTGTTTATAGAAACAGATATCCGAATAGAAATCATCCTAGCAATCAGTAATTTGGCATATTGAAAGCTAATCTACGTCAATTTGGTAGTTTCAAAAAACCAAAGAAACAACAGCCAGGGTTTGATGCAGATTTAGAATTGAATGTTTTACTCAGTGTACATACAAGAATCGCCCAGGACATGTACAATGGGCTTATATCACAAAAAATTTTTATTTCATAATCTGATAGAACTCACCCAAACTAGCTCACCACCGCAAACCGTTTCTTGCTGTGAGCTCCCTACGTTTTATGAAAAATTATTGAAATCCCCGATTTTTCGGCCCTCTGAAAACGAGGCGATGATGTGACGTCAAAACCCTAATACTGAAACAAGACTATTCCAGACAGAGATGAATGATACATGATTTCTCACAAAGCACCAAGATTGGTGAATCGGCAAGTTGATTTTTGGGACATAGATGATAAGAACAAGAAGAAGATCAATTCTAACCTATATTAAGTTTCTGCAAATCGCGATTCGCGAAACTTTCGAATATTAAATTGAAATATTTCGACAAAAGTATGATTGAGAAATGTTCTGTGCCTAATTGCAATTAAAAAACATCATTTAGCTGGGAATTTTGAGAACAAATCTGGCCCCTCACTGGGTAAACACAATATTATAGTAGTAGTTTTGCTTTGCAGAAATTCATAGGGAAATTGCTTGAAGAATGAATGATCCATCTCCTAGAAGAACATTCAGGGGGATATGCAAGCAGTATCTAGTCTTGGGAATAACATTGTTTCATACCAATTGATCATATTGTTGCATATAGGTAAACATATCGATCAGTGACTGATTTAATGAGGATTCTCCCTCGGAATCTCCATATGATGGGTATTCTGATGTTAAATATCCTTTCAGGTGAACAATTTTCCAATGCAACTATAATAGGTACAAGCAATGAAAATTGAATGAATATTGTGGAACTCACCTTTCAGATTTTCTATTCCTCATTTCAGCACTGAGGAACTGTGGAGATTTTCTAGTATGTTAGAGACATAAAAATAATTAACCATTTCCAAATCAATGTTCGGTAGATTATCTGATGAGCCTTTTACAAATCCTGATTCAACGTTCATGTTTATATTCAATGTATCAATAATATGTATTAATATGATATAAAGCAAGATTTGGAGGTTAATTTCATTACGTGTCTTCTCTTCTCATTTTAGACGATATAAATAACTTCGGAATCGGAATTCGAGACTCGATGCAAATGCAGCTCCATGTGAAACGGGTCAACAAAGCAATGTTGCTGCGTTCATGAAATATATTGGATTATTGTGAAATTGTCATGGTGCAAATGGTTTTGAGATTGAGACATTTCGTTGTTTAGAGATTGTTTATATTCTAATGATTCAACCTACCATCGACAAGTTGAATATATTTTTCTGCAGTAGTGGTAGTTGATATCAAAAGATATTTCAATATCGATTTCGATCTCTCGGATATTTTGTTTAGATGATATGGCAACAGTGATAAGTGTCACACATGGGTCACTCTATGGGTCACGCTCATTGGTTCCAGGCGAGATGAGGTTTCTACGTCATAAAGGGGGTCCGTTTTCAGAAGGTACCTACTATTATTTATGTCCAAAAATAAAACATTCCAGTTAATTTTTAGATGGAATTATGTCGTCAATCGTTATTTATGTATAAAAGGATCATTATAAACATGGTTTGAGTTGAAAGTTCTACTAAGGTGTACACGCCCATTAAGATTGCAAATGATTTTGGTACGTCACGAAGGACAGTTCTTTCTATTTAGAAAAAAACATAAGTACACGCCATACGTTCCCCGCAAACTTCACGCCTTGGAGTACGATAACGACAGAGAACGTAGGACACATTTCTGCAATATTTTTTTGAATAAGTTTAATCAAGATCCTGCATTTTATAGAAAATTAATGTGGTCAGATGAATGCACATTCGGGCGAAATGGCATCTTTAATAGACGAAATCACAGATGTTGGCCCATTGTAATGTAGAAACCAACTTCCAAACAAGATTTAGCTTGAATGTATGGTGCGGAATTCTTGAAGATATGTTGGTAGGCCCGTTTTTCATCGATGGTTCTTTAGACCAGTATAAGTATTTTGAATTGCTTACTGGTTATATTGAAAATTTTCTGGACCAACTTCCCCTCGCCAATCGTTATGAAGTCATTTTCCAACAAGATGGAGCACCGCCACACAATACGCGTTTGAATGTGACTTATTTGAATACACACTTTGGAGGAAGGTGGATAGGAACAAATGGACCGATACAGTGGCCAGCTCGCGGTCCAGATTTGACAGTCATGGATTTCTTCCTTTGGGGTTACTTGAAGGATCAAGTTTATCTATTTCAGCCAGAAAATATAGAAATCCTTAGGCATCGAATATTAGAGGCTTGCCGCAATATACCCCAAGCATTTTTACACAACGCATCTTTTAGTCCAGCTAGAAGGTGTCAGCAATGCATTGCACAAAGTGGGGGTCAATTTGAGCATTTGTTCTAATTAATTTTTTATCGACCCTCTTCCTATGCTACTGAAAATAATAAAGATTGATGTGGAGTTAATTTTGTTGTTCTTTCTGTTTCACACAAAATGATCCGGAAAAACTACTGGTGTATGTAAAATGATACCCTGAATCTGAAAATGGAAAAATATACAGGGGGTTCCATTCGAAAATCAAAAGTTTGGGTCACTTCCGGTTAGACCGGAAGTGATGAAATAATTTTTTTTCGTCAATAAATGAATAATATGGTATAGTTGCTACCCACCAAATTTCAAATTTCGATCTCGAAGGATTCAGAAGTTACAGCTCTAGTCGTTTTTTGTGCACACCTCTGTATATGGAATTATTTATTTATTTATTTATTTATTTCAACGGTTACACCATTTTTATAAAAAAAAAAAATTACAACAAAAATATGAATAATAATAGTAGGAGCAATGAAAATTACACTCATAGAAATGTAGCACTTATTATATTAATCAGGTATTCCTAATTGTTTTCACAACATTAGTTTTGAATTTACCTAGACTGCCACAGAATAGGTCACAATGATTTTGAAGAACGACATAATTCCTTTGTAACCTTGAAATAGGGTTATTGTTGCCATAATTCGTTGAGTGAAAAGTCAAGGAAAATAAAGGAGGATTTCTTGTTCTGGTCAATGTATTAAATCTAATCAAACTAAGCAGATCTGGAGAATTGATAAGGCCATTGACCAATTTATATAGGAAACACATATCCAACACTAATCTACGATTTTCTAAAGTTAGTAGATTAAGCTCCATTAAGATATCTGGGTAGTTTATATGAGCAACATGATAACTCTTGCGATATGAATATGCAGGAACCTTTTCTGAATTCGCTCTAAACTATCAATATTTTATGTATTTGATAAAAAGGCCTCCAAATGCTGGAACCATACTCAAGTGAAGGTCTAACCAGATGGCAATAAAGTGAACTAAGTGTTTCAGGAGAGAATTGTTTACTGTTCCTAGTAATAAAACCTAAGTTCCTTGATGCAGTGTTCACTACCTTAGTAATATGACTTTTAAAAGTTAGTTTAATATCGATTATTATGCATAAGTCCTTTATCTCATTGACTCTCTTCAATACAGAATTATTTATTCTATAAGCGTTTTCAATATAATTATGACCCATTGAGAAAGTAATACAAAAACACTTTGAAATATTGAGGTCCAAGTAATTAACTCTAGACCAGACATGGAAGTTATTCAAATCAGATTGCAGCAGATCAATATCCATATGATGCTGAATTTCTTTATATATTTTGAAGTCATCAGCATATAATGTAAAAACAGAGTGAAAAATATATTTGCTAATATCGTTGACAAACAAATTGAAATTTGCTAGTGTGATATTGGCCATATTTTGAACGTGTCGGGTCTCCTTGAAGGGTATAACTGTCACCAAATGAACAACAAATTCCATTTCTCGTACAAAGGTGGTGCAATCGAAAACAGCAACGAAACCCTCTGGCAAAAACACGCCCTTCTCCCTGAACGTGGCCGGCACCACGAACACCCTGCGCATGGTGAGCACGGCCAATCTGAACCTCGGCCATCTGGGCGGCAAGCCCATTCTGGTGGCGAGCGGCAAGGGCGGCACGTTGCAGAGCGTGCAGGGCCAGAACGTGATCCTGCAGCCGGCGGGCAACGGCGCGTCGGCGCCCTCGCTGGTGCTGCAGAAGGGCCAAGGGCAGGTGGGGGCGAACAGCATCAACATCATCAATCAACCGAATCTGGTGTTCAGGTAATTTTATTTTTTATTTATTTTATTCCATTTATTTTGAAAGTTTATCACATATTTCGGCATATCGTTCATCCGGAAGAAGAGAGTTACAACTCAAAATTTCACATTTCTGAGTTTCTCTTCAAAATGGCTTTCAAATCTTAGATACTTTTATGGAAAATAATGTTACATGTGAGCTTCATTCAGCGGCCGAGAGATGGCGACATGTATCTCTCTGGAAGAATCAAATTTTGGGACATATCAATTGGGAAGACCGTTCCATCTAAGTTTGCAACATTTTTGCAGAGGTGATTACTATATGCGAACCATCCTTCTCTTCAATGAAGTTATAACTTGAAATGTAACACTATTTCTCCAAAACTTTATATCATCACACATGGTTTAATTTTAATTCAATTAGAAAGAGAGTATTATTTTTAGTTGTATCTATTTTCGACATATTTTTCCACTTCAATATTGTTTTAGGTTACATTTTTTTCAGTGATGTAACTGTATTTGCTCGAAAATAATATTACTCATATCAAATGTTTCCAGATTTGTTTGATTTTAATTTGTGATGAAAAATAATACTGATGATTTACCAACAAGGTTGAAGAATTAAGAATGAAGGAGATATCTTTCACGCAACTATTGAGTGGGAAATAAGTAAATTAAAAAAAACTGGTTGAATTTTTTCTCAAGATCAGTATGCAAGCATCATACGAACCGCTAAAAAAACTGGTACTCCACAGGACTTCAACGACATCAAAAGAATGGCAGCTGATTTATATGTGAACATACCAAAATATTGTTCGTTATAAGAGTTCTCAAATTGGACAAAGAAAATCAATGTGTTGCATTTTATAAGATATCATACCTACGACCAGCAAGGGTTTGATAAAGCTCGGATTCCGAATACTAGAAGAAAACTAGACATCGTGAATATAAATCTCGAGCCCACCTATTCAAAAACACCTGGAGTCACAGAAGTGAATAAAAATGGGTTGATTTCTTTGATTCAAGAGAAGAAATGTGTGTTGATGTTTTACAAATTTTATAAAAATCTGTAAAAGAAAACAATGTGTTCAGTTTCACTGATGAGTTTTGATGTTTCTCATTGTATTATTAAGATTATCAAGAATGTAGATTTTTTCAATAATGGAATATCAAGTTTCAAGCCCGTTCATTAACCAAGATTCAATTTTGTAACATTAATTAATTGTTAATTTCCCGTTAGTTTTTCATTATCGAGAGCTGATACTATGCTGACCTCCAGAGGGTTGATGGATGATAGTTTGCTCGAAAAACAGTCAGTATCGACTATACGATTGAGAAGATGGAGTCAATTGAAATTCCAACCAATATCAAAATGCTTCTTCTGAAAAAAGATGTTTCCTTGAGTACGTGTAGAAAATTCAGGAGCATGTTGCTGACGTCAAAATAAGACGAAAAGTTTGTATAAATATATGTCCGAAAAATCTTCGTTTCTGAGATAGCTGTCCTTCAGGCAATCAAAGAAGATCCACAGACAAGCACGAGAAAAACTGCGCAAAATCTTACGAGCCCCATGGAAATAATTCAAATGCATCGATTATTTCAAATCCCAATGACTCAAAAACAGTTGCTCGCAACGACCTCTACCAAGAATATATTTCTTATACAAAAGTGTTCTAGAAATCTATTTTTCACCATGAAACGTGATACGGGGTTTATAGTGCGTTGGGTTAGTTCAGAAAAGTATAAGAATATTGCTTTTCTGGCTACCAGCATGAAATTTGGCATACATGATGAGAAATATATAGGAAACAAAAAACCATCGAGACACAAGCTGTGTCTGGAATATTTCTTCCGCCATTTTCTAAAATGGCGGCCTAAAACTAGATTTTTGCTGATATCTCAAGAACGGTGCATAATTTTGGAAGAGTTCAAATTTATGAAATAAAGAACATTACAAGGCGGACATTTTTTGTCTCAATCATTTTCTTGTGAGGCTGATATTAAGGTCAATAAATTGAATATATTCAGTGGAAAATCCTCGTTTTTTCAAAAACTCATTTAAAATACCAACAACTACCCCGTTACCAAGTATCCCTACCTATTCATAAAAATCCTCCTGACACACGTGTTCATCTAGAAATATAGAAGATCTTCTTTAGCCTGTTTATCAGCGGCAAGTCAAAGTGTAGGAGAAGATACAGCTCAAAACGAAGTTTCATGTTGTTCCGCTGTAGTTATCGATGGTGCTGCACTGGTTCATTCTTTGGATACAAAAACATCGAAGACATTCTCTGAATATTGTACCAAAGTATTTCTATCTGCTATAGACTTTCGTCTCCGAAAATTTGAAAGTCTTCAGTAAATTTTTGCAGTGTGATAACAATAAGAAACAACTATTCAAACTCCTTTCTACCAAAATAAAATCACTCGAGACTGATGGAAAGTTAGTGATTCGCACTGATGAAGAATCAGTAACATTTGTTGGTCCGTTAGTTGATGGTGTTGATCTCGCACCATGCTCACATGAAGAAGTAGATACTAGACTTCTCATTCACGTAAAAAGTGCAATATTGTGGGGCCATAAAAACATTTTGATAAGTACAGTGGATTCAGATGTCATTGTTATTGCTGCTGCTAAATTCCACGAGTTGAAGCAAATGGGTATGCAAGACCTTTGGTTTTGAATTTGGAGTTGGAAAAAACAGACGCTATTTCTCACTGTCAGTGATCCTGCGAGGACTCTCTGACAGTGTACTGCTCTATGCACGTGTGATGGACAGTGTACTCAATTATTAGTTAGTTCAACAAGATTCTTACTGATCTAATCGAACCTAATTAAACATCAAGCCTATGACTTGATTGATATATGATTTTATTTAGATTAAAATAATTGACCGCCATTTTACGTAATGGTACCTTCGCTTTGAATCCTCAAGAAAGAGTTCATCATACACATAACTCATGATCATGATTTCTGTGGCTAATCTCAGCCTGAATGTTTCCATTTTGATTTTTCTTGAGAAACCTTGAAAAATTGAATTTTAATATTTCGATTATTGGATTTTTGGTTCGTTTGAGAAAAAAATGTTTCGAACAAAAAATGTTCGCCTTACTATCCTCTATATTTCATCATTTTGAACTTTCCCGATATTTCCCACCGTTCTGGAGATATTAGCAAAAATCCAGCTTTCGGTCGCCATTTTGAAAAATGGAGGCTGAAATATTCCAGATACAGCGTGTGTCCCGATGGTTTTTTGTTTTCTATATATTAATAATAATAAATAAGATATTTATTGAGGAAAGTATAGTATACAAATATATAAGGACCAAAGTACATTAAAGAGAATAAATATCACAATGCGATAAGTGTAAAACACTTGTTTCGCTTGATAATTAAATAACTTAACCTAAAAAGTAGCGGGTATAAATATCACAAGGCGATAAGTGTAAGAGCACTTGTTTCGCATAATAATAAAATAACAACATTAAAAATACAGATGAGTAATAGAATTAAAGGAAAGTGATATTAATAACAGTGTTACGAAGAAAATTAGGAAAGTCAATACAGATATTATTGTTACAAAAATATCTAAATAAAAACAAGAGGGTAGTAAGCCAACACCATATTTATTAATCTTATTTTTTTATATCATATCCGAAATGTTTCGTCGTGGTTGACTCGAGATGAATTGTTTCAGTGCTTTTTTAAACGACTGTGAATTACTTATTTTTTGTATGTGTTGTGGGACGGTATTGTACAATTTTGGTGCTATATATTGATAACTTCGTTGGCCTATAGCTTTCTGCATTTTTGGAACTACGTGATAATATTTTTTCCTTGTAGGGTATGGATGATTGGGTAGGTTAAAACGTTTATTTTGATGGTATTTTATATTAATTTGAAGATAAAAAAGTTGGCGTATGTCTAACACTTTGGCTTCGTGGAATAGTGCGTCAGAGGGGTATCTGAACTCTTTGGACATGATAATTTTAAGAAACCTTTTTTGCAGATTTTCTAAGGTACGAAGATGTGTTTTTAATGCGCCTCCCCAGCATATTATGCTATATCGTAGGTGGCTTTCCACCAAAGCATGATACAAGATTTTGAGTTGGTAAAATGGTAAAATACTTTTCAAATACTTAAATTTGTGAATGATGGATCTCAATTTGTTGCATATATAATTCAGGTGTGCATCCCATTTGAGGTTTGTATCTATTATAACGCCTAAATATTTAACTTTCTCCTCTGGCAGAATATTGTGCTGTTGTCCTGTGGTGTTTATCGTTAGACTTTTGAAAGGTGGAGTGCTCGATCTGTTGCAACTAAATGGCATATAATATGTTTTTTCTAGGTTTACAGTTAGTAACTTGTGTTCTAGCCAGTTCTTTAATAAAGGAAAATCTGATTCCACAATGACTTTCAACTCATGCCAAGTATTCGCTTTATAAAAGATGGCTGTATCGTCAGCAAATCCCAATATTTCTCCTCGACTCTGTAACGAAAACATGCCATTCACATAAATACTAAATAGGATAGGGCCTAATACGGTCCCCTGAGGTACACCATACTCTATTTTTCTCTTGTCACTCTGTACATTGTCTACTCTCACTGATTGGAATCTATTGTGTAGATAATTTCTAAATAACTCAAGGCAATTATTTCTAATTCCAATATCTTCCAGTGTCAGTAGGAGTAGTTCATGACTCACGGAATCGAACGCTTTTGATAAATCGATGAAAATACACAGGTTTGGCAAATTTTCTTCCAGAGCGGCGGATATCCTTGAGGTAAGTGACAACACAGCGTCTTGCGTGGAGATATTTTCTCTGAAGCCATACTGTTGGTCAGATATCAGATTATATTTTGTTAAGTAGGCAGCAAGTCTTTTCTTAAGAATTCTTTCAAAAATTTTTGTAAGGTGCGTGATTAACGAAATTGGTCTGAAATTTGTAATTAAAGTCTCATCGCCTTTTTTGAATACAGGTATAACAACAGTTTCCTTAAACGCTTCAGGCCAAGTTCCTTTTTCCATACAATTATTTATAATGTAGGTGAGCGGTTCCTTAATATAATGGCAAATGGACTTGATAGTTTCAGCTTGGATTTCATCTACGCCGGCTGACTTATTTTTTAAGTCTCTAACGACGTTTTCTATTTCATTGCCGTCTGTTGGAAGAAGAACAAAAGAATTAATGGAACTATTTCTGTGCGGTATATAGTTTGGGTCTCTTTGTATTTTTTCAGCCATTTTTCTTCCTATTTCAGTGTAGACTTTGTTAAAATTATTTGCGATTGTTTTCTTTTCCTTTATTAATTCCCCGTATTCGTTTTTAATTGAAACTATATCCATTTTCTTCTTTTTAGTTTTACTAATTTCTCCCACAGTTTTCCAAAGTGTTTTTGTATCACTGATATTGGTATTTATTTGGCGTTGATAATAGTCAAATTTGGCCTTTTTAATCAATTTTGTTAATTTATTTCTATAATTGTTATAATATGTTCTTAGTTGATAATTATTAGGATCTCTTCGCGTATTTCTGAATATTTTATTTTTTGTGTCAGTTGATTTAACCAGAGCATTCGTGATCCAAGGTGCTATTTTGATATTTTTCCGTTTGACTCTTTTAATAGTTGTACAGTCGTTTATAGTACGTGTGAGAATTTCTAGGAATTTGTTTGTTGCAGTGTCGGGGCCAGTCTCGTGATATACCGTATGCCAGGAGATATTTTGCAGGGTGTTTTGTAATTTTTCATGATTGATATATTTCTTACAAGTGATTTTGTTAATAGTTGGTTTGTCGTCATCAAGAATCATTTGCAATGCAACGGTATAATGGTCCGTAGTATTTGTTTGAACTATCAGAGGCATTATGCGATCTGTTATATTTTGTTCAGATTTAACAAATATAATATGATCAATGCAAGAACCATTGTTATATTGTACTCTTGTTTCATTATTTATTACAGAAATATATCCAGATTCGTTCATAGTATTTAAGTATTCACTGCAACATTCATCGTTTTTTAGAATATCGATGTTTAAATCACCAATGAGAATGGAATATTTGGTATTTTTTAGATCATTCGTTCGTAAATATTCGTGTAAATCCGCAATGAATTCTATTGTGTTTAAAGAAGGGGATTTGTAAATTGCGGTTACCTCCATATTACTATTTTCACTGGATTCAACTTTGAGTTGGATAGCTCTCGTGGCATTTATTTGCACTACTTTATAAGTATATGTGAATTGCGATTTGATGTATAGTATAACACCATCATTTTGGTTATAATTTCCTTCATTATATATTAAGTCGTATCCCGGAATATTAAAAAGCTCAGGGTTTTGTACAAGCCACGTTTCCGTCAATACAACACAATCGATATCAGAATCAACACTATCCATAAATATTTTGAATTCATCGAAATTTTTATTGATACTTCTTATATTATTATGGACAATGTTGAACGTTTTATGTTGTTGGTTTATTGCTAAAATTTGATTGAATTCATTGTGATCTTGTAGGGTGAAGGTTTGTATTTCTTCGGTTTCAAAATCGCGTAGGTATTGTTCCATATCGGCTGTCTATTGTCGGTGCTACTAATTTTTTTTTTTTAAATTAATACAAAAAACATTCTAAACATATATCTAAGATCATATAGAAAAGGAGTTCAGATAATTTCTGAGTTTCGAGCTTATCTGTAAGAGCGTGTTCTCGGTTTGATTATTTCATTTTCTTTCAAAGGTTTTTTGGTAGCTGGAACCTTAGGGGTAACTGGATTTTTCTCTGCTGGAGGTAGATTGTTCTTCATAGGGGATGTCTTCGTAATAGGGGATGGAGTTGGGGTTGCAGGTGCACTATTGTGCTTATTATTGTCCTGTTGATGGTCTTGTTCTAGAAGATCGTCTGCCTTATATGCTACTCCTTCTACGTAAAGCCTGTCACCCCTGATATAGCAGTCCTTATATTTTTCTTCCTGTTTAGCAAGAAACAGGTGTTTCCTGAGTATTTTCTGTTCAAATCTTTGTTTTTGAGTCAAGTCCTGCACGATAGATATGTTTTTGCCTTTCAATTTCTTACAGCTTTGAAGTACGTGCCTTTTTTTAATATTTGACAAGAATTCAATCTTGATAGGGCAATTATCTGATTTTCCTAGTGGATAACAGTCGCTGAGATCGATTTCCTTCAATTCGACGTCGAGTAGTCCATTCAGATCTGTACACAAGTTATGTGGTGTGATTTCTTCCTTTTTCTTGTTCAGACCGAATATTATTATGTTCTTTTTGTTTTGGGCTCGCTTCAGGTATTCTACTTCTTCGTTCAGTTTTGTGTTTTCTTTTTCCAATTGGGAAGTCGTGTTCTTCAATTCTTCGATTCTAAGTAAAAGTCGGGTTTCAGTTGCTTCTATATAATTCCTTATTTCAGTTCTGTTTTTCAAGATTTCATCAAAAATTTGTTTATTTGTTGCATGTGTCTCTGGCATTTTCCTCAATCCGTATATATATCCCGTTTTTTTTTTCCTTATCGATGATTGTCACAGTTTTTGTATCACGCACATCAAACAGTACTATTCTAGTTTCTTGTTGTTTAATAATTATTCAATCAACAACTTGATAATCTATCGAGTGACACCACAAGCACGTCTGCTCCCGCAACGGAAAATAGTAGATATTCATCAACATATGTACCGAATTTCATGCTGGTAGCCAGAATAGCAATATTCTTGTACTAACATAACGCACTATTACAGATGTAGGCAATGAAAAAAAGGAAACCATCGTATAAAAAGTACAAAATTACCAAAAAAAATAACTCTAAATATTTCTCTCTCATCAGCCAACAAGTGAAAGTACAGCAACATACGCAACAGGTGATGTTCGCCGCGCCGACCAAGGGCAACCCGGCCGCCGCGGGCCAGCAACAAACAATCGCGCAGGGGCAGCACCTCGTGCTGGGCGGCCACCCGGTGCGACTGCACGCGGGCAGCGGCTCTGCGGGCGGGCAGCGCGTCGTGCTGGCCGGCCACCAGGGCCAGGGCGGGCAGATCGTGGCGCAGCAGATCCTGCTGCCCGCCGGCTTCCAGGGCACCGCGATCAACATCAAGGCGCTGCAGGGGGTGAAGGTGATACCGATCGCGCAGGCGGGCGCGCAAGGGAAAGGTACGTGCGTCCGGTACCCACGTATTTTTGTCTGATAAACCGAATTTTATAATGAAAATGTGAACAAACCACTATTAATTGATATATTTCAAGAAAAAGTTCGAAATTTCGCCTTCTTTCTCCCTTTGTGTTGGGGGCATTTGAAGCTACTTGCTCTTATTTTGTCATTGGACACTTTATATACTCATGATGTACTTCGATGGCACATTTTTATATAGAAAATTCAACAGGAAATATGATTTTTATGGCGAGTTTTTCATATTTAGTGAACAAGCATTCCAGATGACGACCATTTAATCAAAAGTCAATCAGAATACGAGATGTCAAATGTCAATAGATTGCTTTGGAATGACATTGCACACGCCATTATTTTGAATGATATTCTTCCTTCTTTTCACTAAATATGGATTAACCTCAAGAAAATCATATTTATAGTTGAATTATATAATATAAATTGTCCAATATGATGAAAAAAGAAGGGAAATTTGTTCTAAATGCCATCCAGAAGACAGGTGAAAAAGAAGGTGAAATTTGGAACTTTTTTGTCAAATATCTTCATGATAAATATCATGATAAATGCAGTTTTACCTTTTTTGAGTAGAGTGTTTGTAGTTCATGTTAATATGATAGTTGCAATTTGATCAATGGAATGAATTCTGCATTCATTGCCACGAGGCAAATGACCGTTTTCAGAAAGAAATTTGAGAATGAGAATTAAAAATGCCCGTTTATTATGAACATTCAAGAAAATTTCCTCGAATTCAGAGATGATTTTGTTGACTATAATATACGAATACAAAACTAACTGCACAATCAAAGCTTTTCTATTTTTCCTCTACTTATACTTTTTATGAGAGAGCAATTGTCTTCTATTATTAATTCATCATTATAAATTAAGCTCTGTTTACTACTGAACTTAGATGGAGTAAAATCCTCGCGGTGAATTGCATATACCTACCCACATTTTCGATAGCTCCTCGTCCAACGGGAAACTAAAAGCATGAACTTTTGAACCACCCACATAATTCCCCCGACAAAAGGGAACACAACACTTGAAAGGCATTGTTATTTCGCCTATCACAACACGAAATATTTCACAAAACAGTAATTTTTCCGCCAATTATTTTGATGAATAAACAACAAAAGTATTCGGGACCGTTTCAAAAACATACGTGAATCACCGATGAATTAACACGAACTGACGCGTTAGTCGACAAGCGATAAAATAAAACACTGGCCTCTCTTGGTGACGTCACGAGCTGTTTACGTCAGAGTCTGCTGGCCTTGTTGTATCGGTGGTAACGATTTGGCTCAGACTGAGGGGTGGCACTAGTAGGTTTATGAAATCTACCATCCAATTGATATCAGATGACATAATTCTTATTTCGTTATCAAATCGCAAAATCGAGTGGAAATTTCGGCACAGGAAAGAACAATTTTTCAATCATTTCGCTCAGGATAATGAATGGCACAGGTGCCGTACGATGAACTACAATGTGTTTACATGCCTGCACAAAAAACGGCCAGGACTGTAAGTTTTGAATTATTCCAAATAGGTCTTTCAAAATTGGTGGGCAGCTAGTATACCAAATTGCTCATTAATTGACGAAACAATTTCCGTTCTATCATTTCCTGTTTCACTGGAAACGACCACAACTTTTGATATTCAAATGGGACACCCTGTATTGTATTCCATAATCGGTTAGGGATTGTCATAACGAATTCATCGATACCAGGTTTGATAGGGTTATTTCGAACGATTACGCAGATATTCGCGTTCTAAGTTTCCATATGCTCAATGAGTATGACAGAGAAGGAAGTTTTCATATTGCGAAGTCACACCCATTGAGCATATGGAACTTCGAACACAAATATCTTTGTAATCGTTTGAAATAACCCTATCAAACCCGGTATCGTTGAATTCGTCATGATAATCCCTAACCGATTATCGAATACAATACATACATACATTTGAAAATCGAAAGTGGGGGTCGTTTCCGGTGAAACTGGAAGTGATAAGAAAAATTGTTTTATCAATTAATGATCAATTTGGTATACTTTCTACCCACCAATCTTCAAAACCCTACCCCGAATAATTCAAAAGTTACACTGCTGGCCGTTTTTTGTGCACTTCGCTGTATATCATTTCATTTGGTCGAAATTTGCTGCCGGCTCTTGGACTATCATGAGATTTACTGGATTATGTGGAAATTTTATTTCAGGAGTTCAAGGAAGACAAGTTTTAGCAAGGGTGATGAATCCCAGTTTAGTGAAAACTACAGCACCGCCTACAAATATAACGGAGAAAATCACGGAGGTTACTCTACAATCTCGGGGAGGAGAATGAAAATAGTATCAGGTTTGAGTGTGTATATAATGTTAATAAATTAGTGTGCAGTCGATATTTGTGTTGAATGAGACGTGGGGATGTATCATATTATTTATAATTATCTGTTGATTATGTAAATAGCTCTCCTTATGAATTGATTGATGTATAAAGTGATTTTTAAGACTTTTTTTATTCCAGTATTTATGTGTATTAACAACTTTTTTTTTATAAACGATATGTAATGACTCATTTTTTCATTCAAGAATGGAAAAGCCAATGAACTGTTTAAGCTGAAAATTTGAGAAATATTCAAAGGAAATTCTTTGGAGGTTTCAGATATTATTCTCTCAACTAAGCCTTTTTCTGCTCCTTGGAATAAGTTCAATACAAATAATCATTAGCTTGTATATCAAAGGTCAAATAATGACTAGAAATGAGTTTTTATAACAGCATGTAAATAAGTTTTATTGCAAAATATACACAATTCATTTCAATGAATTATTGAAATGACAAAAATACACCTACCTCCAGAATATACATATAAGAGTACAGTATGAAACAAGTTCCATTCATACTAGTGTTCCACATTGCTTAAAAATTGTAATCATATTTGCTAAACCATGGCTAAACCATATAATCTTACTTTAGTGTTGTGAACACCTTTTCTGAAATTTGTAAAAAGATATCATGAGTATTGTTCATTTCAGATTGGTCAACAAAACTCGAATCAGACGTTAAAAAAATTATCTTGTGAGGAGTCAATAAAAAAAATTTCTAGTTCACTATAAACGATATTTATGCTTATCCTGTGCATAAATGCAGTATGTAACTATGTAAAAATGTTACATAAAATAATCTAGTTCATAACAGGTTCAGAGCATTGAATGCTGGTGAATATTGCTACACTTCAGTTTGTTGTAGCAGGAATTCCAAAAACGATAAAATTCCGGTTTCAACAAGAAATTTGATCTTCAATAATCAATAGAATCACACAACAAAGAGGACTTTCATCAATTTGTCAGATTCCTACTACAAAAACTGGGATCACCCTGTATAGAGCATTGAAAAAACTATAATTAAGTGAGATTATTTCTTTGAACCTGCATGATAGATCCTCTTCCAAAAATTTCACAACACTAGGTAGGCATATACAGGGTATCAATTTGAAAACTTTTCCCCACCCTGACTAAAATCTATTCAGATTGAAAAGTTTGTAAAAAGCATTTCAGAATTATACAGGGAGACATTTTGAAAAATTCCCATCCTCAATATCATTCTTGCCAGAAATAATATGAGATATCAAAATGACAGGTCAATTCTATCTTCATGGGCACTTGAAATGAATATTTTCAGCCCTTTAAGTTCCACCTCCTAGGAGGGGTAGATATAACCCTTAGAATCATTCTTCAAAAATTATGTCAACCCAGTCTTATTTTGATCCCAACAATACGTCCTTGAAAATATTTACGTCGATTTTGAATCACCCTATATTGAGGGTCTAAAAATATTAATGGGGGAGACCACTAATTTTTTAAAACGACATTATCGTGAACTCTATAATGGAAAACTACCAGCGAATTAATTTTGAATTTTGTCATTCATGCTAAGACGGTGGAAAAAAATGGATTAGAATATGTCTATTTCAAAACACACAATTCCTGTGCTATCTGAGATTTTGTCAATTCATTGGTGTGACTGGTGCGACGTCTTAGTCCCAACACGCCTATTGTCCTTGAACTGACCAATCACACTGCAACACTGCAGAATGACGAGGTATCAGAGAGAGATAGCTACAGCTCGGGACTAATACGTCACGGCTCCACCATCATATTTGGCTGTTTGAAATATCGAATGAAATATGCTGATTTCAAAACGATATAGATTCGATTCCCTTCAACTTCAACTCATAATATTGATTGTACATCAAACTTGAATCATGATTCGTCGATTGAAAGAGGTTTTCACGGATTTCTTCTCTCAGTGGTCTTCCCTAGAGTCCCTGTATATACCTTAGACAAGAGTCCGGACACAAAACTGACAGCTGTTGGGGTTTTTGATATTTTGTTTCATTTGGTTTGCCCACCTGACAATGTGACGAAACACCATAGTCGTTCCGCCCGCTTTTTTAATTATTTCGAATTTCTGTCACTGTCACTTTGAAATTTTATGACCGCCAAAATTTAGCATTTTAAATTATTTCAATGTCCTGCTGCGTACATTATTGCGATAATTCATTAGAAAAGAGATTCAAGTTATTCAATTTTCCGAATGATCCTTTGAAGATAATGTCATGGAAGAATGCAATGAAACGTCCAGAATGGAAAATTAATTTCAAGAAATCCGCAATATGTGAGGTGAATGTTCGAATTTACTTGTAAAAACAGTACAAAAAAGATGAATTTTAGGCCCATTTTGATAGAGATTCTTTCAAGCTGATGGATTTCAAATTGAAAGAGTCTGCTGTGTCGTCAGTTTATAAAATGAAGACGTTCAAAAAGAGTTCCGTTGTCATCGTATTGGGAATTACTGAATGATACGATCGCAGAGAAAGAAAATGAGAATGAGATGATGCGGAAGAAATTGAAAGTTTAAAATCCAAACTAGAAGATTTTGAGAAATTGCAATGTGCTATGTCACGGTGTTTTTAATTCAGATCAAATTCAAAATTTACAGGTGAATGTAGACTGCAGGAAGAGGTGGGAAACCGACACAATTAAAATTATATTGAAACAATTATATATCTTCTATTTTTTTATATCCCAACAGGCTATATGTGATACCACGGTAGAACACTTAAATTATCTTTCTTATATCTAAAGAAGTGAAGAAATATCTGATGAAAAAAATTTGCAATAGCCATATCTCAGGAATTGGTTATGAAAATTATCGATTCGAAATTAGAACACCCTGTTGTTCATTATTTGAAAATCTAATAGTTATTCTAGTTAAAATAGCCCTATTTCTCACTTCTACTTACGGCTATGAACGGTTTGACAAATAATCTAACCATCAAAATTGTTCCTGACAATCATTGATACTAGGGAAATTGAAAAGACAGAGCTCGATATATATGTCTTATTCCTGTATTCAATCATCAATGCATTTTTTGAAAACAGAAAAGGACAGAAGTATAGCTGTGTCCGGACTCTTGTCTAAGGTATATACAGGGACTCTAGTCTTCCCCATTTAAAGTGTCCCCCTCGAAAATGAAATTGACCTGTCTTTCCGATTGTTCTTATTATTTACTGGCAGGAAGGTATTGAGGGTGGGAAGTTTTCAAAAAATTTGTCACCCTGTATGAATTTCAGCTTATAGAGAGTGCTACAATTTATACCAATGAAAATCATTTTTCACAAGCCTTTCAATGATGTATCACGAGTATTCATTATATTATGCCGCCCTGCTGAAAAAACTGGCCAAGCAATTTTCGATATTTTCATTCGTTTTCAAGACTTATTTTGGCACCTTGTATGGGTAGATCTTTGATGACCGTCAGAGAGCATTCTGATTGAGTAGGTGCTCCTCCTCGGTCGACTTCCATCCCTGTCTCCAAGTGACGAGGGACGCCACAACAGCCAACAGCCCCCCGATAGTGATCATTCCATATCCGGTGTACTGCCCTGCAGAGGGTAGTACGAGCAAAAGTTTGACTTCGGACGTCAGGGCTTCGTCCAACTCTGCGCTTTGTTCGAACCAGAATGCAGGCATCAATTTCTTACCCACCTTCTCTAATAACCTGAAAAGTAATGTCAACATTTAATATTTGAGTCATTTCATCCAGGGTGGAGAATGTCCGTATTCCACTGGAAATGTCGAGAGAAAATGATTTTCACTGGCTTGCAAATTTGCTTGATGTTCGCTCAGAGTTTGAATTTTCTGAGCCTGCTTGGGCTACGGTGCGTTTCTCATAACCTCTAATCATCGGGTGGATTACGAATTTATATATCATCCTATTGAAGTTGATTTTTGAATTCATAGATTCTTCGGATACAGAGGAGAATAACTTAAATTACTTCGGTAATGAAACAGAGTTTATCAAATATTTAACTTCATGTTCCGAATGTTCCGAATATATAGTACGCACCATATTCACATTCGAGAAAAACTCGAAACACGTCGATTTATGTTTTTGAAAAGACACTCTATGACATGAAAAAATCTCCCCTCGTTCACCCCTCTCAACGTGACACCCCCCCCCTTTTGCAAAAACATGAATGTGTTTCAGAGTTTTTCTTGAAAATGACTAATAATTGAGAAATTAAATTTTCCGTCACACACTTTGTAGATAGTAATCTTCATGACAAATTCATTGATGAATTCAAATGAGATTGATTATTACAGTGCTAATTGACAAAAATATTCAATTATAAAACAATGAGGAAATTGATATCAGTTATCGGCACTCTGCTTATCAATGTATTTTCACTGATTTTATCTTTCATTTCATCAACACCTGATGAAGCACTGTACCGTTTGCGAATAAGTTTACAAATTCCTTGCAAATATATGATGACAAACGCGTCAATCAAATACATGAAACTGATTGTTTTTCAATTGATGATATTTTTCGAGATATGTTATGTAGTGAAGTTTTGAACTTCTTACATAATAATATTTAATATTTGAATACAAAATACACCATAACAATATTCAGAAAAGCTGGTAGAACTCAAAAAGAAATGAAGAGTAGGTATAGTATTTTTTGGCATCTTTCAGAAATTGCGAGCCAGAGTTATCGTTTTACGGTTCAGAGAACGTTTTTGCTTCAATGGACATCATGTTAGAGAAGATCAAAGAGAATGGAGCTAGGGATGGGTCTAAATCCTGATTCATCAACTGTCCGCTATCAATACTAATGTAAATACTTTTCAAACTGTTCAATTTCGTATAGTTTAGATCTGAAGGGAGCAATGTGTTCTTCAAATCTTGCGCCTATGCTCCGGCACGTTTGTCCAATATATTTCATGTTGAAGTCATTACAGGTATTCATTCAATTCCACACATACCTTACTTATTATATCATTGGTATCAATCTTATACCTATATAGAAGACAATTCATGGTATTTTTGAAGCTTTTATAAATGAAATTGTGGTATTTTGGGTATGGGTATCTTTGTAATTGAGTGATTAGTTAATCATTGGTAAACTCACGTTATTCCGACGATTTCTTCAACCTGCAAATTCAGTTGAAACGCTGCTCGAACCTTCAAAGGCAATCCGGTACGCGGTTCAAGGGACAAATACATTTCATGTTTACTCGCATCAGGCTTCAGCCCATCTATATCCTGCAGATAATACGGATCCGCATTGTAGAAATGCGGAAAGGATATCAGGGCTGGGGCTCCAAACCTGAAAAATGATTCAAACCATGTAAAACTTCTCAAACTAAGAGAAGCACAATATAGGCGTCGCAATAAGAGAGGCACAGGACATATAGGCGTCGCAATAAACCCCCCCCACCCCTTCTTTGACTCCGCCCCCCTGCTAGACTCCACGCCCCTCGTCGGACCAACTTATCCCTATACCTACTACCAAAACATACAATCACATTCAAGATGGCACCTATTTTCACGTCATCGATGCCATATAACATCAATCACTTTTGTATATAGCCCCACGTCAAGCCAGTAGACAATATCATTCCATCAGTCAATGGAGATAGTGCCCCCGCCCACGTCCAATCAAGCTTAAGCACCGCCCCACCACCCCTTCTATAACTCCGCCCCCTGCTAGACTACATCTCCGCCTCCCCTTATGAACCCCGCCCTATGCCACGTCCCTTGTCGGTCCAACTCATCCCTATACCTACTTGCAGAGTGTGACGTTCCTAACACCGGCACGTTGTTGAACGCCATCTGTTAGAAAACAAGACATTTCTGGATACTTTGTACCGTTGTCCAACGTTCGATCTGAACCCACATATTTGTGACCTTCGATACCATGAACTGTGTATTCTCCTTGATGGCTCAATGACACTGGACTGGAAATAAAACGATTACTATGATTATTATTACCAACTGAAGAGTAGAGTTACTATTTTTGATGCTCAATGTTAATTTGAAGGACGAAATTGGTCCCAAAGCTGACCCTTGCGGTACACCACATGTGATATTCATAAGGATGCTACATAAAATAGTCACATCAAAATATTGTTTTCTGTTTATCAAATAATTCTTGCTTTGCAAAGGTCCAGTATACCAAGGACAATTATTCAGAAGTTCTTATTGCCAACCAGTAGATTTATGATATGGTCAAAATGGATTACTTGGATTGCAGGGCTCTAATACCGGGTGTTTCTCAAAAGTGGCTCACCCCTATAACGTTTTTGTTTCTACAGATAAATAAATGAAATTCGTTGTGTAACTATAGTACATAAATATGACAACATTTTGACATTCATCATCCTGAAATTTTCATTTGCCAATTTTCAATCTAGAGTGCCATGAATTAGTTGAACGATTGATTTTAAATCAAGTTGCAGTTACATTTCATGTTTCACAGGTTGATTCAAAATTTTCAATATCGTAATCACCCAGCCAACCATGAGATGTATAAGTGATGTATACGCCACATCACTTTATGACGAGGCGATGTGAAAATGTCCGACTCGAGCAACATCACTGTGACGTCGTTCAGACATGAAATGCGACATCACATGAAAAATCACTACCAGGTCACACACAAGTGTTCATTTCATATTACAAATACATCACACTGCGACATCGATGATGTGGTCGCCGTACCTGTGATATTCGTGGGATATACAATAATAATATTTATTCAACTTTACGAAGAAAATGTTTATTTTCCGACAGTAAAGACAGATGATACAAAACTTTTCATGACAATCACCCTAATTAGTAATCTTGAAGTAAAACATGACACATATATATAGCAATACAAATATACATTATTCATAAATGATACATATCAAATACACTTACATTTTCTTGGGATCTTTCATCCACCTTGTTTTAGATTGCAATATTCCTATCTCAGAGATAATTACAATATTACCTATTGTGATTGAACTCACCGTCGTTCCTAAATGATTGTATACTTCCAATTTGAAGCTGCTATATGTGCTATAAATCATCTCAGATATTCAACATAGAAATTGGAAGGAAATAGTCTGTACGGAGTCGGACTCACTCACTGACTGACTGACTGACTGAATGACTGACTGACTGACTGACATGGCCATGCACAGCTCAACATGGCGTCTGGCGTGTGCGTTCGTTTTGCGTATGTCTGCGTCACACTCACAGGTCACAAAGATATCTCATGAGGATATCAATGTGAATTATTTAGTTAACGTCGAAGAGATGTAGTTTGAAGAAGTCGCTGCCACATTACGTAGTTTGTAGTGGTTGCGATGTCACTTTGCGACGTTGATATCGAATCTACGTCGATAAGATGTGTTAACGAGATATTGCATTTATGCAAGGTTGTTACATCGCACAGATGTTGATGTCACACGATAGTTGGCTGGGTATGTTATTCTATTTTTTTTTTCAAATAGAACAAGGTTGGCTCCGACTCGAGGGTGGCTCATAACCAATCTGAGATGAGTAGTTTGTTACGAACACGTTGATCCAGTATAATGATCACTCTAGATAAAAAATTGGAAAATAAAAATTCCAGAATGATAAATGTCAAAAAGTGGCAAATGTGGTGTCATTGTACTAACAATTTCATTCTTTATCGAAATAAGTAATAATGTACCGGGTGTCCCATTCAACAAAATAAAATAAGGGTCATTTCCGGCCAAGCCGGAAGTAACAGAAAACAATTGAATACCTTAAATAATGCATATTTATGAAATATACTTACATACCGAATTTCATTTGTTTATCTGTAGAAACAAAAAAGTTATAGAGGTGAGCCACTTTATATCGAGATCAACAAAGCATGCTGGAGCTTATTTAATTTAACTCCCACGGGACAGATATTTTTTTCTCACATGGGAATAAATTGACAGCTCTGTTTTTGATGGAGCAAACACGCCTATATTTTCGATTCAATGAGTAAATGAAATTATCAACATTATCATTGCCCACTTATTTATTTCATATAATCAGTGATCATGAGAAATATCCTCACCTACAAAGATCATTGGAAAATATCTCTACTGTTTTTGCATCTCTTGGGGGATACCATAGCTCTCCTGATGTTCCTACTACTTTTTGACACTGCCCCTTCCAATATGGTATTTCGCTCATATTATTCCAAGTATTAATTATACCTAATTTTTCGATATCATCGCCTCCACTATTCATATTGAATATTCCATCATATTCAACACTATTGTTTCTCTAAAAAAAAAGAATACATGAAATACAGAATAGAGCTTCAGACACTTGAATTACTTCTCAAATGACATTATTCCTAATTTTCCACTACTAAATTGAGTGGAGTGGAGTGAAGAACAATTTTAGTATTTTATGCAACGATCATGTATTTTTTTTACGATCAATAAATAATGAAATTGTTTGTATTATGATAAACTAATAAATAATATAATATTTGAAAACATTAAGTATTAAATTTTGACATATCATTTCATGTTGGTGAGCAAAAATCAATTTGAAAATGAATCAAAAGTTGAGAAAAAAAAAATCATCTATTTTGTCCAGAAATGATAAATTTTTTAAGTTGGTATTTGAATTTTATTGTATTTCTGCAATTTTTTATATTATCTGGTAATTTGTTATATTCCAAGAGAGCAGCGTGGGTGAATCTTTTTTGGCCTATAGAAGAATTAGCGATATCAATATGAAATAAACCATGTCGTCTAGCTTGGTAATTATGAATTTCATTGTTTCGTGTTGAAATAAAACTTTTTTATTCAGCTTGGGACATCTTCTCAGGGCTCCAATAATAGGAGATATTTATATGTTTGTACCACTTTAATTTATCATCAAACCAAACCCCAAGATACTTTTTCTCATTAGTTTGTTTCGAAAATTCATTTTTAATTCTGAGATTTAAATTTATATTTTGTTTATTTTTTTGTCGAAAAATCATATATTCATTTTTATCAGTATTTATTGATAAGAGTTTTGAATGCAGCCACTTTTCAAATTTCATCAAGTCTCTGTTTATTATATTTTCTAAAATTATAGGATTTTTATTTTCATATAAAAGTACCGTATCGTCTGCATAAATAGTGTAATTACATTCTGTATCAATTTTCGTGATATTTTGAATATATAATATATATAAAATTGGTCCTAAAACAGATCCTGAGGGACACCTTTAGTCATCGGTAGTCTATGAGACTCTGAGTTTGTAGATTTGGTACTGATTGTCCTATTTTGAAGATACGAATCTAAAAGGTTCCTTATCATGCCGCTGAGTCCCATTGAGTATTTATTGATACGAGAATATAAGAAAGATGATCTTGAATGGCATTGAGTAAGGAATATTTCAAGCCAAATTTGCATTACAGTAATAACGTCATCGAATTATTTTTCTGGCATACTTGAAAAGAGATAATTTTTTTAAACAAATTTTGTGGAGAAAAAGATTCGCGAGCTAATCCCTCGGAAATGATTAACAAATTCGTAAAAAAAAAACATTTTCACAAGAGAAACCATTTTGGATTCAAATAACAATGTCGAAAAATATCGTGAAATGTTAATCACTATTATATGCTGACATGTTTATTTTAAAAATAAAAAATAAATGAATAAATAAATAATAACAGTATTTTCAAAGATGAACATTCTTCATAAGATTAAAAAAAAATCTAAATATCGAATACTTGAGCGAAGAAGTTTACAATGATGAAAAACAACGAGAAGAGTTGAGAAAAAAGGAAAAAAAAGAAAGACGGAATGAGAAAAAAAATGTTCAGAAAAATTAGCTCTTGAAATATAGGAATGATCCTTACAAAAAAGAAATTGGCTTGAGGAGATGGTCCTCACTCAACAGTATTCAGAAAGATCTTTTAATTCTATATTTAATCGCGTTTTCTTTCCATATGATACGAGCTGAGACTACATGGAAATTTGTTCACTGTGTACATACAATTACAATGGTTAAAACTTAGAATTATGTATTATCTGATGAAAACCATTAATTATCACTATCAATGTTAACAAAAATTCAACATGAATATTATTACTTGAAAAATGAAAAAATAGTAAGTATTGAGAAAAACAAAAAGTTACCATTTGGTTCACATACTTACATCTACAAACCATCCGAATTTGGTGAAAGGCACATTGATTCCTTTTATATGAAGTTGATGTAGTAGATCCAACATTGGATCATCGTAACCTTCGAATATAAATTCATTCACAGTTTTGGTTACCGCTAAAGGAGTTTTCTTTTCCTGTAGGAAGAAATTAACACCTTCCCTAACGATGATATGTTTGAATTTCACCATATTAGCCACAGTCTGAAATAATATATTATTCAACAAGTACTGTAATCATCTGAGTGGGTATACTAGCCATTATACATTATCTAAAACTATTTATTTAAAATACCAAAACAACTTTGAGAGTTAAAAAATAAATGTTTGACAATCAGAAATTTGATATTGCAAACACATAGCAACAAATCTAATGGGGGACTTTGCCCCAAATTGACAACCTAAAAATCTCTACCACTGTAGAAGCAATATTATGGAAGATGAAAAATTAGTTTTTGTGAACCTCATATCTGATTGGTTGAAAATCATGTTTGCGAATCTGCGATTCCTCAATACTGAAATGTCAATACTTTCAATAGTGCCAGCAGTAATGTCACGAATAAAAAATGGTATATCAATGAATCACTAAATCAGTAAGTTCGAACTTTGAATAATGATCAAGAAACTCTCATGAGAAACGTGCAAATCTATAATAAACTGGATGTGAGGGTTCCAAAGTCATCTGGTCTGGGGCTACTCTCGACTCGTCATAATGGTAATCAACATAACATTGTTATTAGGTCTCTATATTTATTGTTGTTCATTTATATTAGTCTCTCTGAATTATTGGCAACTTTGACCAGTTTTTATCCAAGGTGGGGGCCGTGTAAGCTTTAAAAGTATATAATGATTCATTTTCCCAATTGTTATTTTGTTACTAGGAATATGCTTATAATTACATAGGTATGTTAGTGTTTTTATTTATGATATCGACTGTGATTTCTTCGTTTAAACACAGTTATGGTTTCATCAACTAAAAGCCACTTCCTTGGGTTATTTTCCATTATAGGAGAAGGTTGAAACGTCATTATTTTATTCTTACGATGTCCATGTCTGGATCGATTTTTAGCACTCAAATGAAATATATTCCTACTTCCTACTGCAACGATCAAACTTCTAGAATGAAAGTGCATCAACATAATTTTCAACTAATCAGAACTATCCGCAAAAATTATTTTTTCTTCTGAATGACTTCTATTCGTGAGCTGAGAACTGAGACTGAGCTGAGACTCCCACAATCGGATTTCATCAAAATAAATCCATTTGAGTAATAAAACTTAGTTGGAGTGAAGTCCCCCATTGAAGATGTGTTACTGTAAACAGAAAGCTATTGAGAATTTTTTCTAGAATTTCTGTGTATTTCTAGGAAGGCGACAAAATGTATACCTATATGATTATACTCAATAATATTTGAGAATATCCTGACCTACTCACAGCTAATATGGGGTTGAAAGTGGTGATTAAATCATTCAGAGAGCCAACCGATCTCTCTGGTGCATATTTCCAGATCCTTCTGTTATAATATGTGATTGTGTAATCATCGAAGAATGTGATATTTTCTCTAATGTGGTGTTCACTGTAGGTGTATGGTCCACACTCAGTGAAATTCGGTTTGATTGTATGATTCTTTTGGTATTCCTCATAATTAGTCCAGTTGAAAAAGCGAAATGCTAAGTACATAGGTATTGGAGTCTCCTTCCACATTGTGAAACCAGTGGTCTTTGAGTCTGCCAGAGACAGTTCCTGAAAAGTATATACAGCCACTTGCAGTTTCTACATATTTCTAATACAGGGATCGAAATGTGTATGTGGTCCTCGGAGGTGAAAGTCAGTTTCCGAAATTGGGGAAGACCACTGAGGAAAGAAATCCGTGCAAACCTCTTTCAATCGACGAATCATGCTTTACGTTTGATCTATAATCAATATTATGAGTTGAAGTTGAAGGGAATCGAATCTATATCGTTTTGAAATCAGCATATTTCATTCGTTATTTCGAAAAGCCAAATATGATGGTGGAGCCGTGACGTATTAGTCCCGCACTGTAGCTATCTCTCTCTGATACCTCGTCATTCTGCAGTGTTGCAGTGTGATTGGTGAGTTCAAGGACAATAGGCGTGTTGGGACTAAGACGTCGCACCAGTCTCACCAATGAATTGACAAAACTTCAAATGGCGCAGGGATTATGTGTTTTGAAATGGACATATTCTATTTCATTTTTTCATCGTCTTAGCATGAATGAAAAAATTCAAAATTAATTCACTGGTAGTTTTTCACCTCGTTTTTAACTAAAGAGTTCACGATAATGTCGTTTCAAATTATACTGTGAATAACTTTTTTCTGTTTTGAACAATTTAAAATTTGGTTGACACTGTTCGCTAGGCCAGTCTTTCAGCTATGATCTGGTACTTCTTTGAAACATAAGTGTCTTAACATAAAATCTCTACATGGTGTTTCCCGACACTGCAAAATTTCGGAATATTCAAAGATCCCAAATGACAAAAAAAAAGTTTTCTCAACTCAGGCAACAGATGCATGAAGATGATCTCATTACCTTGAGATATTCCACGAATTGTCTTTCTATCTCTCTTATTTACAGAGTGATCTTAAAAAATCAAATCTTTGGTTTTGCAGTCATAACTTTTTTCCGCGTCAACCGATTCGTATCGTATCGGGTCGTATCAATAAAATCCGGACATTCAAAAGTATATAGCCGACAAACGAGTCCGGAGACCTATGCTTATTTTGACGACAATATCTCGGACTCCTCAAATCGTACATTATATCAAAAATTCAAGAATATTAACCGATTATTTTACGAAATACAGGGTATTCATTGAAAAAAAAACGCATTTTTTCAAGAATGTCTGATATATAACAGAGATATCTGTACTCCTGCGTCGATGCCCGAATAGCACGTTTCTGTCTAGTGCTAGTAGGTGGCACTGTCCCAAACATCCGTATTCCGCACTGTTGAAGACTACATGTTGGTCTTTATTGTACAGTATGATGCAAATGTATGGAATAAATTCATTCCAAAACAAGACGACTTCCGAAAAAAATCCAAAAAGTAGAGTTCAGAACTTTTTTATCGATGTAATTTTTAAACTAGACGACCCTTTGATGTTCAATTCTCAGTAGAAGATCTCTGCAAGATTCAGTTAACCAAAGGATAATCCATTTTAATTTCAATCTTCTTTTGCAAAATTTTGACCATTGGATAGACGATCAGTAGACCTTTCAAACGAGGTGTCACATGACCCCTGTTTGTATTTAAAAAAAAACCGTCCATTACGTCATTACTCCAACACCGGTGACGTAACATCTCTCATATGAATGTCATGAGATGAGGTTTCAAAAATTAAAACTCACGTGTTTTTGGAATTTCTTCAAATGTCGCCCATTTCTGAAATAATGAATTTATTCCATACATTTGCATCATACTGTATATATGGCATGCTCTCCCCTTTCCGATTGAAAAAAACTAGGGATTGACGTACCCCTATTTTCGAACCCCCCTTTATATGAAAAAAAAAAAAAAAAAATCAGTAAACTTCGATCGAGATTGAGGAAGTTCGTCCAGGCTTCAATTGGATGTTCAATTCTCATGAAAGAACTTACCCTGGTTGGTTTAAAATTTATCGAATTGGATTTTTCTTTGTTCGCCCTGTTGTAGAGCCCAAATCGTGAAATTATAATGGATACGAGATCCAGATGACATTGTACCATTATACTGATATTCATCAAAATATCATGTACATTTTTGAAGGGAAAGTAAAAAACAGGATAGAAAAAACTGATTTCGGTGCCTAATAGTAGGGAAGCCCAAGCGGGGATTTCGGGATTTACTCGAGCGTATAAGGGTGGTACCCTTGGACCTTCTGAAGTACTCCCACCATACCTGTGTGCCCTTTATATGGCGTCGAAAGTTTAGGGCAGCCGATCAGATTAGTAAAAAAAAATCGATCGTCAGAAATACTCGAGCGCGTCAGATTGAGACATGGTACGTTAATTACATGCAGAAAAGTGTGCATTTCAATAATCTGACGATTTGAGCGTGACAAAAAAATCGTCACATGTACATTCTCGAGCGCGATTAATTTTTTTTTATTTTGAAGGCAATTAGTCACGGATCACCGAAACAACATAATCTGACGATTTGCACAAGCCGAAGTAGCGAAAATCATCAATTAAGTGTGGTGCTTGCAGCCACTGGGAACTATATGTATGTAATTGTGGTTAGGTAGGGAACTGAAAAAAAAGTATCACTTCGTATATTGTTATCAATGCTTGTACCTTGTCAGCTCATAAAGGAGGAATCTGAAATTGCAATAAAATACATGGTGTGCTATAAGAAAAAGTTTGATACGCCACGCATTTTTGAGTAACCCTGTATAACGCAAAATATTTCAGAAATGTACTGTACATGAGACTAGACCATCTCAAGAATTTTTGTTCATCTATCTCAAACAGCAAAGCCATTATCTCACTTTGCCACACTATTGGTCCACCCTGTATGTCTACATAAGCCTTATTCCATCTCAAAATTGTGAATTCTTCGAGCTTTTGAAGTCCTGCTACAAAAAACTGACCCACCCTGTATATTTTATATTTTAGTTATTAGATTCAGTTAACAAAAAAAAATCCAACCGTCAGATTATAGTAATTCATGTAACAAGTCCGGAAAATAGTCCAATAAATAAAGGGAAAAAGTTAACATTAATTACGCACTATTTTCATCTTCCGGTTGGAAGTAGCTTTTGGTACCTCATTAAACATAAGACAAAGTTTGACTGGAAAACGCGTGCGATGGCGGAGAAAATGGCCCCAAAAGACCAGAAAAATAGGTTTTCAGCCAATATTTCCTAAAATATGGCAGTTAGACATTTTCGGTTCAGATAAAAATTGAAGTTCAGTTAATTTTCTACAAAAATGGTCCTTATCATTTTTCTCGAAAATTTGCCTGGTTTCGAGAAAAACGGCACGAAGCGCACCTCGAATAATGAGCTTCTTTGTATGCCGGAGAGCACAGTCCGTGTATTTACACATCGGCGGGGGGACAAATTATCCAATAACTTTGTTAAAAATGCATATTTTTTCATGATTCAAAGTTCATGTGAAAGAGGAATTCTGCTGCTATCATACCCTGTGAATTGAGTCACGCTTGACTCTTTTGGCCATATCGGAACATGGGTCAAACTTTCTGCTCCCGGTCAATTTAGACCTCGCCAGGAATTTGTTCCTATTTTTTTTTGTATTGCACTAATTTACTCAAAATTTTCTTGATTATGGGTCCTCATAAGGTCCTTTGTCATCCCTGAAATTTGTACACCCGAATTTTTTTAAATTTTCATTTAATCTTTGTTTATTGAATCCCAATTTTTGCTGTTTTTGGAGCGCGGGGAAATTTTGTGAACAACCATCAATTGAAAATTTATACATGATCCGATTGGTTTCTATGATACATCATTTGAAAGCTAAGAAGGTCTTCTTTTCGATTGTGCAATCACTTTTTTAGACGAAGTCGTCCATTTTTCAATAAAATTAGAAAAAGCGGGGACAAGGAAAAAACGCACTTTTTTTTCGGTGGTTCTTTTCTCCATGCTCTTTATTTCTAACATTTTAACACCTTAACTAGTGTAACGGGGGAATTCTCACCTTTCCATCGATGTACATATAAGTCATACCTTTGATATCCCGGGAAAAAACCAGTATATCTAAATGTACACGCTATAATTTATTACTTTCGTTCCTCCGTCGTTCGCCGCGTGTGTGCTCTACGTGGCGCTCGGGTCGTCTGCTACAAACCATGCGGCCACGCAGAGTATGATAGCAGCAGAATTCCTCTTTCACATGAACTTTGAATCATGAGAAAATATGCATTTTTAACAAAGTTATTGAATAATTTGTCCCCCCGCCGATGTCTAAATACACGGACTGTGCTCTCCGGCATACAACACAGAAGCTCATTATTCGAGGTGCGCTTCGTGCCGTTTTTCTCGAAACCGGGCAAATTTTCGAGAAAAATGATAAGGACCATTTTTGTAGAAAATTAACTGAACTTCAATTTTTATCTGAACCGAAAATCTCTAACTGCCATATTTTAGGAGATATTGACTGAAAACCTATCTTTCTGGTCTTTTGGGGCCATTTTTGTCCTCCGCCATCGCACGCGTTTTCCAGTCAAACTTTGTCTCATGTTTAATGAAGTACCAAAAGCTAGTTCCAACCGGAAGATGAAAATAGTGCGTGATTAACGTTAACTTTGTCTTTTTTTCCAACTTCATTTAATGGACTAAAACTGTTTTTGGATGTGTTGCGAGTACTATTTTTTCGGCAGAATAACAAATTATACATTTCCATGTTATATTTCTTTGTAGAATACAATGTCCTCGACAATGTCTTCTTCATTGATTCTCATTTGTATCAAATACCGAAATTTGAACAGAATACCTATACCTACTAACTGTTACATTAGAAATTTCGTATGGACATTTTCAAACTCACTATCGCAGCTGCTTTCGATAGTTTATTGCGATAATTGCAACCAAACTTTCAAAAATCAAAATGTCAACTAATCTCATGTCAAATAGCTGTCAGCCGATATTTCGCTGCTATATGGTAATTATTATCATCTGCATTTATCAAATCCTTATCTACCAAGGTTTTCACTTATAATATCACAAGAGCTTCAATTATTTCCGAAATTTTTTTCGAGAACACGAATTTTCTAAATATTCGTGTTCGAGAAAAAATTCCCGGATATTAATTGAAGGTAAAGTGGTATTCGGTAAGAAAATTTCACATTGAAATATTATTAAAAAATTACTTGGATAAGGAATTTCAACAACACTCAGATGATTTAGTTGAAAATTATGGTTGTTTGAGATGCAATGTAAGAACTAACGTATAGTAACAACATGTGTTTTTGTAAATTTCGAATTTGCAAGTATACCTACATAATATTATATGGTAAACTGTTGAGAAATGATTTTTATTTATTGACATATAGAATGAACTCGAAATAATCTGAAGTTGAATGTAAATGTCATTTAACCTATAAACGTCAAAAAATTTCCAGTGTAATTTCATGCTCCGTCCCCCAAGGAGAAGGAAAAAATTTCCAAGAAATTCGTTTAGTTGCTATGGTAACGATACGAAAACGCAGGCTTTAAATTAATCGAAAATGTTTGGTGTGAAATTTTCATAGTAATTCCTCTACATAATTGTCAGATTATAGGTCGATACGACAAGGACATCAAGATGAAGCGTCTGTATAATAATCTGACGCGCTCGATTATTTAAAGATCACCATTTTTTTTTTTCATTTTCAAAAATTGATCATGACTTTTGGTCGCGTCCAAATCGTCAGTCTTTTGAATAGGAGCTACCCACCATGCAAACTGGCAGATTAATATTTATCGGTTATCAGTAACACGTGGAGCGCATACACTATCAATATCTGATGCGCTCGAGTATTTCCATGTGACTGTTTTTTTTTTACATTTTTGAACACCTGTACACGCTCTCCCCACCAGTGAAGGGTCATATATCATATAAACTTTTTTTCATTTTCGCATCTAATCTTCACAATCTGATACGACTCACAACGCTCGAGTTAATCCCTATTTAGCCTCTTTGTCTCCCCTACTATAATGGTAAATTGTCATGACCATTGAGTGGTGAACACATTGATGAAATGTGAACACTATACATCGATATACAGGGTGTTTCAAAAAACCCTGACTCCCTTACTAGGGTAGGTAGAACACTGCAAAATAGGTTGGGTTTACTCAGTAAAAAAATTTCGTAACGGCATCTGTCATCAAGATTCAAGGTGTTGAAAAAATGATTTTTCAAGATCATGTCGAAACTACTGGCAACATTGTGATGAAATGTTATATATTTATGGAAGTGATCCACCCCTCGGTTTCGACGAAATCAAGTAGTACTCTGTAGATCGCTCGGTAGATCGTTTGTTCCGAGCACCCTGTATTTTCTAATGCAACGACAAAAAAAATTCTGAAAAATTATTTACTTAGATGATTTTTCAAATTTTTAAATCGGTTCGAAAATAAGTGAGCTGGAGGGGGGGGGGGACATTTATGGTGAATCACCCTGTACCATCATCAGCTCATACGATCATGACTTTATGTATACACGGATTCTGGAAGTTTTTGATATTCTGAATACAACCATGTATTATACCTAATATTATATATACTGAGTAATTTGAATGTGTTTCATACTAGTTTTCAATTAGATTAGAAAACAATGAAGAAACAATTGAAATTTTGAGAAGAAATTGATCTTTTCAAAATAAAAATTAACAGATAAACTATTTCAAGTGAAAAACATGTTACTTGGTAGTCGGATTTAATCTATTTTTGAAAAATGATACCTGGGAGGATACCAAGAGTGCATTATAATAACTGTGTCTGATATTTCTTAATTTTACTATTTCTAGGAATACCCGATATGTATGCATATACTCACATGGTTCACTATTTTCTGCACAATACTAATCCAGAGAAAAGCAAGAACAATTCCAATTAATATCAAACTTAATGAAACACCAAACGTCGTCCATTTTCGACAGTTGGCCGAACAAAAAACCATATCCACTGAAATGTACCAATAAGTATTTCAACAGAACTGAACTATTCACACACAATGCAAATTGATCATAAACTAAAACAAATTATTCATCACTGATTACAGACAAGGACTCCTACTTAAATATCCACTCTCCATCAATGAGTATATAAAAATTGGCGATTAACAAATACAGAGTACTAATTCAACAAAAACAAATTATTCATCATTACAGATATGAGAAAACAATCATTCCTACTGAACACTGGACTGAACATTCAAATAAGAGTGATATATTATGATCATCTAATAGCTTTGAGATAAGAGTGATTGTTCACAAGTCCTTCTGTAATGCATGTCATTTTATATAAATTTAAGATTACAGAATATTTCATAGGAAATTATTTGTTTCAAAGTGATTCCATCAAAACATGAGTGTCAGCCAAGCCTTGTGGACTCTTATCAATAAAATACTTAAATACAATATATATATATAGGCATGCTCAACATATTCCAAGTTCCAAGGTTCAAATCATGGTTTTCTATTGCTTAAAATGGAATATTACCTACATCACTACAAGTAGATAGGTCTTGGGATGATGAACTTCCTAGTGAAATGAAAAATTCAACAAAGATAGCTTGATGATCTATAGGCGAGTCTATAGGTATAGTTATTATATCTGAATAAATAATATAAATAGATTAAAAAGTTCAAATCATCCATTATGTATACTTTTATAGTTAATTTATTTTAGAGAATATATGTACCCACATTATTACCGAATTATTACCTTGGTAATCATATCGAAATAAAGCAATTAAAAATGAAAATTAAGAACTGGCGACGTTTCTTATTGTGGTCTTTTAGACCTACAAACTAGGACTGATGATGATACCTACTGTTTTAGAAGAATGTGGAATGTGGTTAGTGGTTGAGATAGGTATTCAAAATTAAATTATGATTTGAGACCTATAAACGTCATATTCTGGTTTTCCTCAAATATCAGGTTTTCAAAAATATGAACTGGTGATAAATTATCGGAATTTTAATTTAAATTGTTGCTCACCTATGATTTTCTACATTGGGTTTGGAACTATAATCATAAACGTGATTTTTAGTTAACTTTAGTATATTTTTTGTCACTATTTTAATATTCTCATACTTCTGCTACTCTTATAACAATAACACCTTATAATATAAAACTCTGAATTCTGAATATGAATGAAAATAAACGAAAACAATACAATCAAAGACCACCCACCCAATACAATATCAAATACACCTTCTTCCTTCCTTCTTTGTACAGGGCGTCACGACCCCCTGTAGATGGGCTCAACCTTTTTGGTTATTTACCCAGGTGCTTCTTGTATGTACTTTAGTATTTAGGGCTGAAGTTGCACTTGGGTGCGTCTGACTGGAGTCATCACTTCTTCCCTGTTCGGAAAACTATGAGTTAGTTATAAGTTTTGTTTAATTGCTTTTAGGTAAGAGGCTACAAGCAATGCAGTGTAAGCTGTAGGATTAGAAAGCAGGTCTTCTAAGGCTAAAGCAGAGTGAGTTGGTGTGTTATGCCTAGCAATCATTTTTACATATAGGATGTGGGAATTAGCAGTGTGATTAGGGCATTCTAGCAGGATGTGCTGGATGTTACCATAGGCACCACATGAACACAGAGGGGAGTCCTTCAACTTGAGTCTGAATAAATGGGCTGGGGAGAGGCAGTGGCCCGACCTGAGCCTACACATCGTGGAAGCTGTGTGTCTGGTTATGTCTTCTTTATAGAACCATGGTTTATTTGGAAACTTTCCCATAAGGTTAAATAGCGTTTTTCCTTTTATCTCACAAAGCTCTACCCATTCCTCGTTCCATATTTCATAGATTTTCTTCCTCACTCTTGGTAATAAATCCCTATAATCAACCACTTCGTAGTCAACACTAGGCTTGAGGGTACCTCGTTTAGCAAGGTTGTCTGCTGTGTTATTCCCCGGAATGTTGGTGTGACTTGGTATCCACCCCAGTTTTATATTGATGTTACTTTTTCTCGCTTTTTCTATGAATTTCCTGGTCAATAGAGTGTGATAATCTGCTGATGGATTGATACCCTTTTTGGATAGCTTTTGGAGAGCACTTAATGAGTCAGTAAGAATGAGGGGATTATTAATTTTTCCTTCACAGATTTTCTTAGCTGCTGTTGCGATCCCTAGTAATTCTGCAGAGCAGATTGGGGAATCGTCCGCTATTCGAATTTTGATGTTGCAGTTTTCCCTGGGGATATGGACGGCAAAAGCTACTCTCGAAGTACATGGGTCGGACGAACCATCAGTGAATAAAAGGGTGTTTGACGGAAATGTTTCTCTGATTATTCTGTTGAAGTCAGAGCTGTTGTCGATGTTGTTTTTTTCCAGACCTAGGTTGAGATACTCAATATCCATAATTTGTGTGCTGTAATCGAAGTCAAAGCATGGCAGGATCTGTTGTTTTTGTATTGCTTCTATGTGTGGGAGGCATCTGTCCAGCCCCTCGAGGATAGGGATTCCCACCCAACTGTCTGCATTACGCTCACAGAGCTGGGAGTAGAGGTTGATGAGTTCTCTGGTAATAGGACTGTTTTCAAGGGCAAGGTTTTTAAGGATAAATTTGCAGGCTAGCCACGTGCGCCTATGACACAGGGGCCATTCCGCATTCTCAGCCAACAGAGAGGTAATTGGGGTGCTTCTCATTGCACCTATTATAATTCTAAGAGCCTGATACTGTACTCTATCTAATTTCTGCAGATTTTGTTTCGAGGAATTAAAGAAAAGGATTGATCCAAAATCGAGATGAGACCTGACCATACTTTTGTATATCATGCTGAGAATTTTGGGGTCTGCCCCCCACCAAACTCTGGTTAGGGATTTCATTATGTCCACCCCTCTCAAGGCTTTGGAGCATGAGTTGTTAATGTGGAGTGTAAGTTTCATATTGTAGTCAAAAGTTACTCCCAAATATTTAAATGAGTTCCTCCTTAAAATTTCTTCATCATTAAATTTGATAGGGGGCATACTCCTGAGATTTCTCTTTTTTTGAAATACTATGGTTGCTGATTTGTTTGTGGCCACTCCGAAGCCATGAAGGTTGACCCAATCCGAAAGCCTGTCTAAGGATGAATTTATGTCCCTACCCATGCTGGATAGGTCGTTTCCTGATATGACTAAAGCTATATCGTCTGCGTAAGTTAATATTTGCACTCCTCCCACGGTGATTTCTTGGATTGAATTGACATAAATATTAAATAGTAATGGGCTAAGAGGGGAACCCTGCGGGACCCCCGCCTTGACCTGACCCATACCTGAGCTTTCCCCGGAATGGCAGTCTCTGATGACTACCCTTCTAGTGGAATAAAAGAGGTCAATTAGGTTAATTATATCTTGCTTTATGCCTAACCTCGAAAGTTTGTTGAGTAATACAGGAATCAAAACGTTATCGTACGCAGCTGTTACGTCCAGAAACACTGCTATCACTGAGTCATTTTTGTTAAATGATTGAAAAATTTTTGAAGTGAGCCATACCAAGTTTTCATTTATTCCTCTACCCTTGCGAAAACCTGTTTGTAGGGGATGGAACCAGTTTACCCTCTCCAATTCATATTCCAGTCTGTTTTTCAGCAGGGCCTCCAACACTTTCCCTAAGCATGGTGACAGAGCTATGTACCTGTAGTTCCCTATCAATGATAGGTCCCTCCCTTGTTTGGGAATTGGGGTGATAATTTGTGTTTTCCATTCAGTAGGTATGTCTTCATTTCCTTTCAAAATATCATTGTACATGTCTAGCATTTTTGCTATTACCGTGTTTGACAAATGGGTGATTTGGGAGTAAGTGATATTATCTATTCCCGGGGCTGAATTCTTCTTCCTCTTAGTCTGAATGACTATTTGAAGTTCCTCAATTGTAAACGGGGGGCTAGTTGAGGCATTATTATTAGCAATGAATGTTTCCTGAGGTACTCTTGGAAAAGTGATGTGCCTCAGAAAGTTTTCTAAATTGTCCTTGATGAAAGATGGATTGTGGGAGTGGGAAGCATGTTTATTGTTTTTGAACATTTTTATTTTTTTCCATACATCAGCTATGTTGGAGTCCCTGCTGAGCGTTTCGCAGAAACTAATGAAACTAGTTTTTTTTTTAATCTTGAGAGTTTTCTTTGTGGTTGCTATTACTCTTTTCATATTGTAAAAATTTTCTTCTGACGGATCGTTTCTATAGCTTCGGATGGACGCCTTCCTCTCCACTATTGCCTGGGAGCACTCCTCATCCCACCATATGGTAGGGGGCCTGCTCCCAGCGCTAGTTTGAGAGCTATTGTCTTTAAATTTGGGGATAGATATTTCTGATGCTTGGTTTATTATGTCTGACAAGGTGTAATAATTAATATGGCCGTCTGGTTGAATTTGGTCATCAATCAGGGAAGAGTAAAGCGTCCAATCAGCCTTTCTTAAGTTGTACCTATTTTTGAGTTTGTTGTTGTAATTTTGCCTAACTTTTGGAAAGTTATTGACTGAAATGAGGATCGGGAAATGGTCACTGTTTCCACTGTCACTCAGGATTGACCATGAACTATCTAAACTGAGGGCAGAGGAACAAAAAGTAAGGTCGGGAGCGCTTATATTCTGTCCTGGCAGGCCAAGTCTTGTTGCTGAACCATCATTTAAACAAACCAGTTGATTTTCAAGCATCATATCTACAATGATATTCCCGTTATGATCATTAGTTATTGAGCCCCATGTCATATTTTTAGAATTGAAATCACCTCCCAGAATTATTTTGGAGTTTAAGTTCAAGTTAGAAATTTCGTTAAGGAAGTTTTTATTTAGTCTAGAGTTTGGAGGATTGTAAATGTTGATAATTGCCAAGTCTTTAACAAGCAAACCTAGGCATTGAGTCTCAGGGGGTTTATGCCTTAGGTTGAGATTAATCTGAGAGACTGTGATGGATTTTCTTACAAGTGAAGCAATTCCATGCTTCCCTTCTATTTTGTCTTCCCTAAAAACGTTGAATTTTGTGAAATTGCATCTAGCAGCAGGTTTTAGTAGTGTTTCTTGCAGTAAAACAATGTCTGGGTCATTCTCTTGTATGATCAGGTCAAGGTTTGTACGGTTAGTGTTGACACTTCTAATGTTCCATTGCAAAATCGTGAGACTACTTGTCATTTAATTATAAACAATAAAATGAGTATATAAAAAAAACTATATATTTTGCAGAATGTCCAATTGTTCCTTGTCCTAATGTCCTATCTGTATGCCTTTTTTTATTATTATTTTTATATATAAAAAAAAGAAAAGAAAAAAAAAATTATTTATTTATTTGTTTATATTTTTCTTTTTTTTTTAATTTTTGTTTTTCTATTTTTTTATTATTATTTATTGATTCTTTACAGGTAGGGATTAAAAGGTTTCCATGTCAGAATCCTTTGAACCCCCACTCTGCCACCTGTGTAATTGTTTTGAATTTGGAGTAGACATGGGTGAAGGGGCTACTGAAACCAGCCCTCTTTTCAACAGAATATCAGTGATTGTTTGTGAGTAAGCTAGCAGATCCTCATCTGAAATGTTATCTCTAGCTAGAAAATCGTCCATCTGGACTTCGTTTTCTTCCTCTGTGTTGTTATCTATGTCCTTACCTGTCTCCATTGACCGAGATACAGAAGGTAGGATGGGAGTGATAGGGGTTCTGGTTGTCTGAGGAAACAGACATGCCTCCACAGCAGCCTTATCATATCCCTGTGGTGTGATCTGGACTTTACGCTTTTTTGAAATCAGCACTGATTTATATGAAGGTGACTTCTCTGAGTTGGTTGCTATTTGCAGTCTCCTTCCGCTTTCATTTATTATCTGACTGAATTCATTGTCTAACTGTCGAAGAGGGGGAAAGTTTGTGTTGTCCACTATTTGTGTATATGGGTCTTCTCTTCCACTTGGACATTTCTTGGAAGCCTCATGATAGGTTAGATTATCACAGCTCATAATTTCATTTATCTTTTGCTGCCTGATAAACTCTGGGCATTTTTTTAGGGTCTTACTTCTGTCAGTGACCAGGTGGTCCCCTTGACAATATAAACACCTTGTTTCTCCTACTGAACAGTTCTCCATTGAGTGTTCATTTTTCCCACATTTTGCACACCTTTCTTTGCTTCTACACATATTTTTTGAGTGGTTGAATCTGAAACATTTTGCACAGAGCATTATTGGTTTGATGTATGTCTTAACTTCTAGCTTATTGTTGTAGATGGATACGTACTTCGGAAAGGACTTGCCTTCAAAGGTAAAAATAAATGTGCCAGTAGGGCCGTAGGACACCTCTTTAGTTACTCTGTCTACTATTCTTCCAGTCAATCTCCTGACCTCCAGGATTTTTATATTATTAGCCAGTTCCTCATTAGCAATTTTTAGTACCTCATCTTCAGTAATTCTTGTACCAAGTCCTCTCACTACTCCTCTGCATGTTGTCAGTGATAGAGGGATAAATGATTCATACCCCAAATTCTTCAATAATTGATTCTTGTTAAAGTCATTGGCAAGTTTCATGGTGGAGAATGTGATTCCCACTCTGTTAATCCCTTTACGTTCAATTTGCTTAATTCCTTTGAATCCGTTGTCATAGAGCAGCTTTCCGAATTCAACCGGATGTAAGTTACCTAGGTTTTTGTCATTTCCTTTATGTTGGACCATTACTTTATATGGACCCATATTTCTGACTGTGTATTCTGCCTGTAATCTTGGCCGGGAAATTCTACTGGTGGATGAAGTGTCCTTCCCCCCGGGGTCAATTGGACCCCCCGTGTCCTCGCCCATTTTTCACAAGTAGGTTAGGAACTCAGAAGTTAGGGATTCTTGCACTACTGCTCAAAAATAATAAGCCACAGTTGTAGCCTATGCAATAATTGAAAGTAATTTAGCTATATACTTGAGTTTTATTCGTAGATGATTAAGAATTACGACTCGAAACTTTTAACTAGATTCCACGAACCCGTGGTTTCCCTCGGTGATATCAAATACAATATCACCAACTGAACTGACGTTTAAAAAAACATTATTGAAAAAAAAAAAACACTTGACATGTGTGTTCTATGATGCAGTTTGCACGAATTCAATCCTACCAGAAAAGGGTCCATAGTTGGAATTCCAGACCAATCAGAACGATTTTGGACATGGCGGTATATTCCAATCGCGGATGTTCGTGATAATTATTACACTAAACTTGTTAAAAGTGTGTAGCTTTACAAATTTCCGCTATTGAATTTTGAAGCCATTAAGAAACTAAAAGGAAATAGATATTTATAAACAGTTAGGAAACGCCTAAATGAACCTTCTTCCTAGAAAGTATATTTTTCGGAAAAGAAGTTGAGAACAAAAAAAAATTACCAAACCGAGTCCTCAGGAGTCAGGAGTGGCATTCCGAAACTGCTCAAACGAAGTTGGTGAAGTTCGATCGAGATTATATGAAGCGCCTCGTCCGAAAATATCACTTATTTTGTACTGTACGTGGTCAATTAGTACAGATAATAGTTATACTACACAAGTGATCTTGAGGACAAGGCGCTGAAATATAATTGCTCAATCAAACGAACTTAGTGAAGTTCGATTGAGATTATATGAAGCGCCTCGTCCAAAAATAGCTATACTACACAAGTGATCTTGAGGACGAGGTGCTGAATCATTATACAACTCACTGCACCAATCGCTTATTATTTGAAAGTTGAATTAAATTAAAGTTGTTTGTGGTTTTTGAATTTTTGATAGGGTTGAGAGTGGTGGTCTCGAGAATTCAGAGAGCGCGAGCGCACAGATGGTAAAGATGGTAAAGGCTTAGATAGGCATCTTAGCTTAGATCATAAAGGGATTAATCTTTTTTGTTGTGATTGGTCTGAAAGCATTCCAAAATCCTGACTATGGACCGTTTCGGGTAGGATTGAATTCGTGCATACTCTTTAAGTTAAAAGTTGTTCCGTGCACAGCAGGCAGCTGTTTGATGACATTTCTTATTTCTGACTTGAATTTCAGCTGTTATTTGTTTTTGGGTGGTGTATTTCGTGACACAATTTCCTAGAATTCTTCTAATATTTAATTGATGCGAAAATACGTGTTATTTATAAACGTTGATCATTAATACATCAGTATGCCTGCAAATTAGATGTATTGATAATAAAATAATTGTAAATTCCATCGCCTGTGACGCAGTAGATGTTGCAGTGAAGACAAAGAAATAATTGTAGCAAATAACAAAGCACATAAAATCTGGATAGTAATTAAAGAGAGCGAGACGAGTTTCAAAAATTAGTCTGGATAGTGATTCATCGGGGGACGTCGGTGGTGAACCGCCGCGTAAAAAGACCCGAAGGACAACTCAAACTGAAACAATGCAGTCTAGCAATGGATTAGTTCAAAATGGAACACCTTCTTGCAGCAATGGTGCAGAAGAAAACGGCCATGGCGATGCTGAGAATAATGGATTTGCCCTTACTCAAACAAATCAAGAAATTGTGAGACTCATTGGACAGTTTCTCAAAAATGAAGGATTGATGTGAGTTCATGACCTTAGATTGTTATCATTCTTTTGTTGAAGTTTTATAGAATGTTGATATGGATTGTTGATTTCATATTAATTATTCATATTATTGAATAATAGAATACATGTTCATCACAGAAAATTCACAACCAATTCTCCATTGAAAGCTAATCTTGTAAAGTTTTCCTTCAACAATCCAATACTTCAACTTTAAATGTGATAGATAAATATATTTTAGGAAAACATGTGAGTCTTTAATGAATGAATCAGGATGTCTTTTGGATCATCCTGCAGCTGCCAAATTCCAACAACACATAATGGATGGAGACTGGACAAAAGCAGATCATGATTTACAAGAACTACGTCCCCTACTAGGCCCAAATACAAGTCTAATGGTAAATGAAAATGAGTATACAAGTCTCATTCTAGTTTGTATATATTTTCAATCTAAGACTGTGCCTTATGATATTTTTTCAGGAAATGAAGTTCATCATTCTAGAACAAAAGTATTTAGAGTTTCTGGAGGATGGAAAAGTGCTTGATGCTCTGCATGTTTTGAGAAATGAGCTAACTCCATTACAGCATAATACAGCAAGAGTACATCAGCTGTCTAGTTTTATGATGTGCTCTAGTACTGAGGAATTACTAGAACGTACAAAGTGGTAAAATCATTGTTGCTAGTTGCTAATTTTCATAGAAAAGTACTCAAATAACCAACAATGTATAATACAGCACCTTGAATAAGTAAATTGAAAAATATAAAAAATAAATATGGGTTCTGCTACTTCTGCTAGCTACAAAATAGTTTGATAAAAGGCTTATATTTTTTGTTAATTTTAGGGAAGGGAAAGGAATTCAGTCTAGAACAATGTTAATGAACAAACTTCAGAGGTATCTACCACCAAGTATATACTTACCACCTAGCAGACTGCAAGAGCTGTTGAATCAAGCCCTAGAGCTCCAAGCTCTAAGATGCACCCATCACAATACATCTCAGGGAATTGCCTTACCAACTGCATCTTTATTGACTGATCACTGTTGCTCCAAATCCTCATTTCCTATGTACACCATACAGGTATATAGTGATATCATTATACAGTATGTGTCCTAACAGAAAATATTCATCCCAAATGTCAGGTGATAAAAATCAATGTCATACACCATGCACTATTTGCAAGATTCACAAAGTGGGCGACATCTAGGTTACATAATATGAACTTCAAACTGGGGGAAAACAAACTGTTGTCTATGGATAAAGTGCATAGACTACATTGCATTCAGCTTGCTGTAGCTGCAGTCAAACTTGTCAATGACATAAAGTGTTGGCACTGTTGGTAGTCATGATGGTTGAGTTGGTAAATTTTTCTACATTATTACATTTTTATTAGTTTAGTGAACAGTGAATAATGGGTGAATAATTGGAGATAGTTCAAACAATTCAAACTAATTATGACAAGCAAATCAATTGACATACAACATGTTTACAATACCCAGATTGTCCTGCTTTGCATGAACAAATACAAATCCATTGTTCTACAGGAATTCCTCTGGACCCCAACTTCAATTTTACTTCATGTGGGGAAGATTTGATCGCCGAAGTTTGTAGACAAAGTGCATGATTAGCACAGAGAACTGCTTCTCCTTCCACTACTGGTCAGCTTTTTCCATCTAAATAGAGCAAAATATCTGCCAAAAGAACATCTACAACAGGCGTTTTCGATCGAATATTGACAATTAATGTCAAGAAATTTAAAAACTTATCACTATTATCAGTACACAGTACACAAGCTAATGGCACTAATGGAATTGAGTGAGGATTGAGTTTGTTTTCCCCCAGTTTCGACGTGGCTTTGACATGGAACAATGACAACCGAGCGCCACCTGGTAACATTGATTCCCGCGAATTGAAAGAAGAATACCATGATCAAAGGTATCAATAATGCCTGCAGCATTTAGTTTTTAAAAATTCCAAACATGGAATTATGAACCCACATAGTATCAAACACACAATCAGCTGAAAATTGTTGTTCAATGTTTTGATGGATTTTCTTTATTGAGGCACATGAAAAAAAAAATCCTTGCATTTTTGCAATTTTAGAAATTTTTCTAATTTTCAGGCATTTTTGCCATTTTTGCAAATTTCAGGCATTTTTGCGATTTTTGCAATTTTCAGGAATTTAGGAATTTTTAAAATTTTCCGGAATTTTTGCAATTTTTGCATTTTTCAGGAATTTTTCCAATTTTCAGGATTTTTGAAATTTTTGCGATTTTCAGGAACTTTTCCAATTTTCAGGAATTTTTGCAATTTCTGCAATTTTTGCAATTTTCAGGAATTTTTGCAATTTTCAGGAATTTTTGCAATTTTCAGGAATTTTTGCAATTTTCAGAAATTTTTCTTATTTTCAAGAATTTTTGCAATTTTTGCTATTTCTGCAATTTTCAGGAATTTTTGCGATTTTTGCAATTTTCAGGCATTTTTGCGATTTTTGCAATTTTTAGGAATTTGTACAATTTTCCGGAATTTTCGCAATTATTGCAATTTTCAGGAATTTTTGCAATTTTTACAGTTTTCAGGAATTTTTGCGATTTTTGCAATTTTCAGAAATATTTCTAGTTTTCAGGAATTTTTGCAAATTTTGCTATTTCTGAAATTTTTCAAGAATTTTTGCAATTTTTGGCAATTTTCAGGCATTTTAGCGATTTTTGCAATTTTTGCAATTTTCAGGAATTTCAGGAATTTTTGCAATTTTCAGGCATTTTGCAATTTCTGCAATCTTCAGGAATTTTTGCAATTTTTGCATTTTTCAGAAATTTTTCCAATTTTCAGGAATTTTCCCAATTTTCAGGAATTTTTGCAATTTCTGCAATTTTTGCAATTTTCAGGAATTTTTGCAATTTCCGCAATTTTCAGGAATTTTTGCAAGTTTCAGGAATTTTGCAATTTTCAGGAATTTTTGCTATTTTTGCAATTTTCAGGCATTTCTGCGATTTTTGCAATTTTCAGGAATTTTTGCAATTTTTGCTATTTTTGCAATTCTCAGGCATTTTTGCGATTTTTGCAATCTTCAGGAATTTTGTCGATTTTTGCAATTTTCAGGAAATTTTGCGATTTTTGTAATTTTCACAATTTTCAGGAATTTTTGCAATTTTCAGGAATTTTTGCAATTTTCAGAATTTTTTTTAATTGTCAGGAATTTTTGCAATATTTGCAATTTTCAGTCATTTTTGCGATTTTTGCAATTTCTGCAATTTCTGCAATTTTTGCAATTTTCAGGAATTTTTGCAATTTTTGCAATTTTTGCAATTTTTGCAATTTTCAGGAATTTTTGCAATTTTTGCAATTACGGCAATTTTCAGGAACTTTTCCAATTTTCAGGAAGTTTTGCAATTTTCAGAAATTTTTCTAGTTTTCAGGAATTTTTACAATTTTTGCTATTCCTGCAATTTTCAGGAATTTTTGCAATTTTCAGGAACTTTTGCAATTTTTGCAAAAATTCCTGAAAATTGCAAAAATTCCTTAAAAACTGCAAAAATTGCAGAAATTGCAAAAATCGCAAAAATGCCTGAAAATTGCAAAAATTGCAAAAATTCCTGAAAATTGCAAAAATTGTAAAAATTCCTGAAAATTGCAGAAATAGCAAAAATTGCAAAAATTCCTGAAAATTAGAAAAATTGTAAAAATTCCTGAAAATTGCAGAAATTGCAGAAATAGCAAAAATTGCAAAAATTCCTGAAAATTAGAAAAATTTCTGAAAATTGCAAAAATTACTGAAAATTGCAAAAATTGCAGAAATCGCAAAAATTCCTGAAAATTGGAGAAAAGTTCCTAAAAATTGTAAAAATTTCTGAAAATTACCGAAATTGCAAAAATTCCTGAAAATTGCAAAAATTCCTGAAAATTGCAAAAATTGCAGAAATTGCAAAAACGCCTGGAAATTGCAAAAATCGCAAAAATTCCTGAAAATTGCAAAAATTGTAAATATTCCTGTAAATTGCAAAAATTGTAAATATTCCTGAAAATTAGAAAAATTGTAAAAATTCCTGAAAATTGCAGAAATTGCAGAAATAGCAAAAATTGCTAAAATTCCTGAAAATTAGAAAAATTTCTGAAAATTGCAAAAATTACTGAAAATTGCAAAAATTGCAGAAATCGCAAAAATTCCTGAAAATTGGAGAAAAGTTCCTAAAAATTGTAAAAATTTCTGAAAATTACCGAAATTGCAAAAATTCCTGAAAATTGCAAAAATTCCTGAAAATTGCAAAAATTGCAGAAATTGCAAAAACGCCTGGAAATTATAAAAATTTCAAAAATTCTTGAAAATTGAAAAAATTACTGAAAAATGCAAAAATTGCAAAAATTCCGGAAAATTGTAAAAATTTCTAAATTCCTGGAAATTGCAAAAATCGCAAAAATGCCTGAAAATTGCAAAAATTGCAAAAGTTCCTGTAAATTGCAAAAATTCCTGAAAATTGCAAAAATTGTCAAAATTCCTGTAAATTGCAAAAATTATAAAAATTTCAAAAATTCCTTAAAATTGTAAAAATTACTGAAAAATGCAAAAATTGCAAAAATTCCGGAAAATTGTGAAAATTTCTAAATTCCTGGAAATTGCAAAAATCGCAAAAATGCCTGAAAATTGCAAAAATTGCAAAAATTCCTGAAAATTGCAGGAATAGCAAAAATTCCTGAAAACTAGAAAAATTTCTGAAAATTGCAAAAATCGCAAAAATTCCTGAAAATTGCAAAAATTCCTGAAAATTGCAAAAATTCCTGAAAATTGTAAAAATTCCTGAAAATTGCAAAAATTCCTGAAGATTGCGAAAATTACTGAAAATTGCAAAAATCGCAAAAATTCCTGAAAATTGCAAAAATTCCTGAAAATTGCAAAAATTGCAGAAATTGCAAAAATTCCTGAAAATTGTAAAAATTTCAAAAATTCCTGAAAATTGGAAAAATTCCTGAAAAATGCAAAAATTGCAAAAATTCCGGAAAATTGTAAAAATTTCTAAATTCCTGAAAATTGCAAAAATCGCAAAAATGCCTGAAAATTGCAAAAATTGCAAAAATTCCTGAAAATTTGCAGAAATAGCAAAAATTTCAAAAATTCCTGAAAATTAGAAAAATTGTAAAAATTCCTGAAAATTGCAGAAATTGCAGAAATTGCAAAAATTCCTGAAAATTGTAAAAATTCCTGAAAATTGTAAAAATTTCAAAAATTCCTGAAAAATGCAAAAATTGCAAAAATTCCGGAAAATTGTAAAAATTCCTGAATTCCTGAAAATTGCAGAAATAGCAAAAATTGCAAAATTTCCTGAAAATTAGAAAAATTTCTGAAAATTGCAAAAATCGCAAAAATTGAAGATTCTGGGTAATGCAATTTTTTACAGCTGTTATCTGCAAGACAGGAAAATTGTACACTTATGCTAAAACATGGATTATACACTGCTAAAATAAGTCACTGTTTTTGGAGACTTTCAAATGAAAGAAAGAATAGAAATTTTGTGTTCAGCAAATCCTATCTTACTTTGGTCAAACTTAGTTTTTTTAGGTATTACATGATCATTGTGATGAAGTGTGGTTCTGTCAATTTTCTCCTGATGGTACAAAATTAGCTACTGGATCAAAAGATCAAACCATCATGATTTGGGATGTTGATCCAGAAACATGTACGATCTCACGAAAAAAGATATTTGAGGGACACAATTCAGGTAAGTTATATGTAACCATTTTCACACTAAATCCAATGAATGGAAACAAATAATAAAAATTTGCATACAATGCACCAGAGATTTAGAAAGTTCAGATGTATTGTTCCAAAATTCAGATTCCTGCAAAATTAGGTTCAACAATAAAGTTCCAAAAAAAGTGACGCACTTGATATTTGACCTATCTTCTTAAAAAAAAAAAAAAATAGGCCGATTTTTATTTTTTTTATTTGTTGGTAGGTAATGCATTTGTCTTGAAAAAAATAAAGAGGTGAACATTTTTTCAAAGCCTCCTTGATGGTGGTGGAATAACTCGAACCATGATTTATTCTTAATTTTTTACTCACCCTGTGTGTTAATTGAGTAATGGTATACATAGTGCTTACACTCAATGATCTAATAATATATACAGTATATATTATTAGATCATTGCTTACACCCTATACGGAACAGGCTTCTTTTGCGAGCATTTTGTTTTTTTATTCATTGATTTATCTCTGAAATTTTCCGAATTACAGCTTTTTTGCTGATACCTTACGCTTATTCCACAAATTAAATTTATTGAAGGATCAGAGTACTCAAAATTGATTGGGTTGTACTCTGGTAGGATCACATTGTCTTAAAAAATACAAATGCCGTTGCCATAGCAACTAATTTGTTGTATGTCTCCATATTTGACCATTTGTCGTTGTGTCATTAATTAAGTGTCTTGTTTTATTGACTAAAATTACATAAAATGCCTCAAATAAATCCTGAACAAGTAGCAAGATTGCGGATTTTACGGAATCGATCAAATACTGCGGTAAATGTTCAGCAAGATCTTCGCCAAATTCGTGATGTTGCAGTAAGTAAGCAGACGGTATGTAGACGTCTAATTAAAAAGCTAGGAGACCTGCAAAATTGCCCGAACATCGTGCCTGCTAGAAGAAATTTTGTTGAAAATTATGGACAGTGGAATATTCCTGAATGGTCGAATATCTTGTTTACGGATGAGTCAAGGTTTTGCCTTAACATGGTGGATGGAAGAAAAAGAGTGTGGAGAAGAACTGGTGAACGGTTTAATCAAAATTTAATAACAGAATGCGAAAGTTTTAATGGTGGGTCCGTTATGGTGTGGGGAGGGATTTCAATGAATGGAAAGACACCCCTTCATGTTTTTCCGGTGAGGCAGTCGATGAATGCCCAAATTTACATTGACATTTTAGAGCAGTATGTCTTACCTTATGCAGAGTTAGTGGGCAATAATTTTATATTGATGCAGGATAATGCCCGACCACACACCGCAGCAATAGTGCGAAACTTCTTAGAAGCTACTGGTATTACCACATTACAATGGCCTGCGAGAAGCCCCGATATGAATCCTATAGAACATTTGTGGGATGAATTAGGGAGAAGGGTACGTTCTCGCGAGAGGTCTCCGGAAAGTCTCGCAGAAATGGCAGATGCATTAGTGGAAGAATGGAATCGTATACCAATGGAAATGATAAGCAACTCAATTTCCAGTATGCCTCGTAGATTAGAAGTTCTTAGCAACAGACGAGGCAATACACGGTATTAAGCAGTCATCCCAATTTATAATTTTGTGTTTAATAAAAATGTTTTTTAAAATTATTGGTATCAGTTTATTTCATTAGAAAATTGTTTCTTGATGAATTCAGAAAGTTGGTAATCTGCAAGGTTTCAGCAAAAAAAGCTGCGATTCGGAAAATTTCAGAGATAAATCAATTCAAGGAGGCTTTGAAAAAATGTTAACCTCTTAATTTTTTTTTAAGACATGCATTACCTACCAACAAATAAAAAAAATCGGCCTACTATTTTTTTTTTTGAGCAAAAATTCAAAATCAGAAAAATGTTCTCAAAGTTACTTCTGATCAAAGATAAGATAATAAAAATTCATTAAAAACTGACACCAGAACTGACAAATACATTTCATAAAATGATCATTTGTCTGGTGATAATGAATGCACAAATCATTCTAAAGAAGTGAGTATACCTGGTTAACAAAGAAATTGATTTGTGTTTCTTGTCAGCTTCAAGGATAATTTGGGGCAAAGCAAATATGTGTATGTTATGGAATCATTGGACGGTGTGGTATTATTGAATTTTTCAGGTGCTGCATACATATCATGGAATCCTGATTCAGTTCATTTAATTGTGTGTGGACCAGATGACACCCCAGAGGTTTGGTTGTGGAACACGGAAAATGAAAATTTTCTTAAAGTGACACAATCTCCAGAAGATGCGCTGACTTGTTGTGCCTGGAATAAGGATGGAACTAGATTTGTTGTGAGTATGAAACTCAGCTTGATACCAACTGTCACTATTTTTCTTTAATAAGAAAGCTACATCATGTTCTTCACATTTTCACTGCCTGTATTATTTATCTATTTATTTATTTAATCTAGTAAAATATACAGATTTTCATTAAATATTAGTTAAATATATATATTTCAAATTGTATCTCATTCACATAGGTTAGTGACCTGTGTGTGAAAGAGATAAATTATGACATAATATATAAAAATTATTTTTCACTATGGAAATAATTAAATTAAATATAAATAATCAAGATATAATATAGATATTCAAGATACATAAAAGAATAAAATATGGAAAAAGAGTTGATTGAAAAAGATCATGGATTTTTTTGCATTTTCTTTGAACCAGCCTTTCAACATTTTTGATGAATTTATTTTATCAAGGTTGGCGGTAATCGAGGTCACTTTTATCAGTGTGACCTGGAAGGAAACGTACTAGATTCTTGGGAAGGTGTTAGAGTGATAAGCTTATGCTGTAGAAAAGACGGAAAAACTGTACTGGCCTCTGATAGCCACAACAGAATTCGTGGATACATTTTCGAAGAAATCTCTGACCAACAGTTGTAAGTATTTTGTAGCTGCATAAGGGATTGTTTTTTCACATACTTTTTTTTTATTCAACTTCACTTGGTCTATCTCGTATTGCAATCTAGGGGCTCGATTTTTACCTACTTCGATTTAAAATTGGTACCCAGCGAGCACAAACATCCCTGGGATGTTTTGGGATGTTTTGAAAATGTTGGCATGAAGATGTTATTTTGAGACGTAATATGCACTGACCAAAGAGGTCTTTGAAGGATATTGAAGTATTGTGTTTGTTTTTCTGTGGCATTTCTTTGTTTGCCTACTGAGAGGTATCCCTGGGATGTTTTAGAAATGTAGGCATGAGGATGTTTTTTTGTGGCGTAATATGCACTTCCCAAAGAGGTCTTAGAAGGATATTGAAAGTATTGTTTTTGTTCTTTTGTGCCCTTTCTTTGTTTGCCCCACCACAACGTCTCATGCTTACGTCACAATGATTGAATTCTGATTTGTTTTCGATTTTGTTCTTCTTGTTCGTAATTCGCAATTGGCATTCGCGTTTGCAGCGTGTCACGCTTACATCACGCTGCTAACGAACAGAAAGGAATTTGGTGAAGTTTATTGTGTTAGAAAACTTATTTAGTTTGTAATAATGACCATCAGATGCAAGATGTGTTGTTCGGTGCCTCAGTGTAATCAATATATAAAAGTACGAATTTATCAATACACAGCTTCTCGGCAGTTGCAAAATTATGCATTGTGGGGAACATTTCAAAAATTGGGAAACCTATTTCCAATTATATGTCTGTGTGTAGTAAGCACTACTCAGAAACCGATTAAGAAGGTGATTTCATATCAAGAAAATATTTTTATGTTCAATCTATTTTTAATGCATTTTATCATTCAAGGGAAATGGAATCCTAATGCAAAAGTTCATTTTGACAAAAGGCTTCAGAAAAGTACCTCGAAAATGTTTTTTTACAGCGATTTAATGTGCGCAATACGCGTTGAAAATGTTCTGTTGTGTCCATGAAAAGGCTTTAAGGAGAACTAGGGAGAAGGTAGTTTTGTGACATATCAAGGACATCTCGATAATTGCCGCCTGCGGCGGACATTGGCTGTTCTATAATAGTTCTATTCATGTGTGAACAGAACATCGCAGTGGAGGTTCAATGTCTCGAAATCTCGTACTTTTAACATCTCTGAGATGTTTTTGTGCTCGCTGGGTATGCATATATTCAAGATGGCGCCTCCAAGATGACGTCTCCAAAATGGCGCCTCCAAGATGACGTCTCCAAGATGGCGTCTCCAAGATGGCGACGACTTTGTTATTTCTAGTATAATTTCCGTGAAAAGGTTGAGATGTCATTATTTTTTGTCCGTTTTTTTAAGACATAGGATCACGAATTTTGATTCGAGATTTAGAAATTCAAGATGGCGTTTCCAAGTTGCCGGGCAGATCGTGGTTTCTACTCGAAAAGTTGATTCAAGAATTTGAGATAGTAATAAATATGACAGTCAGGACAAAACACCCCCTTTCTATGGAATTGTGAAAAATAGCTTTTTTGAAAAAATAATTCCTCATTCAACACCAGATAGTAGTAAAATAGTTGTTTCCCCTTATTCTATTTAGATTGCAAGAAGATCATGCCATAATGTCATTCACTGTGGACAAGAATGATAGGCTGGCCCTTTTGAATGTAGCCACACAGGGTGTTCATCTGTGGGATTTGAACGATAAGTGTCTTGTAAGAAAGTATCAAGGAGTCACTCAGGGACATTTCACTATTCATTCCACTTTTGGTGGAGCAAATCAAGACTTTATCGCCAGTGGAAGTGAAGATAATCAGGTGAGCATTGCATAGATAAATGACAATAGAATATAAAAATAGAACCTAAGTACCTCAATGATATTCAGAAAAGACGTATTTTGGCAATGAAGTTGCCAAAATTGTATTGACCGTAACATGAAATATATTGGACAAACACGTCAAAGCATAGGCACAAGATTTAAAGAACATATTCCTTCAGATATTACCTATTTGATGAATCAAATGTTGTCCTACATCACCCTATATGTGACAAATAAATTACTAAGAAATTATTGTTTGAGTAAAAACTAAAAATTGACCATGATTTTTCTTCATAAAATGATTACAGTGACAGAAACTAAACTTATTATTTATTGTCTGCCTAATGTTGTACTGCTTTAGTCTCTAGGAGAGAAAACTGTTTTTTTCAGATGAATAACATTCGTCAGAAACAAATTTGTCCAGATCCTCTACATACTTTTTTTGTAGTTTAGTCGCCAATTTGATCAAATTTCCATCCTCTGCTGACACTATCTTGAACAGAAAGTCAAATGATTCTGAACAAGATTTGTAGGTGGAAGTCCGACGAAAAATTTCAAATCTGCAACTCAAAATAAAACACTGTGTCCGCCATTTTTCTCTCTGATTTGAACTTTTTGCCGTATTTTCTCTCCTAATTGTGCTTTTCTTGGAATGCTTCACTTCTTAACATAAATTTTAGTTCAGGTAGTGTAGTGATCAAATATTTCGCGTAAAAAATCAAAATATCCAGATAATGACTGATGACAAAAGATGTGCAGTTGTATTTTCATATAGCCGCCCTGAAGATTTTGCCGCCTGGTGCTATAGCACCCAAAAGATCCCTGGTGAATCCGGCACTGGGTGAAATCCACGGCGTTTTAATGAATAGGTGCGCACAGCGGCTTACCCACCGGCGATTTTCCTAAATATACTGCACGCTAGCACAAACCACGCCCACCATAATACGTCATATCTCATACTGTGCTCCAACGCAAGAACTGTTGTCAATCTCTTGTACGCAGTAAATTCATACACCCAAATGGTCTACTGATTAGCGCTGTCGACTCTCAGTCTGAAGGTTCATGGTTCGAATCGCTGTGAACTCGAACTTTTTTCTGCAACTTTTTTTTTTCACCAATGTTTTTTTACTTCATTCTGGTTTTCCTTTTTCATAAAATATTTGAAGTCAAATAGGTTAGTGCGTTTAGGATAAACAGTCTCATTTTATTCAATTTTGTTGAAGAACTCAACTTTTGAAATATATTATTAATCAATGTGTTTCTACACTCCATTCGGTTTTCCTTCCTCAAAAATATTGTAATCAGGGATAGGTTAGTTCGTTGAGGATAAATAGTCTCTGAGTTTTGCCTAAGTAAAGTACTTTGAAGATGAGATATAACGTGGTATGTGCTACTTTTTCAATCGATTTATTTATATGAATCAGCTACGTTGTGCTGTCAAAGATTAGATTTTGCAGGATTGTGCTGGGCTCGATTATATTTTGCAATGCCGTAGTAGGGGGCGTGTCTTGTGCTGCAATAGTTTATATTCAGTAAAATCGCTACCCACCGCTCTGTTTCGTCCCAATTGAGTATAATCTTTGCTACCATGGTGTATGAAATAGTACATTATACATCAAGGGACAGATATGCAAGATTTTTCCGAGAGATACAAAGCACTGAGAGAAAAATAGCATTTTGTCCTAAGGTGTATACAGTGTGTCCCAATTACCATGCTCACCATGGGTATCTTTTTAACGGTGAGAGATACGAGGTCAATTAAATGACACCAAATGTGGAGTTTGTCAAGGCCAACTATAATGTGAAAAAATATTTTGATAAAATCTATTCGTTTTTGTTTTATACGCAAAAAAACAGATTTTGATCATTTTCATGTCTCCTCCGTAACTTCTTTATTTATGAAAATATTCAAATAGGAATTTCACATTCCCATGGCAGTTTTTCAAAGTGATTTCGAAAAAAATATGAAATTTATACCAACTCTTCTAGAACTTGAGATATCAGCATCAACTTTAGTTTTCCAAATGTAGGTCATAGCTCACTATGACTAAGTTACAAATAACTTTTTTTTCTCTTACAGATGATATGTCGCAGTAATAGGTTTGTGTTGATAACAACAGAGTTATCGTCATTTATACAAAAACAAAAAATCATTTGGAAGCCGCCATCTTGAATTTATAAATTTCAACAAAAAATCATGATCTCCGACCTCAAAAACCCCCACTTACCAATTTTGAATGGAATCGGACCAAATCTTGTCCGCCATCTTGGAGGAGCCATTTTTTTTATTTTCAACAAAAATTCCATAACTCCGATTAACTTGAAATTTGGCAGGTGTTCATAATTTCGGTGACAATACATTATGGATTTTTTGTTGAAATTAAAAAAAAATTGCTGCTCCAAGATGGCGGACAAGATTTGGTCCGATTCCATACAAAATTGGTAAGTGGGGGTTTTTGAGGTCGGAGATCATGATTTTTTTGTTAAAATTTATAAATTTAAGATGGCGGCTTCCAAATAATTTTTTGTTTTTGTATAAATGACGATAACTCCGTTGTTATCTACACAAACCTATTAAAAAAGTTATTTGTAACTAAGTCATAGTGAGCTATGACCTTCATTTGAAAAACTAAAGTTGCTGCTGATATCTCAAATTCTAGAAGAGTTGGTATAAATTTCATCACTTTGAAAAACTGCCATGAGAATGTGAAATTCCTATTTGAATATTTTCATAAATAAAGAAGTTACGGAGGAGACATGAAAATGATCAAAATTTGTTTTTTGCGTATAAAACAAAAACGAATAGATTTTATCGAAATATTTTTCCACATTATAGTTGGCCTTGACAAACTCCACATTTGGTGTCATTTAACCGACCTCGTATCTCTCACCGTTAAAAAGATACCCATGGTGAGCATGGTAAGTGGGACACACTGTATACTATTTTTTACGCTGGCGAAAACACAAAAATTAAGAAAGAATAAAAATGTGGTCAAAGTGTTTTGTCATAATCAGCAGTAGTATAGTTTGTGGAATTCGTATCTTGACAACATGCATCTTATTGATAACCCATGGCGACAGCAAATATCAAACTGAAATTTATGAAAACAGCTTTGAAAATGGTTAACGGTCAAACGCTCATGGAACAATAAATCGAGGGAAAACCCCAAGAAACTATTGATACTGTTTCTGCAGTGATTCTTAACTTGCTACCAGTGAGATCTAGAAATCTGTATGATGCCTTATACTCGCTTCAGAGAAGTGTGTTCCGAAAAGAAAGCGCTGAGCTATGCGGAAAATGTAAAGTTGGTATAAACTCCCTAGGGAGAAAATATGTCACATTATCACCCTAGGGAATGATACGAGACTTCTGCCCCTCTTTTGTTACCAGAGAAACTAACTTCTACTTCCGCCGGCGTAAAATAACTATTTGCTTGGTTGAGACGACAGAAACGTCAAAAAATGATCAGAGAACACAATAGTTTTGGGTAAATAACAATGGGATGTTCTTGTTGAAGGTGTACATATGGCACATCAGAAACGAGCAGCCGCTGGCCACCCTCCAAGGTCATTCGAGAACGGTGAATTGCGTGTCCTGGAACCCCGTGCACAATCACATGTTGGCCTCGGTCTCCGACGACCGCACCATCAGGGTGTGGGGGCCCAAAGACAAGATGCCTAAACCGACAGGTACTAGTTGAGACCGCCGCCAGGCTGGCTAGTACTACACCTTTTTCAATTGTAATTCAGAAATAAGAATATTTAACTTCCTGTATCTCAAAAACATGATGGACTGTGAAAATTTTGTGAAATCCGAACCACTCTATCTCCGAAGATAACTGAGATATCGCGCAAAAGCATCGAAAACAGGACACACTGTACAGGGTGGGCAAAATTGGGCGTTTTCACCGTCTATCTCAATAACTAGAGGAGTTATCGAAAAACCGATATACATGTTCCGGGTTCGATTTTGGAGAAACCTCGAATGGCACAATCAAAATTTCGATATCTTCATTCGTTTTAGAGATACAGGGGGAAATTGAAAATTTGCCGATTTCGATTTTATTTTCTGACTACTTTACGGTGAGAGGTATCAAAAAATTTTGAACGTATATTTATACAGTATGATGCGTGGAATCCATTGGCATCATCAGAAATGTTATACAGGGTGACGTTGAAAAGATACGGCAGCCAATTATGTTTTTTCTAATGGAACACCCCGTATATTTTGGCCCAGTTGAATAGTCCCAGGCGTTCTCACTACAAATGTATATATAACCCTACCTTTTCCTTCCACAATTTCAGATATATTCGCGAAAATATATTCAGTCTGTCACATTTCTTATGGTTACACCCCCGTATCTTCTGTAAAAATAATTGGGGTAGGATTAAAAAATTCGCAACTGTCAGAAAGATACAAATGATACACTCATGGAGTCATGGACCAAGTGGGATCATCTCCAATGATAACACTGCTCGCCAGCAGCTATGGAATCATCGATATTTCTGGATAATGCTATCAACAGGCAGAATCGAGGTTGAAAATGACACTCTGTATATATTCACCAAATGTGGAAAATAAATATCATAGGGAATGTAATTTTTAGATAAATGGATATTTGGTGAGAAATAAAATGGGAAATTATTCGATTTGATATCATTGTCATCAAGACATTTGAGATACAGAAATAAGACCAATAATTTACTCAATTAGGAAATCAGTAGGTTGCGTTGAAAAATATAGCCTCATAGAAGATGTCCAAATTCTAGATACAGAACAATTTTTTTTATGGAACACCCCGTATATTTTGGCAGAGCTGCAAAGTTCCCGTTTCAATTTCAAATATATATCTTATTTATTATCTCTTTGAACGCAAAAATATTAAGGCATACTAGAAATAATGGGTAAAGTATCATATTCAGGCATTCTGCCACAAAATATTATGATTGTTGATGTTTCCATCAATTATTCTTACAGAAGATACGGGGGTGTAACCATAAGAAATGTGACACACTGAATATATTTTTGCGAATATATCTGAAATTGTGGAAGGAAAAAGTAGGGTTATATATATATTTGTAATGAGAACGCCTGGGACTATTCAACTGTGCCAAAATATACGGGGTGTTCCATTAGAAAAAACATAATTGGCTGCCGTATTTTCTCAACGTCACCCTGTATAACATTTCTGATGATGCCAATGGATTCCACGCATCATACTGTATAAATATACGTTTGAAATTTTTTGATACCCCTCACCGTAAAGTAGTCAGAAAATAAAATCGAAATCGGCAAATTTTCAATTTCCCCCTGTATATCTAAAACGAATGAAGATATCGAAATTTTGATTGCACCATTCGAGGTTTCTCCAAAATCGAACCCGGAACATGTATATCGGTTTTTCGATAACTCCTCTAGTTATTGAGATAGACGGTGAAAACGCCCAATTTTGCCCACCCTGTACATGCGTACGGGTTGTTCATAGTTTCTGAATTACGAGTGATACTTTCTGAAATACAAGTTATGCTTTCTGAACTACAATTGACGCTTCCTGAATTACAAGTTACAATTGAAAAAGGTGTAGTAATGTATTGTGATTTGTTGTAGTGTCTTCGAGTAGCAATGGTACTTGGAACGATATGGTTTCGTAGTAGGTACACTGATATGTAAACAAAGACTGACATCCGTCTCACAAACATACAAGATCTGTTGGAGGGGTATTTTTTTGCCAATATGATGCTTGGACGAGGGGGCCCGTTTCAATTCCACACTCGCTTCCTATTGGACAATAGATGCTTATGGTAAAAACGTAAAGTGCCAAACTAACTTTTATCCATTATGTTTTGATGATGAAGCAGAACACATGATATCTGAAATAGTTATTTGTATGCTTAGGCCGCGAAATACTTTTTTAGCGTACCGAAAGATAAGTTATCGCCGAGACCGTTTGTGGCCGTGGCAAGATATAATCTTGAGGTCGCTACAAAGTTTGGCGACCATGGTACACACACTATTTTTCGTATTCATAAATCGGTAGCAGAATATTGAAACACAACCTCACTTTTCTGTAAAACATTGAAACACAACCTCACTTTTTTTTATTTGTTTACAGAGGAATCGAAGGATTGAAATAGTTTCTCATAATATTTTGGCATACAAATCGTGTTTTTTGCGCTATTCATTGATTCAAGCATGCCTTCTCACTGTGCTGTTGTACAATGCACAAAAAATGCAGCGAGAGACGAAGGAATATGATTTCTTTAGCTAAATAGTAATCTCACATAGTTTTCATTATGGAATTTTGTCATTTCTTATTGAAATTCCTTCTGCCACTTCTGCAATAGAAGCTAATACTGCTAATAGATTGAAAATGTCTACAACACACACGTCAGCTTGTCAGACCAGTCCTCCCGTTTGATTGCATGGATCCAATCTTCTTGCATTATTTCAGAAATTTCACGAGTATTTCTATTAGATCCTTTTTTATGTTCTGGTTCCCACAAAAAGGGATTTCCTGTAATGTTCAGAGAACATCGTGAGAACCAAGGGAAATAAGGTAGGAATTGGTGTTCTTCTTAAATCTCTGGAGGTTATATGCCTCGGGGAACACCTACCTTGGAAATGTGTTCCAGAGCCTCGCCGTTCGTTGCAGAAGGAATTTCGATGAGAAATCAAAGAAATTACCAAATTTCAGAATGCAAACTATAGTAGGTACAGTCGTCTTCAACGAACATGTCGCGGTTGGACGGTATGAGCGCTCTTATTGCAGCGGTGATCAAGGGAGCTGACACCGTCCTTGTGCGGCATGATCTTTGAAGACGACTGTACTTACTTTGGAATCATAATGTACCGACTGGATTCCTTCGTTTTCCGCTGCATTTTTTCTGCATTGTTCAACAGCACAATGTGATGGCATGAGCGAATTAATGAATAGCCAAAAAATACGATTCGTATGCCGAAATAATTGTGAACAACTATTTCAATATATCACTTGTAAACAAATAAGAAAAGTGAGGTTGTGTTTCAATGTTGTGCCCCAGGGTCGGTCATCTGACAGTTCTTGCATGCAACCCATTCAATTCGAGTATTGATCATTCTAGAACACGTGATTTTGACATGGTTTCTTGAGGGTTACCTTTGATGAGCATTGCCCAGGCCGTCCCTCTGCCACATCCACAATATAATAACAGTTTCACCAAACAAAATTATGAAATTCTTTCTGGTTCCAACTCGGATTCCAAGGGAAACGATCCCACTAATTCTGGTTTTCTATGACAGATCTTGACAAAATACAATGTTTGCTCCTCAGCAACCTGTCAAATGACGTAATTCTGGAATGATTAATTGTAATATGGACGTAGAAAAGTAGTTATTCACCTATATAAAAAGTTGACATTTTGAATGTCATAATGGTGACCATAAGAACAAAACTAGTGGTCATATTATGTGACTAATATTTCAAAATGCAAAGGGAGTCATATACAGGGTGTATCTAAATAACACAATTAGTGATTCCTTGTGATATTTAAGGAAATAAAGTTCATATGACCATGTGTCCTAACTTGCTTCATTTTCGAGATTCAAGGTATTAATATTTCTATAAAAAATCTTCTTTCTATGCATTTTTCAATTGTCTTTTCACCAATTTCAATAAAACGTTGTGGTTTTGTTAATAGTAATATGAAGCTTCTTCTGGTGCACAGTGGGAAAATTTATCGATATTTATGGTGAATATCAGTTTTTTCTGAGTTTTATATTTTTATTAGATTGAACTATTGAAATAACAACTTTTTTATCCTTAGTGTAATTTTTGTATCTAGCTTAATTTTTGAGGAAACAAAAAATTCGATTTGACTCCTAAGTTTAATGTATCATCAATCATTTTGAGATTTTGGGACTTTCTCAGTCTCCAACCATATACTGAATTTTGGCACCATGAAAGCTTATACAGGGGGGTTATAAATAAAAACAATTAATACTTCCAACTTCAACATCCTGTATCTCAAAAACGGAGCAAGTTAGGACACATATTTATATGAACTTTATTTGCTAGAATGTCACAAGGAAATACCCCTTGAATTTTTTCGGTGTTATTTAGATACACCCTGCAAAATTGAAGAAAAAGACAAATTCCATAAAAATTTGAAGGATAGGTGCTACAATAATTCATAATGGTTTTCTTCAGGGTTTTCTGTTATTTTGTACATTCAAAGTCGCCCTTAAAAATGTATCACTATTTTAATTTCGAAATTCAGATCTAGTCCAAAAACGAGTGTGGAATATGAAACAATAACCTCATTGTTTAAAAATAATGGAGTTTTTTTTCACATCATCGCCCTAATGCAAGGACTAGCAGGTTTATATGGATGTATACTTGCCATAATTCAGTTTAGTGCATTTTGGCGATGTTGTGACATGGAGCCTGAATTTTTTTTATGAAATTTATATCAACTTATATTTGTAATGATAGGGTTTATATTTAAATTATATTTATTAGAGATATTAAAAGGCGTGATGAAAATTAAGCATTATCATTTTTTAGTTTTTTTTTTTATATACTCAATACTCCATTGAAAACATTGAGAGATACTAAAGACCATATTCTAACACTAAACAATAAACTTTGCTCCTATATCAGTCTAGTCCTCTATTTTGGAAGTCATAATTTCAAACCTACTGTACAAATTGACCAAAACGAAAGTATTTTCTACTGCAAAGATATTTATTTAGGTAAGGAATATGATTTATATGTATGTACAGTGTCCCAGAAATAATTACATGAATATCATTTATCATAAGTCCTTCCAAAACAAAATAATGTATAGGTATATTTTCTAAAACCTCCAACTGCTGAAATTCAGAAAAGCCATTCAATAAGTGTTCAAAAATAAAATATATTGTCACGTCAGTCACTTAGTATCAGAGGATCTTCAGTGTCTATTACTATTGAGGTAGGATTCTGAAATTCGCAGATTTACCAAAAATACACTAAAAAGCTCAGTGGGGTTATCTTCAGTGATATACACTGCTCGCAAGTTTCAATGGAATCACCAAAATGTCCGAAAATCATATGGGGAAGCAAGATGGTTGAATACATATTCAGGCCATCAAATTCAAGATATCCAATTTTGTTTCACTTCTTATGAAATTGCCTTCGTATCTTCCATAATGGGGAAAACCACTGAGAGAATCCGTGCAAACCTCTTTCAATCGACGAATCATGAGTTACGTTTGATGTACAATCAATATTATGAGTTGAAGTTGAAGGGAATCGAATCTATATCGTTTTGAAATCAGCATATTTCATTCGAAATTTCAAACAGCCAAATATGATGGTGGAGTCGTGACGTATTAGTCCCGAACTGTAGCTATCTCTCTCTGATACCTCGTCATTCTGCAGTGTTGCAGTGTGATTGGTCAGTTCAAGGACAATAGGCGTGTTGGGACTAAGACGTCGCACCAGTCACACCAATGAATTGACAAAATTTCAAAAGGCGCAGGAATTGTGTGCTTTGAAATGGACATATTCTAATTTATTGTTTTCATCGTCTTAGCATGAATGACAAAATTCAAAATTAATTCACTGGTAGTTTTTCAGTATAAAGTACACGATGATGTCGTTTTAAAAAATCACCGATCTCCCCCAATAAATACATAAACTCAATGTTTATAAATGAACGTTTTATTGTAGTAGAACTAACAAGAAAACATTTTCGAGGACAAAGTAATATTGTTTTATGTTCTGGTTCCCACGAAAAGGGATATCCTGTAATGTTCAGAGAACATCGATAGAACCAGGGGGAATATGGCAGGAATTGGTGTTGGTATTTTTTTTGACATTATATTTCCCAAATAAATCAATCAAAACAAGATTTACAGAAAATACTGTGGTGTTTCATTGAGAACTGAAATTTCAAGTGCAGTGATATTTTGCGACAAATCATCTGATTTGTCCTTACGACGGGTATATTGAAATAATACTAATATTTCTGATCATTAAGATGAGTAGAGAGTCTAGAGAAATCAACATTTTTCTGCTTCAGCTGTAGATGAAATTAATTTACTCGTATCTGGGACACTCTGTACATAACATTATCCTGAAGCAGCCTACATGCATAATGACTGACGAATTGATAATCATTCATTTAATTTTTCTTTAAATGATTACGAAGAATTAAACATTATTGTTTGGCAAACAGCCTCATTGTAATTTATCGAGAGAAAAACGTAAAATAGGAGCGACTGTATTTTTATCAATTTTGAATGTGTTCATCAGATAAGCACCGATCTACTGAGTGTGATCTCACCTGACAATGAAAAAACTTTCGTTTTAAGTTGCATTGATTAACTTGTAGGTTTCTGTTGGTTACATATATTTTGTTTCTCACATGTGCTGGTTGTAATATATTTTCTCAGATGCATAAAATTTGTTGAGTCATATTTATAATAGATTATTAACTTGGAACACAAAAACATATAATATGTAGGTTATGTGGTTGGTATGTTGTGTGGAATGTAGCAATAAAATTAAATATTTTTGATTTAATAAATTTTAACAATTTATTCCTGATATTTCTTGAATCATCTCATTGTTCCTCTGGGGTGGTATTTTTTATGACATTATATTTCCCAAATGAATCAATCAAAACAAGAATGAAAATTAAATAAAAAAATAATACACTTTGTTGTATTGTTTAGTGAGTTTGGGTTCTTAAGCTAAAGTAAAAATGCATTTTTACGAATGATAATTTTCCTTTTAATAATGAGTGTGTGCTCTTTATAAATAACCAATGCTGAAAATTTACAAAATAATAACAATAATACAATATCACTTTTTAAAAAACAGAGCACAAAATTCAAAATGCACAGCATGACATGGTATTATTCACCATATATAAAACAGATTACGTACTTACTCAATATAAGCATATTGATTACTAATATCTATCTTCTTAATTACAGTTGTAACTATTTATATAAACTCTTCATAAAATGTACAGAATTTTGATTTAAATTATTCGGCATAACTTAAAAAAGTTAGTATTTTATAATCACTGTGACCGCACGGAATTATTTGTTTTAAAACTGTGTTCTATACTGTCTATTTCAGCCCAACACGTTCGCACTTCTACGAATACCTGGAAAAAAATTAAAAAAACGGTTACAATTATTCCACCTTGATGTTATGAATCATCAACATTAACATCGAAATAACAAGCAACTTATACAATGAAGACGTAAAAAGTCCCCCCCCCCGCTTCAACTTTTGAAGGGAATAAGTTAGCGAGGGCGGGTAAAATTCAGGTAAAAAGGTACTATTTTTACTAATTTTAGCAATGAAAATGGTTGTAGTCACAAGTCCTAGTGTCAAGTGGGCACCATCAACTTTTTTTCAACCTACTGTGGAGTTTAATATCATCAAATTATAAATAGAAAGGGGATATGTTTCGGATCTATAGAGTATCCATCATCAGCCGATTAAAAAATTATTCTACAAAGAAATCACTCACGTGGCAAAAAAAAATCAATTGAAATCACATGGGAAGTTACAATAGTTCATTGTTTTATTTGGATCAAATGTCACACTTTGTTTGACAAGCGATATTTGCGTTTGCGAGACGGAGCGACCGCGAAGCAGAGCACGCAAATTTTGCGAGTCAAACAGAGTCACTTTTCATCCGAATGAAACATGCTATTTTTTTTGCAATCAAAATAATTAATATTTAATTAATAAAATATAAATGAAAATACCACTATTTTGAGTCACTTGAGCATGTCAGTGTCAAAGCATTTTATTGTGTAGTAAGAGAAACGTCAACTTCAAGAGCTAATTTTGGAACAAAAATGGACGACTTTTGATCCGATAGCAGGAAAAATTATTACATGAAAATTCTAACAGACAGAATACGTTTGCTATGACAGGTTTTTTAAACAGGGGCCCTGTGTCCCAATAAGAGGGGTAAAGTGGTACCTTGTTTTGAAGGCCTTTCGTCCAACACGCTTCGTTTGTGCAAATCGGCCAAGCCATTTCAAAATGAAAAGCATTGGAAATTTACTTCGGAAACAGTACCTAAATAAAAATAACGTTGGGGATTAAATTCCAAAACCGATTTTTTTCGTGTCAATAAGTGAATGAAAGTGAATTTCGAGCATTGTTGAGCCACATGAGCACGCTTGTCATTTTGCAACGGCTCGGCCGATTCGCACAAACGAAGCGGTGTTGGATAGATAATCGAAAGGCTTTGAAAACATGGTACCACGTAACCCTTCTTCACATTTGAAAAAAAAAGTTGATAGTGTCCACTAGGCCACGTGATCACAGCAATGGGCGTGTACACCTTAGTAGAACTTTCAACTCAAACCATGTTTATAATGATCCTTTTATACATAAATAATGATTGACGACATAATTCGATCGAAAAATTAACTGGAATGTTTTATTTTTGGACATAAATAATAGTACCTTCTGAAAACGGACCCTCTTATGACGTAGAAACCTCATCTCGCCATAGTCAAAAGAAAATACCAAACGCCCGACGGAGACTGAAGCAACTGATATATTAATTCTTTCAACTGTGATCTCGCGCTAATTCACTCTGTCAGAAATCATGTATCATTCATCTCTGTCTAGAATAGTCTTGTTTCAGTATTAGGGTTTTGACGTCACATCATCGCCTCGTTTTCAGAGGTCCGAAAAATCGGGGATTTCAATAATTTTTTATAAAACGTAGGGAGCTCACAGCAAGAAACGGTTTGCGGTGGTGTGGGTGTGCTAGTTTGGGTGAGTTCTATCGAATTATGAAACAAATTTTTTTTGTGATATAAGCCCATTTCATTTCAACCGACCTGCGATTTTACTAAATATACTGCACGCTAGCACAAACCACGCCCACCGTAATACGTCATATCTCCAAACATCACCGATATACTCGGAGTCAGCACATCGCACTAAATATACTGTGCTCCAACGCGAGAATTCACTTTTAATGATTTTGATGTGCTGTGTGGAGAAAAATATGCTCTTTCAAATGGCACTGTCAAAACTATAGGTTGCCATTTGAAAAAAAAATCGATGATGACATTTCCGGAAGAGTAATGACGTCACCATTCCGACTAGGACTCCAAAAGATGCGCATCTTGAAACAAAAGTTGACGTGTCCAAGGATTTTTCCGAAAAGCTTTTCCTTTTCGAGATAATGAATTTATTCCTTACTTTATGTACACACTGTATATACGTGAATTTCAACCGACCTCGCTAGCTTGTCTGGGTCAAAACTCTTAACGTCCTCACTGTATGAAGAAATACAGGGGCGCCATTTCAGTGAATACCAGGGGGGAGGGCAAGAAACCCCGAAAAATTGTACAGTGAAAATGCGCCACAGCCGAATTTTTTTGGGTAAAGGTCAATTGCATTCAGATTGAAAATTAGATCTCTTCCAGAGTGATAACAACTCCATTACGTTATTTATACAGTGTCTCCAAGATAGGAATGTCTATCATGGGGATCTCGGAAACGAAACGTCGTACCGAAAATCTCTCAAGGCTTCAAAAGTGGCAATGAGACAGTGCCTTTTATTTTCCTATATCTCTATAACGTTAGAAGAAAATAAAAACGATAGCGGCAATTTCGGTTTTTTAGGCATATCTCCGGAACTACTCGGAATTTTGAAACTTTCTGAACGGCATATTGTTAGGCTTCAAAATGCGCAACTTTTTTCTGATTCAACCATTTTAGTATCCCTTATATAATTTCCGAGATCCCCATGATAGACATCCTTATCTTGGACACAGTGTATACATTATTCAGTTTCATGTTCTCAGTTTGCTGTAATAATTGATATAAAATGATGTGAAACTAACAACAATAAGAAGAGCAAGTGACAAACATTTTATATACTATCTGTATAGATAAATCTATATGATATGATATTATTTCGTTGATATTGTGGCTTTGCTGAAGGCGCCAATTTCTGCTTCCATATTCAGGTTTTTTTTATGTATGATTTCTACTATTATAATGAATCTTGCCTCCCCCCCCCTAAAGGCTGCCCATGAAGACAAATTCGCATTTTTTCAAATGTTTGATATTATTCATTTTTCATCATAAAGAAAAAAACGCTGGGAGAAGTTTAGAAAAGATTTTGATACGATATATGTACAGGGTGTGCCTAACAGGTCTATATAAAATAATAGCACATATTCCTGAGGTCAAAATAAGCCAACTTGAAGCAACTCACCTCAGTCCGAAATTGCTCAAGTTTCCGAGATACAGGGTGGTGAAGTACACTTCAACGAAGTACTTTGAAAAATCAATTTTTGCACTGTTAATTCACTGACCAAATGACATCCACGAAGATAACAGCAAACATTTTTAATCAAAATAATTGAGAATTCTGGTGCTACATGGAACATTAAAAACCGAAATATCTACAAATCGGCTTACTTTAGCGGATTATCCAATAGTCTTTTTTGCCTAAAGGTGTTCAGAAAAATATTTCCTCAACGAATAAAGTAAGAAACTACACTGAGAAAAAAAGTTATGGTCATTGTTTAGCATCCTAAAAAACCCCAAATATCAATCATTGAAGTAATACGTTCAAAAATAGTCATAAATTCTGAGAAATTTGATTTCTATTCTTCAACTTCACCACCTTGTATCTCGGAAACTAAGCTACTTCAGACTGAGGTAAGTTGCTTCAAATCGGCTCATTTTGACATCAGGAATATGTGCTGAGATTTTGTACAGAAATTTCAGGGACCCTGTATATCTGTCAGCCTGAAAAAATCTTTCTGGGAGAATTAATGATCGATTGGATCTGGGCCTTATCTTACCTGGTTCAACCAGCTTTCGTCCGCCAATAATTCGTTCAATATACACGTCGTATCCTTAGTCGGATCAGAAGTCCTCTTTTCACTAACACGTTTAGCACATTCTATATACATGAGATACTTCTGATGCGTCACTTTACTCAGCAGTTCGACGTGAGTCGCACATATCCTACACATTAGGAAGTCCTGCAAAAAAGAAAGAAAAAAACTTGATACATTGAAGCAATAGTGCATTTTTAATTTACATTTTGAGACACTTTTATAGGTGAAATGGTTCTCGGTAATATTGTCTGAATTCTCCCATGTATTGCTTGAACGTACAAAATCGCAGTTTTTTGCGAGGAATTCGAAAATAATATTACATTTTTGAAACAGTCGAATAAAGAACCAAAAACGACAGTCATTTTTTTTTCTAATGGACGCCATAATGAATTTTTGTATTTCTATAGCTATTTGTGTATTTAGAGCGCAAAGTGATAGATTGCCGCTCGACAAAGAAAGTTACCGCGCGATGCGGAGCGGAGCGCGGTAATCTTTGGAGAGCGGCAATAACACTTTGTGCTCGAAATACACACATGATTTTTTCTACCAACGCAGCTTTTGGAAATAACTGCCCTGAAAGTATGAGCGATTGAAATAGTTGAAAAAGTTCTTATCCATATTATCCCATATGTCCAAAGGAAACAGAAAAGAAAAATTGAAATAAATGACAAGCCAGAAAAAAAATGTCGGGCCTACCGAGAATTGAAACTGGACCACCAGCGTGGCCACCTGAGCTTCAGACCTCTGAGCCATAGTACGATAAACTCTGCAATCAAATTGAACATTACTCATTGATACAATAAAATAAAGATGTACTGTCTTTCTGATGACAACAAAGAGTTTAAATATAAAGTATAAGTCATCGTTTTCAACAGATATGCTTAATTGGGAGCTTCTTATAGAAATTTATTGGTATATATCTTCAGCGGTGAATGTTTTGGATTTTTCTCGCTTTATAACCAATAGATTGTTTCTTGAGAAATGCGATAAGTTTCAGATACTTATTGATTCCGATATTATTTTTAATATTCAAGCATATATACGTACCATCGAATATATAGACCAATGAGTTGATGACTTCAAAGTCTTTGATTTTTTACCAAAATAAGCTAGTAAAACGTTTTCTGAATACATATTCACCATCTCGGAGTGGCACCAATTTATGAATGTATCATATTGTAATTCATATTTCTTCCTTGATTTCTCCGGTATAAGAGATTCAAACTCTTGCGCTTTCTGCTATGTCATCAGGAGGTGGGTTTGATGATTCACTGTCACTATTTTCCAGCATGAAAGAATTGGGGGTTTTCAAGAATAGATACGTATAGGTTACAGAGATGTGCGAGCGTTTTTTCAATATTTCCGCTCACGAGCGCAAATGCTGTCAAAGAATGACATTTCTGGGAAAACGTCAACTTTGTGCTGGAATTTGAAAGCGTCAAAGGCTACTTTGTTAAGCGTTTGTAGAAAAAAATGTTTTTTTTCTGATTCCGACGATGTACTACATACACAACATGTTTTGATTTTATATCATGGTCGTAATTATCTAATAAAAATCATTTCGAAGATTGCCGTGGAAACAAACAGAAATATGGCGTACATAAGAAAAATGATTCCGATGATGTACTACATACACAACATGTTTTGATTTGATATCATGGTCGAGATTGTCTAATAAAAATTATTTCGAAGATTGCCGTGGAAACAAACAGAATTATGGTTGGTGTCCATAAGAAAAATGAGTTGACTGTCGTTTGTTTCTTTCCTCCTGTGTTAGAATGAATGTAATATCATTTTTCTACGGCTATAATACGAGATTGCTCTTGTTTTACTGTGTTAGATACGTGAATGAGGTACTTTGTATATCATCAATATTATTTCCGTATATGATATCACAATGACTCCATTGTGTTATTATTAAAAAAAAAACTCATCGCCCATGGAATGTCAAATTTCAAGTATGACAGCTCTGTCTAATAGATGAGCATCATTTGACAGGAAATCAGATGGCTACAAGACGAAGAAATCGAAAATGCCGCAGCATTCGCCTATGACTCATGCTGCAAACTTCATTCTCGTAGGAAATCACTATCATTCCGTTAAACAGTATACTATTTTGAATTCGTCGCAAGAAACTGCTCTGAGAATGTTTCGGTTAAAAATGAATAACTTGATCGGATTTCCTATAGAATAATATAAATAAAATACAGCGAAATTCAGTTTTTCGGCGATATTGTGAAAACGAAAGATATATTTCTTTTGAGAATCTCAGAATAACCGAGAACCCCATGCTCAAGTAGAATTAAGAATTACGGGAATAATGTATATCTACTGAATACATCATTGTTCTGGCCATTGTCGATCTAAATCGAAAAGCTCTTAGTTGGCTGTTCATTGCACAGAACTATAACACCAAGAAGAATTGATATCCAAAGTGTTTATGCAAGGGCAAATTCGAGCGTAATGAGACACACTAACCTTCTCGCCGACGGCGCTCGCGTCCGGCTGGCACCCCTCCAGCGTGGTCGCGTCGTACGGCTGGCCGTACATGATGACGCGCTGCGCCGCCCCCGGCCGCCCGCACGCCGAGCACCCGCGCGCCCTGCCCTCCGGCCCGCCGCCCTCGCGCAGCACGTTGAAGCACGGCCACGTGCAGACGGCCGCCTGCACCGCCGCCGGCCAGCGGAACAGGGCGAGCAGCTTGCGCTTCTTGCCGGCCGTTATCTCGTCGATGGTCTGCACGTTGGTGAGGAAGTAGTCGTCTGGAAAGGAGAAGAGAGCCGGGTTGGTAGAATTTAGGGTTACTTGTAGAGGAAGGTAGTCACTTGATGGTACAGGGTCTCTATAAATGATCGTAACATCGTAGTGGCTGTTGACATTTTTTTCCATTTGCTTTTTTTTTTTTTTTTTTTTATCGATTGGAGCGCACGAAAGGGAATCCCTATAATGTTCAAAGAACATCGTGCGTTCCTAGGGAGGATAGGGACAGGAGGTAGGTATTGGAATTCTTTTTTTCAACTTCTGGAGATTATATGTTGTTGGGAATACTTCCACAGGCAATGAATTCCAGAGCCTAGCCGTTCTATGGATGAAGGAGTCTTGATAAAGTGTTGTTCGACATCTTTCGAGGTTGACAACGAAAGGATGTGCTGACTGGGCTTGTCTAGTTCGTCTGATTGGTATTGCTAGTGAAGGGATGATTGCAGACATTTCCGAAGAACATTTCCCGTGGAAGTATCGATAGAAAAGTGAAAGGTCGCCGACCTTTCTACGGTGTTCCAATGATGTCAAAGAGTGAGTGAGTGTGGCGTCACCCACCAGGCGAATGGCACTTCTATGGATGGAATCTAAGAGCATCAGCGTATGCTTTGGTGCTGAACCCCATATGTGGGAACAGTATTCTAGAACAGGCCGTATCTGCGCTTTGTAGATCATGAGAAGCTGTTGAGGTGTAAAGTGTCGCACGGAACAAGAATCCGAGTTTTTGTGAAGCAGCTTTTGCGATGGATCTGACATGATTATCCCATGAAAGAGTGTTGCTGTCGGAAATACCGAGCATAGATATGGTGGGCTTGGTGGGGATGGTGGAGCCAGACATTACAATATCGGGCATACTGAGTTCCGCCTTTCTAGAGAAAATGCAGGCTTGAGTTTTGGTGGCGTTGAATTCAACTAGGTTGTTCGTTCCCCAGGCTGTGATTTCAGCAAGATCTTCATTGACAGCATTGACCTGCCTGCGCCGTGAGTTCTTAGTTTCCTGGGAAGAAATGGGAATTCTGGAAGAGAACGCAGTATGGAGGGTACTATCATCTGCAAAGCTGTGGATGGGGCAAGTTGTTACTCCCAACAGATCATTGATATGAAGCAGGAATAATGTTGGTGCCAAAATTGATCCTTGTGGAACGCCGGAATTGATGCCAATGGTATCAGACGATACACCGTCCACCACCACGTGAAGCAATCTGCCTGAAAGAAAACTCGATAAGAGATGGCATAGCTGAGGTGGTAAGCCGTATGATGGTAGTTTGTGGAGGAGTCCTTCGTGCCAAACACGGTCGAATGCTTTCGATATGCCCAACGCGACAGCTAGAGATTCCCCGTGTTTTTCTATTGAAGATTGCCATAAATGGGTGACGTAGGCAAGTAGATCTCCAGTAGATCTTCGGTGGCGAAAGCCGTATTGTCTATCATTGATGATTCCTGAGCTCTCCAGATATTTGATAAGCTCAATATTGATGGCTTTCTCCATCACTTTGGAGATTACTGATAACAGGGCAATGGGCCTGTAGTTGTTGGGTAGGTTCTTGTTCCTTTTTTTGGGGATTGGTTGGACTCTAGCTGTCTTCCAGCATGATGGAAAAATACCCGACCTGTACGAGATGGTAAACAACTTGCAGAGAATCGGTGTTAATTCTGGTGCACATTTTTTGCTTTCTACTAATGGTGTTAACTAGAGTCCCTGTATGTACAAATCCCTGTATATATTTGTCAAAAAGTGTCAAATACATACAGGGCCTCTACTGTTAACAACATTCAACAGGTTAAGTGCCACATGAGGCAAACGCGGATTCACACAAAAAAATGTCATTAAGGCCGCGTGGAAGCCGACCTGGACTCACATGTTCGACAGTCATAAAATATTGTGTAGCTCCACATTGCCTTCTCGCAGCCATTTAAAATACACGGGAGCGTTTTCTGCTCGGCCAGATTGTCTAGAAATCGTACTTGGCCTATGCTCCTGAAAGTCCAGGCTGGACTCAAATGGCATCCCGTGATCCCTGGACTCACGTTGAAAAAACACATTTTTGGTACTTAAAATCGTACATGGAAATGAAGAGTTAAAGAAAAATATAGACAGGCAATTTGATGAAAAAAAGATTCTGGTCAATGGGGACGTTGAATTTTTTAACATTGCGGCACTTACCAGTTAACGACCAAAAAGAGAGGAAGTGATATTATACAGGATCTTTTTTTATATCGTTTTGCATACACTATGGAAATGTATCTCAAAGAAAGGAGAGAATATCCAACCACAGAGGCATACCCATTTTCTTGAAGCAGTCAAAAACCAAAAATATTGAGTTCCTACTTTTTTAAGATGACTGAAATCTGAATCGTAATTTCAAAATTTTGAACGTATGTCCATAAAAACCGAAAAATAATGACCCCTGAGACGTGTCCAATATTTGTTTACAGTATAAAAGAAAATGAAAAACTATATGTTCGTGGAAGAAACTGATGCAGAAATTTAAAAATCTTGGGCGTACACTCGTCTTCAGCGAACATGTCGCGGTTGGACGGTATGAGCGCTCTTATTGCAGCGGTGATCAAGGGAGCTGACACCGTCCATGTGCGACATGATCTCTGAAGACGAGTGTACATCAATAGAAAATTCAAATTGCGACGTCTGGGGCACACCCAGTTTTTTAAAAGTATCAAAAGAAAATTGTATGATTCAGATTTTCTAAAAGTTTCTTCAACACCAATATGAAGGAAAAATAACATTCCAACCTCAGTCTGGTATTCGATTTTCTGAGTCTATAATTTGAAACATTCAATTATTTGGATGCACTTCAATAACAAACATCTCAATCGTACATTGTTAAAAAACAACATAAAAACAGCTGTCGGAAAATTTTTGAAGTTCAGAAATGCAATCAAACTTTCAGGGGCGTATCCAATGTTATTCCTTAAGAGTTTGAAATTTAATTAACAATTTCAAAATTTCCATGACTTCATGGGCTCAATTTATTTCCTGAAAGGGTCCTAGATTTACTAATTCAATAAACATGAACGCCAATATCAAAATTAATTTTACATACCTTTTTCTTGGAAAATTTCCATGAGGAAATTACTATCCAAGGCCTGAGAGATGAGCGTCTGGACGTATACCTCGAAATTGTCCTGATAAGACTCGAACTTTTTCATACATTGCTCCTGATATTCATAGTCGATTATGGTCATATCCTGTTTCAGAAATTCGACCACCGTCTCCAAGTGACCCTGTGTTCTGTGTTTGACCGGCACAGAAATATATTGCTTTCTGCTTTCTGGTGTCCAAGAAGTATACTGAAAAAAATGTATACAGGGTGATTGACTTATTATGAACCATTTCATGCAGGATGTGGCCCAAATAAGGATATCGAATTCAACATTATTCTTTTCTCAAAACTTTTCTGATTTTCTCTCATATACCAGTAGTAAATGACAAAACAGATGATTTGTCCCAAATTGTCACTGCACTTGAAATTTCCCTATTGAAAACTAGAGTCACTACTGATGATAACTAATACCATCCAGTGACTATTGAAAACCAACTAGAAAAATTCAGTTGAAAGTCAGTGACATCTTGTTTGGAACATTTTTTAAGAAGGAACAAATCTGCCACTCTCCAATGCAAGCAGATTCTTTGATATTTTTTTATTGTTTTCTTCTTTTCCTACGATTTACAATAATGTTATTTCACTCTGCCATATTATATCTTTTCCATTTTCAATAAGGATATTGTCCCTATGTTCTTTGGTTCCTATTGAGAGAAGTCTATTTCAAAAAAATACATACTAGTATATGTTGATTTTATTTCTTAAAGGCAAAGGAATTCGCGAAAGTAATCTCAAACAAATATACAGGGTGATTCTCGTTCGTCAAATACTTGAATCGACCGTGTAAAAAATGCACCTACGAAAGAAAAAAATCGACGCGTTCCGAGATTTGTTTTTGCACTTCTATTTGGCAGATTTAGAATGTATAATGGTGGGACAGGTTTCACTTACCGTGGATATGTTTCTGTACAACGTTATACCGTTTTGTTCGAACGGTTCATACTTCTGGAGCAAGGTTTTGCCATCGACCCTCCAAATGGCCGGCCATTCCTGTTTCAGTTCAGATTTGATAACGACAAACTCTCCAGGCTGCAACAATGAATTGATGATAGCAACAACAAAGGTAGAAGATTTTGTACTTGCATGCACTACTAGTTAGAATGAGGAATTTAGAAAAATAAGAATCGGAACCTTTCGAAAACGGTAGCTGTGGATGAAGTGATCAACCGGTAAGCTGGCAAATAGTGACATGTTTGTCAACAACCAATGAGAGCGAGAGTTCACTTCCACCGCACGGGTATACTGAGATATACACAAAACAGGCTAGAATAGGTATTGAATTGACTCGGCCGTTACTTGATGGAAATCCATCGCAAATGTAAAAACTTCACAAACGATAAGATTTCCACAAAATTCTAATTGATCGTAACGATCAATTAGACCTCAATAGTTCACCACTGTTGAATGTGTTTTCTTAGTAGGTAATAATATTTATTTGCTATTAACCCTTTCAAGTTAATCCGGTATACCGTAATTTAATGTAGATATTGTGCCTAATTTCCGAAAATGGAGGTTTATCAAGTTGGGAAAGTAGGATACATAAAAGTTAAGCAAGCCAACGTTGGTTTAGTTCATTGTACCAGTATATCACCTGACGAAGCTACTGTGTTAGCGAAACATGTTATGTGTTTAAGAATTTTGTGGAAATCTTATCGTTTGTGAAGTTTATACATTAGAATAGGTCTGTTTCTGCATGAAATTTATATTGTACACTACATATTTCAATAATAAACTTTACGGCGTAGACGAGTGTAGCAAATTGATAGCTTGTTTGTTGCTTGTGGTGTAGTCAACTGTATTGGTATTTTATTCTAATTCCATGGTAAAAACTCTTGGAACTGGAAAAAAAGAGATAGTGATGATGAAATCATTGACAGTTATTTCTTGAATTCAGATGGTGAATCTATTATAAGTTCTTCTGACTGACGAGGATTTATCAATGAAATCTGTTTCATCAGTAGTTGGATAATCCATCTTAGGATTAGAAATGTTGACCAAAATGATTAGATAAAGTATAACACTCTGTTTCGGCGGTAAATTATCCCCAGTTATAGTTGCGTTTGTTTCATGTCAAACCGGTTGGAGAATATTCGAGTCACCAAACAAACGCCAAATATAGATGAATGACCATGGGCTCAAACAAATTGACCGTAAACTGTCATTCCGATCATTCTGTCCGTATCGATGGAATGAAAAGTGGCAACCGGAAAGGAATGTTGTGTTCAATCAAACGACAGGAATGACGAAACCGGTAGCGGTTTGATATGAAACAAACGGTGAGTGTACACCATATAACACCGAAGGGCATCAGTGCTACTACTCTACTCTGGTCTACAATATCGTGGTTATTGGAGGCACAGCGAACAGACCAAATGTTATATATACTAAGACTCGACCCATCCAAATCAAAAGAAAAAAAACTTATTTTTTACTGGTTTCAAATTATGAACCAATAATCAAGTCAGACATAGCCACCTCTGATATAATTAACCCAAATTCACTGTTCTTATGCTAGATTCGCGAGAATGGCACTCGAATGATCAATAACGACTTGTCATATGCTGTCGTGATCATGTCTAATAGATTTTAATCAGAATTGAAAAGTGCTTTCATAGTGACAATAGGTCCATATTTCAGTTTCACAGAACTATAGTGATTGAAATATCTTGCTGGTGGTGAAAAACATTTAATATACACCTCGGCTGAACCCTCGGGATATAATCTTGGTCCCTGGGTAATCGGATATTCTATACTACCTTGGTGTATAATCAACTACTATTGGTAGAAACCCACTGACAGGACACTAAAAGTAAATAGACGTAGCAAAATATACAGTGGCGCTGGTTTATTGAAAAATAGAAATGATTTATCACAGAATCACATGAAGAATAGTCAGTTACTACTGAAATTTGGATAGTGTCAATAAATGTGTCTATTCAATGAAAATAAATACTCAGTCGACCACACTTTATGTAAAAATTAGTCAATTGAAAAGTAACATGTTGAACCTCATCAGGGCCAGATTTTTCTGGCTCTTCAAATTTTTATGATTTATTGTGTCTTTATAAGGTATTGTAGTCTGATGATGGATGATTTCAACGATTCAAATGTGTCTATTTTATAATATGAACAAGGGTTATTCATGCAGCCTGCTTTTATTAAACTATACAGGTTGAATAAGAATAAAACAGACAAATTTCGTAAAAGGATTTTCCCCCACATCTACATATATGTCCTAAAATGTATCCTCTCTGAGATACAGGGTGCCAAAAGTAGAAAAACAATCAAGGTTTATATTCATTTCTCCGAAACTCCAGTGGGAGAAGACAAATGAAACTCAGTGTACTATTCCAGATTAATCAATGTACCAGGTGATTCAATAAGGATGACGAGATTCTGTATCTGAGGAGCTAAGAATTTTGCCAACAAGGCCTGTATCAAGAAAGGAATGTTTGACGAATGAAATAAAAAATCATACATGTCATTTTGGGGTTCTTACCGCCCTCGCAAAGGGGCGTGTTTTATAGACTATTAGTTTCTGAGTTAAAGTACCTCGCCACCCTTATTGAATCACCTGGTACATCACATGGAGTTTTCATGAATGAATTTCTTTAAGCAGTGGCGTAGTTACGTTCGTATGTCGCCAAATTTTCCTCAAAATTTTTTTTCTTAGACAGAATTAATTGGTATATGACATAAATTAGGGCTATCAATTTCAGTCTCACCAGATGGCGCTACTAAAACTTGAGGTCAATGTCGAATTCAATAATCCCAAAATTTGCCGGATAGTCCTGAAGGCTGTGGCCTGTGTTATCTAAAATATACAGAAAAAATGAGCAGACTTACGTTTTTTAACTCTCAATGTGTATCTTTATGTCCAATTCTTACATTGACGGAGAAGAAGATATCTTAGGAAGATGCCAAATGACACGAAAAGAAGAATTATATTTATTAGTTCTACCAACTCTGACCTCACGTTTCAATAGCTCGAAGTGGTGGATAATAAATGATGTTAGCCCTCATTGGACTCAGCGATAACTAACCTAAAAATAATAACATCCCCAGATGCCTAAATGTAGAGAAGCCTGAGATATTTGCGAAAAACTTTAGTTTAGGTGATATTACAAACAATATGGGACCTACCTTGAACAGATTGTCGTCATTGCTCGTTGGAATACTGTTATGGAGGGAAGCGGCTATGTTATCTTCTAAAGTAGGTGGAATGTTCTGTTTGTTTTTGTGCGATTTCTTTTTGTGTGCCTGATCGGAACCGAAATCATCGGTTTCTGCGATGCCGGCCTCGTGCGCTGCTGCCGATATCAGATTTTTCATGCCTTTTTTGTTCTTGCTTCCTGCTGAAAGTAAACGTGCAAGGTGTGAATGAACCAGCGCGTCGAAATTCAGGGAATGATTCTTGTTTGACATGAAAAATCTTTCGCGAAAGAAATGATTTGTGCCTCCCAAAATAAAACCCCTTGAAAGGTGTGCCGAAGTAGTTATGTATGAAAGTGTGTTATATATGTGCTCAAAGAAATAAGTGGACTCAAATTTTCGAAAATTTTCAAACTGCCAGAACTTTTTAGAGAATTAATGGATTGTCAATCGGAATGCAGTGCTTGGAAGATGCGATCTTTCTGTTCAAGATTCCTTGTTCGAAACTCGTCGGGAGTCATTATACACCAAGTGTTCGAAAAAAGTATATCAAAAATTAAAAAATTCAAACGCTTCCGTATTCCACGAATTTTTTTATATTTTTTTATAAATTGTTTTTTCCGAACGTTCAAGCCAATATCTCGAAACGGTTTTGTGATTTTCCATATTTCTCATACAGGATCGATAATTTTTCATTTTTTGTTTTATATCGCATCATTTCCGATTTTAAAATCATGCAAGCCACATTCAAAAGAATTTGACACTCTATACAATGGAACACATCCTAGAAAATGGATTCATATTTCGTTTTGTCCACTTGTTTCTTTGAGCACTTTAGATCCTAACGCCCGATTTATTGTAAAATTGACAAACAATATACAAGTGAAAAATAGAAGTAGGACAAACAATATACCAGTGAAAAATACAAGAAGTTTTCAATTGGGAAGTTCATCTAGCTTTGAGAGAAGAAAAAAAGTATTTCCCTTCTGTTCTAGTCTTCAGGGTTCCAACGTGAAATTATGGTAATTTTATGTTGGTAACATAGGAAATGTAAAAAAAAAATTCGAACCATAATATGAAAAGTTGAATGTATGTTTACCTTCAGGTTTCTATGAAATTTAATGTAAGTTGAGAGTTAATTGTGATTTTGTCAGAGTTCTAACCCTTTATATGAATATCTGGAATCATTATCGTTCGGTTTCTCAGTGATATTAATAAAGAAAAAGCAATCCCTACTCAAAACCAAAGTATACAAAGTTCAATTCTTCTCGGGTAGATGCAGTGATATATATCAACTAAATGAGCTTCAACTTCATCTTCATTCCACCGAAATAACAACTTTTTCAATATTTATCCATTCATTAATGGATGAAAATTAAGGTAACTTGAGGCATTTTTAATTTTATAAATTTCATGTATTGAAGTAGGAATACTTTATTGAACAAATATAATCGAAGCTTCACTGAATTGCAGAACATAAACAAACAGTGAAATACCAATTTTATTGCTCCCAATACTACCAAATAATTCAAATAATACCTACACACAACCAAGTGAACCATTTCAAAACAATGAACCTCCATATAGCTCCGCAATCAGCAACTTAAGCGCCGCGATCTTAAATTCAATCACCTATACATTCATAAACATATAAAGAGAGGGGACACCAAATTGTTTACATTTTGTCCTGATCCAACATCGTTTTCAGCAGAAAACGAAGGAAGCATTAATCAAACATTAATTATATAATATATTTTTTTATGTATATTTATTCTTGATTGAAATATGTGAATTCTGCTTATTGAAATAATTTGAATTTTCCTAATTTCATCATCAGATGAAAATTTGATCTATTATGGAAATGAGTGTGGCAACGCTAATTCCCGCATATGTTTCAGTCATTCACGTCAAAATCAGAAGTTAGTGTTGATGTGCTGTGTTTGTTACCGTTTTATCTTCTCAGGACTCTTTGTTTCAATTGATTTCCAGTGTGTCCTTGTTCCAAAGAAAAGTGTGAACATTGACGCAATAGTTCACAGCGTTGCCATTTTTTACGCCATCTCTTTCTAACTTATTTAAAACTTTGGAACACAGATAGTGTCTTATAAATGAAATGTTATGTCTTTCCTCTTTTTATATGTCTATGGCTATGATACTCTCTTCGTTACCACCCGATGAAAAAACAATATCGCTAGCTACCCCCACAGAATTATATACTCACCTAGAACGCCAATGAATGGAAAATTGATCTTATATATTTATTTATTGTAATGAATTCAGGACCGGCCACCAATATTCTGTTTTTATTTGTTATCAACATACAGACGTTTTATTTCTTGGATTCATACAGAAATGCGAAGTTCCTATAATATACTTGAAATATCACTCCTGAAATAAATCAGTTAAAAATCACATAAAGTGTTAACCAGGACACAAAATTCTCGTTCCAGCCACGTTAGAAAACACTTGAATAGAATGGTATTGGCCTTCTAGGTCTTTGAAGTTCTATGGTCCTGACGTTATTGATGGAGAATTCATGTACTTTAATTTTAATTTCATTTTCAAGTAACTTTCCGAAAAATATAATTCCTAGAAAGATTCATTTGAGTTAGGTTAGATTGTTTAGAAAAGCACATTTCTTAGGTGTAACACATATTTTCCTTCCTAATATTATTGATATTTTAGATATAATCACTGAATAACCGTAACACAAATACATGAAACCTTGTATTTCCCTGATGATTCCTAGATTTCCTATAATGCAAAAATGTTAGTTATTCGAATTCACCGCCATAGCTCAAATCGTTCAGATTGGCCTTTAGAAATTGTCTATACATAATATGTTTGGGCAAAACGAATTAATGCTTTTAGATTTGGCGTCGATACTGGTTGCAATGTGCAAACTCCGAAGAGCACGTAGTTATCTAGTGTGTAATTTTGTTTTAGCGCATCCGCATATATTCGGCATTCTAGGTGAGTATACAGGGTGTCCCGAAATTACATAAAAACATTTCTACCTCAGATTCTAGAAACAAAAATAGTATAAAAAAAAATCATATAAAATGGCCCCCTGGGGAGTTATAGCTATCTGAAAAAGGGCCCGAGATGATGTTTTCTTGTAAATATTTCCGAAACCCTCTGCGATGAGATAACGAAATTCTGTACATGTATATTTTCATGCCCAATTTGGAATTGTTGAGGGCATTTCTCCCACAACTTTTTTTTATGCAATCTTCGGCAGTTTGTCAGGGAAATATGAAAATATCATTTTTATTTTTAAATGATACTTTTGTTTAGTTTCGATAGCACTCACCAATTTCGAGATAAATCGATTTTAAAAGTCTGCTGCATGACAAAAATAGTGCATTTTCCTTATAATAGGGTGCAACCGAGTGCAATGGTGTTGATAAAAATTGAATAAAATAGGGGTAGTCAAGGAGGAGAAAAAAGAAAGGAAATAAACAAAAAGTGGAAAATAGGAATTTGGGAAGTAAGTGGGAAAAATGAGAAAGTATTTACGAAAGTATTGAATTTATTGGTAGTGTATAGTAGAAAGGATGATAGAAGGAAAAGTAGCAGGAAGAATATAGTGCATAGAAGCAAGAAGATTGTAGGAAACTAAGGAAGTGGCAAGGCACTAGGTATTTGGAACTTATTTAATTAAATTTCAAGAACGAGGATCGTTATAACGGTAACAAATTTTTCCAAAAATTATGTTTCAATTTTCAACATCTATGATGTTCGGTTCAAAATATGGGAGGAAAAATAAGAATAAAGAATTGAAAAAGAAATATGACAGGAACCCTGTTGAGAAAAATTCTTTTTTTTATTGCATAGCAGACTTTTAAAATCGATTTATATCAAACATTGTGAGTGCTATAGAAACTGAACAAGATAATTTTTTTCATGTGAAATTATCATATTTCCATATTTCCTGGTCAAACTGCTGAAAATTGAATTGAAAATAAAGTTGGGAGAAATATCCCTAGCCCCACCTATTTCCCACTCCCCTGATCAAAATTTCGGAAAACTCTCAACATTTTTGTATTGGGCATGGAAAGTAATATATGTACCTGTACAAAATTCCATAATCTAATCACAGAGGGTTTCGGAAATATTTACAAAAAAAAAACATCATCTCGGGCCCTCTTTCAGATGGCTATAACTCCCCAGGTGGCCATATCTGGGCTCATGTTCATGTACACTTTTTTACTATGACAAAATTCCCATTATAAAAGTCTTACCGTTTTCGAGTTTTTTTTTTCATTATTGAAAATTATTTTGGGATTTTCTCTCCTCGTTTCTATAATGATGTTTTTTTTGGAAATATTTCCATGGTCTTTTCGGGACACCCTGCATAATTCTGTGGCCACCCCAGACGAAACCGGCTACCCGACCCAAAATTATACCTGGTCTACCTCTGCGCGTCTTCTTGATGGGCAGCACGAGCTCCTCCCCGTCGTTGTTGGCGGCCGGCGTCCACGCCGGATCCGAGTCGGAGTCCTGGAACTCGGGCGGCTCCTCCGGCTCGTCGTCCCTGCCGATCTCCGACAGGCTGGTCTTGCCCTTCGCCGCCCTTTTGGCCGATTCGCGGCGCGGCACGTCGTCCGCCGCCGCCGACGACTTGCTCTTGTCCTTGTTTTTGTCCTTGAGGGCGAGAGAGAGAGAATGTGTTTTATAATAATAATGAGGTACAGGGTAAGTGTAAATTTGGGGCGAGTGGAACCCAGGCTGAATAGAGCAGTTCAGCTACCGTTGAGAGAGAAAAATAATGTCTTCCCCATCTGTCCTTGTCTTCAGTGTTCCAACATAAAATAATGAAAATATTGTGTTGGCATCATTGGAAATGGGAAAAAATGGAGAAGAATATCATATTAACCTCAATATAAAAGAAGGTTAGAACGGTCTTCTTCTCCATTTCTTCTTATTTCCAGTGTTGACAACATAAGATTTTCATTATTTCATGTTGGAACACTGAAGACAAGGACAGATGGGGAAGACATTTTTTTCTCTCTCAACGGTAGCTGAACTGCTCTATTCAGGGATTCCTGCAAGCCATTATTCATAAAGCACAAAATATTACTTCTCCCATGTATTTTCATTCTGGAAACCGTATGTCTCATGCACCGAAAATATAAAAATGAAAATCTCAATATTAATACACAATATAATACAAGACTGGTACACAATTTAAATGTAGCAATACCTAGCTCTACATTAATAATTAACTCTTTCATTTTTATCAATAGAGACGGAAAATGTATTCAAGAAACGAAAAAGTCGATATGTTGTTAATATACAATTTTAATCAACACACAAATGAAGAAGAAAAATTATTGATGCAATCGATTAACTGTCAAACACATAAAACATTTTGTGTAGGTACACCGCCTACTAAGTGGAATAATTATGAAAAAATAGACTGATAGCCCTGTGGATCATCGTATAAGAGGAACAATTTTAGTTTTATTATTCCAAATGGGAAGATCATGTGATAGGTACATGGCGAAAATAAAAGACAGATAGTTTCTGTACGAGTAGCTGAATTCGAAAAAATATGTTCCTATCTTATATTCCTCAATATCATGAGTTATTTTCAAAGGTTTTCATCTTGACTCAAACAAGCTATTGACAACCTGCAGACATTGATCAGAATATCAAAACATTTTGAATAATATCGGTTTACTAATGATATTTGAATTTCAAAGCCTACCAAGTGTCGATATATCGTCGAATTCATGTCACAGCCAACTTATTCTTTTTGAATAAAAAGCAATTCAACAGCGAATCAAGAAATAAATGCCACTTTGTGATACATGGTTGGATAGAGAATTTCAAGGCGAAAAAGAAAGACTGAAGAAATGTACAGGGTGACATTTAAAAAAAAAGTTGTGGTCACTTCCGATCAAACAGGTGGTTGAAAAAAATTGTCGTTAAGTTCGTAAAGTGCGCTACCATTTATTATATACCCCCTGTGAATTTCCAATTTGTATCTCTTCAAATAAAAAAACTACAGGCTGCTACATGTCTCCTGTGTCACCCGGTATACTATTATACAAAGTGTTTCAAATTTCGAGGTATCATCGTTCTTTCAAACATTTTATCTGATTAAATCTCTTTTTTCTTAGAAATTTGAATACACATTTCATCGATTCTGAACACGAAATGGGATCTAATGTGATAAAAACATTTTTTGAGTTATGATTTCTCAAAAAGTGTAACACTTTGTTTAATAGTATATATGGTCAAATTTGTTCAAAATCACATAACCTACCACCTCCTTCCGTATATACGTCGGTGAACCAACCACCCTGTATATGCATGTCGACTTTGTCAATGAGAATTCTATTCTTCAGACAATAAAGTATATTTTGATTTGATTTATTGTCTATTGATGTATCTTATTGACAAAGCAAGAGTCAAGAAAATACCCTTAAAATGAAGAACAAAAACTAGAACTAGTAGAAATTGCTATCAATGCCACATTACAAAATCGATTTGGAATTTCAACACATTTGAAAGCTAGTTCGTAAGGAACACATTGCAACAACATATTAAAACATTCCTATTGAAAAAAATTGTATGGTTAAAATGTGCCATTAAAAAACTCCTGTAAACTGTAATAGGGTTTATCCAAAAAGAGTACTTTTATTTCTTGTCTGATTTTTTTCATTGGATCCCATAAACTGTTGAAATTTTGCTTTGCTTTTGCGATATAAAAACTGGGTTTATGAGATGATCACTACACACAGCCCAGAATGGAATTCCTAGGAATTTTTTATTATCGGTATTTCCTATGAATCATCACCCATGACTAGCTTGTCTAATAATTCACCTTGTGCTTTTTCTCCTTTTCCGGTTTGGGCAGTTTGTCGTGTTTGGATTTCTTTTTTTCCGAGTGGGATTTCTTTTTTTCCTTGTCCCTCTCCTTGTCCTTTTCTTTTTCCTTGTCCTTGTCCTTTTCCTTGTCTTTGTCCTTTTCTTTTTCCTTGTCTTTCTCCTTTAACTAGAAGTGGTTTATAATTATTGTAATGTTGCACAGTTTATCGAAAAACGCTTTTAAGGGCATTGAAGTTACTTTCTGCTACTGAATTAATATAGAAAAATACAATTGCTGGAAGTTTTTTGAGAGGCACATAATGTCTGACAAATTCAGTATTTTGTCTGAAAAGTTCCACGCTAAATATGATTATTTCTTTATAGGTCTGAGTTAGTGTCTATGATTTTTTTTTTGTGAATTTTAGGGTAAACAGGAAAAAACAAATTTTCAACCTGTATGAGCCTTCTGCAATTCGTCTGCATTAACCGCTAATTTTGATAATCTAAGGGAAAAGCTCTCTACTGAATCTGAATCCAAATTCTCTCTATATGGGTTTAAATAAAAATGTATTTCCCAAAGGGAGAGAAACTCAGTTATTACAACAATAGTTCATAAAATGAATGAAAATAGTAGATAACGAGAGAAAAACAACTACTTTCCTGGCCATATGCCACGCAGAACATTGTATTATATCCTCCCGAAATTTAAGCAAAAATTCGTATAGACGAATAAAATCGCAAGTGTTTTCTTCCTAAACGCTGAGCTACGCCTAAGTGGTTCACGAACGCGTGACTACCTGCAGACCGGTTTCGAGCTCTTGGCTCTCATCAGTGCAGGGCTGTCCCAGATAGCATTCTTGACCGCTATCTGGTGCGAACCTGACCCAACGTAAACACATCTCAGCATTTATACCCCACGAGGCGTTCAACGTCCTCGAAATGAACGCGAACGCCGAGCGCCACCTGGCAAGGAAAGAAACACTCCAAAACAAGATACCATTTCAGGTGAATTTTTTCAAATCAAAACACAGAATTAAATTGACAGATATTTTATCATTTCAAAAGTTTTCCGTAGCAACAAAGATGCCTGCAAAAAGATGCCTACGTTAAGTGATTTACAACACTAAGTTCAACAATTTTTAAGATCTGAACACAGAATTAAATTGACAGATATTTGATTATTTCAAAAGGTTTTTGGACAGACTCCAGACTGTGGTTGCAGCGCTGGCGGATTGGTTTTGAGGCTGGAGACTATTACCTAATCCGAAGAAGTGTAAACTTATGATTTTCCACCATAAAATAAAGGACAATTCTCCGACCATCGATATCCTGAATGAGACCGTAAAACCAGTAGCAGAAACTAGATATCTTGGAGTATTAATAGACAATAAGCTCAAGTTCCAGAAACATCTAATAGCCGTCGAGAAGAAAGCAATCGGAAGAGCCAAACATTTTCGTGGCTTGACTTACAAGACCCAGGGTATAAAGACAACAACAGCTACATCAATATACAAAGCCATATGTCGACCTCTTATTGAATACAGCTACACCTTGTTCAGCACATGCAGAAAAACTACCCTAAAGCACATTGAGGTTGCAGAAAGAAGTTGTTTAAGAGCTATAACTAAAATCCGACATCCTAATAATCCCTTACATAACCCTTCCAATACCCTACTATACAATTCCACTAAAGTAGAACCCATCCTCCAACGACTACACAGACTCAGCACAAAATTCGCGAAGTCCGCCTACAATATCCCAGTGATGAGTCCACAAGTTATTGGGATGCCGGAAAACTACACAAGAAAAAGAAAATTTCCAGAAATAACCATTTTTCAAGGACTGATCCAGATGCAGCAAACAGGATAGCAAGAAAGCAATCAGCAATTAACTTTTTTCTTTTTTTTTTCTCTCATTAAACTATTATTACTATTATTATAAATATTCATACTTTATATATTATAATTGTAAACTGGGCTGAAAGACTTCGGTCAATGGCCTTTTGGGGTATATCCCTAATAAAGATGTTCTCTCTCTCTCTTTCTCTCTCTCTCTCTCTCTCTCTCTCTCTCTCTCTCTCTCTCTCTCTCGAAAGGTTTCCATTGCAACAAAGATGCCTGCAAAAAGATGCATGCAACACAGATGTAATTGTTGCAGTGTACCAGTTAAAAAACTTCAAATTTCACAGGGATAATTTTCTGGTTTTAATAAATAAATCTTCTCAATATTGAATCGTCGTATTCCCTGTCCCAGAAAAAAATAGTGGGAATAATAATTATACTTTTTTCCCTTGTATAATATATAATTATATGCCCTGCTTTAAAAAATCCTCACAATAGCCAAAGGCTGAACTATGGAACTTGCATTTGGTGTGTATCAATGTGTTACAAATGCAGTGGTTTTGCAGAGAAAAGGAGCGTTGTTACAGATACGGTGGCGAGCATTCAGGCCAAGAATGCAGTTCCACAGAACTCAAATGCCCTAATTGTCAGAAAATAAAACTCACAAATCTTCTCCACTCAGCTCGTGATATCAAGTGTCCTGTATATGAGAGGAAACTCAATATGTTCAAGAGTACTGTATATTATCAAACGCCTTTTTTATAGAACAAGATGGAAAAAAGAATATATTGATATAAACCGAGATATAAACGGACCTAATTATAATTTTAATGGCATCAGCATAATCCATCAGAACTTAAAGTCTCTGGGTAAATCCATGGATAAGATTAATTACATGTTGAACATCCATATCAAATGTGAAGTGTTTTGTGTTTCTGAGCACTGGAAAAGTGGACAGCAGTTAGCAATGTTGCCACTAAAAAATGTCCTACTTTTGTTGAGATGAGGAAAAACATGGTGGATCGGCGGTATATGTTAAAAAAACCTTGAAATGCAAAAGTCACCCCAGTTTGAATTGCATATCTGTATGTAATCAGTTTGAATGTGCAGTTGTGGAATGTCAATTTAGAAATGTATCTGCTATAGTTGTTTCAATATATAGACCAGAGACATTGAGATATTTTTAAATAAAATGGAGGAACTTTTATCAAAGGCGTTTGAAAGTAAAAAGATTATATTTATAGCAGGAGATTTCAATATCGACATTCTGAAAAATGATCAACATTCCACAGATTTTTGTGACATTAATGTACTCCTTTGGATTGAAACCATCTATACTTGAATATACTAGACTTTCAAACAATGCCGCTAGTTGCATTGATAACATATTCACAAAATGTGAACCAATACAGTCAATCATTTTACAATATCATATTTCTGATCACACAGCCCAAAAACTCTTGTAGATATGCCAGATTTTACACAAAGGAAAATAAAACAATTTTTTTTAAAACACTGAAACAACAGGACTGGGCATTAGTATATGACATCGAACAAGAAGACGTCAATAAACAATGGAATGTTTTCATGAACAATTTTTGGAATCTTTTTGTTCAGCATTTCCCTTTAAGACTTGTGAGCAACAAAAAAAAAGAAAATTCCACCGCAAAATAAGGAAATTGTGGATTGTAAGAACAGGTTGGATATCTTCTTAACATTATCACAAACAGACATGAGGTACAGAGATATTTGCAGACAAACAAAACATAAATATGACTATTATTATTATTATTGTGTGACGCCCACACGCTGTGAGAAATAAGAGGCGCGCGTACAATTCGCCAATGCCAAAATACGTACGAAACCGTGTTTCCAAAAAATTCACCACGAAAAGGAAATCACCAAACCATACCCACCTCCGACTTGACCTGGTGCTTCCGCCTGCCGAAGAACCCGTCGTCGGAACTGAACCCATCGTCCGAGCTGTCGAAGCTGTTGCGCTTCCTCTCCTTGGGCAGCGGGAAGTACCTGGGGTCGTCCTGCGGGTCACCGTGCGTCGACAGCCGGGCGGCGGCGCCGGGCAAGGGCGGGCCGCCCACCGGGGCGACGGGCAGACCGGAGGGCGGCAGGGTCGAGGCGGGCAGGCCGTTGCTCTCGGGCGACTTTTCCTCGGCTGCAAAGGGATCGGATCAGTTGGTAAACAAAAATACATTTTTCTGCAACCGACACAAAAGTCGTCCATTTTGATAACAAAATCAGCTCTTGAATTGACGTTTCTATCACCGACACAAAAATAGGTATGTTGCTAGGCAACATATTTAGTTCCTAGGAGCTAAAGTTGAATTTTAGTTCCTAAGAACTAAAAAGGATGTACTAGATGTCATCAAGAATGAACAACATTGTTATGGTTGGTTATTTGTGGTTGGGAGGCATACCTGATTTGTTTCCGATTTCGGCAGATTTGGCATTTCATACCCATGCTGGAGATATAAATACACCTTATTATAGTTTAGTATTGGAATTATGAACTTCTCAGTTAAGTATTTTTGTTTTGATTAGGGAAGCCATCAAGATTCACATACTTGCTTGATCTGTATTTCATTCGTTATTCTCGGGATGGATAACTTGTTTTTGATTAATCACGGCAAGCAATAGTTTTTTGTCTCAAACAATGATATTGTTTACCTACATTTGATTATCGAGTCAAACACAATGTAGTATAGAGAGGAATAAATGATCGCTACTATTATTGTTGATATGCTCACTAACCTAACATTTTGATTGATTGATTGATTGATTGTCTTTATTACCCCAAGAAACATTTCTGTTTATGATAGGGATACATAAATACATATAAAAAAATAATAATAAAGGGTTAACTATAATGAATTCCACTCAGTGGAAACGAATTAATATTGTGTCTTATAAGATTAAAGTTATATTTCATTCCTAAGTAATCAAATCATGCCACGTCTTGTTCTTATAGCTGGCACTGGCGCGGTATTTGCCATTAGAGCACCTGGTCCATACACAAATATGTCACTCTGTGGTTGTATTTATATTGAAACTACAATTCGAACATCCTTGAAAATTGAATAAACCTGCTGTTAATACAGGTAGAATATTCTCACCACACGGATTATTTATTTGTTGCATTGCATACATATGGCACGGCATTGGTGGTAACTTCACATAATATTTATTTGAGTTAATTGTTTCGGTTGCAGAAAAAATAGCATGTTTCATTCGGATCAAAAGTTTTAAAAATTTCAATCCAATCCATCAAACCGTTTAGTAGTGTGGGTACCGACAGCAGCGCCACCTACTGCTTCCAATTGTATTTTCAAAACCATCCAGGAAACCATTGAAATACCCATATGAAATTTCAACCCAATCAGTTCTAGAAGTTATGTGAAAAAGAAGGTAAGTACGGACAGATAATTCCTACTACCCGTTGTTCTATTACCCGTTTTTCCGTAGGAATGAAGCATAATTCGTGCGGTCAAAGGTAGCGAATGTTCATCAGGGATAATTTCGGCTTCTAATGGTAAAATAATTTGCATTAGAAAGGACATAGTATAATGTTTATGAGATTTTTTTACGGAGGATAAAGAAATGTTCGTTACCTCGTTTTGTTTCGCATGGACTGGCCATTATTTCAACCTTGGACAGAAAAGAAAAGGTTTTTGATTGATGATCACATTGACCAAACTTGAAATGGTAACGTTTTTTATTGAAGACCACTTCGCCCGGGCTTTTTGATGGTCAATGCGGTTCAATTATATGTATAAAGTGAAACATAAAAACAATCAAACCACTCAAAAATGGGAAAGAATATCTAGTCATCAAAATTGAGTGACTTGAACTGATTATATTTCAACAAAAATATCATTACATCACTGGATGATTCACTTGAGTGTATTATTTCGGATATATATCAATGATTCATAAGGGCGCCGTACATTATGCTATTTAGCAGAAAGTTCGATGGAATGCAATCTTGAATCGAACAATGCGCATGCGTCTATGATATTTCACGGCAAGTTCCATGCAAGTTTCGTAATAGAACCCGTCCTATTTTTCCTGCAATTTCAAGGCAAGTTTAGTAAAATTTTTAGTAATATTCATCGTAGCATCTTGATAAAATACAAATTTTCTCCATAACGTGGCCTGAAACACCAAATTACCTCAAAATACACATTGAAGGCTCAAAAAACCAGAAGATGGTGAATATGTACAAGAAAATATGACAGAAATATCTCAATGTACGGCGAATTGCAATAAATGGAGAAAATTGCTAGAAAATTGCATTGCCTCAAACTTGCCGAGAAATAGCATAATGTACGGCGCCCTATATAGATGATTCCTAATATATCTGGGTTTTAAGAAGCCAGGTAGCGTGTTATTTTTGGTATATTATCAATAGATCAGTGAAGTTTACTATTTTAAAGGTTTCTGTACACAAGCGACCGGTCGAAACTATTCTTATCTGTCATTGATTTAGTCATGTGACACTAACGACCAGTCGGTCATGCCGGTCGACAACCAAAAACTCGTCTTTTGGAGCTCGTAAGTTTCGGATTATTCAGATGATGAAATGAGAATGACAAATATCTAATCTAACATCAGGTGGGCACTTCCAAGGCGCAAATTCATTACTGCATGGGAGATACTCTCCAGATTTTTTGCTATTCAGTGATTTGACGACGAATGACATTGACAGATCCCATATGGCAGATTATGTAATTATGATCCGATTCTATAATCAGAATTGGTATAAGGGGGTTTTCGGGTCGGAGATTATTATTTCTTCGTGAGAATTAGGATATTCAAATGGCGGTACTTGGCTCCTCCGCCATTCTTATGACGTACTTTCTGAAAATCCACATTTACACAAAGTCAAAATACGATTCCCTGTGCCAGTACGACGTTGCCGATATCATCAATATGTCTAGATTTCAGGAAATTGGTCTTTGAATGCATAATAACTATATCATAACAGCAATGGGATATAATTATAATTAAGTATTATGAATAATTTCCATAAATCTCTCATTGGCTGAATGAAGTTGATTACTAATGAAGATGAATTATGATATTTTGCGATAGTATCTATAATTTTTCACTATTGTTATATTACAATGTGTTATTCATTACTTGTCAGTCCTTTTATTTGCTGATGAATTCGTTAGTTGATGAAACGGATGTACTTTCTGTGAAAGTTGCAGATTATATCTTGCAACAGCGCCTAATACTTCGAGTCCGTCCACACCACTCAAAATACTGACAGGCACAACAAGAGGAAGGGGCCATGGGTTTCGGCTTCATTCTGGTCTGACCGATGGCAGTAAATTATGAAGGATAGTATCATTGAATGTAGCCGATAGTGATTCATTGATTCAAGGATATTTTTGTTCAGGATCGAGCTCTATCCCAGATATTTCAATGCATAACAAAACCATAACCTGTCAGAATGAAGCCAACTACCCTCTGCATTCCTGCTCCGAGTGCATTTTGTGGTTATGTATGTTTTTGTTTGCCAGTTTTACTTCTTCTTTTATTTTTTTTATTCGTTAGCTATTTGCTAGCTATATTCTTCAACATCAGCTATTTTCAGACTAGATTCAGAATGTACGTCAGTTTGCTGCCCCGAAAATAAGAAATTCCTTCAATTTGAAAATGAAAACGACTTGGACTTTATCGGTCGCCATTCTGTACAGCGTGGACATAAAACTGGAGAGTTCCGAACTTATTTTATGAAAATTCATCTGAAGGAAACTTCCCCATTCTATCATACATTTATATTGAATAAAAATTGTTACTTTTGAAATATGATGAACATTTGAAAAACACCCGACTCTCAATCTCTCACCCTTACCTTTGATGGGCGGCCTAGGCCACGGCTGCTTCCTGCCGCCCCCGCGGACCGCCGGCGGAGGCGACGTGTCGCGCTCCCCCTGCAAGAACTTCAGGTAGCTGCTCATGAAACCCGAGGAGGGTTTGTCGCCGGGTTTGGGGGCGGCGGCGGGGGCCTGCGCCGGTTTCTGTTGGTTCTGGGGGTGGTGATGGTGGTGGTGGTTGGGTACCGGTGGTCGGGTGGTGTCTGTTGGAAAAGAGAGAATGAGTATCGAATGTGCAGTTTATCATTATCAATTTATCTCTCCAAAAAGGTGTATTTCCTTCTAGGTTGAAGATATCCAATGTCATTCCTCTTCACAAAAAAGGTGATTCAAATACTATGAATAATTATTATAGGACTATTTCTTTATGCTCAAGCATAAGCAAAATTTTTGAAGCTGTCGTTAACAAAAATATAATCAACTAATTTTTAACATTCAATGGTAACTTGTCTCTATGCCAACATGGTTTCATGAAGAATAGAAACACTGACACTGCACTTTGTGAATTTTTAAATAAAATATAATATAAAGCTCTCGATGTTAAATAAGTGACACTGGGGTTATTTATGGATTTTGGCCAAGGCATTTGACTGTGTTCGGCATGATACTCTTCTGTATAAATTGGAAAGATGTTGAATTCGTGGAGTTACTCTTCAATGGTTTGCATCATATGTGACTGATAGACAACAGCAGGTTAAATGTAACAACTATATTTCTGATTTGAAATCTGTGAATATGGGTGTGCCTCAAGGATCCATTCTTGGTCCAACACTCTTTATTATATATATATCAACGATTTGATTGAATCAATGAGACCACACTCTGAACAAGTAGTAGCTTATGCTGATGATACAAACTTTCTGTTCATTTCAGACACTGTTTATAATGCCAAAAAAACAGGCCGAACTAGTTTACATGAATGTTTGCAAGTGAGTTGATGTGAACAAGTTTTGTCTGAATAATGATAAATGACCTGTGTTATTTTCAAATCTTCTGGTTCCGAATATTCTAACCACATAACTCTAAATAATACAGAAATCGCCTGCTCTCTGATACTAAATAGCTTGGTGTTAACTTAGGAAGTAACCTAGAGTGGTATGGACATGTAGATAGTTTGTGTTCAAAGCTAGCTAAGATATGATATGCCCTCTTCATTTCATCACAATAATGTAGCAAAGAAATAATGAAACAATTGTATTTCGGGTGCTTCCACTCCAATCTAAAATATGGAATCATACATTGTGCAAATTCCGCAGAAGCTCATAGGTCTTTTACCTTGCAAAAAAGGACAGTCCGTATCTTGGTAAATCTGAGAGCAAGAGATTCATGCAGGGAATATTTTAAAAACCTGGGTATCTTCACAATGATTTCCCTTTATATTTATGAAGTGACCTGCTTTGTATATAATCATAAACGTTATTTTGAAACCGAAAAAGTTGAACATGATTACAATATAAGGAACAAAGATTATCTGTTACCTCCTCAACACTCATCTGCTCAATATCAGAAAAGCTTATACTACAATGGATGTAAATTATACAATTGCCTGCCAAAATCCATAAAAGAATGGAAAAATAAATTTCAATTCAAGAATAAAATGAAAAATTGCTTCTGAAGAAATCTTATTACACCTTAGATGAATTCTTCTGTGATATCCAATCATTGCTAACTGATGAATGATGTTCAAGTAGACGTGTATATATTTTTATGTTTATGTACCTGTGAAATCTTGTATATTATTATGTTTGTTTTATACGTACAATATAAATTCATGTACTTCAGCCCAATTTTGATGTTTCTTTCTTAAACTGTATGTTTTTGAAACAAATAAATCTATCTATCTATCACCGATAAATAAAGCATGACTAGTGTTAACATACAGATTGAAAGAGAATTGCTGGCATATAAGACAAGGCAAGACCAATTATCCTATAGAGAAACCGTGTGAAAGAAAACCAGTTCTCACCGTGTGACAGGAAATTCAACTCCTCCTCGATATTCGGCACCACCACCTTTGGATGCTCCTCCGCCTGCTGCGGCGGCGGCGGCTGCTGCTGCTGGTACTGCCCCTGGCCAACCTGCCCCACCTGCCCCTGCTGCCCCGCCTGCTCTCCCCCGTACCCGCCCAACGGCGTCAGCTCCACGCCCGAGGGGTAGTCGTTGGGGTGGGGCGGCAGATGGAAGGGCGCGAAATAGGGCAGCGGGGGCGGCGGGTGGTGGCCGTGCGGATGGGGCACCATCAGGCCTTGGTGTTGCTGGTGCAGCGCCTGCGTGGCGAAGATTTTCGAGGTGGGCGGCGGCAAGTTCCATCTGTCGAAGTCGAAGTAGGCGCCGTTCTGTTGGGGCTGGTTGGCGCCCGAGCTGTGGGCAGGAGGTGGGATGCGGCCTAAAAAATTGAAGGTGATCAACTTTCGGAGGGCACGGAACGGACACCCTATTATAGATAGATTTTATTTCATTTGTTGAAAAGTACAGCTGTACAATAACAAAGAATACATCAGCAATATAAAATATGTGTAAATAAATAAATAATAGACATTGTGAGTAAATAATGAACATAGAAAGTATATATAAAGAACACAATTTGATAAAACAAACAATTATGACAGGAATTCGTCAATAGTGTAGATATTCGATATTCTTGTATGTGGAATATCGTGCGAGTTATGGAGGATCAGTAGAAAAGGTAGGCATTGGAATTTGAGAAGTTACAATTAAAGACTCCAAACATTTCCAATTTCTACCACAAACCTACCCGAAATATCAAACATGATTGTAATTTACAGAAATATATAACTTGTTCCATCTTGACGCCGCTAGCTCCCTAATCTGACAAAAAAGATTCACTCATTCAGCCTTAACTGAATTCAATAAACTACCTGATAATATAAAAAATTGCAGTAATATATTCAAAAATGAAGTAAAAAAACTGATTATTTCTGAGCGGACTGGATAAAATTAATCATGCCATTTTTTTTTTTACAAATATTATTCTTTGTTTGCCAATTTATATATTTTGAATGATGCTATGTTTACCTATAGGTATATAATTATGTACTTCCTTATACCAGAGCCTATTCTGTCTGGAAGTTATTTGTTCAATAAATAAATAAATGAATAAATAAATAAATAAATAAATAAATAAATAAATAAATAAGTAGTTTAGATAGAAGTAGATGAGTGATATAAAGAGTATTTCAATTCACATCTGATTTGACTAATTTCAAAGGTCTTCCAAGAAACAAATAAAACACGATAAAATATAGGTAGGTCAAACTAGGACATCCATCTAAAACTGGTTTAAAGAGCATCTTGCACAAGAGATTCTAGCAGAACATAAAATGTAACATAGACATTGAGAACAAAAAATATCAAACTTGATTGAAATTCAATAAAATCGATTACAAGAAGTAGTTGAGAATAGTAATACTTAATAGAAGACCTATTCCATAAAGAGTAATTTGCAAAAAGTACTAGTGTGATTATTGGACTGTGACAAACTTTCATTCATTCGAAAACATTTCCAAATTGATTCTAGATGATGATAAATAAATATTTCTCTGCGACGGGTAAAAAGTTGAGTTCCTAATTCGATGGTTTCAAATTAAAAAGTAGTGGAGATGACTTCCTCATTGAATACGAAGTCAAAATAAGGTGAGGGAATGAATATTCCAAATCAAAAAAATTAGTGTTTGGGACATAAAAAGACTGGTATTCACAAAATTTTGAGCGTAACTGGCTTTTATTGACATTGGCGTTTGGGGTTCTTACTTATATGCTTTGATCCATATAATGTATTTTCTCAATATTGAATCATCGTTTTTCCTGTCTTACTTCCGCTCTACGCTTCGGAGGACACCACAACCTGGAGTATAATACTTTTTTCCTAGCTTTTACCGCTTTCTCATTAATCTGTTGATTTCATTCACTGCCATTAAGGTTTATTTTTATTCAAGGACTATGATACCTTTATGCACCACTTTTTTTAATTTTGAACTCTTCTTCTTGATCGAAACATAGTCCTCAGCCTGATGAAAATGTATGTGTTATAATTGGCTGATTGCTGATAATTGGGAACCTGCGCAAATAATTTTTTTTAGCGTTTATTTCATCCCAAAATACACAGTGTTACATAGGGATACCTCTAATAATAGGTACAAAAATAATTTGATATCACACACTTCTGCCCTTCGTGGGCATTTGCTCGTCATGATTCTCCCCTTTCTTATCTTATTGTTAAAGAAAACGGACGAGCCATACGACGCAACGAAGTTCACTTGAACCGTACCAAGAATGAATTTGAAAATGACTATGACCTCAGCTTCGACTATGACTTCAGCTTCGACGAAGATGTTCAAAATCAACATTTGAATCATAATCTCCGGCTTAACTTGAACGCAGATTCTACCAGAGGTCCTGATAATATAATTCCATCCCTTATCACGAAGTGGAAGATCTGTGCGCCCTCCAGAACGCTTGAATATTTAGTCATCATCACTTTTAGTTTCATCTCGAATTCTAAAGAGGGGAGATGGTGTAGCACCCTGTATGATGACAATGGATGAAAGGAAGGCCTGTCAGTTCTGTAATCAATGTCAGTAGATACTAAATATTGATTCTTGCATGAAGCTTTATTAGTAGAAAACAAGCACTAAAACACCCAACAGATATAATTCAATATTTTGATGTATTAGCCAGATTTTCTCATTTATGAGAAAAAGATTGACACTCACTGGGAATATTGTGCAGCTCGGGCACCGCCTTCTCGCTGCTCTTCCGCCGCTTCGCCGGCGGCTTCGGCTCCTGCTTGATCTCCCCGGCCGCCGCCGGCGCTTGGCAGCTCTGCTGCTGCTGCAGGTTCTTCACGATGCTCATCGGGTCGCCGCGGCAGCTCGACAGGTCCTGCAACGTCACCTGGTTGCTCTCGAAGTACGCCTGCTGCCGCTCCCCCACCGCCCCCACCACGAGACGCTGCTGCTGGTTGGAGTCGGCGCGGTTGATCTCTAGGCCGCCGGTCGAGTTGTAGGAGTTGTTGCCTGTCGAGCAAAGTTTCAACGTTCGAATTTTCATTTTCCTGTATGGTTCAGTGGGATGGGGAAGTTTGGAGCTTCTCAGTTTTATGTCAAATTATGGCGATCGATGAAGTCTAGATTCATATAAGAGTATCAATACCATCCAGTGACTCTAATAAAGTACAAGTCATTTCTATTTTCAAAATAAAGCAATTTCCAATTTTCCAAGCGGCAAACTGTGTCGTACAGTATGAATCTAGTCTGAATACAGCTGATGAAGAATATAGCTAGCGAACAGCTAACAAATAAAAAGGATATAAGAAGAAGACAACTTGGCTTCGTTGTTGATTATAGGGTCCCTTATGTAAATTGACGTATTTGTCATCTCAACAGAGTACGGACAGATAATCGTCTCCTCTCACTCTGAAGTGTTAGTGAAACAGTTATACCGGGTGACACAGGTTATCGGGCCACCCCTGTAACTTCTGCATTCGTCAACGGATTTTTCTGAAATTCGGTACAGTTATATAAGCAACTATTTCGGATTTGATCACATTACAATCCAATATGGCGGACTTCCGGTTTTTCTGGAAATGCCAGAAATTTTGTTTTTTCAAATGGAACACCCTGTATATTTCTACATATTCAGGTTCAACAAGTCAAAACAAGTGCAATCTTAATGTCAAATGTCATTTCTTCCACAGCTTACCTAGTTGAAAAATTATTCTAACTGCAAGGAAATTCATAAACTAGTTGTTGATTTTTGAATGTATACAATTTCTTACTGCACCAAAAAACAAAAATGATGTCATTTTGTTCCTTAATGTATGTTCTAGAGAGACGGGTAAGTGGCCCATAGGGGTTCCATTTGAAAAAAAATAATTTTTGATCAAAAAGTGATGTGGCTGAATTGATTCCTGGATAAGTGACACAAAAAATAATTTTTCAGAAAAAATTATGTTTTTTTGTTATGTGTGACTCATTGTGAATAGTCTTGACCACATCTCATTTATCCACGAGGTAAAATGAAAAAACAATGTCAACTTAATTTTTTTCGAAAAAATGACATTTGAAATAAGGATTGCACTTGTTTCGACCTGTTGAACTTGAATATGTAAAAATATACAGAGTGTTTCATTTGAAAAAACAAAGTTGCTGGCATTTCCAGAAATACCGGAAGTCCGCCATATTGGATTGTAATGTGATCAAATCCGAAATAATTGCTTATATAACTGTACCGAATTTCAGAAAAATCCGATGACGAAAGCAGAAGTTACAGGGGTGGCCCGATACCCTGTGTCACCCGGTATAGTTCCATCTTTATAGGTCGCGTGCACGAAGACCGACCCTGGAGGCAAAATATTCAAACACAACCTCATTCTTCTGTGAATTATTGAAACACAACCTCACTTTTTTATTTGGTTACAGAGGAATCAAGAGGTTGAAATAGTTTTTCACAATATTTTGGCATACGAATCGTGTTTCTTGCGTTATTCATTAATTCAAGCATGCCTTCGCATTGTGCTGTTGTACAATGCACAAAAAATGCAGCAAGAGACTAGGGAATATGATTTTTCAGGTAAATAGTAATCTCACATAGTTAGCATTATGAAATGTTGTCATTCCTTATTAAAATTCCTTCTGCCTTCTGCCACTTCTGCCATACAAGCTAATGCTGCTAATAGATTGAAAATGTCTACAACACACACGATCGTCAGCATGTCAGACCAGTCCTACCGATTGATTGCATGAATCCGATCTTCCTGCATTATTCTAGAAATTTCAGGTATATTTCTATTAGCTGATCCTATTGCAGATTGCAGAAGGAACTCCGATGAGAAATCAGAGAAATAACCAAATTTCAAAAATGAAAACTATGTGAGTGACTATAGTAGGTACTTACTTTTGAATCATAATGTACCAGTACCATCCGGATTTCTTCATCTTCCGCTGCAGTTTTTGTGCATTTTACAACAGCATAATGTGATGGCATTAGCGAATTGATGAATAGCGGAAAAATACGATTCATATGCCAAAATAATTGTGGAAAACTATTTCGATCACTTGTAAACAAATATGTTTTGCCTCCAGGGTCGGTCATTTGACAGTTCTTGCACGCGACCTATTCATTTCTGGGAATAAACACGAGATTTATGACATTTGTTGTTTTTTAGGTTATATTGAGGACATTGGCATAAGGTGAAAAATGTTATGTAGGTATTCAAACTAATGTGCTCATATGTCATGTGTGCTGTATATATTCATGTTGGGGATCATTTTTGCAGTTTTTCACGAACACTTAATATTTCCTGAATGTAGGTATAATTTTTTAAATGGTAGGGTATATGCCTCTTCTTTTAATCCTCCGTTTTAATCAAAACTGTTTCTACTTAAACACATTCAAAAAATTTTTGAAGTGGATAATTATAGGCACAATGAGAAAGTATAATATGTGATTTTATTCGTATTAGTTTTACCTCGAATATTTTGCTGATATATTTACCAATGTTTCCCATTCGGTCACTTCACTTTCCATGTTCTAAATTCATTTGCATTTGATGGAAATCTGACAAATTCGAATTTGCCATCCAGCTGATTGATACAGCCTAATGCAGCACATTTTACCATCCTTCCAAAGCAGAATTGAATAATGTCGTATCAAGATAAAGTATGAAATTTAAATTTTGTAAGATCTCTTTCAACGCCTATAAATGTGATGTGGCAGCAATGCCATGTCAGGGACGCCAATACACGAAACCTGAGTCACTTGATGATTAAAAGAGAAAGGAGCTATGATCTGTCCGTCCGTACCTTGTTGACAAATACGTCAGTTTGCATCTAGGAACCGTAGATGATTAAATCATGGAAAACAACTCACAAAACAACTATAAACTGTAGACATAGGCTGACGAATAACTAGAGATTAAAAATCAAGCAAAAAAAAATGGCAAACAAGAACATATTATGCACGGGCACAAAGTATTATGCGCTGTTGCAAGATATAATCTGCAATTTTTCCAGAAGAAACATCTGTTTTATAAAGGAACGAATACTTTGAAAAAAAATGACTGACGAGTTGTGATCATCATTTTGTACTATACAGGGTGTCCCGAAATTACATAGAAAGATTTTAACCACAGATTCTAGGAACAAAAATAGTAAAAGAAGTTCTATAAACATGAGCTCAGAAATGGCCTATTGGCGAGTTATAGTCATCTGAAATTGGGCCCGAAAGTGATGAGTACTATCTAAACTGAACAAGTGCATCATTTTTATGTAAAAATGATGATATTTTCATATTTCCTGGTCAAACTGCCGAAACTACTTCCCATAACACTGATCAACATTTCGGAAAATTCTCAACATTCAACGTGAAAAGTAATATACATGTACAAAACTTTAGCTCATCACAGAGGTTTTTGAAAATATTCACATAAAAACCATCATCTCGGGTCCTCTTTCAGATGGCTATAACTCTTCAGGGGGGCATTTCCGGGCTCATGTTTATATGAACTCTTTTTACTATTTTTGTTCCTAGAATCTGTGGTTGAAATCTTTCTATGTAATTTCGGGACACCCTGTATAACGAAAGTGGAAAATTATAGATACTATTGCATTAATTAGACATTAACTTCATCCAGCAAAAAAGAGATTTATGAAAATCATTTATTACTCCACAAAGTAGGATTGAAAAATCTTTAATATACCATTGCTGTTATATTTATAGTTATATAAATAATTTCCGGAATTCAGACATTGATGTTGCCGGCAACGTCGTACTGACACAGGAAATATGGCTTTTCTAAGTAGTACATCATAGGAATGGCGAAACAACAAGTTCCTATTTTCTATAGTTGAATGTGATCTTAGGAAAAAAAGTACAATATAATAATTCTAGCCAATCATCCGGTCCGATACCGATAATTTGTTAGTACCAAATTACAGCTGCTATAATTTTTTCACGTTCGGATCTAAAGCTGTTTTTTTCCACAAATATGTCTGTTCGCACAAAAATGAAGCAAAACAGAAGTGTGTGGTTGCAAAATGTTCGTTTTCACTGGGCCTTAGGCGAAATAGTTAAAAAAATAATTATGTCTAATTACATGCTTGGTGGTAATTTGTTTTTAATAATGATTTTCGGCAACCGTCCGAGAAATGCTCACTTATAAATTTATAAATGCAGATGATAATTACCATAGCAGCGAAATATCGGAAAATGGAAAAAAAATCTAGTGTTATTCTGATTGATAATTTGTAAAAAACTCTGTCTCTCAATTGTTCCTACCAGGAAGTGTGAAACCGTCTCTATTAATGTATTTCCAAGTGATATTTCTTTGCCACATAAGTGGATACATTCGTTATTGAGTGTTACAGGCTCATTACTAGTAAGATAATCAGAGCCCTGATGAAAAGCTGCTCAACTTGTTTACGATTTTCAAGGTTATGTAGGTTTGACAGGAAAACTATTGAAATAAGGGTTTCCTCGAGTTAACCGTATGGCGGCACTACTGTATCGGCCACAGAAACCTGTATGTGATTTTCCTTGTTTGAGCAGACCAGATACTACAACTCATTAGATTTTTTCTCTCCATATTCAGCAGACGATGGTAGACATTTTGATTTTTGAAAGTTTTGTTGCAATTATTGCAATAAACTATCGAAAGCAGCAGCGATAGTGAGTTTGAAAATGTCCATACGAATATTCCAATGTAACAGTTAGTAGGTATAGGTATTCTGTTCAAATTTCAGTATTTGATACAAATGAGAATTGATAAAGAAATAATTGTATTCTTCAAGGGAATATAAACTACTCAACACTAATTTCGTCGCACACCAAAATGTCGCCCCTGTTATAATATGAATAACTTTTTTCAGTTTAGAACAATTTGAATTTGGTTCACACTGTTCGATAGCTCAGTCCTTCAGCTATAATCTCGTACTTAATTGAAATATAAGGGTATTCACATAATATCTCTACATGGTGTTTTCCGACACTGTCCGTCCATATTTTCCTCGCTCTCAGTAGTCAAGAATTGTGCGTGAGAAAACACAATTGAAACATGTTCTTGCTAAAACATTAGATCATTTCTCCTCTGTAATGCATGGCCCGCCGTAACCAACGTTACAAGAATCACAATGAGTGACTGACAAACCCGACCAGCTGAGGCTCATCATAAATGGTGTACCAACAAGAGCAACGGATTTTGATTTTTTCAATTAAGTGATTTTTTTAACAGTTGTCACGTACATAACATGCGATTTAAGAATATGGAGAAGTATTCAAGCAAACAACGTTTATTTATTGTAAAAACGCATTTCAAAAATGGTGAAAGTTTCACGAAAAGAGTTTGCCAATTACGTAAAGTTTTCAGTCGCAATAATGCGCCGAACGAATCGACAGTAATAACCAAACAATTGTCGGAGATAAGCCCTTTGAATGGATCGGACTGTCGTGTTTAGCAGATCCGCGATTTGAAGGAAAGATAACCCTTGTTCCCTCATTTGTGGAATCAGTTCCAACTGGTCGGGCGTTAAATGCGGCATCGAAACTATCAAAATCTGTTTATGATTCGAAAACGACGTCTAACCTGACTTGTCAGTCACTTACTGTGATTCTTGTAACGTTGGTTACGGGCCATGCATTACAGAGGAGAAATGGTCTGATGTTTTTGCAAGAACATGTTTCAATTGTGTTTTCTCACGCACATTCTTGAGTACTGAGAGCGAGGAAAATATGGACGCATCCAGAATGAATTGTTTTTCCGAGAACAAGTTGATTTTCATTCAATTCTCCTCCCAACCAAGATTCGTAGGGCATTCCAGATTTGGGTCACTTTCAAAGAAATCTCTAGATCTTTGATAGACATCTTGAGTCAATTCAGATATTCAGATCTCTTCATCTGAAATTTTATCTTCAAAATGATCCTGAGATTTCTAAAATCGGTTGACGTGGAAAAAAGATATGACTGCAAAACCAGAAAGTTGATTTTTTGAGATCACTCTGTAAATAAGAGAGATAGGAAGTTGATTCGCGAAATATCTCGAGGTAATGAAATCATCTTCATGCCTCTGTTGTCGAAGTTGAGAAAAACATTTTTTTCACCATTTGAGAGCTTTTTGAATATTCCGAAATTTTGCACAGTGTCGGAAAACACCGTGTAGAGATTTTATGTGAATACCCTTATGTTTCAATGAAGTACCAGATTATAGCTGAAGGACTGGGCTATCGAACAGTGTGAACCAAATTCAAATTGTTCTAAACTGAAAAAAGTTATTCACATTATAACAGGGGCGACATTTTGGTGTGCGACGAAATTAGTGTTGAGTAGTTTAGTATGGAAATGTGTCTCATTGATTCGTTATTCTACATAGTTGCCGAAAAAATAGTGTACGCAACATGTCCAACTTCCAGGACTCGACTAGGGCTCGGCCTAGAATTTCGTCTACTCGTTTAAAAAAACAGTATTTTCCGGACTTGTTTCGTAAATTACTATTTACTAGAATAGCAATTGTTTTTGTTGATATTATCAAAACATTTACACCAGTTGTGTAATCGCTGTAGATAATCATTGGAAACCAATTCACCTTGCGGCGGATTTGGCTGCGCGTTCTGGAACTTCCGCTGGCCCTGCTGCTGGCGCTCGTCCCAGCAATTCTGCTGCGCCGGCGGCTGATTGGCGTGGTTCGGCCGCTCGTACCGCTCCGCGGGGAACGCCTTCTCCGGATTATTCAGCGCCCGCGTGATCACCGAGGGATAGGCGACGTTGCCGGTTTGCGAGCTCGGCCGCGGCACGGAGACGTCGAGCGGGGAGGGGGGCGGCGGTTGGCTGGCGCCGGCGCTCTGTTGCGGCGACGAGATCGAATTCATGGGGCTGTTGTACATGGGGTAGGCGGGGCTCTGGGCGTGACCTGGGAACAGCGGGGGTTCGTTTGCTTGTACAAAAATCACTGCCACACCTGTTTTTTATAGACCGGGTGACATAGCTAGGAGACATGTAACATCTTGTAGTTTCTTTATTTGAAGAGATAAAAATTTCAGATTCACAAAGATTATATTATCGATGATGGCGCTTCCCTTGAACCCAATGACAATTTTCTTCATCCACCTGTTTGATCGAAAGTAGACCCAACTTTTTTTTTCAAATGGCACCCTGTATATTTCTGTAGCCCTCTCATTTGCCTTGAAATTCTCTATTCAACTATGTATCATTGGCTGTGGCCCGAATGCAATGACATTTCGATGCTTGACTTAGACGATATTATCAGAATGGGTTGAGTGCAAGAACTGTCAGATGACCGACCCTGGAGGCACAACATTGAAACACAACCTCACTTTTCTTATTTGTTTACAAGTGATTGAAATAGGTTTTCACAATTATTTTGGTATAGGAATCGTATTTTCCGGCTATTCATTAATTCGCTCATGCCATCACATTGTGCTGTAGTGTAGTACAATGTACCCAAAAGACAGCGAGAGACGAAGGAATCCGATTGGTACATTATGATTTTAAAGTAAGTACCTACTATAAACACACATATAGTTTTCATTTTTGAAATTTGGTAATTCCTCCGACCTCTCATCGGAATTTCTTCTGCAATCGGAGCTAATAGTTGAAACTCGTGAAATTTCTAAAATAATGCAAGAAGATTGGATTAATGCAATCAAACGGGAGGACTTGTCTGACATGCTGACGAAATAAGATGATGTGTGTTGTAGACATTTTCAATCTATAAGCAGTATTAGCTTGTCTTGCAGAAGCGGCAGAAGAAATTTCAATAAGGAATGACAACATTTCATAATGAAAACTATGTGAGATTACTATTAACCTGAAAAATCATAATCCTTCGTCTGTCGCTGCTTTTTTTGTGCACAATGCATGCTTGAATTAACGAATAGCGCAAAAAACACGATTCGTATGCCAAAATATTGTGAAAAACTATTCCAATCTTTTGATTCCTCTGCAAATAAATAAAAAAGTGAGATTGTGTTTCAATAATTCACAGAAGAGTGAGGTTGTGTTTCAATATTTTGCCTCCATGGTAGGTCATCGTACACGCGACCTATATTTTTCATGCCCTAATGGGTTCCAGAAGATTGCCAATAATTTCATGAGATTCAAAAATCATTCGAAAATAACTCACGATATTCGCGATAGAGAATAACACGTCGCTCCATCTGACGGCAACAACTTGAACACTTCTGAGCGGTTTGATTTGATGACGTGACCAATAAGCACAAACAAAAACCATATGTGAAACAATGAAAACAAAGTAAACATGCCGCATTGACAGCTTCCAAGAACTCCGATAGGTGGCGTACGCTTATTTTCTATCGCGAATATCATGAGCTCCAAGCGATAAAAAAAAACAAGATAGAAACTCAGTTTTTTCATTTGGGTACTTGTGAAGGAACTATTTGTCTTTCATTTTTGCCATGTAGCCATAATATGATCATCCATTTGGATACATGAAACTGAAATTGTTGTAATAAATTGATGTATCGTTCTAATATCGTGAGTTATGATGAAATCATTGGCAATCTTATGGGACCGATTAGGGTATGTAAAATATTCTCATAATATCGTCTAAGTGATGATCTTCGGATTTCAAAGCCTATCAAGCAAATGTCATTGTATTCGGGCCACAGCCCACTTCATGTATTTCAATAAAATTCAATGTAACAGCCAATTAATAAACGAATATCAAATTGTGATACATAGTTGAATAGAGAATTTCAAGGCAAATAAGATAGCTTACAAAAATATACGGGGTGCTATTTGAAAAAAAAGTTGGGTCTACTTCCAATCTAACAGATGGTTGAAAAAAATGGCCATTGGGTTCAAAGGAAGCGCCATCATCGATAATATAACCCTTGTGAATTTCAAATTTTTATCTCTTCAACCGAAAAAACTACAGGCTGTTACATGTCTCCTGTGACACCCGGTATATAAAATATTTGATATTCGGCAAATTATATTTGTTAAAAACCAAAAAACAATAAAAGCAAATTCCATATCCGCCTGTCAATGAAGCTAATTTAGTGGAAAAATCGAGAGCTCATTTGTTTCAACAGAATATTTATCAAGATGGACAATTTTAGTAAAGTTTTCAAAACCGTCACCTCAGACAATTTAGGTTCAAGTTTGTTGTTGATTTGTTGTTTATTCGATTTTGGTATTCCATTTTGCGTTTCTTCAACACATTGCATGCCAAGCCGTGATTGGTGATTGGCTATGGTAGTTTTCTATTATTTGTGAGTATTTTATGTTAAAATGAAGGTTTGTTCTATACTTTTTGTTTTTTGTAGTTTTGGTTATATTTTTTTGGTTTAGCTGTGTCACTCATATATGAGAGACGTGGCCCTGTAGCAGAAAAAAAAAGACAAATTTATCGCTGAAGGCTACGTGATTCAAATATGAACGACGGTTTCTTGATTTTTTCTCTTTTGTTTCCTGGGTTTTCTTCAAGCAGGCCACCAAAAAGAAATCTCGATACGAGCATTTTTTCAAGATATATCAGCCGCAGATTTGAATTCGGACAAACCACAAAGGACTGAAACGGCAAAAGCATCTACTTCATCGTATCATCCACAAATTTGTTTGACATGTTTCAATGAGATATATTAGTTCCATTTTTAGTTTGATTTTTTACCTCATTTTGTACGGAAATATAAGTTTTGACTTTTTGTACTACAAAGTCTTTGTGTTTTTAATTTTGCTCAAACCAAGATTCAGGGGCCACTCTCTACATTCCCAATTTAAAATGTATGGCAGCGTGATGCATTTTTGAAGAGACACTGATAGAGTATAATATCTGTTTCTCACATATGAGAGAGACAAAGCACCCTGGGAAAGTTCAATGTCGCTCATACATGAGAGACATGGCACGCAATGTGTTTTAAAGGGTAGACGTATGTCAATTCTTTAACACTTTTTCCTCAACGATGAAGATGCTTGAGGCAACATGCAATAACTTCCAATATCAGATAAGAGTTTCTTCTTGAGCCACATGTTTATTCATTTCATAAATATGAAGGGATATTTTGTTCTCATGGACAATATGAGAGTAAATATTATAAGCAGTTCTCACATTTTTATTCTTAGCTTGCATTCAATCATTTTGATGAAGTGCAAACAGAGTAAGGTTTTATCTCCGCACTGCGGTGTCCCTTACTTATGCAAGTATTTAAAATGTTGAGCATGAGAATTTTCTTAATTACAGTGGTTCATGACGGAAATTAGAAAAAATTTTAGGTTTGGGATTATAAATGAATAACTTATTTCGGAATAGAGGTCACTATTCCAAGTTTAAAAAAATTCATCAATATCTTGACAAAATATTTCTCACAAAATTTGAAGATCATATACGTTTTGGAGAGGGTTTTGGATTTGATGTCCTTTTTGTTTTCATAAATAATAATTTACAATACATTTTTGGACAATATCTAAGCATTTTTATATTTCGTTATGTAGTTGGCGAGGTATGATTTTGTCCGTTTTTCTCGAAAACGAAGTAAGATAGGAAAAATCAGCAGGAGCCAGAAATGTTGTAGTTTCAGAAAAAAAAACACAAAAATACATTTTTTTCTACAAAAAAAGCCGACTTTCTCGATGGGTACTCCCCTGGTTCGAATCCAATTAGTCCAGTAACAGTTTGATAATTGTGTAAATGAACCATCAACATTTCATTGAAATCAGCTTGAGCTTTTTCAATATATAATTAAAAACTCATTTTTGTTTTAAACTTGGACACCCTGTATCTCGGACACGAAGCATTTTCGAAGCAATGTTCATATAATTGTTTTAATATCTTGTTGAGAGGAATCTCCCTTAGGCTTTCATCACCAAAACTCTGAAGCACCCTGTATATAAAAAACAAAAAAGGCTTTCATCTGAAATATGGCGATATTACCTAAAGGTGATGCTTGGGAATGTGCTTGAAGAGGACTAGGTCTTCTGGGAACCACCACGCCGCAGTCAGGCCCATTAGAATTATTATAATCAGAGCCGCTTTTAGGCCTCTGAAACTCCTCCGAACTGGCACTAGCTTGCTGCTGCTGTTGCTGCTGTTGTTGCTGCTGCTGCTGCTGCGGCTGCTGATAATGCCTATAATTGTGCTGAAACTGCGGCGGACGTTTGCCAGAAGAATTGCTGCCCGAATAATTCAACCTACCGGGCGCATCCATAATGGAGAAACTGATGGGAGATGACTGACTCTGATTCTCCTCATTGCTACCCCTCTGCCTCTCCTGCTGACTACCCAATTCCGAGTAGATTTTAGTTTGCGCTTTGGTCTGGATCTGCTGAACGGGAGAAGCCTGCTGCTTGGCAGGAGGCGAAGCGAAAGTTTTCTCAATGGTCGTACGCGCTGGATTCGGAGAAGTCAAATAAGTAGTACGGGTAGGAGGTTGCGGCACTCTGTACTCCTTGGAAACGGTAGTAGAAGGCGAAGAAACAATGCAAGACTGCTGGATATTAGAAGGCGAGAAGGTCTTGCTAGTGTTGGTATTGTTCTCCGGCAGACTCGGCGGACCCTGATAGAAACCAGCAGCATTCCCTTGTGATGAATTGGTTTTAGTAGGAGCAGAAGACACCTGCGGGCTCTGAGCCCGATTGGTGTTAGACTTCGCGATCTGCGAATTCAAATGGTTCAAGCTCTGCGCGGCCGCAAAGTGCGCGTTGAAATTCTCGTAGGTCTTGCTCTGCGTGGTAGCGACGACGCTCTCGTGCGGCAGTATGCCGAACGGGCTGTTCTGCTGCCAAGCGTTGCCCCCCTGATCGAAGAACGCCTGCGCCTGCGGGTGGAACTCCCCCTCGGCGGACTGCTTGTTGGCCGCCGCGAGGGCAGCCCTCTGCTGCGTGACGTAGTGGGCTGCAGGCTTGGCGCCCGCCGCATGGTGGAACAGGGGCGTGAACACGGACTCGTAGCCCACGGGAGGCGGGGAGAGGAAGCCCCCGGGCAGGAGCTGGGCGGCGGCGGTGGTAGTGGGGGGGAGGCCGGTGGCTGTGGTGGTGGCCAGATGGTGGTGCAGCTCGCCGCTGCCCGAACCGGCCGCTTGCACGCTCGCAAGCCGGTTATAGGAGGCGTACCATGGCCCGACTGGATCCATGTTGTGGTGGGGTCAGTTCGAGTCGTTTATCCATCCCATCTGAAAATGAATTATAAGATGTATGGTTGAAGTCCATGGTATCTCAGAGTGGAGGAAATGGATGAACTAGTAGAAAAACTTCCGGTCTTCTTCACAATTCTTTAATGAAAATCTCAATTGATTTTAGGACATGTTACAAACCAATAAAGGTTCATCTTCAGCTAAATTTAAAAACTCTACAAACGCTATAAATGAACTAATGTGTTGAATCAAGTCAGTACTTACATGGAGAAGAAAACATTTCAACATTAAGATTAAATTATGAAGAAAAAGTTGACTTGGGTGTTGTATTGCTATGAAGAAGATGACTTTCGCTACATGGCAATCCCATTTTTCAAAATAATTGCTGGATATAAGCTTATTTGTCTGAATTCCAAAGACAGTTACTGAAAAACGTAGTTTTTTTACCGATTTTACACGAGTGTTTCAAATTTCAACGTTCTATTGAAACTTTCAGATTTTGATATTTATTCATTTCTACAAAATTTCTCTAATAAAAGAATTTAATCTTCCACTTAGCTGTTTAATACCAGTAGCTTCATTATGCTACTAACTTTAAATTACTGATTATCGACAAAAAATAATATTCTTTAAAAAATTATAATTCCGCTTCAAATTTCTGTGTTGTCTGATGCAAAGTTGATGTATAGTCAAGCATTTGAGAGTGAGATCCATTTAAATGGATTTTTCAGTTTTATGAAAATGCCAGTCATCAATTGAAATATGTATCATCAAACTACTTTTCATACTTTCAACAACCGCATCAAGCATATTTTTGCTCTAAATTCTACATTGAATATTTTCGCGAAAATTCCACTTATTCGGATGCGGTTTTCTTCATTCTGAAGATTGATTCATTGGGTATAAGAAGAAAACTAGACCGCTGAAGGAAATACATGGTAACCTCTGGCTATACAGGGTGACAAACAAACCTCTGCAAAATATTGTAAAATTCTCCATACTCCCAATTTGATGGAACATTTTTGTGATTATTTTCAAGCATATTTCCATAATTCTCAAGCATATTTCTCGAAATGGTTTCGCAATTTTTCTAGTATCTTTCCAGATTTTCGAGAAAAATATATATTTTTTTAAAAATGTGATAATTTGTACTACTGAAAATATTCGGTGCTCAAAATTAGCTTTGCGTATTTTTTTCGGGCCTTGCCCAAAATCGACTGTTAAGCGTAACAATTTTCGTTGCTAAAAACTAGTATTGCGTATTTTTTTCGGGCATTGCATCAAATCGACCATTGATCGTAACAGATGTTGCTCTGAGATTCTGTAGGTATAAAAGGGCGATTAGTATGCATTCAATGCATGTAAAAACATTCGTATTATTTTTGTTCAAGGAATATATGGTGAATGGATTGACCTCCTTTTAGCGGACACCCTGTATATTGGTGAAGGCAAATGTGTGTGTGGATTGAAGTAGGGTAAATATTTCATGAATGAGAAAATATACTTTCAAGAAATGACCGAAAAAACGATATTGTATAAAGGATATTCCCTAGGGCCCTAGGGTATTCTTAAGAGTAATCTATAAACGAGAACTAAATTTCGGGATGCTGTTAATAATGCAATGTCATTTATTTTTATATAAATTACCTACACTAAGAAAAATGTCTATCCGAGTATTTCTTTCTCTACATTCTCTCGTCATTCAGAAGTACGTCATATTCTGGAAATATTCCTGGGAATACAGGTAATAACTAGAAAATACAGGAAATATTCAAGAGATACGAGCAATACAAAAAAAATACAAGTAATATTCTGGAGTTTGTAGGGAATACAGGCAATAAACAGGAAATACAAGCAAGACTAATTTTATTGCTGAATTGAGCCATCCACATTGAGCATAACATATATCAGGAAATCGGTTGTATCCTGTATTGTCGGATTCATTGTTGAAATCTCTAATTGATTGTAGAATGAAATACAGGGTGTCCCATTTCAAAAAATCAACTAGTTATGTTCACGTGGGTAACGCTAGTACCCTATAGATTGTTCCGAGCACCCTGTATTTTCTGATGTAGAGGAAAAACATTTATGAAAATAATTTTTAAATGATTTCTGAAATTTTTAAATGATTTCTGAAATTTTTAAATCGATTCAAAAATAACTGAGCTAGAGGGGGAGGGGGACATTTATGGTGGATCACCCTGTACAATACAAGAACATAACTACCTAAAAATGAAAATTGCAACTGTGAAAACAACAAACAATGCACTAGATTTTGATAACTCACCTTCATTGTATGTGTAGTCACTGGTCAATAAATAATTTTTTTCTGTGACGGGAAAAAAGTTTGGCATTTCATCTCTGTTGGCAGGTTATAAAATGTCACTTTTCATAAATTACTTTTTTCCCGTGGGCAAAAAGTGAGTACTTCTTTCCCGGATATATATCACATATATATACTCTGTTAATGGCTTTTGTTGTGCTATAGTTCCGAAAAAAGAGTCAATAATACCGTCTCCAAGAAAGAACTGCAAGTCCTTTTATCTTCCATTCGACTTCGCGGTTTCGTATATTACTAAACAACTACTGAATTCGCAATTTTTTGAAATCAAATCACAGAATTGAACTGACAGAAGTGACATCAGATATTTGATTACTTCAAAAGAATGATAAAGATGCCTATAAAACGCAGGTGTCCCTACTGTTAAAAACTTGAAATTTTATGTCCATAATTTTCAGATTTCGATATAATGTGATATCTTCTCAATATTGATTCGTCCTTCCTTCTGTCACAGAAAAAAATAGTGTATTATACACGGGAAAAATATTAGATTTTAGCTCACGGTTTTTTGTCTCCCTCCGCTACGCGTCGGGAGACAACACAACCTGGAGCTAAAATCTACTACTTTTTTCCCTTGTATAATAAATAACCATTGAATAAAAAACAGTTGAATGTGTTGTTAGGAAAAATGCTCGGAAAAATGTTAGGTAGGAAGGTTGAAATAAAATACATGGAGTGCATTATATTGTTGTGAAACTTAGAATGGTCTGTTTTAATGTAATCTTATAATTATAACAGTTCAATGTCAATTTTTGTAGCAGTAAATCACTAATAGACTAGTGACTGAACCGCAAATCTTGCTGCAATTTTTTACTGGTTTATAATTATTTAAGAGTATTATTTATCATCACTTTGTGAATAAATGACTGGTAGGTTTTAATTCAAGTACTAGGAATAAGTACGAATATTACTGGTGACATTTTTGATATCTCCCTTCCATCATAAATTCAATATGGTTATCAGAAATTCCATATGAAAATAGATATTTCTATTAGGGATCGACCGATATGATTTTATAAGGCCGATATCGGCCGATACCAATATATCGGCCCATACCGATATATCGGCCAAAAATCTCAAATATTGTTTTTTCCTTGAAAAATATATTTAAAATGGTGAAAACCAAAGGCAACCAAGGCAATTATATATTTAGCGCCCCACCCAGTAGTATAGCGAGGGAACAGCTTTTTTCTTCAGCTGGAAACGTATATGAGAGCGCTAGAAATCGACTAACGCCTGGAAGAGCTGAAAATTTAATTTTATTACATTATAATCCACCGAAACTTAATTTTAAATATTTATATTTGTTTTGTAAGTATTTTTTTCAGAATTACTTTTAATTTCTTAATATTAAAAATTAGTTTTGGTATTTTTTTAGAATTTTATGTCTGTTTTCGAATATTTTGTGTTCAATATTTGGTTTCTTTCTTAGAATTCATGTTTGTTTTTCAATATTTTTGAGTAAATATGTATTATTTTAAACAAAATATATTTTTTGGGGGTTTGTTTTTGTGTTTTTTTTTCTCTCAGGTGAAAAGTTACACCATTTTGAAGACTATCCCATTTTATTTTATTATTACTAAGCCGATATCGATATAGGCCGATATTGCCTCTTCATATCGGCCGATACCGATATCGGCCAAACACGCCGATATGGCCGATATACCGATACCGATATCGGTATCGGTCGATCCCTAATTTCTATTCAATTGATGATAGTACTTCGAGGAGAACTTCCGTTCATATTTGAGCTTTTGAATATTGAATATCTTTCAAAAAATACTTCAAGAAGTCACATGGAATGCCACTCTTGGAAGATTTTTGAATAGAAATATTCTCAATTCCAATTTGCATTGTGTTGTTATTTAAAAAAATAATTTTATAGAGTTGTTGGCAAATAAATTTACATATATAATATAAATATCTACCTTAATAATTTGGCACTTATCATGCGGTGGGTTTTTTTCGGAAAATGTTTTTTGATACACACCTATTTTTGTCTGAAAAACACCAATTTGATAATGGAAATGTGAACAAACCATTATTTATCAAGATATTTCACTATGAAGTTACAAACTTACTTACATACATTCTTTTTCGCCTGTCTTTTGGATCGCATTTGATACAATTTGCCCTTCTTTTTTCATCATTGGACAATTTTAATGTACTTCAATGACAAATTCTTTTATACAGTGTGACCCACTTCTAATGGAACCACCCCTGTATCTTACGTAATCGTTGGGTAAGGATCCTGAAATTTGCTGGAGCGAGAGATATACCAAAAATGCACTCTATGACCAAGTGGGGTCATCTTCAGTGATATACACTGCTCGCCAACAGCCATGAAACTACCCCAATTTCCGGAAAATGATATTAGGAGCCAAAATAGGTCGAAAATCACTTCAGATTTGGAATCAGGACGCCCAATTTATTAACTATTCGAATTTTTCCTGGAAAATTTTCAGTTCGGAAAAATGAAATTTTGTCGCATTTTTTATGGAAGCACCCCCGTATCTCACGTAATTGACTCTATCTTTGGACTTTCTCTTCCTCCGGCAAATTTCAGAACCCTACCTCAATAATTACGTGAGATACGGGGGGTGCTTCCAGAAAAAATGCGACAAAATTTCATTTTTCCGAACTGAAAATTTTCCAGGAAAAATTTGAATAGTTAGTAAATTGGGCGTCCTGATTGCAAATCTGAAGTGATTTTCGACCTATTTCGACTCCTAATATCATTTTCCGGAAATTGGGGTGGTTTCATGGCTGTTGGCGAGCAGTGTATATCACTGAAGGGAGAGTGCATTTTTGGTATATCTCTCGCTCCAGCAAATTTCAGGATCCTTACCCAACGATTATGTAAGATACAGGGGTGGTTCCAATAGAAGTGGGTCACACTGTGTATATGAATGGTAACTAGAAATATGATTTTTTTTGTTATTTATCCATATTAGCGAAAAGTTTGAAAAGAAGGAAGAATATCATTCAAAATAATGGCATGTGTAATGTCATTCAAAGGCAATTTGTTGACATTTGACATCTCCTATTTGGATTGATTATTGATTAAATGGCCATCATCCAGTATGATTGTTCACTGAATATGAAAAACTCACCATAAAAAGCATATTTCATATCGAATTTGATGTACATGAGTATATAAATTGTCCAATGACAAAATAAGAAGAGCAAGCAGCTGTAAATGCATCCAAGACAGGGAGAAAAAGAAGGCAAAATTTCAAACTTTTTCTTGAAATATCTTGATAAATAGTGGTTTGTTAATATTTTTATTATCAAATGTGTGTTTTCAGACAAAAATATGTCAGTAAGAACATTTTTTTTGAAAAGAAAAAAAAACCATCCCATGATGAGTGCAAAATTACCTCTATCTCTAAATATTAATTTGGTCATGTAGACCTACATGTACTAGACATATGGTATCTAAGAGAACATGTATGAGTAAATAGCCTAAAACTTTATAATTTTGCCCATGTGCATTCTGTTTTTCCATATGGAATATTGTTCTGGGGTGCCGGCTATCATGCTAACAAATTATTCATCAATATTCATATTACAAAACATATTCTAAGATGCATTTTTGGATTAGAATAGGGTATGTCATGTAGGTCATTTTTTGTACAACATGGGTTGCTCACTGTACCCTCATTGTATTATCATCTATCATTGGTAGTCTTTGTGAAAAAACATAAATATTTGTTTCAACAAAAACTGGGATGAATACACATCCAATATGGACATGATCACATGTAAAAGAAATAATCTTAGTATTCCACAACATTCAAATGCTTTTTTCAACAAAAACAATACACATTACAGAGCAATAAAGGCCTTAAACATTACCATCAGAAATTAAGGACATTAAAATCCAGCTATATTCAGGAGTTGGGTCATTTGTTTTTAAAAAGAAAAAATGTATTATGATTTTAATTGTTGGAAATAATTCTCCCCTACTGCTATTTTTTTCTGGATGTTTTTTTTATGTTCCTTCTTAATGTCATTTTATTAGTGGTTAAATTTGTTGACATTGCTATTGTATTTATAGATTTTCACAGTGATAAAGATATTATTATTAATTATTATTATCATATTAGTACCTACTATTTGGAATAATGATAATTGTCTACTGATGACAGGCAGATCATTCAAAAAATGTACACTCACAATCAACATATCTTTTCAATGTTTGTGAATTTCTTGCTTACTTTCAGAAAATGTAACAGATACCTTACAACAAGGATGGTGGGCAGATCACATGATGTTGAAACAACAGATTACTGGATTCATCTCCATTCAGCATAAGTTGGCATTGAGTTGGCAATTGGCATAAGCTGAAGTCAGCATGAAGTCTGTTAGATACATGTTAAACCAACTATCTACTACAGGCAACTGGTTTTTATCCATATAGCTGACATTTATGCAAATGGTTAGGGGTGGTTAGGGTAATGTTAGGATTTACAGAAATGCTGAATCAGCCAGGATTGTCTTACTTTCCACACTTTGCATCTTTGACAGTATTTAACTCTGGATATCTTGATTTACCTTGTCTAGCACAACCCCCAACAAGTAGGTTATTTTGGTTTGATGCGCTCAACAAGAAAACAGTGTCAGATTAACCTGTTCTGGAGATCAGAATAGGACTCTGAAAAGTTCAGAATTCTGGCAGATGAGAGTGCTTTGAACCTGACTTTCACTTTCAAGGAATTCAACCTTGAACCAGAGAAATTATTACTTACCAGACAAAATCTCATCCTAGTTTATGAAAATTAATAGGTTGATATGGCACAATAAAGTATCCCACTCAGTACTAGAGGATGTATGAGTTGCTTTAGAATCAGTGAAATTTATATTATTTGGTTGACAGATTCCTCAATAGGTACTTTACATAACTTCAATTTGAATTCAGATTTCTCTGAAAATAAAAAAAATTAGCATGAGAATATGTAACTACCTAATGTAAATACCCATAGTAGGTATATATACCTATATAAAATAAAAATTAAGTTTACCTAGGTACCTAATCAGTATTTTTATTGATTTTGCTATACTCAAATGCTTTCCCACCTAGGTATAACATGATGAAGCAAAAAAGATATAGTGACTTTTTAGATTAGAACTGTTGAGTATAAATCATCAAGCAGGTACTTTAAGTTAAGCTATCTTTGGACCAATAATGAAAATACCTACAAGGATAACCTTGAACCATTGTGTGGTCTGGTATTTCGAAAATTGAACCGTCTCAACGATCTCAACTGCTTTAAATAGGTACTACCAGTACTAGTAGGTTAACATTCAATAATAATCCGATAGAATGAAATACGAAGAAACTCACATTTGCGGGATATCCGAAACGAGATCAATCTTGACCTCTGACGTGAAAATTGACGAAATCAACGCTAGATAATATTTCGAACCCATAATCCCGGCTTACAAAATTTCTAATCCGTGAAAAAATACTTAGTTGCTTTCATTGTCCAACCAAAGCGACAAAAATATACTCACTTCTCATTTGATAAATCAGTTTTCAGGGGAATTTTTGATATACACTTCATAAAATATGGCTACACAAGATGAGGCAGTCTATTCATCGAATTTCAACACTTGATATCACCAGAACTAATAGAGTATATCGTGTCTAAAACAATCACGTTTTTCAGTTTATGCAATCAACTAGATATTAACAATATTTTTCAATCAAAATATACGTTAATTGGACCAAATTATTATAAATTTGAAAGCACTCGCTCACCAAACTTTATTCCGCCATTTTACAATATTTCACTAACAATGGGAAGCGCCATCTTTAGAGAGTGTGAGTGGTTGTAGTTCATGGCGGTTTATATGAATTCAGAAGGAACTTTTGAAAGATATTATTATTATTGTTCTAAGATATTATCTAGTTTGAAATAATTCGAGAATATACTCATTAGAAGAGAAATAATGAAAACTTTTAAAAAATAACAGAATTCAGATGTATAGGGTACCTACCTGCTCATATAAAACATATTCTTAATATTTTTTTAAGGTAAATTTGTTGCTGGCAAAGTATAGTAACTCAAAAATGTATACATCATTTCTCCTTTTTCAAGATATTCACTCACCCCGTATATCAAAATAAACGAAGACCGTGTATTATTTATTTATTACTCTGGTCGTCGAAACCAGTGGCGTTTCCAACAAAATATATTCCATACCTATTTAGGGTTACGTCATCTGATTGTATCCTTGTGATAACTCAAATTGTATACCCCAGCAAACACAGTTACGTCACAGAGATATCGCAGCGATGTAACAATTGTGACCTGCGCTGTCAGAGGGATATTATTTTGTCCCACTCAAGTTTCATCCATGCGACGGCGCTGCGATAAGTTCCCTGCGATATTACAGCGATATATTTTTCGCAATATGTGATTTCGATATGTTATTTGTGATGGAAAAGCGATGTGTTTTGCGATAAAACCGCCATGTGATGCTAGATGACATCGCAGTAAACCGTAAAAAAGTTTCCACAAAAATGGTGTGATATAAATTTTATATTGATTATGCGTTGTTGTGACTAGTTGGTGATGATTCCTCCCCCTCGGGTCTCCTGTCCAGTGTCCATTCAATCGTCTTTTTCAGCGGTGCTATCCGCCTTAGTTAAAATTATTACCCATATATCATGCATCTCCATATCAGAATGAGATTATCAGTTACTCGTATATATTTGTATCGAAAAGGACTATTCAGTAGAAATACTATATAAGTACTATAAAGTATACTATAAGTAGGTACTTCAAAATATTCGGGTTGTACACATGTTGTAAATCGATAACTTATTGTCATAACTAATCGTTTCAGTTTTACAGAATAATCCTTTATAAATTTCAGATTGGCGGAGTTACTACATGTATATTCGTATATTCGACATTATAAAAGGTAGCTTAGCTCGATTGAACGTTCTGATCGGTATCATACGAAGAAATTAATCTTTTAGATTTAGATATACGACTATGAAAATGATAAAAAAACGGTTACATTTGAAGAAAAACATTGAGAATTCGCATTCTCTATGTGATGAAAATAGTAATTCGTAATTCTCTCTCAGTATTTGCTCAGTATATTCAACAGAAAACAACTATACTTTCCTGGCTATATGCCACGCGATGAACATTGAATCATTATATCTATTATGATCATACACGATAATAATTTGAGAAAGAAATCTTCTGAAGTTGAGAATTTGCACCCTTTTTCAGATAAAATATATATTTATATAATATTCATTCTGAAATATTCAACACAAAACAACTATACTTTCTTGGCTTATTGAATATCTATTTATCATACATCCAAAAACACTCATATATTTGTATCCAAAATCATAATAATTAGCATGGACCTAGCATGGACAAATAACTATTCTTCACTTTACCCAATCACCTTACTTTACCACATCTTTGAACTTTTATTGCACGTCCGACAACATTTCAGAAGTCATTCATGCTTCCGAAAGCAAAACGATCAAGTTCGGCTGTTAGTCTTTGATCAATATGGTTTACAAAAAAATCGGGTAAATTCTGAAATTCAATACATCTCCCAAAACCATTTTTTTCAACGAATGTACTTTTATTTGTCTTCCATTAGGCACTTATTATTTCTTATATGGATTGAATTTCGAAAACACCCTGTATATAAAAAAATATTCAAACAGAACGATTCCTCCACTGCGCCGCCACTGATTATCTAGGGCATGTCTAGCAAAATTGAACTAAAGCGGTGTTTATATTCGCGAAGAGTCTGATCGGATGGCCAAGAAACAGGAAATCGTTTTCTGTGTCTCGATCCATTCCATTCCTCAATTTTGCTCCATTTTTATATTTACAGGTAGGTATATCTTATTTGTATGAACGGTATCATCGTTATGAAATCGGACCGAATATTTATTTGTTATCGTCTGTTTCATGTTAAAAATCCTCTAATGTGAACACAGCTTTACCAACTGAGTTTTCAAGCTTCATTGAAATGAATCAATTAGTACAGGAGATAGAGTAGAAAAAAATATAATGGATACAAAGAATGTTCTCCTACTCGGAAAGAAAAAGTCTGTTGGAACTGGAAAATACCGACGATGAACAAAGAATAGAAATAGAGATTGAATTATTAAATACAAAAGGCTGTTTGAACTCGCACTTATTCGTACTTATTCATGATATAGGAATGATATAGGAACATTCCGTACTCAACGTTAACGACAATATAAATTCATACTGTCTCTGTTTAACACTTGTGTTGGAAAAGGATAGAGTCATATAGAGTCTATGTCAACAAAGTCAGTTGGAAGTTGGAACAACACATAATCGCGGGCCGTCGGTCCCTTTGAAAGTACAAATAGAGCGACAGCGCGGCTCGACATTCCTTTGATTTTGATGATCTGTTTCAACTGACTTTGCATATACTATATGATCGATGCTTCATCAGGAAATGAAAAACAAAAATTGATAACTCCATGATCTGTATACAAATACAAGGATCCAAAATTACAGATACAGAGGATTGTCACCAGTTTTCGTTTGTTTTTCTCCGAGTTCGGAGCCTCCATTGATCTGCTAACAGAATCAGAGATCGACTCGAATTTACCGCCAAGCATTCCCGAGCAAGCCCGAATAAAAAATAATGTCGGCGAGTTTAAAACGTCAAAAATAAAAATAAACAAAATGGTCGAAGGTCGAATAATGTAAATAGCAGTAATGTAGTAATAATAATCATTTTTCTCTATCTTATAAAACTATAATAACAATATAATGATTAGGAAGCAGCTGGTATCTGAATAAAGTGTGTATCTGGAGAATCAAATTCAAAGTATGAGTAAATTATTTGATTATTTTGTTATAAGTGGTTTAGATTACAGTTCTGGATTAGAACCAGACAAATTTTCTGGTAAGTATTCACTTGAAGAAGTGTTCATATGTTACCAATTATTTCAACTTTCTCTTTCAATTCTAGAAGATAATCTACATGTTTCACCTCTAGAAAGATCCTACAAAGGAAAAGTATTGGCACATTACCCAGAAAGATCAATCACCAATTCTTTTGATGATTCTGCTGTATGCATGGTATATATGAAGTCAAAAATCATAATATTGTTTAATCAACGTTGAATATTTTAGTTTTCTCTACCAGCTGGACTGAAGTTTCGTACCCAAAAACATTCTGTTACACAAGCACCTAACTTTCATTCTTTTGTAATAACAAGAGAAAATGGAAATAGATGTTATGGTTTCAGTCTTATATTTTATGAAGAAGTTAAAAATAGAGATATATGTACTGCTATGCAAACTCTTCAGGTGCATTTGCCTACTTCTAATTATCCTTTGAATTGCTCAATACTTGTTATTTTAGGCTATGTACATAACTGAGCAATCCAGTAGCTTGAGAACACATACTTTACAAACTTCTCACAATCAAGGACCCCAGTCCAGATCCCTGCCAAGATATTTCAAACTGAGCCAAAATCTTGGTGGTGCTGCTTTAACATATTATGACATTTCTAAGGACAAATTATATGTTTCTAAAAGTATTGGCTTGATTAGTCATACTGCATATGTCCAGGCTGCCAAAACCTTTTTGGAAAATCTTTACAGGTATTTCACTGTTCTCATTATTATAGTACCTATAATTAGTATACATCAGATTTGAAAATGTCATTTCTGCTATATTATTATTTAGTACTTAGTATTGTGTTAAAACTAATTTATATTTCAGATGTGTTACTAAACGTTCCACTGGAAGTAATTGTCTCAGTTTGGAGAGTTATGTGTTCAATCTATTATATGAGGTGAGTTATGTTCCACTTTCTACATATGTTTTCAATTGGTTTTTATTATATGCCTATCTATTTACTAATAAATTTTCATTTTCTTACATACAGGGTGTCCCTAGACCAGTGGGACAGTTGAATATCTCCTGAACCAATAGGAATTTTCGAAATATTATAATTCCACATCATATCGCATTATGAGTGCTAACTTCAGGAATGACTATATTTTCTACGAGGGGCACAAGAAAGGCTCACATAATCGAACATCAATTTTTTCAAATGGAACACCCTGTAGTTCAATGCATTTTCATAATCTCCTTGAAGAGCTGAATTCAACGACCTAGCACACTTGGGCTCTAGCGGGAATGATTTCCGAGATATAGGGTGTGGAAAATCGAGATTTTTCATTTTTGGGAATTTTTTGTGTCAAAACTATTCATTATTGGTCAAAACGGCTTACATGTCCATATCTTAACTTTTGATTTACTATTAACTCGTATTGAATTGAAACAAATACAGGGTGGTGTGGAATTCCGACTGAAACTGAGAATTCTACACCACCCTGTATTTGTTACAATTAAATACGAGTAAATAGTTAATCAAAAGTTGAGATATGGACATGTAAGCCGTTTTGACCAATAATGAATAGTTTCGACACAAAAAATTCCCAAAAATGAAAAATCTCGATTTTCCACACCCTATATCTCGGAAATCATTCCCGCTAGACCCCAAGTGTGCTAGGTCGTTGAATTCAGCTCTTCAAGGAGAATATGAAAATGCAATGAAATACAGGGTGTTCCATTTGAAAAAATGGATGTTCGACTTTGTGAGCCTTCCTTGCGACCCTCGTATAAAATATAGTCATTCCTGAAGATAGCACTCATGATGCGATATGATGTGGAATTATAATATTTTGAAAATTCCTATTGGTGCAGAAGATATTCAACTGTCCCACTGGTCTAGGGACACCCTGTATATACCTACAAATTGAACTGATTTTTTATTCACTTGGGCTTTTCATCTTGTGAATTTTCCAGGAGGGCACTGGTGATTCCTTCCTTCCTACTCTTACCTCATTTTCCTAAAATGTATGCTCTGTCCTTATCACATCTTTCAACTATTGTATATTCAAATGTATGTTTGTACCACACATATCCTACCTTGAATCATACCAAAACTACATTATAATCACTATTATTAAAAAGAAAAATCAAGGAATATGATTGTGATAAAACATATATAGGCCAAACCAGGCGACCCATGAAAACAAGGTTCAAAGAACACCTAGTACATTTGAAATATGGTAGGTTAGATTAATCGTGTGTAGCTGAACACATTCAATGACAATCAATCAATCAATCACACATATTAATAACCTCAAATTAGTTGCAGACTTTTCCTCAAAAAACTTTCGTCACTAAAATTGAAAAATTAGAATTTGGGTTTTTTCCGCACGCTAGTAGGAGAAATAGTGTACCTAATAATATGTGCGTGAAGTGACTTTTCCGCACTTGTTGGGTAAACTACTATTAAAAGGATGTGGTACCATGTACAGTCGTCTTCAGAGATCATGTCGCGGTTGGACGGTGTCAACGCTCTTATTGCAGGAGTTATTAAGAATGCTATAATCGGCCATGTGCGACATGTCTTCTGAAGACGACTGTACAATTCATATTCTTATTCTTAACCAGTTTTGAAGAATTAAGACGGATCTGGCAAGGCTACAGTTCCATTTGAGTATGATAATAATAGTATAAAACGATACTAGTAATTGAAGATGCTGACAAAGGAATATACACCGTGTCCCAGCTAAAATGCCCCCCCCTGTAAAAAATCAACCGCGCGATCGAATGACTTGAAATTTGGTCACCCAGTATATATGATGATGCTCACTCGAATTATTCCATTGAATTAATCGTAGGTATACAGGGTCACACCGAAGTGCACCTCAACTTTTTTATTTGAATAGGGACACCCAGTATATCATTCCATATTCAAGTAGAGTTCATTATTACAAATTCAACAATGCCGGGTTTGATGGAATTTTTTCAAACGACTACGAAGATATGGCAAAAAATAAAACGATTCAATAAAAAATTTATATGATTAGATTTAATCAATATAACACGATTGAAATCGAATGAAAAGAAAATAATCAAAATCTAATTACCACCAATTGTCTCGATGGTGATAGCAACTGGCCAGCTCGGTCGCCAGACCTCACCTCACTTGATTTTTATTTGTGGGGCTACTTGAAACAACAGGTTTATGAGTCGCCAATTGTGAATATGGAAGAAATGAAAGAGAAAATCGCAAACTTATGCACACAAATTGATCGCAACGTGATACATTGGGTCACAATGAACGTTATCAAAAGAGCTGGGGAATGTTTGCAGCAGAATGGACGACATATCGATAGCAGTTGAGGTTTTAATTATCTTCTTTTCATTCGATTTCAATCGTGTTATATTAATAAAATCTAATCATATACATTTTTTATTGAATCGTTTGATTTTTTGCCATATCTTCGTTGTCGTTTGAGAAAATCCCATCGAACCCGGCATTGTGAAATTTGTAATAATGAACTCTACTTGAATATGGAATAATATACTGGGTGTCCCTATTCAATTAAGATAGTTGAGGTGCACTTCGGTGTGACCCTGTATACCTACGATTTATTCAATAGCATAATTCGAGTGAGCATCATCAAATATACTGGGTGACTAAATTTCAAGTCATTCGATCGCGCGGTTGATTTTTTACAGTGGGGGGGGGCATTTTAGCTGGGACACGGTGTATACCTCAGACCGATCCATTGCAATAAATATTTGGCCATACTTTCGAAATGTCTATATTTCAAATATTGTGGTAGTAAATTTATGATTTCAGGTGCTGTATATGAGATGTGCTTTGTGTTGCTGAGAATTTGACATGATCTTTCAATCGAAAAATAGTTATTTGTTTAACTAGGCAGCAAAGTACGCTACGCTCGGCTATGAATTCAGCCTCGTCAGTCAATCTACTTTGCTGCCGAGTTGAACATATAATTTTTTCTCCGATTGTTCATAATGATATAGGAGGATATTGTAATTGCAAATTATTACAATTCCCACAATCTCTTTATTTTTCCTGAAATTTGATAGAAATCGCAGTTGTCCATGATAATTATAGTTTGACAATTCATGAAAATTCTGACAGTAGTGCGAAAAAATATCGGTATATTCAAATTATTATACAGGGTGTTTCACAGGTAAAGGGCAATATTTCAATGGTACATAGGGATCACCAAGGTGGTTCTGAAAATACCATATTTGATAGGTCTTAGAGTTTTCATAACGGAGATACAGGGCGATTTATCGATTTCGAATAATTATTCATTCGTCTATAAGTATTGAACTACCCAGTATATTTTTCTAAAATATGGTATGGAGCTTAAACTTGGGACGTTGAATGCATTCACCTATCGGGCGAAGTGAAAATCCAGGTTCGGCTCCAGGAAAAATTTACATTTGTTCGAAATATTAAAATAACACACTGTATGTAATAATTGACAAAGTTCATCAAAGGAATCGTGGAGAGGAGGAAAAACTGAACTGGATTTGATGCTTTTTGTTTTCCCGCCACCAATTCTCATCGTAACAATCATAAACAGGAAACTAAAACCACTTTCAATTATGATTATTTGATATATTCTTGTTAAATGATCGTTCGAAAGAACTTACTTAGTCTCACAGTCTTTATAACAGAGATACATGGTGAATTATCTCTCGTCCATAAGTATCAAACTACCCATCGCAGTAATATTTTCTCAAATTTGGTTTTGAGCTTACTTGGGATGATGGATTCATTGACCTATCAAGCAGAATTGAAATACAGGTTCAGCTTCAGGAAAAGTCTCATAGTCTTTATAACAGAGATACAGGGTGAATTATCGAATAATAATTCCGCCTGATGTTAATGAATCCATCGTCCCAAGTAAGCTACATACCATATTTGAGAAAATGTTACTGGGTAGTTTTATACTTATGGACGAGTGAATAATTATTCAAAACCGATAATTCACCCTGTATCTCCGTTATAAAAACTGTGAGACTCAGTAAGTTCTTTCGAGCGATTTTTTGACTAAAATATATCGAATAATCATAATTGACACTGGTTTCATAATTTCAATACTCTTCAAATTGACATACTTTCAGCTTTCTGTTTATGATTGTTACGATGAGAATTGGTGACGGGAAAACAAAAAGCACCAAATTCAGTTCAGTTTTCCCTCCTCTTTACGATTCCTTCGATGAACTCTGTCAATTATTACATACAGTGTGTTATTTTAATATTTCGAATAAATGTGAATTTTTCCTGAAGCCGAACCTGGATTTTCTCTTCGTCCGATAGATGAATAAATTCAACGTCCCAAGTTTAAGCTCCATACCAAATTTTAGAAAAATATACTGGGTAGTTATACTAGACGAATGAATAATTATTCGAAATCGATAAAATGCCCTGTATCTCCGTTATGAAAACTCTAAGACCTATCAAATATGGTATTTTCAGATCCACCTCGGTGACCCCTATCTACCATTGAAATATTTCCCTTTACCTGTGAAACACCCTGTATAATGGATAGTGATAGCGACCTGGAAGAACTTACACCTCCAGAAATAAAGGAGGTGGCAAAAATATAGAGTTGAATTTGTTGCCGGAGAAGTCTCGAATGAAATATGAAGGAAATTATAAACGATTTATGGATTATCAATTTTGCTGATACATATCAATCAGCAAAGTAACCACTTTGCTGCCTAGGCAGGAAAAGTAATACTTTGATGATTGATAGGTGTCAGCAAAATTAATATTTGTTGCCAATCGGAGAAAAAAAAAATTAATATTCTCTATATTACATTTTCCAGGTACAAATACCCTCACCAGGTAAAAGCCTCTTGGTGCATCTGCCTCCTTCAGACCCTCAGATGCCACCTTCTAGTACCATAATTCAAATGACATTACCACCTTGTGAGCTTCCTCACCTAGATTACTCTTTGAGACTCATGTTTCTGTGGTTGGGTGTAGAAAAAGTTGTGCAACTATTTTCTTGTCTTCTGCTTGAATATCAGATTTTGCTTCGAAGTACAGGTGAGAAAAAATAAAAAAGTACATAAGTATCTTATTTTTATACATTATTAAGAATCATTTTATTATGACAGATTATAATGTTGCTCAGACATGAAAGAAGGTTTTGAAAAAGTTTTGTAGTAAACTGTGGTATTTTTTTTTCAGGGTGGTCCGTTTTTTAATACGGAAAATTTAACAGTACTCGTTGAAATAATAAATAAACTTCCTATGAACATATACTTTTAAACGCTTCGTTTTCGAGATATAGGGTGTTCAAGTCCATAAGATTTTATGTAAAAAGTCGTTATTGTTGTCAACTTTATATAAGATGAATTCCGAAAAAGACACCCTCTTCTCAGGATCTTCAGGATGTAAATGTTGTACCGGCATCAAATGAAAAGGCTTCCTGTGATCTAAATGTAGTGTTCGTAAAATTTTCGATTCTGAAACCTGAAAAAAAGTCGGAACTATTACTTTTATTTATGCGTGCAATAGTATAAACTGATAACTAGTATTAAAATAAAAAAGAGAACCAAAATTACCAAAAGCATGACATGATATTAGTTTATAAATTACCTGCAACTGTTGAGCTGCTTTTCTAGAACTGATTTGTTGGTTAACATCAAAAAATCTTAGAATGTGATTATCATTTCTTCTCAGTGGGCCATCATTTCGGTTTTGTTCATTATTGCCACGTAACCCAAACTGACGGAAACGTGAGTGAGTATTGATAAAGACTCGTGCATTAGGTACCCTTCTCCTAGGGAAGCAATTTCTGTATTCCCGAACTGCTGCCTCTGCGTTTCCATTACAAAATCCTTAAACGAAATGAATATCTGCATACTCTCCAGTACTAAATCCCATAGGCATATTGACAAACGGCAAAATTGGAATAAAATTATTACACTTTTTGATAAAACCACGGAATAACTCCAGTTTGTTATTTCTTTGACAGAACTTTCAGAGTGACAGCACATATGAACAGTGAGCAACTGAGCATAGCCTACTTCTTTGATTGATATCAAGTAGTATTATTTAACTAAAAAATGTTATAAAATCTTACAAGCGAGTTTTTTTCATTGAAACTTGAAATATAAATGAAAAATAATTACCCGAAAAATTTGTGTAATTATTACCTTCGCCACCCCAGATTCAGCCGCCACTGAATAGTTTTCATGAATAATTTTTATTCAATCTGATAAATCTCAAAAAGTTTAGTATCTGTGAAAAATTTCGTTAATTTATCTACCGTTTTTAATTTTTGATTAAAAAAATGTATTCAGGAGCGTATTTTTGACACCCAATATCTCAAAAACGAAGCGTTTAAAACTATATGTTCATAGGAAGTTTTTTCATTATTTCAACGAGTACTTCACTCTGTTAAATTTTCCGTTTTAAAAAACGGCCACCCTGTATAAAGGACCCCACTCGAAAACACGGGAAATTCGCTCTCGGTCGAATTGGCTGAAATTTTACTATGTTGTAAAAAAATATGTGAGTTTGAAAAGTTTTGTATGTTTAGTTTCAAAGATGCAAGCCGACAAAGTTCGTTAAAACGTCGTAACGGGGTAGGATTGACAAAGAAAAAAACTGTTTTTTTAGTATAAATGAAACAAAATAAGCTAGAAAATTTATTGATCGGAACTCATAAACATGTCTAGTTATAATCACATAAATTAAAGTAATTCAGGGTGTATACGAGGCACGGTCAAAAAAATCATTTTTCGGAAAAAAAATTCGAGCACTATTCCAAAACCAACAAGTTATATTTTGGTGGCACATTATAGTTTTAGTCTATTGTAGATTTCGAAAACGTATTTTGATTCTTTATAACTATCTCTGTTCGAAATATGAGTTTTTAGAATTTTGTGTTATACCCATTTTGAAAGCAATTGAGCTTGTTTTTGATCACAAAGAATGGGATTGATTGATAACGTTGATTGAATGAATGCTGAGGTATAACTCACTAGTGAAATCAGTTGTTCAATATTACCTTTCATTTAGATACAGGGTGTGTTAGATTTTGTTGAAGATTATTCAACATGTTTCAATTGAATATCTCGAAAACAGTTCCGTCAATTTGGATCTCATTTTACTCACACTATTTTGAATATGTTGATTATCATATGCGAAAAGTTTTTCAATTTTTTATGTTTCGTTTCTGAGATATCAATTTTTGAGCTTACAGTATTACAAGTATTATAAGGATGCATATCTCAGAAACGAAACATAAAAAATTGGAAAACTTTTTGCATTTGATAATCAACATATTCAAAATGGTGTGAGTAAAATGAGATCCAAATTAACGGAACTGTTTTCGAGATATTCAATTGAAACATTTCAAATAATCTTCAACAAAATTTAACACAGCCTGAATCTAAATGAAGAGCAAGCAATATTGTACAACTGAATTCGCTAGTGAGTTACCTCAGCTTTCATCCAACCAACAGTATCAATCAATCCCTTTTTTTGTGATTAAAAACGAGCTGTCAATTGATTTCCAAAAGGGGTATAACACAAAATTCAAAGAATTCATATTTCGAACAGAGAGAATTATCTAGAATGAAAATACGTTTTCGAAGCCTACGATAGACTGAAACTATAATGTCTCACCAAAATATAACTTGTTGGTTTCGAAATAGTGTTCGAATTTTTTTTCCGTAAAATGAATTTTTTGACCGTGCCTCCTATACACCCTGATTTAGTATAATTATTAATGTGATCATAACTAGACATATATTTGAGCTCCGATCAATACATTTTCTAGCTTATTTTGTCTAATTTATACTAAAAAAACAGTTTTTTTTTGTCAATCCTACCCCGATACGACGTTTTTACGAACTTGGTCGGCTTATATCTCAGAAACTTAACATACCAAACTTTTCAAACTCACATATTTTCCTAATGAGCCATCCCACAACAACATAGTGAAATTTCAGCCAATTCGACCGACCTAGAGCCAATGGGGAAGACCACTGGTTTTTTGAAACGGCATTATCGTGAACTCTTTAGTGAAAAACTACCAGTGAATTAATTTTGAATTTTTTCATTCATGCTAAGACGATGAAAAAAATGAATTAGAATATGTCCATTTCAAAACACATAATCCCTGCGCCATTTGAAGTTTTGTCAATTCATTGGTGAGACTGGTGCGACGTCTTAGTCCCAACACGCCTATTGTCCTTGAACTCACCAATCACATTGTAACACTGCAGAATGACGAGGTATCAGAGAAAGATAGCTACAGTGCGGGACTAATACGTCACGGCTCCACCATCATTTTTGGCTTTTCGAAATAACGAATGAAATATGCTGATTTCAAAACGATATAGATTTGATTCCCTTCAACTTCAACTCATAATATTGATTATAGATCAAACGTAAATCATGATTCGTCGATTGAAAGAGGTTTGCACGGATTTATTCCCTCAGTGGTCTTCCCCATTTCCCGTATTTTCGTGCGGGGTCCTTTATAATACTTTCTGGAATTTTGATGAATATTTTTTATATTTCAAGATTCTCAAAGACTAATGATTGTGGCTGAAGGCATAACTTCATTACTATTTCCATTTACATGGCCCCATGTGTATGTGCCAATCTTGCCAGCATCACTGCATCATTTTTTGGATGCCCCAGTCCCATTTTTGATGGGCCTGTATGCGTCGTCTGAAAGTATTAAAGTGGCTTCTGAAGCCAACCTCTGTTATGTAGACATAGATAAGTGTAAAATACAGTTACCTGAAGAAATGGCTGCTTTTCCACATTTGGAGCCGTTCGTTGCCGAAATTTGGTCGACTCTGGATAAATATGGGGTTCATGTTCCGAATTCTGAACAAAATAGAGGCACACAGGTAATAGTCACTTCATAGATTTCATAGAACACATATAATTTGTAAATTAATTTTTATGATTTATCAACGTCCCTCAAAAAAAAATCTGTATGCCCGAAATTTTTCATTTTGACCCTTCGTGAAAGTACCTTGAGGAGTTTCAGAAATTTCGACTCATCGTAGATGTACCGTCGGTAAAATAATCGGTGCCCCTTTGAAGTATTTCATTTTCAAAATTGAGATTTTCAAGCTAGTCCCTCAGTGATACTGATAATTAAATTACGGTTTGTGTTTTCTATCAGTGTTCCTAAAAACATTTTTGAAATTCAAACTTTCCGATCTTGGACTCGAGAAAAAAATTAATTGCATAGCCCTAAGAGTTCGCAATTTTGATTTAATTTCAATTCAATTGATGTTGAAGAAATTGTGAAATTCGCCATTTTAATATTGTATCGGCTTACTCCTGAGAAGTTTAAAAATTTCCAAGTTTATTTGAGACTTGGCACAAAAAAGTATGCCTCTGAAGCATGTATTTGATTTCTCGATCTTAATGAAAAGATTTTAAAATTCTGATATTTTTTGTTGTTGATCTTCTCAAAAAATCAAATGGATAGGCTCCTGAAATTGCAATCATAACATTCACAATATTTCGAACTATCAATTAAATTTTGAAAGTGCTAATCGTATACATTTTACAGGGCATCCCGAAATAACAGAAAGATTTCAACTACAGTGGAAATAGTGTTAAATGATTTTTCAGATTTTTTTTCCCGTTGCATCAGAAAATACAGGGTGCTCGGAACAAACGATCTGCAGACTTTTTTTTTATCGATTGGAGCGCACGAAAGGGAATCCCTATAATGTTCAAGGAACATCGTGCGTTCCTAGGGAGGATAGGGACAGGAGGTAGGTATTGGAATTTTTTTTGAACTTTTGGAGATTATATGTTGTTGTGAATACTAATACTGCAGAGTACTAATTGATTTTTTCAAATGGAACACCCTGTATTTATTTGTTTTTTTAGATTCCTCTTGAAGAGCTGATTTCATTGATGCATCACACTTGGGGTCTAGCGGGAATGATTACCGAGATATAGGGTGTTCAAAATCGAGATTTTTCAACTTTAGGATTTTTTTGTGTCGAAACTATTCATTATTGGATGATTATTGGTCAAATCGGCTTCTATGTCCCCATCTCAACTTTCGATTAACTATCTTGTGACATTTACTTGGAACATTTACAGGGTGGTTCAGATTCAGGATTCTGATCACCCTGTATCTGTTCCAATTATTAAATGTCAGTAGATAGTAAATCAAAAGTTGAGATACGGACATGATCGCCGTTTTGACCGATAATGAATAGTTTCGTCACAAAAAAATCCTACAGTTGAAAAATCTCGATTTTGAACACTCTATATCTCTGTAATCATTCCCGCTAGGTGGTAACGGCTAGACCCCAAGTTTGACGTATCGATGAAATCAGCTCTTCGGGGAGAATCTAAAAATACAATGAAAATTGAAAAATAGGGTGTTCCATTAAAAAAAATCAAATAGTACCCTGTAGATCGTCTGTTCCGAGCACCCTGTATTTTGTAATAGGATGGTCCTTAGTATATCCTATTGTCTTGGAATAAGAAAGTCTGGACGTAGTTTTAACTTATGTTATTTATTATAATCGGTATCAACTTGATTATTACATCTCCGAACATCGAATGTCTAACCATCTAACTAATAAACTAGAACACATCGAAATCAGGTCAAATGCTGACTACGTGATATCCAGAGATCTAAACACACTCTCGATACCTAATTAAACAATATCATCCTTAACCTACTTAATTTCCTAACATAACATTTTGAATATTTATCATAACTATTTTCTATCTATCTTATACACTACAATTTTCTGATCTAGCGAAAAAAAAACTTTATCGAAAATCATTCAAGATGATATTTCAAATTTTGATATCGGTTCAAAAATAACTGAGCTAGGGGGCGGACATTTATGTTGAATCACCCTGTACCTAAGTTTTTATGCCCAATATGAAAATGATAAGAATTCCTCGAAATTTTGATCAGGGACGCGGGAAATAATAGTTGCGGCTAGGCTAGGAAATAAAAAAATACCATTTTTAATTGAAATAGCACTCTTGTTTAGTTTCCATAGCACTCATCGAGATAAATCGATAGATAAATCAATTTTAAAAGTCTGCTGCCTAACAAAAATATGGAGAATGCGAATTCTCAATGTGTTTATTTTTTGTATATTATCATTTTTTTCATGATATATCTGAGAATATTTCATTTCAACAGCCTGTATTCTGCTCAAAAATTTTGGTAATAAATCATTATCCCGAAAACAGCTATGTATAGGAAAATATCTGACACACTTGATATGGAATCAACGTAGATTAATAAAATGAAATATTTCACAGGGTGTTCCATTTGAAATAACCATTTCCTACTTCTTTCTGATAAGTTAAGTGCAAACACTATATTAAAGGGAAAACTTTAGACGGATAGAGAATGCTCGATTTGGTGCTAACCAGTTTTCAAAATGATTCGTCTTTCCGTTCTCCAGATACTTGTAATACTCCATCCACTAAATCATTCTGTATATTGAGTAAATAAATAATGTGTATTCTTGGGATTTCGACAACTTTTTTGACGCCTTTCAGGAGATAATTTCAAAGAGTAACACCCTACCTGGTAGGCCTCAGAATCGAAGGAAGCTGTCGATCCACGATATTCTGGAAAACGACAGACCGCCCTCTCCACCTGGATCAGCACGATCAGAAGCATTACAAAGAATCGCCGACATCGTGCGCAGAACCGGCGTCGCCTTAGATCCGGACGAGATAAACCAACCTTCGGATTCCTACGTTGAAGATCTCAGATTCAACAATTCCCTCAGAGAGATATTTTTGAACAGATTCGTGCATATTTTCCAGTCCTACGAGAATTTCGTTATCTTTCCGAATCAGGTGATTATTTGATTGATTGATTGATTGTCTTTATTACCCCAAGTAACATTATTGTTTAATAGGGATATATACATATATACAACAAAACATACATATAAAACATAATAAATCGAAACAATAATAATTGCACAATTATTGTTTTTCCGAAAAAGAAAGAATTATAATAAAATATAAAATGAAAATATCATAATCCATTACAAGTAATCAAATTGTGAGTGATTAGTACTATTAGTAGATATGGAATTAAAGTTTACTGAGCAGATATTTCTTTAATTTCATTTTAAATTGTTCTGCTTCTTCTATATTTTTCAACTCATTAGGTAAGGAGTTATACAAAATTATTCCATTATGGAATATTGATTGTTTACCAAAATTTGACTCATAATTATTTGCTATCAATAAATTGAATTGCCTTGTTTCATGGGCGTGAATCGTATTAACTTCATTAAAATTCAAATTCGATATTTCCAATTCCTTCCTGACAAAATGAATAAAACAACAAATTTTGAGTTTATATAATGAAACTAGATTCAGCAAGTCTTTAGGTGTTTTAACTGTGGAAAGTTGTTTTTTTTTCAAATCAATCACTGAATAAGCTTATTTGTTTGAATTTCAAAAACGTTTACAAAGAGAAATTGGTTCTATTCCGATTTTATAAATGTGTTCCAAATTTGAATGTTCTATTGCACCTTCTGGTTTTTAATATTTTTTAATGTCGACGAAACTCCTGAAATACAATGTGCCCCACTTACCATGCTCACCATGGGTATCTTTTTAACGGTGAGAGATACGAGGTCGGTTAAATGACACCAAATGTGGAGTTTGTCAAGGTCAACTATAATGTGAAAAAATATTTTGATAAAATCTATTCGTTTTTGTTTCATACGCAAAAAACAGATATTGATCATTTTCATGTCTCCTCCATAACTTCTTTATTTATGAAAATATTCAAATAGGAATTTCACATTCTCATGGCAGTTTTTCAAAGTGATTTCGAAAAAAATATGAAATTTATACCAACTTTTCTAGAATTTGAGATATCAGCACCAACTTTAGTTTTTCAAATGTAAGTCATAGCTCACTATGACTTAGAAATAACTTTTTTTTCTCTTACAGATGATATGTCGCAGTAATAGTTTTGAGTTGATAACAACGGAGTTATCGTCACTTATACAAAAAAAAAGAATTATTTGGAAGCCGCCATCTTGAATTTATAAATTTTAACAAAAAAATCTTGATCTCCGACCTCGAAAACCCCCGCTTATCAATTTTGGATGGAATCGGACCAAATCATGTCATCTTGGAGTAACCATTTTTTTAATTGATGGCGGACAAGATTCGGTCCGATTCCATTCAAAATTGGTAAGTGGGGGTTTTTGAGATCGAAGATCATGATTTTTTTGTTAAAATTTATAAATTCAAGATGGCGGCTTCCAAATGATTTTTTTTTGTATAAATGACGATAACTCCGTTGTTATCAACATAAAACTATCACTGCGACATATCATCTGTAAGAGAAAAAAAAGTTAATTGTAACTAAGTCATAGTGAGCTATGACCTACATTTGAAAAACCAAAGTTGGTGCTGATATCTCAAATTCTAGAAGAGTTGGTATAAATTTCATATTTTTTTCGAAATCACTTTGAAAAAGTGCCATGAGAATGTGAAATTCCTATTTGAATATTTTCATAAATAAACAAGTTACGGAGGAGACATGAAAATGATCAAAATCTGTTTTTTGCGTATAAAACAAAAACGAATAGATTTTATCAAAATATTTTTTCACATTATAGTTGGCCTTGACAAACTCCACATTTGGTGTCATTTAACCGACCTCGTATCTCTCACCGTTAAAAAGATACCCATGGTGAGCATGGTAAGTAGGACACACTGTATAAAAAAATAAGCATATTTTCAGTGATATATTTGAGAAGAATAAGTTTTCGAATGTAGCGAAAGTTACATGATCCCGACCGAGTAGGACATTTTTCATCTTTTTCAAAGAAAAACTTAACGCCCAAATTGAATTTCAGAATACATTGTTTTTCATTCAATGTTTTTGACATGTGATGCAAACTTTCTGAAAGACATTGCTGAATAGCACAGTGATTCAGATTTGGTCATCGAGGTCATAGATTTTTTTCTTCAGAGGAAAACCTACTCCATATTGCTCTTCATTTTGAATCGCTATAATGCAAAATATTACCTCATTTCCTACCTAATTTTTTTATACTACCTCTCAAACTTTTGGATTGGGAAAGTAGAATATAAAAGTTGAGCAAGTCAATGTAGGTTTATTTTATTGTACCAGTATTTCATCTAAAAAAGCTATGGTGTTAGGGAAACATAATAATAATAATAACATTAATCGATCCCAAGAAACATAGGTACATGTTTATAGGGGAATACAAAAAGAGAATAATAGATCAAATATGCAATTAAATGGAAGGTAAGCAGTTTAATCAGAATTAATTGATACAATGAGAGTTAAATTGAAGAAATATATTTCTTCAGTTCACTTTGTTTGGTGCGATGCTAATAAAAATTGATATTGAAAGTAAGATTCGAGTGCTTTTTCTTATTTTTAGTGAAATGGAGGAAATGCATACAGGGTGGTGCAGAATTCAGATTCTTGATCACCCGGTATATGTCCCAATTAAATATCAGTAGATAGTTAATCAAAAGTTGAGATAGGGACATGTAAGCCGTTTTGACCAATAATGAATAGTTTCGACAAAAAAAATTCCTCAAGTTGAAAAATGTCGATTTTTCACACCCTATATCTCTGTAATCATTTTTGCTAGACCCCAAGTGTGATACATCGATGAAATCAGCTCTTCAGAGAGAATCTGAAGATGCAATAAAATACAGGGTGTTCCATTTAAAATAACAAAGTTGTTGCTACTTTTCGATAGAAGCGGCAACGCCGCAGAGCTGAAAATATTTTAGATCGATAGATCAAGAGCAATTACTTGAGTCACCAAATTTTCAGAATGATCTTATGTCCCGTTCTCCGTAAACGTCTAAGGTGCCATCTACCGTGACCCACCCTGTATATATAAATCAGAAATAAAATAGTTCCGAGAATTGATCCCTGGGGCACACCACAAGATATGTTTCTTGTTGAAGGAAATGAATCTCCCATATACACAAACTGCTTTCTATCAACTAGATGATTTTCAATCCAAGAGGAACCTTCACTTGTTATTTCTATTCGAGTTGATTGCATTAATGAAATTTCAAAGTTAACTTCATCAAATGCCTTTTGCAAATCCAGGGATAAGAGTCCACATTTGTATTCTGACTCTTAATTTCAGCTGAATGTCAGTAATAACATCCAGTGTTGCACATTCAGTATCATGTCCTGTGATCAGAGCTGGGCCGGGTACTGATAAATTGTACTCGAGTACCGGGTACCGGGGTACCGGGTACTGTTTATAATTGAAGAACGAGTACAGAGTACCGAGTACCCCACTCATTGGATGTACTCAGAGTAAAGTACTCCGAGTACAAGTACCCGAATTTCACGGGTACTCATTTCAAGTACATTTGAATAGAGAATTGAGAAATTTTGCATCAGTATTAGCCATTATTAACAATAATAATATCAACAACTTCAACAATTGTCTTTTACAAATTATAAAATTGACCCATTCATTTCTTATTCATTGCTAATACGTGAATTAAAGCAAAAATCAAACTACTTATTTGTCGTTGTTCACGTCTATACGTATCTCTATATAAGAGAAATATTATTGCAAAATACTATACCCTTACCTCTTAGTTTAGTGTGGTTTAGTCTTAAGAAAACAACAGAAACGATACAAAAAACACTTGACTCTATAACTGTTACACAGTGTACAAAACAAAAACTCCGCGTTTGGTTCTTATTGAAGTGCTGACTTATAATGATGATATAACATATAACAGCGGTTTCCCGTGTTGCACTCGCATATGCACAGACAAGTTTATTCTTGCAAAAAGTACCCGGAAAATGTACTCGTTTAATAAACGCGGGTACCGGGTACTTTTCCCGAAATGCTACGGGTACGAGTACCGGGTACTATATTGAAAATGTACTCGGGTACTGGGTACTGAGTACACAAAATGTACTCAGAGTACAATATTTGAGTACTTGTACTCGAGTACTGCCCAGCTCTGCCTGTGATTAAGAATTTGGTGGGAATTTTATTGTTAGTGAAGTTTTGTACATGAATCTAAATGGTTCTGGATCTGAAAACGCACATTTTCGACTAATCATATTCATTTCAGGACAAGGATGACTGGTTCAACAACAGAGACTCCATGCAAAACTTCGACAAAGCCTCTTTCTTATCTGACCAACCCGAACACGACAGGCTATTTCTGTGGCGATTCCTGGAGTCCCAAATGTTCGCGACGCTGATAGACACCAAAATACTGTCGACCTGGGGCCAAATCGACCCCAACCTCCTCATCTTCGACAACAGAATAAAAGTGCTCAGGGAGCGGTACGGCGGCGAGAACCTCTTGCGCTCCCTGAGCTACGAACCGTGCACCAGTGCGCACGACACTCAGAAGCTGATCGACAGGCAAGGCTGTAGTATAATAATGATAATAATAATAATGATAATACACACAACGTTACATGAGTTACTCGTGTACCTGCTCAAATGTCTTTCGGTACCCTATTCTATAGTGAGATGCATAGAACAACTAATGCTGGTCTGGAAGACCCGCTTTTCTAAACTACTCAACACTAATTTCGTCGCACACCAAAATGTCGCCCCTGTTATAATGTGGATATTTTTTTTCAGTTTAGAACAATTTGAATTTGGTTCACACTGTTCGATAGCCCAGTCCTTCAGCTATATTCTGGTACTTCATTGAAACATAAGGGTTTTCACATAAAATCTACATGGTGTTTTACGACACTGTGCGAAATTTCGGAATATTCAAAAGGCTCTCAAATGGTGAAAAGAATTTTTTTCTCAACTTCGACAACAGAGGCATGAAGATGATCTCATTACCTCGAGATATTTCGCGAATCAACTCCCTATCTCTCTTATTTACAGAGTGATCTCAAAAAATCAACTTTTTGGTTTTGCAGTCATAACTTTTTTCCACGTCAACCGATTTTGGAAATCTTAGGCTCATTTTGAAGATAAAACTTCAGATGAAGAGATCTGAATATCAGAATTGACTCAAGATGGCTATCAAAGATCTAGAGTTTTCTTGAAAGTTACCCAAATCTGGAACGCCCTTCGAATCTTGGTTGGGAGGAGAATTGAATGAAAATCAACTTGTTCTCGGAAAAACAATTCATTCTGGATACGTCCATATTTCTCTCGCTCTCAGTACTCAAGAATGTGCGTGAGAAAACACAATTGAAACATGTTCTTGCAAAAACATCAGACCATTTCTCCTCTGTAATGCATGGCCCGTAACCAACGTTACAAGAATCACAGTAAGTGACTGACAAGTCAGGTTAGACGTCGTTTTCGAATCATAACAAAGATTTTGATAGTTTCGATGCCGCATTTAACGCCCGACCAGTTGGAACTGATTCCACAAATGAGGGAACAAGGGTTATCTTTCCTCCAAATCGCGGATCTGCTAAACACGACAGTCCGATCCATTCAAAGGGCTTATCTCCGACACGACTTGTTTGGTTATTACTGTCGATTCGTTCGGCGCATTATTGCGATTGAAAACTTCACGTAATTGGCAAACTGTTTTCGTGAAACTTTCACCATTTTTTAAATGCGTTTTTACAATTAATAAATAAACTTTCAAGAAAACTCTAGATCTTTGATAGCCATCTTGAGTCAATTCTGATATTCAGATCTCTTCATCTGAAGTTTTATCTTCAAAATGAGCCTAAGATTTTCAAAATCGGTTGACGTGGAAAAAAGTTATGACTGCAAAACCAAAAAATTGATTTTTTGAGATCACTCTGTAAATAAGAGAGATAGAAAGTTGATTCGCGAAATATCTCGAGGTAATGAGATCATCTTCATGCCTCTGTTGTCGAAGTTGAGAAAAAAATTCTTTTCACCATTTGAGAGCCTTTTGAATATTCCGAAATTTCGCACAGTGTCGGAAAACACCATGTAGAGATTTTATGTGAATACCCTTATGTTTCAATGAAGTACCAGAATATAGCTGAAGGCCTGGGCTATCGAACAGTGTGAACCAAATTCAAATTGTTCTAAACTGAAAAAAGTTATCCACATTATAACAGGGGCGACATTTTGGTGTGCGACGAAATTAGTGTTGAGTAGTTTATATCATCAGGTGATGCGAGAGTCCAGACAGAGCCAGTCATCATAGGGAGAGGAATATTTCAAGCCCTCTCCTATTCTGCATCTCACTTCTGCCACTATCCGTTGACCTCAGGAAAATCAGAGGATACAACTGCGGCCCACCCAGTTACCGGAGGCATAAGGTCACCCACTTATTCTATGTGGATGACCTCAAACTTTGCCTCGGTGGTTTAATTTGTAATTTTCATTCTTCACTTTTATTATATTCTATTTTATTTTATTGCGTTGAAATAACGAACCCAACACAGTGCACTAGCTGTTCTTGAACGAAAATGAAGTGAATTTGAATAATGAATATCAATTCTCTGGCAATGATTCCGCAGAATTATCCCCACCATTCACGATGTTATTCATTCACTGTTATTTAATCTGAGGGGGATGCAAGGACATCAGGCCAGAAAAATATCAGTCAACCTTAGAGAATTAATTAGACTTTGGTCGACAGGCGGTTGACCTACCCGGACTTCGAGTCTCCTTTACCCAGGGAGATAATGAACAATCGGACGACAGCGGCTACTCGGCAGTTTCCCATTTTGGATGCGGAGATACTGAACAAAACGCCAGTGGTCAACAAGGGCAGCATTCCCAGGGCGGGCGCTCTCAAGAAAGGGCTCACCTTTTCGAAGCCGCCGATCGGTCCGAACGACAGGAACCAGCGAACGGCTAAGAGTCAGGATATGTCTCCTGCCCTTATTGCTCAGGCCAATTGGACGTTCGTAGAAAAATTACTGAAAGTAAGTAACAAGTCCCAATTTCATTTCTTTTTTTTTTTTAATTTCTAATCTAATTTCGATCGTCATCTGATAACGAAATGATATATATATCCCTTAGGCCAGTAAAACCATTGTAGTTTATCGAACGGCACCTGTGCCAATAACTATCCTGAGCAAAATGATTGAAAAATGGCGGTCCTGTGCGGAAATTTGCACTCGATTTCGCAATTTGATAACGAGATAAAAATCATGCCATCCAATATCAATTGAATGGTAGATTTCAAAAACTTACCTGTTTGAGTCTCAGTCTGAGCCAAATCCAAGGCACAACGATTTATTTGCTGCTATCATTCCGGACATACTTATCAAGAAACTGAATCATTCATCATCTTTCCACTTCAGATGATCTTCGGCAAAACAACAATATTATTGATTGCAAACTTTGGCAATGAGATTCTGATATAACACATACCTTCCTATATTGATAACGATCTCTTCCACACTGTTGAAATGAGACAACTTATACAATGCCCTGAGCAGACGAAAAAATAACTAACACCAGGGACATGTCATTTACATAATATGTCTCACACCACCAAGAGAACCTGAAATTAATACTATTTAGAATTATTATCATTATCATTTCATATTCAAATCTGACACTGCAGTGCCCAAATCCACACATACAGATTTTGGGGATTTTCTCTCCTTAATTGTTGCTATAAAATGAAAAAATATGTGTATTATTTCAATATACGTGTAGTGGGGACAAATCAGATGATTTGCCCCAAAATGTCACTGCGTTTAAACATTTTCCTATAAGAGAGCCTAAAAGAAAAATTAATTCGATTGTCAGTGACATTTTGTTTTGAAATAGGTTTGGAGAAGAGAAATATAGGTATCAAGTATAATATATATGATTCAGTTTCTGATGAGGGCCTACCTGTTCCCCTATTTGTCTAGTACTCCTTTCTGAACTTTTACTGCCAAAAAAAGCTAGGGATTCCAAGAATTCCTAGACATTTTCCAGTAGCCGGCTCTGGTGTTTTTAGGTACTTGGTTACGTACCGGTTACCGTACTTGCTACCTTGGGTTCGGGAATGTTGTCGAGAAGTTGGCCCTGTTATCCTGCGTCGTATTCGTGCGCAAACGAGGTACACAATTAGTAATCTCAACTTGTGTTAACGATCATAGAGATCGCAACCAGTGATGATTTTGTGTAGTATGGTGCAACCGGCAGAGGAAGCATAATACAGAACATCAACGTTAGGTAACCCAGATTCTTTCAAAGATATCTGTAAGAATCCACGCTACTTCACGTCAATGCTATCGTATTGTCTCATCGATTGCACCCATCCTGATTTCCGGTCTGTTTCGGTTCTGTCGGCATACCCCCTTCTCTGGCAATGTACAGTGTGGGCAAAATTGGGCGTTTTCACCGTCTATCTCAATAACTAGAGGAGTTATCGAAAAACCGATATACATGTTCCGGGTTCGATTTTGGAGAAACCTCGAATGGTACAATCAAAATTTCGATATCTTCATTCGTTTTAGAGATACAGGGGAAAAATGAAAATTTGCCGATTTCGATTTTATTTTCTGACTACTTTACGGTGAGAGGTATCAAAAAATTTCAAACGTATATCTGTACAGTATGATGCGTGGAATCCATTGGCATCATCAGAAATTTTATACAGGGTGACGTTGAGAAAATACGGCAGCCAATTATGTTTTTTCTAATGGAACACCCCGTATATTTTGACACAGTTGAATAGTCCCAGGCGTTCTCATTACAAATATATATATATATAACCCTACCTTTTCCTTCCACAATTTCAGATATATTCGCAAAAATATATTCAGTGTGTCACATTTCTTATGGTTACACCCCCGTATCTTCTGTAAGAATAATTGATGGAAACATTAACAATCATAATATTTTGTGGCAGAATGCCTGAATATGATACTTTACCCATTATTTCTAGTATGCCTTAATATTTTTGCGTTCAAAGAGATAATAAATAAGATATATATTTGAAATTGAAACGGGAACTCTCTGCCAAAATATACGGGGTGTTCCATAAAATTGTTCTGTATCTGGAATTTGGACATCTTCTATAAGGCTATATTTTTCAACGCAACCTACTGATTTCCTAATTGAGTAAATTATTGGTCTTATATCTGTATCTCAAATGTCTTGATAACAATGATATCAAATCGAATAATTTCCCATTTTATTTCTCACCAAATATCCATTTATCTGGAAATTATATTCCCTATGATATTTATTTTCCACATTCGGTGAATATATACAGAGTGTCATTTTCAACCTCGATTCTGCCTGTTGATAGCATTATACAGAAATATCGATGATTCCATAGCTGCTGGCGAGCAGTGTTATCATTGGAGATGACCCCACTTGGTCCATGACTCCATGAGTGTATCATTTGTATCTTTCTGACAGTTGCGAATTTTTGAATCCTACCTCAATTATTTTTACAGAAGATACGGGGGTGTAACTATAAGAAATGTGACACACTGAATATATTTTTGCGAATATATCTGAAATTGTGGAAGGAAAAGGTAGGGTTATATATATATATATATTTGTAATGAGAACGCCTGGGACTATTCAACTGTGCCAAAATATACGGGGTGTTCCATTAGAAAAAACATAATTGGCTTCCGTATCTTTTCAACGTCACCCTGTATAAAATTTCTGATGATGCCAATGGATTCCACGCATCATACTGTATAAATATACGTTAGAAATTTTCTCATACCTCTCACCGTAAAGTAGTCAGAAAATAAAATCGAAATCGGCAAATTTTCAATTTCCCCCTGTATCTCTAAAACGAATGAAGATATCGAAGTTCTGATTATGCCATTCGAGGTTTCTCCAAAATCGAACCCGGAACATGTATATCGGCTTTTCGATAACTCCTCTAGTTATTGAGATAGACGGTGAAAACGCCCAATTTTGCCCACCCTGTACTCTAGGGCAAGCACACCACTCCTATCCCTACACCTACAGTGCTTCTTTCTGGGGTTCTTTCCGTACTCCTTTCCCTACCTGTCACCGAGCCGAAGTTCCTACTTGTTTCCTGTTGACCGCGTCGACTTACCTTCATCCTTTCCTATCTAACTCATCACTTAAACCATTGTATTATAGAAAATAGAAAAGGACAAAAGTTCAGCTATGTCCGAACTCTTATCAAACTAATACCATCCAGTGACTCTAGTTATTATTTTTATCTGTGCGATCTTCCAGGACTGCAAAGCTAAAACCAAAAGAATGCTTCTGGCCAAACTGGGAGCCGAAGGCGTCACCCTGTCCAGCAGTAACGCCAACGATTCCTCCTGCGCAGTAGAAGAAAGCACACTGGTGACCTCTCTGTGCGACTACCTGGAACGAGTGTGGTCGCATGGGCTCCAGAAGAAGCGCGGCAAGTCCGCTCTCTGGTCCTATTTGCTGGCCTACCAAGAGAAGCACCAGCATCCTAGCAAAAAAGACAGTTATATTGGTGTGAATGATGTGTCGAGGTTGACCTCAAATTTGGAAAATTGGAATAGCCATTTGAGCAATGTGAGACTGAAAACTGATCTACCTGATTTACCCTCGTCCCTGATATTTGATATAACGTAAGTGAATATTGTGATTCATTTTTTAGGTATCTTTTATACAGGGTGTCCCACTAAGGTCGGCGAGGTACGATATTACGGAAGCCATTAACTTTACAGCTTCGGAACAAAAAATCTATTGATGAAATTGGCAAAGAGAAATTGATTCAAAATATTCTCAAGTTTCTCAAATGACCGGTAGGGGGCGAAGTTACCATTATAAAACAAGAAATTCAAATTATCTCAGGAAATCGCTCGGTGAGGTACTTTTTTGATAACGGAAATGAAAAGATCATTAATTTTTGGTCAGGTTGGTAAATGGACTTTTTTTCGTATCTTCCTAATGTTCCGATTTCGTATTGGTGGTGGAATAGGATGCACCTGTCCTGTCTCCCGCAGTCGTCTACCCAATCGGGAAAATACTCTTCCAGTAAAATGTCTCCTATCAGGATAGTTAGCTGCGTATACTCGTTCTGCCACAGCAACATTTTCGAAACATTGAAAATAAACCGCCAACATATCATAGGCTTCCGCGGTAGAATAAGACATTTTTAATGGAATTTCAAATGCACAAATGTCAGAATACCCCAATATGAAGGTTGCCTGGCAACCAGCTCAGTTGACGTTCAATTATTTTCACAGATATAATGATTGAAGTGAATAAATAGTGTATTCTTTTTAAGAAATGATTTTTCGATGGACAATAAGTTATTCGCGAATAACTTGAAGACAAATGAAGATATCGAATCGCGGTTTGCGCTAAAATGTAGCTATTTTGATGCTCTTCTAAACAAATGATGTGAACATGTATCATTCCATTTGAATTTTTCGAGAAAAATCGAAAAAAAGTAATAGTTAGTAAACTGCCCCAACTAGCATTTATAGTCGCGATTACGTAATTACGACTATTGGGTCGACTATTAAGTAATATTTACTAGTTGCGGTTACGTTATAATTACGTCGTTACTACGTATTTACGACCAAAATGGGGAACAAATCACGAGTAATTATTACGGTTTGCCGACGTAGCGGGAACTCACACAATTACGTAATGCTTACGACTCGTCGACGTCGAAATTACGTAAAGATGTAGTAAATTTTCCTACCTGACTTTCTATTTCTTTTCCACTTCATAAAAATATTATTTTCTCTCTTTATTATTCTTCATTTCATCCATGAAGTTCACATTCACGAAAAATGAACAAGTCCAGTATGCCTAACCATTCAATAAATAATACAAGGACAAACACGCGAAATAATTGATACTCGAACTTGAAAAATTCGAACAACATTCAGTTTTTCGATAAATGTGATGATTTTGCCTCGAAATTCAAGATGCGCCCACAAAATACGGCTCATTTCACCAAAAATATGGTTTTATTTCATTCGGCTATTTTTCAAAAATCATCGTAAATCATGTTAATTTCCATTATTATGCAATTTGTGATCGAACGAATGCTATTATTCTTCATAAAATGATGTTTATCAACAAGAAAAACCAAAATTATTTCCTGTTCAAATGGTTATCACATCAATCAATATGGCTTACAATCGAAAATGAATCAGAAAGTTACTTTTGGAACTCGTCAGTTATGATAACCTATGTATTGGTAACTTCAACTGAATATAATTACCGAAAAGTTGTTTCAACTATGAAGGAATTGTTTGAGTAGGAATTACCAATATGTTACTTGAAATATCACCAAGAATTGACTAAATTATTAGGTGATCGATCAAGTAACGACAACGTCGTAGAAACCTAATTGGTGACCATAGAGTAATTGCAACTGTGAAGCCTTCTTGGGGTGGTAAGCGTTACCGTAATAATATATCCAAAGTTCCGAAACCTTAAGAGTAGTTTTGAGGAGTGACAGTTTCGAAATAGTTACTTCGTAATAAGCCATGAGAATTTCTCACTTTGAAGTTATTATCTAGTGTAAAAACTACGTAATTTTCACTCACTAAATAACTATCACTGACATTTATACTATGAAGTTCTGAAATAAGTGATAAATACGTTATTATCACTAAATATAGGTAATAGTTTCTTGAACCATGGTGCCTGTGACTGAAAATGCTAGTTGGGGCGCCCTCTATAAGACGCGGTGTGAACTAGCGACCATAAACAAAGTCAGTTTTGAAATAAGAGTGAAATTATCTTTCAAACGAGCTCAAGTTGATTGAATTTGGATGAAGGGTATGGAAGATACAGCAATTCAAAAAATATTTTGTTCACAAGCTTCCCCCACCATTATTATTCAAGATACGAAAAAAAGTCCATACACCAACCTGACCCAAAATCAATGATCTTTTCATTTCCGTTATCAAAAAAGTACCTCACCAAGCGATTTCCTGAGATAATTTGAATTTCTTGTTTTATCATGGTTACTATGCAACTAAGACTGGTGACTGCGGTTGTGATATTTGGAATGCCAGTCATCTGTCGAATTATAGTTTTGATCGTTTTTTGAAAATTCATGCTCTGTCAGTATTTGATTTTCAATTATGGCACCCAAAAGTCCCTAATAGTAAGCAAATGATGTAGTGATCAAATAGAAAACCACGTCATCAAACTATGAATATATCGAATATTATCAATTAACCTCAGTAATCGAAATGGGAATATTGTTTTTCATTGTGATTTGTAAATAGAAGAATCACACCGAACTAAAACACGTCAACGTCAAGTCAAACTTATCGAACTTACCAGAGAAAATCCACGGTCGTTCTGGTGACAGTGTATCTACCACTTTTTCAGCAACCTAGTTCCGCAAATAACCTTTTTTCAGCAACCAACCGAACATTTCATATTTGCGGAACAGACAACTACTAACCGGAATAACCGAGTTGATTTACAGAACATACCCTTTATTACTTGTCACATTTTTGTTATATATTTGAGATTATTTTATTCATGGACAACACTATTATTTATCATTTTTTTGTCTAAAAGTTTGATCGTTGCAATACTACTAACATAATGAGCATTTTAAATACTGTCTGTATGTTAATCGAGGATGTGGTACATTCATTATTCCAGATTTTTTGGGATTTTCTCTCCTTGTCTCTATAAAATAAAAATATGAATATTATTTCAATATGCGTGTAGACAAATCAGATAATTCCCAATATGTCACTGCGTTTAAAGAATTTTCCTATCAGAGAGCCTAAAAGAAAAATTCACTAGCTTGTCAGTGACAATTTGTAGTGAAAAAAGTCTCAGTGTCAGGACAAATTCGAATTTGCTATACAAAAAATCCATTTTTTAGGTTGCTCGATACTATTTTTTATAGTAAGCTGCTAAGCATATTACTACTTCAGAACTATATTTTTTGACGTTTGTACAAAAAATGTTGTTTGCAACTCGTGCACGAAATAATTTGGTCAAAATAACTAATTATTTTAGGAATGTTCAAGCTATGGCAGACGTCCAAACTGACATCGGAAAGGCAAGGGCTTGGGTTCGGCTTGCCTTAGAGAAAAAACAACTATCCAAGCATTTTCGCACACTTCTCTCAGACCACACTCTACTACGATCTCAGTACAAACGAAGTGCATTTCTGAGATGCGAGGAAGAGCGAGAACAATTTTTATATCATTTGCTTTCCTTAAATGCAGTCGATTATTTTTGTTTCACCAGCACATACCCAACCACAGGTAAATCATCGTAATTTATTTTTTCAGCTTCTGTTACATATATACAGGGCATATTCCTTGAACAATTTCAAGTCAAAAGTGCCTTATACACTTTTGTCTTAAACTCAATGGCTATTAAATAACAACTTTGCTCACCAGTAGATTTCAAGAGGGGGTCCGTTCTTTGGCCACCGAGGTCACCTGACCACTATTATCTTTGGGTACCCATGAAAAAAACACTGTATTCAAATAAACCACAAACCAGCATGAGCTAATTCAAAATAACAGGACTACAGCTGCATCCATAAGAGACGTCCTAGATTCTTTTCAGAGAGCGCAACGTTTTCAATAATTAGACGAACAAGAACGTGTTGTGATGCAGCAGATTTTAAACAAAACCTTCATTAAATTTGAGTAATAATCTGTTTAGTACTTTGACCCTATAAAGTTATTTGGTACTTGTATTACCCGATAAAAAATAACATTTAAGATCTATTTTATACAATGGAACAATTCTCTATAATGAATTACCTGCCAGACTGAAGAAAAAATTAAGTGTTGAGAAATCCAGAAAAGTTCTGAAAAAATACTTGTGTTAAATACTGTCTGTAGGTTTATCGAGGAGGTGGTATAGTTTATGCGAAGTCAGTTGGAAAAACACATCACCACAAGCCGTCGGTCCCTTTGAAAGTTCAAAGAGTGCGGCAGCGCGGCCCGACATTCGTTTGATGATCTGTTGAACTGCCTTTGCATAAACTATACATTCATTTTTCCAAATTTTTTGGGATTTTCTCTCCTCGTTTCTATAAAATAAAAATATGAATATTATTTCAATATACGTTTAGTAAGGACAAATCAGATGATTTGCCCCAAAATGTCACTGCGTTTAAAGAATTTTCCTATCAGAGAGCCTAAAAGAAAAATTTACTAGCTTGTCAGTGACAATTTGTATTGAAAAAAGTTTGGAGAAGAGATATAAAGGTATATAGAAAAAATATCAAATTTTCACTTATCTTTGGACGTTTCGGGACCGATTCTGCTCCCGTTTTCAACATGAGAAGAGATTATTTCAATAGCGAAGTCATATATGTCTTGAAGCTTTTCAGTTTTCAATGACAATTGGTGACGTTGGCAATCAAATGAGTTACAGGATGTTTTCATTAATTAATCTTGAATTTACCATTTTCATGTTCAGATTTTAGTAGTGAATACCATGTTCTGTCTATATCAACTGAACAAGAAGCAATGCTATTGTCTCCGTTCAGGAGAATGCAAGCAGATTCCTTGATTTTTCTCTTCTGGTTGTTATCATCTTTTCCAATGATTTTAGTATTATTCCACTCTGCCATATGTTGTCCGTCTTCAGTAAGGATATGTTCAGCTAGTTTCGATCTATCGATTTTTCTTTTCTTTATATTGTACTCATGTTCTTTCGTCCTTACTGAAAGAGGTCTCTTGGTTTCACCTGTATAAAACTTTCCACAAACACAAGGTATATACTGTAAATACAATTTTCTGACGATTGTTCTTCATTTTTCGGCTTTGTTTGAGTTAGAATTGATCTCATTGTATTTTCAGTTTTGAACACAGTTTTCACTTGAAATTTATCACCAACACGTTTTATTTTTTCAGATATGCCGGGAATGTATGGTATTAGATTTGTCGTTATTGATGGTTGATTTTGTTGTGGTTGACCCTGTTTGTTTTCAATTTGATGAATCGTCCTATCGACAAAATTCTTTGGATAGGAATTGAGTTGGAGAACATTTTTAATGTGGTGGACTTCGTTATTGAAAATTTGTTGGTCAGATGATATTGATTTGGCTCTATCATGGAGTGATTTGATTATTCCTTTCTTAATACTTTTCTGATGATTTGATTGAAAGTTCAAGTATCTGTTAGTATGGGTCTTTTTACGATATACACTCGTTACAAAGATGTTATTTGATTTTTCAATAAGAACATCTAGAAACGGTAACTGATTATTAGATTCAATTTCCAAAGTGAACTTTATTGTAGGTTCGGCATTGTTCACATAATCCAGAAAATTATCTAGCTCCATAACGTTATGTGGCCAAATTATGAAAATATCATCTACGCATCGCCACCATGTTTTAGGTTGTTTTTGGTAATTTTTGATGATGTCTTCAAAATTCTCTATGAATATATTGCTTAAAATTGGAGATAATGGCGATCCCATGGCCATTCCAAAGTTTTGTTGATAAAACTCATCACCCAATTGAAAATATGTTGTTTTTAGACACAATTCTAAAAATTCCATTATTTCTTCGATACTTAGATTAGTTCTTTCAGTGAGACTTTCATCGTCTACTAATTTATGTTTCACTATTTGTAAAGTTCTAACTATTGGAACATTTGTGAATAAACTTTCTACATCAAAACTAACAAGAGTATCATTTGTATCAAGAGTGATGTCATTAAGCTTTTCTAAGAAATGAGGAGTATTTCTGATGTAACTCACTTTTTCCTGAAATAGGATTGATGATATTCAAAATAAATCTTGCTTAATTTTGACATATACCTTTATTTCTCTTCTCCAAACTTTTTTCAATACAAATTGTCACTGACAAGCTCGTGAATTTTTCTTTTAGGCTCTCTGATAGGAAAATTCTTCAAACGCAGTGATATTTTGGGGCAAATCATCTGATTTGTCCTTACTACACGTATATTGAAATAATATTCATATTTTTATTTCATAGAAACGAGGAGAGAAAATCCCGAAAAATATGGAAGAATGAAGTACTTCTGTCTTTGATTCTCTTATATCATCCTAAATCAATTAAAGAACTTATATTCAACAGTCTCTAGAAGAAACAACATTATATGTACTATGTATATGATTCAAAAATGATTACTAATTTTCCCTGCTATAAACATATATGTTTCTTGGGAATAATGAAGATTATTATTATTTGATTTATTGTTAACATGACGACGTGTAGCTGAAACATAAAAATCAATCAATAAAGTTCAGGAGAAATTGCATTTGATTGCAATTTCTCTTCTATTAATCATTTCATCAGTTTTTATCAAATAATCATAAATATACAGTCCACTCATCACCAAAGCATCGAACATAATCAAAAAACTTCAAACTGATAAAATATTACATTTCTTCATTCAAAATTCTCTTTGCCTCATTGAACACTTCTGTTAGATTTCATTCTGCTCATAACTCCTCAACTATAGAGTTTTGGACAAAACTGTATAATACACTCTCGACTTGAAATTGTTCCAGTGATCATAAATTGTTAGGTTGTGTGGAAACAATCCCTACTAGTAATTTTTGGAATTTGAGTCCATAAAAGTTAGCCATGATAATAGCTCAACATCGAAATCACCCAAATTTTAAATGAGAATTTCATATACAGAAAAATATCGGTCAAAATATAACCAAGTTTTTCCTTATTTTAGTGATACCCTACCGAATTGTGATAGTTCCAAATAAAAAAGGAACAACTTCGTCTGCCAATGTTTGGATCGTTTTATCGGGAACACTTATCGAAACAAATAGACTGTCTGTTCCAAAATCGACACTCAATTTCGAATACAAGGTAATAACCGTTTTAGGACCTGAAGTATTTATAGCTTTGATTTCGGTATATTTCAGCATCAAAATCTGGGTGTATTGACAACGCTCAGGATTGGACATGACAACACCGGGATTTACGCCAAATGGATGATCGACTATGTCATTATCCGAAATGAAATGACGGGTCATATGTACAAGTAAGGATTTTTCCAGAAGGATTTTTTGACATCTATTTATTTATTTATTGGTTTCAATCATCACAAGTTTCACTTTGTACAGGTTTTCTAGTTAATAATCTGTCAACATTTCGGACAAACTAGTAGACGAGGTATAATATTGTTTGTTTATTGACCCAAAATATTTTTCTGCCTGGTTGTACTTCAAACCGACCGATGACGCGCTCCGTTTTCTGCTGGAGCTTTGAAAAGACTATATACCTACCAACATAAAAAAAAAATTATGTAAGAAGCAGAATATCCATAAGCAAGAACCAAATTGTGTTCAACTTTCCTGCTTCTACATAATTATATCCTCATTTCAGATGTGCAGTTATTTATTTCGTTTGAATGGTACATTCATGTAATATTTCCTGATTATTATTCGTTTCACTGGATCATTTATGTTTAAAACATTTGTTTGTTTCTAGTCATCACTCATCTTTTTTCGTTTCCCAGTTGACAAACTATAGTTCGACTTGCCAAGGAAGTCCTTGGACGAGAGGGAGATGATGAAGGCTTTCAGTTCTCGGAGTATCTTCACAATTCGGGATTTCGCAGCTTAAGATTCCGGTTTTGAATTGACAGTGAGTTGATGATCACAACATTTATGTTGTTCTTGGCTTACATTGTTTCCGGCGGTCATCTTTGAAAAGCCAGACTATACATATGTAGATATGATTGTTAGTGAGATGGCCAAGTTATCAAAATTCTAAAGCCAAATAAGCACTCCCTACATTTATATTATCAGCTTGCATTCCATCATTTCAATAAAGTGCAAATAGTAATGTTTCATCACAGCACTTATGAGTTTCCAGTTCCTACTAAAATACTCAATCATTACATAAACAATGATTGTTCATTATTCACATTGCTTTCATTGAAATGTATGTGTGAGTATAGGTTGATTGATTGATTTGATTGATTTATAGCAGAATGACCAGTCAGGATTCGAAGCCCAAAACACTGCAGCCTTCGGGCCTATTGGATTCCTGATCGTGCTGTTGACTCAGGTAAACAGGTTCGCTACCTTGATGAGGATTAGCAGCCTCTTCATCAAATCTTTCGTTGGAAAAACCTCATGTGAGTTTAGTGCTCCCAGAAGGATATATCCTCCAACGCGCTAGTGCCTCGCACTCCAATAATACATGGGTGGCTGTTTCCTCCTCATTGCATAGTCTGCATATGAGTTTGTCTGTATAGATGCCCATTTGATGCAGATGCTTCCTCAAGGCGCAGTGACCGGTTATTAGTCCCGTCACTTGTCTAATCTGACTTCCGTTTAGGCTCAGAATGTCGTTAGTCACTGTTCTGGCCAGTGCTCCAACCATCAGTTTGCTGTGTCTTTGTTCTGGAACGTTGTTCCAGTATGCCTGATGTCTCTCTTACGTCCACCTTGCCAGCCAGTCGCGTATTGAGGTTTTGGGGATTCCGAACAAAGGTTGCGGTCCAATAAACCTCGCCGCAGACCCTTGTCTGGCAAGAGCGTCAGCTGCTTCATTGCCTTCAATTCCCTTATGCCCTGGCACTCATTGAAGCGTTATCTTGTTGTTATTAGCCAGGGTTAGAAAGCTTTCAAGGCAATCCCAACCCAGAATATGTAGTATGAAGATATGTATACAGGGTGGGGTGAGTCAGTTTTTTGTAGCAGGACTTCAACAGCTCAAAGAAGATATTATTAACTCAAGATAAATAGATAAAAAGCGGTGTGATATTTAAATATATTTTTTTGTTTTTCGAGCTTTGCCACAGGTTCATTAACAAATCTTATGAAAACTTCCGATCATTCCAGATCTTCTAGTTAATTTTCGAAAAATGAAGTTTTATCACAAGCAAATCATTTTTGGCATTTATCTCGAAATCCATAGTTTTCGAGAAACATATAGAACAGCGAAAAGTATCCGAATAAAACAGAGAATCCAAATTGATGTTTCATTGATAGGAGAGGCAGTATGCAGAAAAATTCAAGAGGGTTGAATTGGGTACAATCCTCGAAAGTGTATCACCCAGTTTCAATTCATTATTGAAAAAATTGTAGGAGAAAACTAGAAAAACATTGAAAAAATCTCGAACTTTGACTTCCTGTATATCGGAAACGAAGCTCCCACGCATATATGTTCACATGAACGATTCATCTTGAAAATATGCGTTCTTCAAGTTGTGGAAGTCCTGCTACAAAAAACTGACTCACCCTGTGTGTTCATACGAAAAAAAATTATCCAACATGAGAAATGTTTCTAACAAACGTGATAGAAAAGTGAATCCAATTGAGAATAGAGGTCATGGCTTACTGAGAATACCTTCGACCATGGTGATTTATGCATATTTTTTTCCAAGGAACAGACAACATCATACCTCGCCTTCTAGTTTATCACATAAAAAACTCGAGATTCGCGGATTTCAAGGTCATTATCTGGCGTTGTGATGACGTTACAACTGGGGAAAATCATGTCTAACTTTCAATCTAAGCCAGGAATTAGGAATGTTTCCCTCCAGTTTGAACATCATCGCCACGACTCTGAAAATCGCGAATAATTTTGTGCAGGAGAAAATTTTATGTGTTTTTCCGAAGGTTCCCTTGTGGAAGATGGCTCGGAAGAGGAGTGGACGATGGTTCCACTGAAAGGCTTCTGGTCGGAACGATGATCTCGAAAAATGAAGAGCTAGAAGTGACCGTGAGGTCAGGAGGCAGCTTGGGTCGTTCCACGCCAAGGTCGAGGTCGCCAGCCATGTCTCCGAGACCTGAATTGAAGGCATCGCAAATACAGCACATGTTGGGTGAGGCTGCTTTATCTCATTTTTCCTGGAAACTCACCAGACAAACTTGGTTAACTTTATTGTGACGGCCCGGTAACGGTTTACTCGTAAAGCTTGACAGATGTCAGTTTGTCAGCTGTTTTAATTTGTTATTGTTTTTTTCCCTGTTTGGTTTCAGTATTAATAGAGTAATACTAATATATTGAATAAAAAATTCATCATCTTCAGCTTCAAGAAAATTGGAACAAATTGCTCTGTACCTATTTACGATTAATCAAATATTAATTTTCGTCAATAATATGATGAGATCTTTCATTGAAAAATACTTCGTATGAATCCATCTCATTAAAAAGTGTGATTATTTTTTCTTATCAATTATTACCTCAGATTATAACAACAACACCAAGAGTCCAATCCAGTGCTCAATCAAAAGCCTTATCTACTCTGTGAACTACCTTAGTGAGCTGGTTTGTGTGGTTGGTTCACTATTACGTCATAGTTTGGAATTCACTTCGAGGAAAATTGTCTGGTCAACTTATTGTTGATCCGGTTTGTGTGGTTAACTTCGAGGAGAAATGGCTCTAGACATTTTCGTAGGTAATACCAGAAGTTATACTATGTTGCCGGAAATATTTGGCGATTGTTATGACAGCTTGATGCCTAATAATTTCGCGAATGACATTTTTTATCAAAACTTTCAAGCCGAAGGCGAGAAGTTCTGGATCGTCATAAGCCAAATCGAAGCAGCAAGCTGGAGTATATCAATCGACGGATATTTTCAGGAAAAATAGTATCACGAGTTGTATTCCTATAACTATTCCACTCTTGTCCTCGAGAACCAATCAGAATCGACAATTTTCACGATTTCTTCTGTATACCAGCGATATCCCTGCAAACAATGGTCAACCTTGTGCTGGCCATAAAAGGCCAGAACGGCAAAATTCCTGTGAACATTGATGGGTCAGTACCAATAGGAGACCCTGGCCGTCATCAGAGCCAGTACATGTCTGCCGATACATTCAAATAAAAAAAAAAAGAAGACCGCTACGGGATTCGAACCCCCGTCTTCCTCTATCACTTGGTTACAAATTGAGCTTATTCCAACTGAGCTAACTACACCATTTTTTAAACGATATGTGTGTATGGAATTTATTTGCGGTCAACTTTCGTATAAGAATATTTCATTAATAATTATCATCATCGTAACAGATATATACAACCGATAAACTAAGAAAAACATCCGATTCTCCGATTTACTGCCGAATTTCTGTCATACCTATTATATCAGTCAGACGACTTGCCTATTTTGTTATGTTCGAATTTGATGGCTTTCATGATAATATATTTAAATGCAAAACGGTGGAATAGCGCAGAGCATGGTTGAGCGCTCGACTATAGCAATCAGAACGCCGAAAGGTCGCTACAGGTTCGCGATCCCTGGTAGAGCAGAGGATTTTTATTTATAAAACGAAATCTAAATTCTAGTTTTCGTAGCCTCGGCCGGAGATGATTCCGCACGATTCGCTGTTGCGTCCCAATGAACTGTGTTGCTCCTAAGGTGAGGTATGGAGGTCTATACAGAACCCACATCGGCTGAAGGAATATCAATTCTGATACCCATGAGCATCACACCAGCAAAGTGAACATTTGAAAATTTGAAAACTGTGAAAATGATAACCCAATTTGGGAAAAAATCATTATATGATAGTCTATACCCAATAGAATGAAATCTATTAAGTTCGTCACAAAATTCAAGAGAAAACGTAAGAAATATATTTTATTATATTGCATATTTGATTTATTAATTTTTTTTGTATTCCTCTATAAACATATACCTATGTTTCTTGGAATCAATAAATATTATTATTATTGTTAAGTTGACCTATGCGGATGTCTCAACCAATATTTTTTCGCCGGCGAAATACCAGATTTTGTTATAATGAAACTGCTTCCCCTCGATAAAACCTTGTTATAATATAAATTATTACTGAACTGTTGAAAGGATATACCTTACATCTTGATTATCTCGACCTGTGTCTCGGCCATGTCTGGGCCTATATAAATTTTTTAAGAAAATAAAACGTAACAATTTTGAATGTCAATCAGCGTTACAACGCAAACGTTCTATTTCCTATTCACCACAAATATAAACAACACACATCACATCCTCATTTGATGGATCAAAGGAGGGAAGAATGCAAACTCAATTTGACTTGTGAAATTTGCTACTGATAAAGTGAATTGTTTCTTACAAATCGGCGAGGAGAATGAATTATTGTTCCTAATATAATTCGTTCTCCAAATTATTTTATTTTCAACTCATCTTGACGGACTCGTGATTTTTTTCAATCAATAGACGGTAAAATTTTTTTCCAGAAAACAAAAGATATGATAAGCTTCTAGATTGAAATATCTGGATACTTCTGGAAGTGGTTTTTTGAAAATGCTATTTGATTTTTTCGAAAAAATAAAGCTTACTTAAATGGAGAAAAAGAACTCCCAGAGAAACCTAATCAATAACTTATACATATTAGACAGTCTCAAGAAGAAATAACATTATATGTACAGGGTGATTGACTATGGATTTCTCGACTTCAACAGCTGATCTCGAAAACGAAAAAAGATATTTGAAATTTGGAAAAAGTTACTTGAATGAGATGTCATTTCCTTCTGGAAAATGTGTTCTCTGCTTGATTTTATCATTTCATATACAGGGTATGTGAAAAATTTTTTTTTTTTTTTCAAATGGAACCCCCTGTATATTATCGCATATTTCGAAAGAGCTATCTTTCCTGATTTCAAAGATATATACTTTTTATATATTCTATCGAGTGCTTGACGAAATACCAGCAAAATTAAATATTAATATTTGGTCAAGTTAGCTATGGTTGAAATAGAATGAGATGATGAATAAGTGAATTGACATTCGGTCAACATTTCAGTGACATAAGTGCGCAAAATTTCGATAATTTTTTCACGATGCCATATCCACTGAAAAAAAGAAGAGATATTTTGGAGTGCTATTTTTCAGTTAATAAAAATCTTGCTGAAACACTTCATAAGTTTATGATGAGTTATCCAGGCAGGAGATTACCAAGTAAGAATTAGGTAAAGTATTTGGCTGCTAGATTTGAATCGAATATCAAGAGAATAGTTTGAAGGCAAGACAACGAAGACAAGGAACTTCTTGTAATCCAGTATTTTGTTGAGGATCCTTCACGGTCAATAAGAAATGCAGTGAGAGAGTTTGGTTTCAGCTATTATTTTGTTCAACATACCTTAAGGAAATATAAATATAGGAATTTCAGAATTAGACCATGCCACAAACTCAATTATGATGATAATGAGAAGCGGATTGAATTTTGTCTTGTCATATATGAAAGATTAAATATAAGTAAGTATAAGTGTAAGTGTTTCAGCAAGATTTTTATTAACTGAAAAATAGCACTCCAAAATATCTCTTCTTTGTTCCAGTGGATATGGCATCGTGAGAAAATTTTCGAAATTTTGCGCACTTATGTCACTGGAATGTTGGCCAAATGTCAATTCACTTATTCATCATCTCATTCTATTTCAACCATAGCTAACTTGGACCAAATATTAATATTTGATTTTGCTGATATTTCGTCAAGCCCTCGATAGAATATATGAAAAGTATATATCTTTGAAATCAATAAAAATAGCTCTTTCGAAATATGGGATAATATACAGGGGGTTCCATTTGAAAAAAAAAATTTTTTTCACGAAACCTGTATATGAAATGATAAAATCAAGCAGAGAACACATTTTCTAGAAGGAAATGACATCTCATTCAAGTACCTTTCTCCAAATTTCAAATATCTTTTTTCGTTTTCGAGATATCAGCTGTTGAAGTCGAGAAATCCATAGAAATCCATAGTCAATCACCCTGTACAACAGATAAAATTATTCATTAACAGACTCATGATTCAAGAATAGTTTTCTATTTATCAGAATTTGCTCTCCATAATTTTCCCTGCTATAAAGATCTATATGTTTCTTGGGAATAATAAATATTATTATTATTATAATTATCTTTTTTGTATTTTTTTCAGGTGACTGTGTCAATAAAATAGTAAAATGGCACTACAGAAGATCGTCTGAAAGACATACTACTCTAACAGCCCTTCTTTGTAGTGAAAATGGATTAGTTTTTTGTCTCGAGTATGTTTTCATACTTGGATTCAAATCTGCTAGGATGTTCATGGGGAAACATTATTTATGGGATTACTTTGGTTAGCTTTTTTGCCAATTTTATTTGAATTTACGTTAATTGAAAAATAATTTTAGTAAGAGTTAAAGAACATTTTGAGATGGAGCTGTTAGAAGAAGTTTCCGGTAATCGGACAGGTAGCTTAGAAAGAAATCATCAAGAAGTTGTAGCAGTTTGGAGATGTTACTGCCATCTCATAGATGAAATTACCCAGACTAGCAAAACTTTGGGAAAGGATGGTAAATTCCAACAATTTATATGTGTCAGCGTTAGGTAAGCATTTTAATGAGACTCATATGCCAATAATATTGATTGAAACATTTTTTTATTTTCTTTCCAGAGAACATTTATTGCATAGGATGTTATTACCTATGTCTTCCTGTAAAGTTACCTTGGAAATGTATGAAGAAAATTCATTTCTAAGAAATAGAGGTCTGTTAACTTTTCTTAGACAAATCCTTCTCCCATTAGATGATCTAGATGTTGTTCTCGAAAAATCGGTGTCTTATGGAATTTCATCTCCATCTTCTCATGTTTAGATTAGTTCTTTTAGTTTGAATTTCTAGTCCTTCTTCCTACAAATGTTACCAATGATATTGTCTTCGTGATACTTTATTTCGTCTACATATTCTGTATATAAGATATATGTTGTTTCTTTTTTTATTTCGTTTAGGCATCAACCAAGAACATGAATTAGAATACTCAATATTTTTGTTAATTTTATTTATACAATAGTATAAGGGATGTGTAAGAAAAAAAGACATTAAGTACCTATGTTACAGATCATGGAACCATATTTACGCTGTATATAGTTGAATTTTTATTTACTCTGTATGTTTCTAGTTTGATGTGTATTGTCAAGTTTGTCATTAATTAATTCTATAAAAAGTCATATCTGATTGAGCTTCTTTTTCTGATTGTACCACGATACATTAGTATTTTCACTATTCTGATCCATATTTCATCCTTCATACGAAGTATTCAATCACCGGGTAGGTGAATTACGAATATTTAACATTTGGCGACCGTGACAGGACCCCCGACTATGGAGAAGGCGAAGAAAGTACTTGCGGTTCAAAGAAGTTCATTTGATCAAGTTTTTTATGACATCATGAATCTATTCAGCGAAACAGATAAGGATAAGATTGGTATATTCAGTAAAATCAACCTCCTAGAACAGAAAATTGAAATTTTGATGGATTTACATAAACAGGTTGTGGATTTTCTGTTGGACGATGAAAATGCCTTGATATCGGAGATTACACTAGCTGATGAATATTCTGCAAAGTATTTCAAAGTGAAACTGATGGCTGAAAATCTTTCTAGTAAGGATTTCATTGCAGACAATATCTCTCAGTGTTCTAGTAACTCCAGAAGAAAGCTCAAATTACCGACCATAGAATTCAAAAAGTTTGGTGGCGAAATAAGAGACTGGCTCTCCTTCTGGAGCCAATTTCAACGAGTTGACGATGATGAAGACATTGCTTTGGAAGATAAGTTTCAGTACTTGATTCAAGCAACCATACCAAATTCGAGAGCTCGTCAGCTTGTGGATAGCTACCCTCCAAGTGCAGAAAATTACCCGAAAGTAATTGAATGCCTAAAAAACAGATTCGGAAGGAAAGATTTTCTCGTAGAATTCTATGTACGTGAGTTGCTGAAGCTAGTGTTGAACAATCTCTCAGTCAATAACAATCTTAGCTTTCTTTATGACAAAATGGAATCCCAATTACGAGCCTTGGAGACTCTTGATGTCACCTCAGAAACTTGTGCGGCTATGTTGTATCCCCTGATGGAATCTTGTCTACCTGAAGATCTCATTCGAGTATGGCAGAGGAGTACATTCTACGATACTGATTCTACCCTCAAGAATCGCCTAGATAAATTGATGAATTTCCTTAGAAAGGAAGTTGAAAATGAGGAGAGGATTACTTTGGCAATGTCAGGTTTTGGAATTCAAAACAGATCCAAGAAGAGAGATGATGCTCCCAAACATCATGTTTTGCCAACCGCTTCTGGATTGATTAATAATAACATTCAGAAGAAATGTCACTTTTGTTGTGGTATCCATTTGACCGAACATTGCGTAGAGGCCAAGAAATGGTCTTTATCTGATCGTAAGAAAAAATTGATGGAAAAAGGATGCTGTCATCAATGTTTGAAATATGGACATATTTCTAGAAAATGTCGTGTAAATTTGACATGTACTATTTGTGGTGAGAGACATCATGACATTATGTGTCCGAAACCTGATGAACCAGCATCTAAGTCAACTGTAGTCAATAAGAGTGTAGAAAACAATTTATCCAATAGCTCATATTCTGAAGTTTTTCTGCAAACTCTAGTTGCCAATTTGAATGGTTCCAATAAATCAAGGACAGTTCGAGTGATTATAGATACTGGGTCTCAGCATTCATATATAGCGAAGGCAGTAGCTGAAGAAATGGATTATGATTGTTTGCGGCAAGAAGAAATCATCCATGCCCTCTTTGGTGGTTCGAAAACGAATGCTGTCAAACATAACTGCTATCGTATAAGATTAAGTAACCTGACGAATGATTATGCTTGCAACTTCGAAGCACTTGACCACTCTATCATATGTAGCAATGTAGCATGTGTTCGTAAGGGCCCATGGATTGAAAAGTTACACTCTGTTGGTATTGAAATCACGGATTCCCAAGAGGGAGCCATTGATGTTTTAATTGGTGCTGATATAGCCGGCAAATTGTTGACTGGAAACCGTTACGAGTTGGAGTGTGGCCTAGTAGCACTAGAAACCCTGTTAGGTTGGACACTGATAGGGAAACTTCAAGACGAAAACAATGAAATGACCAAACCATCTATGGTGATGTCGATGTTTTCGAAAAACGACTCGATTTCTGATTTATGGAATCTGGATATGCTTGGTATATCTGATCCTGCAGAGAAGAAAACACAGCAAGAAACCGAAGAATTTGTCATGAATCAATTTTTAAATACGCTCACTAGAGAAACTGATGGCAGATATGAAGTTCATTTGTCTTGGATCGAAGATCACCCTCCCTTGCCAAGTAACTATGGGATGGCCAGAAAACGACTCGATTCCTTGGTAAAGAAACTCAATACCGATGGTTATTACGACCGATATGACCAGGTTTTCAGAGAATGGATGAATGAGGGCATCATCGAAGAAGTTCCTGAGTCAGATTTGATGAAAGAGGGACATTATTTACCTCACCGTCATGTTGTGAATGAAAACAGCGCAACTACCAAGATACGGCCTGTTTTTGATGCTTCTTCGAGAGAGAAAAATCAGCCATCTCTGAACCAGTGTCTAGAAAAAGGCATAAATTTGATTGAGTTGATTCCATCCTTGCTGATCAGATTTCGCATGTCAAAATTTGGACTCATTTCTGACATAAGAAAAGCTTTTCTACAAATAAGCTTAAATGTCAAAGAAAGAGATTTCCTGCGTTTCTTATGGTTTGATCATACAGGAGTGTTAAAAACTTATCGACATGCGAGGGTAGTTTTCGGAGTTACATGCAGTCCATTCTTGTTAGGAGCAGTAATAGAAACACATCTCAAAAATTGCCTCGAAAGTTCAACGAATTATGAAACAAGATTAATAATTATTCAACTACTCAAGAGTTTTTATGTGGACAACTGTGTCACGAGTCTGGATAGTATGGAAGAAATCCAGAATTTCATTGAAGTTTCCACAGAGTTATTTGCCGATGCCAAGTTCGACCTGAGAGGGTGGGAGCATTCAAGTATTGAAGGTAATTTTGAAAACACCAATGTTTCTTCAGTTTTGGGACTTTGCTGGAATAAAAACTCAGATACTTTGCAGTTGAATTCAGAATGGTTTCAAGAAATCAATACAGAAACTATTACGAAACGTATTATTTTATCTACTGCTCATCGTCTTTTCGATCCTATAGGATTTTCGTGCCCAGTTTCCCTTTGGCCTAAAATATTATTGCAAAAGATATGGGAGTTGAAGATAGAATGGGATACTGAAGTACACGAAGATATCAAGAAAAGTTTTTTGAAGTGGGTGGAGGAAATTCCGACACTCCTGAGCCTGAGAATCCCCAGATGGTTATTTGGTTCCACTGATGGAAGAAATCACTGTAGTTTGCATGTTTTCTGTGACGCAAGTCAACACGCTTATGCTGCAGCGATCTTCCTGAGATCTGAAACGTGTGACAGCGTGAATGTTCAGCTTGTACAAGCCAAATCCAGAGTTTCTCCTGTCAAGCGAATGACCATACCTCGGCTCGAGTTGTTGGCTGCTACCATAGGAGCTAGACTATCCAAAACTATTACTGACATTATTGATCCTGATCTGTTAGTTTACTGGTGGTCTGATTCCACAGCAGTCCTGTCTTGGATAAAAGATGATACGAAATGGAAGTCTTTCGTTTGGAATCGGGTACTAGAAATTAGAAAGCTGACTAATAAAAATGCATGGTATCACGTTCCTGGAAATCTCAATCCAGCAGACCTTCCCTCCCGTGGCTGTTCCCCAAAACAACTGATTTGCTCGAAATGGTGGGAGGGACCTGGATGGTTGAAGGAATCTCCGAAAAACTGGCCTAATCAAAATTACCAGAGGGATGAAGGGACAATTGAATCTGAAAGAGGAAAAGATATCATATCCACTAATTTATCTACGACTACCGATTCTTCTTGGTATCACGAGAGAATTTCGAAATACGGGAAAATTATCCGAGTACTTGGTTGGATCAGAAGATTCATTGGAAATTGTCGTCACAAGGATGCCAAGATTACAGATGATGAATTATCTTTGGTAGAAGTAGAGCAGGCAGAAAAATGTATCTTGAAATTTGTGCAGAATGAAGCATTCAATGGGCCTGATGATGCTCAGTTGAAGAGTTTTTGTTGTTTCATAAATGATGATGGTATCATTAGAATACAAACCAAGGTTTCTGAGAGGAAGGACTTTCCTGATTTCTGCTATCCAACGATTCTACCATCCAATCATCCCATCGTGAGTAAACTGATTTACGAAACTCACGTGAAATTATTTCACGTTGGTGTTCAGGGTTTGCTCAGTTTTCTGCGAGAAAGATTTTGGATCATAAGAGGCAGAAAAGCAGTGAGAACTGTAATCTCAAAGTGTACGATATGCCGTAGATTCAATGCCAAACATTTAGAAGTTCCACCTGTGTCGCTGACTGAAAATAGAGTACGACAAGCTCACATATTTGAAGTCATAGGTGTAGATTTGGCTGGCCCCCTTTACATTCGAAATGGGGAAAAGGTATGGATATGCCTGTTTACTTGTGCCATTTATCGAGCTGTTCATTTAGAACTCTTGTCGTCACTGTCCACCGATGTCTTTCTGCAATCATTCAGAAGATTTGTGGCGAGAAGAGGGAGACCGTCGACTGTATACAGCGATAATGGCACGAATTTTGTTGGTGCCGACAATGCTTTCTCACAGTTGGATTGGAAAATGATTAATGAGTACAGTACTGTGGAGAGAATAGATTGGAAATTCAATCCTCCAACGGCTTCTTGGTGGGGTGGATGGTGGGAGAGGTTGATCAAAATCATCAAAGATCTCCTCCGGAAAATTTTGGGACGAGCCAGTCTCACCTACGAGGAATTATCGACTATTATATGTGATTGCGAATCTATTGTGAATTCGAGACCGATCACATATGTGCATGAAGATAGCCGAGATCTTGTTCCACTGACTCCTGCTATGTTTACAAAAGAGATTCTGGAATGTGGAGTTCCAGATTTAGATGCCGTGGAGAGGTCGGATTTAAAGAAGCATTTAAGATACAGGATGAAACTAAAGGATGATCTTCGAAGACGATTTAGAAATGAATATTTAGGACAACTAAAATTATCTGCTAAAAAGCATTCCGAGAGAGAAATCAAAGTTGGTGATATTGTTTTGATAGGTGCTGATAACTCAAAAAGGTTAGATTGGCCTCTAGCTTATGTTGAAGAATTAATACCTGGTCGGGACAGTAAAACTAGATTGGTAAAATTGAAGACTGCTAAAGGATCAATGCTGAGACCTCTACAAAGAATTTATCCTTTAGAATTGAATTGCAGCAATGATTTAGATCTATCTTCCACTCCAGAAAAGAGGGACACTGAAGAGAAGACTCATAGTGAAGACATTGATCATGATAGGGAAGAAGAAGATAAAGAAGATCATGAAAGCTTTGAAGTACAACCTATCACCACAAGATATGGAAGGACCGTCAAACCTGTCCAAAAATTTTCTATGTAGTGGATTGAGTTGTTGAACTGAGTATACAACAACTCAAGGTGGGAGGATGTTACAGATCATGGAACCATATTCACGCTGTATATAGTTGAATTTTTATTTACTCTGTATGTTTCTAGTTTGATGTGTATTGTCAAGTTTGTCATTAATTAATTCTATAAAAAGTCATATCTGATTGAGCTTCTTTTTCTGATTGTACCACGATACATTAGTATTTTCACTATTCTGATCCATATTTCATCCTTCATACGAAGTATTCAATCACCGGGTAGGTGAATTACGAATATTTAACAACCTATGAAAAATAAAATATTCTTGCCATATTCTTAGTTTTCATCAATTTCTGTATCTTATATCTCAACAGAAAATAATTCAATGTGGATTCAATAAGCCAAAACGATTTGAAAATAGTGAAAACAATACCAAAATTCCTTCATGCAATTTTGATTTTTCTTACAGTTAAGTAAGTATATGAAGCGAAAAATGTGATAAATAATCTGTTGATCGTGGGTGATGCCACACTCACTTCAACCTTGAAATAGGTCGAACAACACTTTATCAAAACTCGTTTTTCTATATAGAACGGCAATTCTTTGGTATTCTTTTCCAGAGGAAGGATTCCCAAAAACTTTATTATCTCCAGGTGTTCAAGAAAAACTGAAATACACACCTTCACTTCAAGGAAGTCCCTTTCGTGCGCTCCAAAAGATGAAAAAAAATCGTGACAACCTGTATTATATGATCAGCATTCCACATAACTTAACACAATAGCTATATAGAAAATAAGCGTAAGCCACTACTGCTGTCAAAGCGGTCTTCATGTTTACTTTTTAATCTATGACTTGGGCTACGTTCAGGGACAGGTCTGACCACAGCAGTTCTATCACGACAAGCACTAAATACTAAGTTCTGAACGAGCATCGGAAAACAGTCACGCATTTTGATTTCCGTGGTAGTAAGTTGTTTCATTAGTTGCGTTTCAAGTGAATCTGGAATTTTACTCCACTCCTGTGAGTTACAGTATAGGACAGATACTTCACCTTCATCAATTTTTTCGTTTCAGTAAGTCAATATAAAGAGAATGTAACCGAGCAATAAAACTCGGTTTTAACAAAAACTATCAGGAGTATTTACATGAGTGCTCACAATACTATATCGATTATAATTCCGTTAGAAATCAACGAGATCCAATTGCTTGTTTTGCAACACCACGAATATTCGAAATAAATTGGATATATAATTCGTAACAAATTGGAAACTCATCAACGGCCGCTGGTTTATGGCCTGGTTTCATTTTTTGTTCAATTTTTCTGTTGGGCCTAAATGGTCGATTTCGAACACGTTGCTTTTTTGATCTGAAACATAGTTCATATTAAATATCTAATTTCAAATGAATTAGGAATTTAAATTATACGAGTTAGATGGAATATATGAAACTGAAATATATACATAATCATGAACTTAACTTGATTCATCAAAGTATCTGCCATTCGGCCTGCCTTTTTTGGAAATGATTTTAAAAACATATCTCACCTCCCGCTCTTCTTTTTCTCTTATCTTTTATTTCTATATATTCAGTAATATTATAACAATGTCGAATTTACAATATGCAAGAATAGAAAATTATCACCCTTCGCTGGTTTCTGGTCTGTGCCATTCTTCCATTGGGTTTATGGATCGATTCATAGCACGGTTCTTCGATCTAAAACATATAAAAAGTTGGAATTCAATCTCGAATTTTGGATTAATTGATAATCAAAATTATGAAACTTTCATGGAATAAGAAACTGAAATATATATGGAAACTTTTTCAAATTCCGTTGCTGAAACGCGACATATTCTTCTTTCACTCAAGAAATGAACGGAACAGATAGCCAACAATTTTCTCCTGAATGAGAAACACTGTATATACCTAACCCATCAGGCGCCTACCCCGGTTGCAACGAGGGTTTACCGACGCCAAGGGTTGATACTCTCCCCTCGTAAGGGTACCTGTCGTGTCTCCATTGAGACATAAAAAGGTGACTATCGAAAAATATTCTATGATATATCGCCTTCCATAACGAATATAAAATTTGGAAGAAATATTCGAAATAAATTGATTAATTATAATTCGTAAATTGGAATGAAAAACTTATCACCGGTTCGCTGACGGGAGGTCGTTATGTGTCCTTCTCTCTTCCGCGATAAACCAGGGGATATTCAATTCTCGGAGCTTCATAGAATAATTCGTATAATAACTCTCTTATCTTGCGAAAACGTTATTCATTCAAACGCAAGGTACAACACTCTAACAAAACTAGTTCGACTATAGAACTTATAACCACCAATAGTTTTAAAAAATCCAACATCTACTCTCCCTATTCTCCCTAATGTTCCACGAACATTATAGGAATTTCCTTTCGTGCGCTCCAATGTGCTTCTAACACTCACGTGTTTTGAATTTGTCTTTTCTGCGCACCGCACCATTCATTAGAGTCACGTTTTCATTGGTTCACATTTTTGTTTTTCGTTTGTTCTTAATGGTCAAGTCAAACCAATCAAAACAAACCACTCAGAAGTGTTCGAGTTATTGCCGGCAGGTAGAGCGCCTTGTTACGGTTATTTTCTATTTTTCTATCCTCTTTAAATAATCATCAATTCTACCAACCTTGATTTCTATCCAATCTTTGATTCTATGAATCGTGTCAGCATCAGTCATTAGTCAATGTCACTTGTCATAAAATTGTCATGTCAAAATTAGAATGGAAGATGGAAGATGAACTTAAAAAATTGAGGGTTTTGGAGAGAGGAACAACTTTATTTATTTATAATTATAATTTCAAATGATGTGCTTGTTCGAAAATGGGGGACTGAGAAGCATATTACATTTCACAATTTGAAATAAATCGATTTCAAGCCTACAGCTCAAAATGACTATAATCGTGTTTTTAATAGATACATCAGCTTCTATGTTACAGAGGTATTCGAATATTTTCAAAGATGTTCCATCTATAAACTATTAAAAATTTTGAAGATATCTAATTTAACATCCTAAGAAAGGTACCTTAAGAATTGTTCTCCGTGGTCTTCATTAATAGTTCATTCTTTAGATCATACATTCCTGTATGATCTTGAAGAGTTCCATCTATAAATTCTTCAGGTTTAAGCTACTTCAAACTAGTCTGGAATTTTTTAAGGCTATTCTTGTTGAATTAACTCACCATATTGTTTTTTACAGAACCTATATAGGTGGTCGAACAACTCTCCTTGATGTTGCAAAATCTGCTGTGGAGACATTTGTTAAAATTCGACAAAGGAGTATAGACAGTCGCATTGATAGATATATGTTGTTGACCTTTGAGGACTCCCCAAATAATATCAAAGCAGGTAATATAGTTGATATTATGAAAATAAAATAAATGCACCATCTCAATATTATCATTTTGTGTGCTATTAGGTTGGAAAGAGAATTTAGCAACATTCATGAATGAACTGAAGAACTTGCAGTCTTATTCATTGACCACCATGGGGATAGCTGTTAAACAGGCCTTTGACATATTGAACATTAATAGAATGACATCTGGTATAGATACATATGGACAAGGCAGATGCCCATTTTTTCTTGAAACTGCTGTTATTGTGTTGATTACTGATGGTGGCAAAATGACAACAGGTGAATTTTATATCTATTGAAAATGTCTGAATTTCCTGGAGTTTTGAATTTTCATTGGAAGAGCAGAGGGAACAACACTGATATGAAATTTACCTTTAAGAAATCAAAAATTCCTTGTACTCTGATGCCTTCATAGAGTCTCAGATGTCTTCTCATAGAATCTCAGATGCATTAATATCTGTCAAACTAAAATTGAAGGGAAATTGAATATAATTTCTATCTCCTTCACAGGTAGTGATTCAAAGTTTGTTCTAAAAAAATTTAATTGAGATTTCAGTCAAATCCAACTAGACATTCTGGAGGTGCCATCATAAATTTACAAATTTGACTAATATTTACCTGGAATATTTCACTTTCAGCCAAATCTGATTAGAAATGCCAAACTCATCCTCCATCTTAAATTTCAAGGATTTGACTTCAGTTAAATATCAAATCAATCAAATTGGACTAGAAAATATCAATTCCATATCCAATTTTATACTTGTAATTTATATTCTTCAACCCCAATATCCCCACATTTTCAGTCAAATTGGCGAAAATCTCTTGTCATCCAGTAGGCTCCAACTTGAAGAAACCATAATGATAACAATAATGAAAATAAGTATTTTTGAGAATCCAGTAGATTTGTCTTATAAATAGTTGAATCAAAATGTACTGGCTTTTGTGTGTTTGTCTAGATCATGTCTACATTTTGCTGGACATTTTGTGACTGGTTGGCTCCCACTTTCATCATTTTATATTTTAAAAATTTTCACAGTTAATGGAGTGCAAGAAGAATTCAATTTGCCCATGAATTCCCCAATACCAGGTTCAGAAATGACCAGAGAGCCTTTTCGATGGGACCAAAGATTATTTTCCTTAGTACTTAGACTGACAGGTAGGTTCAAATGCATCTCCTAGACAGATTCCTCCAATCCTTCCGAAATTTTCATAGGTACACCAGCTGTAGAAAGAGACACAGGTTTGGTACCTAGTGACAGCAGTCCCATTGATGCAATGTGTGAGGTTACAGGGGGCAGATCATACTGTATAACATCCCACCGTATGTTGAACCAGTGTATTGATAGCTTGGTTCAAAAAGTAATATATTTATAGCAAAATTCCAGTAATAGATTTCTAATATATTCTTGTTATTGCATAGGTTCAAAATGGTGTAGTTATCAATTTTGAAAAGATTGGTCCTGATCCACCTCCCCCTCAGTATGATAAGGATGAGTGCAAAGATGAATCTAACAAAGAAGGAGAGTTTGCTGATGATCGAGGAGCAAATAATTTGCCTACCAATACATTATGGCAGAATTGCCGTAAAATGATCTATGTACCTAAAGCTAGTAAAGCATATTGCATTGGTAAGAAAATGGATAAATATAAAGGTCACAGTAATATACTAAAATAGTCATTTCACTATTCATTTTGGAGTCTGACTCTTTAACAAAATATCACTTGTAACAATAGCAACAGTTTGGAATTGCCCTTACCTACAAAAAATCTTATAAAAGAGAAATTATAATGGTGGAATGATGTTCAATCATTTACCAGTCGATATAATGACGGCCAATTTCAATTCTGACCAATTCATGAAGGCAGTCCAAATTTTTGTGTATGAGAGACCCTATTATAGTTTGCAGGAATATTTGACATACTCATTTAAGAGTGTAACACTATTGAGCTGCATCTTGTTTAGGTTTAAGATATTTTGACCTGGATTTTAACTGTACTGTTTATTTTATTGTGTTTTACATTTAATTTCTATCAACAAGATTCTTCAGCAAGGTTTAATCTTCTGACAATAAAGCATACTTATTATTGATATTATCAAAGTGAAAACTTTTTTAGGAGCGTTCAGCACTTTTTGGGGTGGAAAAATAACATTGGATTTCACGTCATCTTCACGTCACTGTTATGCTTTCACGCCAAAACTACTCAACTATAAAAATGAAAATGGCGGATCAATATGGCGGACGAGTATTGTAATTATGACCCGACTCTATTCAAAATTGGTACCTGGGGTTTTTCGGGGTCGGAGATTATGATTCTTTTGACAAAATTTGAAAATTCAAGAGGGCGGAACTAATATAATATTCTGGACAAGTTTTGTAATTATCAAAATTTGTATCTGGGGTTTTCGGGATCGAAAATTATAATTTTTCCGTCAAAATTAGTAAATTTAAGATGACGGATTCAATAATATAGCACCCGAGTTTTGTAATTATGATCCAATACAATTCCAAATTTGTATCTGAGGATTTTCGGGGCTTAGGATTATGATTCCATCATCAAAATTAGAAAAATCAAAATTGCAGATCCAATGTGAGGAACGAGTTTTCTAATTATTATGATCTGATTCTATTAAAAATTTGTATATAGGGGTCATTCGTCAAAATTGGGCGATTCAAGCGAACTAAAATGGAGTAAAAAATTAAGTATCTAATAGCTCAACGTTACAATTCACAAGTTCCTTAGTTTTCACTTTTATCGGCAGTACCCAAAGACTTCCCCCGCACTTTTTATTGTTATATTTTCAATTCTTGTAGGATATTGGCCTATTCCAGAATCATTTTGGCCTGAAAGCACAGTTTCCGTCTTGCCACCGAGATCTGCGCACCCGAATATAAAATTTGCTTGTACTAATGCTGAACCGTTGGTAATTGAAAATCTTCCTTTTGATAAATATGAGCTGGAACCGTCGCCTCTTACACAATTTATTCTCTCCCGTAAACAACCTAAAACATGCTGGCAAGTGAGTGTAATCCAATTTAATGATTTATTGATCAGGATGAAGAAAAAAAAACGCTTATGAAAATTGTTATATGTTAATATTATTCATGTATTGCAGGTATTTGTTTCGAATAGTTATAAAAACTCAGAAGTTGGTCATCCTTTTGGTTATCTTAAAGCAAGTACAAATTTAACTTGTGTTAACCTTTTTGTAATGCCTTATAACTATCCCGTACTTTTACCGTTATTAGATGAGTTGTTCAAGGTAAGCACTTTCAGAAATAAAGAAATGGGTTTCGTTTCCTTTCAACTTTTAAATAGCAAAAATTACTAACATATTTATACAGCATGGCACGCGGGAGACCCATTAATTTTGAAATGTTATTACTCCCTTCTCAACAGTCCTAGAATGTTGAAAGTTGGGTAATTCGAAAGACTAGTATGGGTATGTTTCAATTGTCATAATGGAGTACTTTGTTCAAGAACGTGTTTTTGGGTGGCATTGAAATAAGTGCAAATATTTCAAACCCTGAGAAAGCTCGACGTATACTATCGAATGGCACTGAAATTTTGGACATGCCTCGTTTGATCCAATTTTCGATTCGCCCAATTTTTGTTTCACCTAGTTTTCGTTTCACCCAATTTTCGATTCACACACCGTCTCCGAACATACCCGAAAGATGCGTTGTTGTCAAATAATTCCACATTTCCTCGGATTCAATGAAACGGGAATTATCAACTATCATTTCACATTCTTATATGTCGTTGGGCCAACATTTCGTTTCACCCAATTTTCGATTCGCCTACTTCTCGGTTCACTCAATTCTCGATTCGGCCGAGTTAAGTAGGTTAGGTTAGGTTAGGTAGTTTGCAAAAGACAGTCTCCTTCCTTATGCAGAAAATGATATTTTCCTTCCTTATATTACGTCGAAATTCGGGTCGATCGAAAATTGGGTGAATCGAAAATTGGGCAAATTGAAATATGTAGCATACATACATATTATGTGTATCAAAAATTGAAATATTTAATAACGATAAGCCCAGAATGATTCTTCATTCAAATTTGGTAAAAACGCATCTTTCGGGTATATTCGGAGATGGTGGGCGAATCGAAAATTGGGTGAATCGAATATTGGGCCGAACGCAACCTACCAGAAATTTGGGGTTAGACCGTTACCACCGATACAACAAGGCCTGCATGCTCCGTGGGTGACGTCACTTAGTGAGGCCTAACCAGCGGCTCGAAACGACAAGCGCTTATAGCGCTATAAGGCGACCGCGTATTTCGCTTTTAGTTTTAGATCATCATTGAGCCGAAAATGTGAACAAACCACTATTTATTGAGATATTTCAAGAAAAAGTTCGAAATTTCGCCTTCTTTCTCCCCTTGTGTTGGGGGCATTTGAAGCTACTTGCTCTTATTTTGTCATTGGACACTTTATATACTCATGATGTACTTCGATGGCACATTTTTATATAGAAAATTCAACATGATTTTTATGGCGAGTTTTTCATGTTGAGTGAACAAGCATTCCAGATGACCATTTAATCAATAGTCAATCAAAATACGAGATGTCAAATGTCAATAGATTGCTTTCGAATGACATTACACACGCCATTATTTTGATGGATATTCTTCCTTCTTTTTACTGAATATGGATTAATCTCAAGAAAATCATATTTATAGTTGAATTATATATAAATTGTCCAATATGATGAAAAAAGAAGGGAAATTTGTTCTAAATGCCATCCAGAAGACAGGTGAAAAAGAAGGTGAAATTTGGAACTTTTTAGTCATATATCTTCATGATGAATATCATGATAAATGCAGTTTTACCTTTTCAAGTAGAGTGTTTGTAGTTCATGTTAATATGATAGTTGCAATTTGATCATTGGAATGAATTCTGCATTCATTGCCACGAGACAAATGACCGTTTTCAGAAAGAAATTTGAGAATGAGAATTAAAAATGCCCGTTTATTATGAACATTCAAGAAAATTTCCTCGAATTTAGAGATGATTTTGTTGACTATAATATACGAATACAAAACTAACTGCACAATCAAAGCTTTTCTATTTTTCCTCTACTTATACTTTTTATGAGAGAGTAATTGTCTTCTATTATTAATTCATCATTATAAATTAAGCTCTGTTTAAAATCCTCGCGGTGAATTGCATATACCCACATTTTCGATAGCTCCTCGTCCAACGGGAAACTAAAAGCATGAACTTTTGAACCACCCACATAATTCCCCCGACAAAAGAGAACACAACACTTGAAAGGCATTGTTAATTCGCCGATCACAACACAAACTATTTCACAAAACAGTAATTTTTCCGCCAATTATTTTGATGAATAAACAACAAAAGAATTCGGGACCCCTTTCTTCAGCCAAAGTTCTACACTGTAGCAATTCTGATATCACCGTTGTTCACATTTCGAAAGGCACGATCACTCGGAGTTCAATCATTTGAATTGTTTTAAAGTGGTGTGGTTGATTTTCTTCCCGTTTTTTGTTAAATTTTCAGGATAACATTTCTCGTTAATTGAAAGAATTAGAAAAAAATCTGATATCATGGGAATATTTGTAAGACTGTATCAAATTGATGGGCTGAATATGTGCACTTATTTTAAAACCACCTCGTACCGCTCTCCGCGAGCCATTCTGTATTATTCGATATCATGTATCTATTTTGGTATTCAATGAGGTATAAGACAAAAGCCTTGTTGTTATCAAAATCAATAATTTTTCAGGTCCACAGGTGGAAACCGACTAACGATTGGCGGACTCAGTTTCAAAATTATACTAGAACCTTGCCAGCTTATTATGCCGGCCCATTGCGTAGAGCACTCACTAGAATGGGTAAAAGATATTTTTATATAGATATTTTCTATTTTTCTGACACCCAAGTTGTTCCAGGTACCCCTGTTGCATTAGCGCAAACATTGATTCCAGAAAGTTCTTCTGAGAATGGCTTGAATTTATCAGTTTCGAATTACTTGAAGAGATTGAAAAATCAAGCTAAAGTGGAATATGATAAAATGTGTAGTGAAATTATTCAAAGACAGACCAATGTAAGTTTCCATTTCATTTTTTTTGGGTCTTGGACAAGTATATCGTCTGATTAACTTTTTTAGGTGAATGCATTAAAAAATAATTACAACAGTCCAGAGCAATTCAGAGTTCTACCTAAAGTGTGCTTGAAAAAGGAATTGATAAGTCATCCACTTTTGGTGGACAAATTCATTGCTCAGAAAGAACAAATTGTGGAACAAGGCAATACGTGGACTTGTACTCTAGACAAAGAAAGGCAGACTGTCAGTTTCAAGAACCCATTTGATATTCCAAGGAGTAGGCTGGTACACCAAGTAAGTAATGAAAGAATAGTATCAAAAACAATAAAATGAATACATAAATTGAAATTCTCGCTTTAAAGTGAGACACGCGCACTGTAGCATAGGATTAATAAATGATTATGGTTGATGAAGTCTTCATTATCAATTGCAAAAGCTACTGTTATGAGGAGCAAATCAAAAACTCACTTCGCCAACAGGAGCGTATATGCGAAGTACCTGAACGAAAAATACTCCTAAACATTCTCCCTCGCCACGAAAGATTGCCAACAGTCCACGTGGACTGCCTACCAGCTGTCAACATTTGAAGGAGCAAATCAAGACGAAGTGCAAGCAAGCTCAAGCCAATGAGCGTGCTTTAAGTAGAAGACTCATAAAAAACGAGTTGAAAAGGGATCTGAGTATTGGGTGTGCGTTTGGTTCTGTTGTTTTTTATTGGAAAATATGGCATTTTTTCGGCCATGGGAGAATGAAATTGCACAAACTGAACAAGTTATTTCAAATATATTAGATAGCTTTAAAAGGAAAATATTCAGTGATCTGATGATGCAATCATAGTAAGAATTGTAAATGGAAGCATATTATTAGTTATCTACGCCAATGCTGCTCAAAGGATACCGCGTCAAGACTGTGAAACTTGTTTATTTTGCTTCTGCAATTGAGCTCTTTTCTACCTTGAATGAGAGAGAAAAAAGTTCTCTCCTCTTCCATCTTTCTCTTCAGTGCTACCAACGTGGCCGCATTGAAATATATAGAGATCCGATAAATATTTCCTTGTCTAACGTCTACTCTACGCCACTGAACTATTTTCGATGTTATAATGATGTGACATGTCTATGTCACAAATGTCATAGACTGATAACCTTTCGAATTTTTCAAATGAAATTTTGAATTATATCATACTTATTTTGACATTATTTGTTAGCATCGTTAAATATGACTCTTTGCTGAATTCAAAAATAATTCAGTGGCACAAACTAGATGTTAGACAAGGACAGATTTATAGGCTACGTTGGTATCACTGAAGAGAAAGATGGAAGAGGAGAAAACTTTCCATTCTCTCGTTCAAGATATAAAAGACCTCAATTGAAACTGGATAAACTTTATCCATAATTGCCAAATCCAGAAACGCAGACATGGCAGTACGATACCTACAAGAACAAATAGACACACTAGAAACCTGGTTTAACAACTGGAAAATAGAAATCAACGCAGAGAAAAGCCAAGCTGTTCTCTTCACTAGATGACGTACCAAACCCACAGGACACGTACTACTAAACGACACACAGATACCATGGGCAGATGAGGCAAAATATCTAGGGGTAACCCTAGATAACAAACTTACTTTCAGACAACACATCACAACACGACTAAACTTGGGTAAAGCCGCAAGGCAAAACCTACAGCCTCTAATAGGTCGCAGAAGCAACATGGCTCTAGAGTGGAAGCTGCGCCTAATAAGAACCATTCTACTTCCAATAATTTTGTATGCATCAAGTGCATGGGGCAAATGCGCAGAGACATGCAAAAAGCGAATACAGGCATTCCTAAATGTCTCGATAAGAATGGCAGTAAATGCCCCATGGTATATCCTAAATAGATTTATCTATAGGGACCTGAACATGAACCCAGACTACATAGACAACTACATAAGACAACACGCGGAGACTACATTCGGAAGAACAGAAACCCACGAAAACCCACTACTGCACGACCTGACAAATAGACAACTAAATCAAGACCCGCGCTTCGGAAGAATGAAGTACAGGCGCCCAATTCACCAAATATAAGATAAACAAACGAAAGTAAATCAATATCAATAAAAGTTGCATAATAATCATAAGATAATTAAACGGAAGAGTATCTCCTTTGATACTCTATAAAAATGTAAACCAATATACATAAACTCAGATTTGCTTTCCATTAGGGTAGGGAACCACCACGCAAAGTCAGGCTAGGAAACACACATTAGACAAAAAGGTCTAAAAGTCGGAAGACTGAAACCAAGTAAGGAGTTAGAAAACATATGCAGATTGCCAAATGCATAGGGTTGAAGTCCACTCGTTAGTGATGGACATGGGGATGAGGAGCTATCATATAACGTAAGCTAGTTATATGGCGGCACTTGATCCTGGGCATTCAACCTTTCGGGGGGCGTGGTGTGTGTGTGGATAGACTTTAACACACTACGAACATATTCCAACAGGTCGTCCGAATGCGCAACAACTTTCTGCAACCCGAATGGATCTCTCTCGACCAGGACAGCGCCCACTCTCTGCCCATCTGTCAGATGGGCAACTACCAAGAGTACCTCAAGAAACAAACGCCGCAGCTGCGCGAGATAGAGTCCGCCCCCGTCAGGTAAATTTAGGTTAGGTTAGGTTACGTTACGTCACATGCCAAACTGTGATTGTAAGGACTTGGCAAATTTTCATGTTTTATAATAAATGAACATACAGGGTATATTTTCATGAGTTAACGCGATCTATACAGGGTGTCCTGTGACTCAATGGCCATAGCTTAAGGGCATATTCCTTCAACAATTTTAAGTTTATTGTTTATTGAAAAACTAGCTTCCAGTCAGAAATAAAATTCTGGTATGAGGAAGTTGATTACAAACAGTTCTTTGGCCACTGAGGTCACCTGACCACTATTATCTTTGGAGACCTATGAGCACTCTAGTGTATCAAAAATAAACCACAAACCAGTGATGAGCTAGCTCAAAATGTTATGACTACAGCTTCAGAGAGCAAGGTTTTCAATAATTGAACGAGTCAGAATGTGATTTGGATTTTGGAAGCAGCAGGGGACATTTTGAATAAAAACCTCAATTAAATTTGTGTAAGATGGTGTAAGTAATACAAAAAATTCTCAATAGGTAAATTTCACCTCACTTTATTCAAAATTTTCTTCACTTCATTACACCCTATGTTGAATTTTATATTGCTCATTACTCCCAATTCACTGGTTATTCATAGTTTTCCTAGAAAATTTTCAGTTCAGAAAAATTAAATTTTGTCTCACTTCTCATAGAAGCACCGCCGTATCTCACATAATTATTGAGGTGCAGGAGGAAGGGAAAGTCCAAAGATAAAGTCAATTACGTAAAAAATGCGACAAAATTTAATTTTTCAGAACTGAACATTTTCCAGGAAGAATATGAATGGTTAGTGAATTGGGCGTCCTGATTCCGAATCTGAAGTGATTATTGACCTATTTTGACTCCTAATATCATTTTCCGGAAATTGGGGTGGTTCCAAGAGAAATCTTAAAAAAATTCTTTTGGATGGGTGCTTCTATTCGAAATATGAATTTGTGGACTATTTGACAAATATTGATATGACTTGATATTGATGATATTTATGATTAGTTTTTATGACTTGTACAAATTAGTTATGTTATGTCCTCAACTCCTGATGTATGTATATGTATACGTTCTATTCATCTTATTTATTATTATTTGTTTGTTACTCATTATTATGAGTATGTTAGTATATAATTTTTTGACGAAATCAATCTACTGCATAATAGCTTGTAACGAATATGAGTTTGCACAATGAAGTTCAGTACAGAGAACACTACCAATGAGTATATCTATATTCTTCCTAAATTTGACAATCTAAAATAGAGATAGCCTTAAAATGATGCTGACTACAATAACATAGAATGAGTAACTTACCTAACACCAGGTCCAATTGCGTTAGGCAGATAGTATCGTATGAATCTGTATATCAATCACACCACTAGGCTGTTAAATATATCTTATGAAAGAGAATAGAATTTTTGAAAACAATTTCATGCAGCCGAAATAACGTCTACCATAACAACAATCTGGAAATCTGGACAGGATGTTACTTTATTCTATTGATAGACCGTATGTTCTAGTATTCTGCTACAAGCTTATGGAGTAATAAAAATGATGATGATGAAATGAAATGAACATATACATTTCGTCTCACCAACGTTTTATGGTAGACTTCGCCTTCCCAAAATGTCCCGACTATAGTTGGATTCTCCAGGTTTCCCTCTTGTCCCCATAACAACATTATTTTGCCTATATCCTCTCTTTCTCTCTCTCAGGCAGCACATGTTCGGCAACCCGTTCAAGATCGACAAGCGCATGATGGTGGACGAGGCCGACATCGACCTGGTGGGTTCGCCCACGGGGGGCGGCCGGGGCAGCAAGCGCGCCTATCCGACCGTCGATTGGTCGGCGCCGCTCCCCTCGAAGAGGAAGCCGGGGCCGCTGCCGCGCGGGTACCGCTTCCAGAGGCCGGCGGTGCAAGCGGCGGCGGCGGCGGAGGAGGACGCAAGTGTGCCGGTTCCGCCGCTGCCGTCGCCAATACCTTGGTAAGGTGTTTCGGTAATCTTGCACTAATCGTCAGATGGTTTTTTTTTTATTATACCACCCATTTGAAAATACACGTTTTTGATTGGTTGAAAGATCTGTGCTGATAATAATCGAAATCATGATGTTCTCGTTTTTGTGTTTCGGTTGTAGATTGGCTGCTAGACACCTAAATATGCTGTTTTCGATTTTGTATTTCGCTTCCGCATTGTTAGTTTGATCGGTAAAGCTGCATTTATCATTTCGAATTTTTTTTTGTATTTACGTATTTTTGTCTGAAAAATGATACTAATAAGGGCTAGGAGTTGGTAGAACTGATGAGTATACTTCTTCTTTTTGTATCATTTGGCCTCTTCCTATGATATCTTCTTCTCCGTCAATGTAAGAAATGGTCATAAAGTTCCACATTGAGAGTAAAAAAACCCAAGTCTGCTCCAATATTTCCATAACTTGAGGTTTTCTATTTGTTCAAATATTGTACACATAATTTTTTCCGAATATTTTTTACTATTCCACTCTTGCTCTACCAATACAAAAGCCGAATTGACCCACACGACCAACTAACCTCGTTTATCAGCGATAAAATTTTGACGTCGTGTCTGGTCAAGATTGCTTTGGATTCAAATCTGAGACAATAACCTAAGTTCCTACTTTATTTTCTTCACTTATAATTCGCGTTAGTGAGATATTTTGTATGAAAAGCGAGACAATTTTATTCTGGCTGGACGTTTCATGTGTAATTTAAAAAGTTTGCATATTTGTTGACGGTCTGACACAACAATAATAGAATTCAAATTCCTTTTTGAAGTAATCTTCTTCAATTACTCAAGTTATTGTTATTGACTCATATAATTACTAGTTGATGTAGCGCAACTGTTAGGGTTGTTGTGCGAGGATACGAAGGTCGATGGTTCGAGCCCTCGGCGACGATATCTTTTTTTTTTAATTATTCCAGTCACATAAATTCAATTTATCTTGTTTGAATTGGATGGTAACTGTATACACTCTTTTGAGAGCAATCATCTCCAAGATAATGAAAAAAATATTGTTTATCAAAATTGTACATTCCACTTTGTGAATAACTATAAGTAGGTAGTTAATTTCTAAAAAAGTAAACTCTGTATTTCATTACTATCATTACGTTCTTCTTTGCAGTTCGAGTTGGAATATACTCAAATTATGTTTCCTATTTCTTATATATTGTCTCATTCAATCATGAAATAGTCATACGAATACAACTCATTTTTCCTGGAAATATTGGTCGATTGACATACTCCAGCTTGCTGCTCTAATTTCGCTCATGACATTGATCTAAAACTACTCGCCTACGGCTCGTAGCTTTGATAACAATGTCATTCACGAAATTACTAGGCAACAAGCTGTCGTAACAATCACCGAATATTTCCGGCAAAATATTATCACTTGTGGTATTATATATGATAAAACAGGCCACAGCCTTTAGCATAGACTACAGAAGATAAACTAGAATTCAGTAATCTTTGCCTTTAGCTATCCAGCAAAATTTCGAGATTTTTCACTTTGAATTGACCCCACGTTTTAATAACACCGACGGGTGACACTGAAAACGTTAGCCCTTATCATCTACAACAATGAACAACGATGTGATTCATTCCGGATTGGGCCCGAAAACGGCAACTTTCTCATGTACTGGCCTCAACTCATGTAATGTTTTCAGTGTATTCGTTTCTGTTCAGGTTGAATTCTCTGGAAAAAGAGCTGCCCCACTTCGACGAGCCGCCCGTCCTGATCAACGGCCTCGAGAGCCCTTCAGCCAGCCCTGCCTCCAGCCCCTCGGCCAGCGAACGGTCAAGATCCCCATCGCCCACGCACCTAACCGATCCGCCATCCTACAGTCTCAGCGAGGTGAATATGATGTTCTTTGATGTGCCATTTTATGACATATTGGATCTTTCTTTTATTTTATTCAGACCAGGGAGAGTCCCTCTTATCCTGATATCTATTATGGAACAAAATAAAAACGGTATTGAAGTTTGATGCGAACAGCCCTTCTGCCCCAAATAAGTTTCATTCATTCTAAGAATTGAAAGAGATCGAACGGAAAAAATAAATATCAAAAACTTGAGAATAGTAAATTTGGTCATAATGTCGATATTTTCTCTAGTTTATGGACAATCTCGGTCTTTTGAACTTTGATTGATCACCTGGGTCATAATCAACTGCATTTCGAAGAAGCTGATTCTCATGAACCTCAGCTTTTTCGAAAGTCTTGATGTTTCGTTCTTTAATGACTGACACGATTGAAGGAAGTTTCAGATCCCTGGCGATCTGGTTATTCCGAACATACCAAGGAGATCCTGTCACCATTCTCGCGATTTTGTTTTGTAATGTTTGTAATCTGGTGATATGAGATTTAGCTGTGTGGCCCCAGACTACTGAGGCATACAGTAAAATTGGCCTGATAGCCATGATATAAATATTCAATTTTTGTCTCAAACCCAATTTACTTCGCCTGTTTAGAAATGGATACAGGGCTCCAATGGCTCGTTTAGCTTTAGAAACTTGCTGTTCAATGTGCTGGGCCCAGGTGAGCTTTTTGTCAATGCACACACCTAAGTATTTAACTTGTGAAGACCACTCTAACTCATGACCATCCAGGACTATTCTGGTTCTGGGAGGCCTCCGCTCCCTTCCAAGTGCGACCAATTGTGTTTTTGTAGGATTCAATTTGATCTTCCTTTTTTTGACATATTTTTGTTTTGAATCTTAATGGGGAACTTTCCTTCAAATTAATTTAATTCAATGAATGATCAGTTAGTGTATAATTTCGAAATTCAATTGTTTTAGTAATAGTTAATTAGTATTGAAGAGGAATATTCTCAGATATAATTATTATTCCCATAAAATACTTGAAATGTATTTACTTTTGCCTCATTTATTCAAATTTGCAATATTTAATTTCTATTTGGGGCAGTACAAATATTTCACGTCTGATACCACTAATGAAATTACAAAACAAATCAATTAAGTGCATTTTTCATCTACATTTTCTAGAACCAACGATAAATTTATACAAACCAAGACATTTTCTGAACCTGATTTCGTTATATAAACTTAAAATATGTTGCTTCATTCATTTTGCCAGGAATAAATCGAAAATATCAAATTTAGCTTTCAATGAAGTCAATACAGTCCATAATTATGGGACTAGACAATTGAATTACTTGATAGCAAATACATTCAAGTCAAACATTGGCAAACAATCTGTTTTTCACAATGGAATAATTTTATACAATTCATTACCGAATGAGTTGAAAAATATACATGATGCAAGAAGGTTTAAAATCAATCTTAAAAAATACTTGCTCAGGACAATTTGAATGAAAAATATGTGGCATGATTTGATTACTTAGGAATGAAATATAACTTTAATCTTATAAGCCACAATATTAATTCGTTTCCACTGAGTGGAATTCATTATAGTTAACCCTTTATTATTTTTTTATATGTATTTATGTATCCCTATCATAAACAGAAATGTTTCTTGGGGTAATAAAGACAATCAATCAATCAATCAATCAATCAAAAAAGATATACAGTGTGTCCCACTTACCATGCTCACCATGGGTATCTTTTTAACGGTGAGAGATACGAGGTCTGTAAAATGACACCAAATGTGGAGCTTGTCAAGGCCAACTATAATGTGAAAAAATATTTTGATGAAATCTATTCGTTTTTGTTTTATATGCATAAAACAGATTTTGATCATTTTCATGTCTCCTCCGTAACTTCTTTATTTATGAAAATATTCAAATAGGAATTTCACATTCTCATGGCAGTTTTTCAAAGTAATTTCGAAAAAAATATGAAATTTATACCAACTCTTCTAGAATTTGAGATATCAGCACCAACTTTAGATTTTCAGATGTAGGATATAGCTCACTATGACTTAGTTACGAATAACTTTTTTTTTCTCACAGATGATATGTCGCAGTAATAGTTTTGTGTTGATAACAACGGAGTTATCGTCATTTATACAAAAACAAAACATTATTTGGGAGCCGCCATCTTGAATTTATCAATTTTAACTAAAAAATCATGATCTCCGACCTCTAACCTTACTTACCAATTTTGAACCGAATCGGACCAAATCTTGTCCGCCATCTTGGAGCAGCCATTTTTTTTTTTAATTTCAACAAAAATTCCATAACTCCGATTACCTTGAAATTTGGCAGGTGTTCATAATTTCGGTGACAATACATTATGGAATTTTTGTTTTTTCATATGAAAAATTCATCCAATCCGTTTAAAATTTTATGTTCTAGTGATTTTGGAGCGTTTTTGAGATTTTTATATTTATACATTATATATCATTTCGAGCCGAAAAACATAGGAATTTAATGAGCTGATGAAATACATAGTGTTTCATTGAAAAAATTATAAATTTGAGTCGTATCTCCAAAACCATACCCCGAAAAAATAATTGAGTGCGTCACTGGATTCTAAAGGATTCGCTGAGAAACTTCATAGATAGGTCGCGTGCACGAAGACCGACCCTGGAGGCAAAATATTGAAACACAACCTCATTCTTCTGTGAATTATTGAAACACAACCTCACTCTTTTATTTGGTTACAGAGGAATCAAAAGGTTGAAATAGTTTTTCACAATATTTTGGCATACGAATCGTGTTTCTTGCGTAATTCATTAATTCAAGCATGCCTTCGCATTGTGCTGTTGTACGATGCACAAAAAATGCAGCAAGAGACTAAGGAATATGATTTTTCAGGTAAATAGTAATCTCACATAGTTAGCATTATGAAATGTTGTCATTCCTTAGTAAAATTCCTTCTGCCTTCTGCCACTTCTGCAATACAAGCTAATGCTGCTAATAGATTGAAAATGTCTACAACACACACGATCGTCAGCATGTCAGACCAGTCCTACCGATTGATTGCATGAATCCAATCTTCTTGCATTATTCTAGAAATTTCAGGTATATTTCTATTAGCTGATCCTATTGCAGAAGGAATTCCGATGAGAAATCAGAGAAATAACCAAATTTCAAAAATGAAAACTATGTGAGTGACTATAATAGGTACTTACTTTTGAATCATAATGTACCATCCGGATTTCTTCATCTTCCGCTGCAGTTTTTGTGCATTTTACACAGCACAATGTGATGGCATTAGCGAATTGATGAGTAGCGGAAAAATACGATTCATATGCCAAAATAATTGTGGAAAACTATTTCCATCACTTGTAAACAAATAGGTTTTGCCTCCAGGGTCGGTCATCTGACAGTTCTTGCACGCGACCTATATAGAGGGGGTCCAAAAAATATAAATTTTCGAAATCGCCCTGTATCTCAAAATCGGAAACAGTTATGCAAAACCTAATTAGGCCATCTTGAGTTTCACAAAAAAAGTGGAATAGGACTGCGAAAACCACAAGGTTCTATCTCCAAAGATAACTGAGATATCACGCAAAAGCATCGAAAACTGGACACATTGTACCAGGTTATTCAATAAGGGTGGCGAGGTACTGTATCTCAGAAACTAATAGTCTATAAAACACGCCCCTTTGCGAGGGCGGTAAGAACCCCAAAATGACATGTATAATTTTTTATTTCATTCGTCAAACATTCCTTTCTTGATACAGGCCTTGTTGGCAAAATTCTTAGCTCCTCAGATACAGAATCTCGTCATCCTTATTGAATCACCTGGTACAATATTCGTCACTAACAGTAGTAGTCCTAGGAATAAAAAATAGTCCACTCGCCTATCGGACAAGAATTTCATAAACTGTTGCATCACTAGGTGACCTACAATGTCCGCCCCAATCCGTCCACCGTTAGCTATGCCAGTACCATCGACACCGGCACCACGAGCACCCTGGGGGACTTCTATCCGAACATTTCGGGGACAGACGATAAGCAGATATCGCAGATACTCAAAGAGGCCAATTTGAACCATAACTCGTTCGGTGTTAGCAACGTTAGCGATGCCGTGTCAGATATAAAACCGGAGGTGAGTTCCTTTTTTTTTAATAGAGCAGTTCAGCTAGCGTAAGGAGAGAAAAAAAAGTCTTTCCTATCTGTCGTTGTCTTCTGTGTTCTGTGCTGAAACCTCTCATCCCATTTGAATCTGCAGGAATTGGATTTGTTGTTCCTAAAGATCATTTAATAGACAAAGTATTTCATTTCCTCATTTCAATTTGCCTACTGTTTGAGTGTTCTTCCAGTATTCACTATTTCGTTACTATTCATAGGGATTCCCTTTCGTGCGCTCCAAACAAAAAAAAATTGTGTAATTTGGATTATTTGAAGATAACTTGGCAACCTGTGAAGTCGTCCAGTATTGCTGGTTGCATGTGCCCAGGTTTATTCACCATCTCTGTAGTCTTATCTTTTGAATCTGGTTTTTTGTGGTTCCTCGGGATTTTGGTTGCTAGGAAGGATTTCTTTTCTCGCTGGACTATCACAGAAAATAGATGACAAAGTGACGCCATAAATGAGCCTTCAATTATAAAATACGAGATTAACATTTATTTGTTGAATAAATTTTTATTGGTGTTTGATCATTCTTGTAGGTGAGTAATAAAATGTATACAGGGTGTTTCAAAAAAACCTGACCCCCTTGCTAGGGTAGGTTAGATCACTGCAAAATAAGTTGGGTTTGCTCAGTGAAAAAATGTCTTAACGGCATCCGTTTCCATGATACAAGGTGTTGAAAAAATTACTTTTTTACACATTTTTCACGATTATGTCGAAACTACTGGAAACATTGTGATGAAATTTTGTACGGATGTTTCTTGAAATCTGACACATCGCATGAATTTGTTTTTATATCTGACTCTCATAGAGGGCACTAGTTACACGGTTCGTACCGAGTAGTTTAGAACATAACTTTTTTGAGGTTAGATTTCCCAATCCAAATATGATATGAACTTAAACCTCATTCAATTTTACACCAAAAAGGAACTCTTGGTGAAACTCGATACTATGTTCCGTTTTCGGAATATTTTGATTTGAAAATATTGGAGTAGTATTGATGCTGGTATAAAATGAATTTTATTGAGTTCAATTACCTATTTATTCAGATTCAAAAACAATAGGATCATTCTTGTGCTGAAGTTATTGATGGAACAAAGAATCATAAGTAGAAAATTGAGAGATATTTGACAAGAAACATGAAATATTGATTCAGTTATTATTATTATTATAAGTGTATAATATATTATATTGAGTATAAGTGTTCAAAATATCCTACGTTTCGACGAATACACGATTCTATATTCTTTTATTAAGAATGTATTATTCTTCTAAACAGTTGAGGATCAGGTGTTAGGTCATTTAAGTGATGTTCAATTATGTCTCACAACTCTTGACGTGAATTTACCTATGTAGCTTAAACTTTCTGCTCAAGATACAACAAAACTGTGTAATCCATGTTCTCAGTCAAATCTGTTTCGATGTTATTCTTGTGATTCATTGTTGTATCAATAAGTTTAGCATCAGAAATGTATTGCTGTTTTCGGTTTTCAATAAATAGGTGATAATTTTTCATAATACTCGCTCTATTACATAGCTTTATACCAGCAACAGTTATCACTTGATCATTTTCAAATCGAAATATTTCGAAAACGGAACACAGTATCGAGTTTTACCAAGAGTACTTTTTCGGTGTGAAATTGAATGATGTTCAAGTTCACATCAAATTTGGATTGAAAAATCTAACCTCAAAAAAGTTATGTTCAAAACTACTCGGTACGAACCGTGTAACTAGCGCCCTCTATGAAAGTCAGATATAGAAACATTGGCATGCGATGTGTCAGATTCCAAGAAACATCCATACAAAATTTCATCACAATGTTGCCAGTAGTTTCGACATATTCTCAAAAAATGTGTAAAAAAATCATTTTTTCAACACCTTGTATCTTGATAACGGATGCCGTAACGAAATTTTTTTACTGAGTAAACCCAACTTATTTTGCAGTGTTCTACCTACCCTAGAAAGGGGGTCAGGTTTTTTTGAAACACCCTGTATATGTGAGAATTGAACTGTAATTCTGGATAACTAACTGATTAATGAACGAGGAAATTGCACACGTGGATGTGAAATAATGAAATAAAATTCTCGTAGATACTTCACAACGTCTTCCAAAATTAATTTAGCTGACCTGGACCCCTGTTTCTCCGCATCTTGGTGCCCCACGTTGGGCGCCAAAATGCGGAGAAATGGGGGTCTGGGTTAGCTGAATTGGTGTTTGGTCATTCTTGTAGATACTTCACAACGTCGCCCAAAATTAATTCAGCTGACCCAGACCCTCGTTTCTCCGCAGTTCCAACGTAAAATAATGGAAATTTTATGTTGGTAACATTGGAAATGGGAAAAAATGGAGAAGCCGACCATATTAAACTCAATATAGAGAAGGTTAAAATCGACTTAATCTCCATTTCTACTCATTTCCAGGGTTGCTATCATGAAATATTCATTATTTTATGTTTCAAGGAGTTCATGAAGCATATTTTAATTGAAAATCCAGTATGACATTCATGAATTTTTTGAAATAGGGACGCTTTAGGAGTGTCGTGAATGCCTTTGTCTATGCATATTTTCTAGATTTTAATGATTATCAAACTTGAACAACATTGAATTTATTATTTTTTTAGACAGGGTATTCCATTTTGGTAACACCAAAGAATTTTAGTATGTATCTGTATTTTATATTTCGAATGTATGTTCTTCAGTGTGGTAATTTATATGAACTCGAATTTCATGACGTGTCTGTTAACTCTGTGTTTCTGAGATCATTATGATTATTCATTATTCCAAATTTTTTGGGATATTCGATCCTCGTTTCTATAAAATGAAAATATGAATATTATTCCAATATACGTGTAGTAAGGACAAATCAGATGATTTGCCCCAAAATGTCACTGTGTTTGAAGAATTTTCCCATCAGAGAGCCAAAAAAAATTCACTAGCTTGTCAGTGACAATTTATATTGAAAAAAGTTTGGAGAAGAGAAATAAAGGTATATAGAAAAAATATCAAAGTTTTACTTATCTTTGGACGTTTCGGGACCGAATCTGCTCCCGTTTTCAAAACGCTTCATGTATGAGTAGTAAATATAAGAAATCCGCAGTATCTACTAGAGTTGGTGAGCTTCTCCTTTTTTCTTTCGATTTGAATTTTGCCTTTATGGATGGTTATTATTCTAAAGTCAGTATTATGCAAGTCCATATATCTACTATTTCTATATATGGCGCACCGCCTATACGATATCTCAACAAAAATGGGACCAAAATAAGAGGTACTTTTTGAATCTATAAGGACGGAAAGCGAAGGATGGAAACAGCCATATTGGTTTGACAAGTTTCGTATTATTCTTTCCCTACGTCGGCATCAACGACTATTGGTCGGTTTCGTTACCTATAGAGAAAGAAGTTGGTCCCGCTTTGAGGAGAGCTATGCTTCATACATGAGTAGTAGATATAATATGTGCAAGTCTGAATGCACCCCTTTGGTAGAAGCACGGTAGAAGTCAGATTGGTTTTTGAAAAGTATGTCACTATTGGTTTATCACGAAGCACTGAAAAAAGTATTTGTGATTTTAAATAATGATTGCATTGATACTAACTTGGAAAGATGGTAATTTTGCACTTATCATGCGATTGGTTTTTTTTTGAAAAATTTTTTTGGTACTTACGTATTTTTGTCTGAAAAACACGAATTTGATATTGAAAATGTGAACAAACCACTATTTATCGACATATTGCAAGAAAAAGTTCGAAATTTTGCCTTATTTTCCCCCTTGTGTTGGATGCATTTATAGGTACTTGCTCTTTATATTTTGTCATTGGACACTTCATATACTCATGATGTACTTCAATGACACATTTTAAGCTAGAAAATTCAACAGGAAATATGATTTTTATGGTGAGTTTTTCCTATTTAGTGAGCAAGCATACCAGATGACCGCCATTTAATCGATGGGTAATCCAAATAGGAGATGTCAAATGTCAATAGATTGCTTTGGAATGACATCACACACGCCATTATTTCAAACGATATTCTCCCTTCTTTTCACTAAACATGGATAAGTCACAAGAAAATCATATTTCTAGTTGACTCATATAATAAAAAAAATGTGTCCAACATTGTGTGATATATATAAATTGTCCAATGATGGAAAAAGAAGGGCAAATTGTTCTAGATGCGCCCCAAAGACAGGCGGAAAAGAAGGTGAAATTTGTAACTTTATAGTGAAATATCTTAATAAATAATGGTTTGTTCACATTTTCATTATCAAATTCGTGTTTTTCAGACAAAAATACGTAAGTACCAAAACAAATTTTCGAAAAAAAATCCATCGCATGATAAGTGCAAAATTACCGGAAAGATCAATATGAAAGTACTGTGGACAACCCCATTCTAGTTTTCATTCATCCTGAGAATCGGGCAATGCGGGCTTGTTATTCCCGAAAAACATTTTTTTTATTTGTCATTTTCCGATTTTTTTATTTTTTTTTTTTTTCTACCAGAATACTATAGTTTTGATGGTCTTTTAGGTTGAAGAAGAAGAGGAAGACGAGGAGGAGAACGAGAAGAAAGTCGAGAGTGACAATTTTGAAGTGAGAATGAATTTGAACAAACTAGTGCGGAGGCCAGGAAAAAATTTCACCGAACTTTTACACTGCGTAAAAACGTTCAAGGGTGATACTGACGTGAAAGTTAGGATGGTGAAATTGATTATAAATGAATCATTGAGGTTCAAAAGGCAACAATTAGCCAGTCTATTAGAGGAGCATGTGCGGACTTTATTGAGTGTGGAGAATAAATGATGTGTTTTATTATGTTGAAATTTTTCCCAAAAAACGAGTTATTTATTATTTATGAACGAAAATTCGATGCCTAATATTTATCAGCTAATTATTGCAAAAGTTTTTTATCAGCTAATGTAATGTTTCAAGAACACATGCAAGTGATTTCAAGTATTATGACATCAGACATAATTGGGAAGCTTTAAACATGATTTCATCAAATTGTTGAACGATCAGTGGTGCAAAGGGTGTGCACGTCCTAATATATCAATTTCAATAAAAAAATCTGGAATCATATTTTTCAATCCATGAAATTTCATTAGAAGCAATCAGCAACCTTGAAAATTTTCCATATTATTTTATGAATGATTTGTATATAAAAATGTTAAAATTTGAAAGAATAAATAAGAATGGATTTCGATAAATGAAATTGGAATTTTTTGTTTCATTATCTCTTGGAATTGGATCGCCATTGTTAGGTACTACCACATGATACTAAAACCAAGAGAAGATATGATCACTTGGCGTACGCGTTTTGAACAACTTCGCGCATGACGTCACTAAGAGACAAATATTCTTGGCGGCGGTCAGTAAATCGTATCTTTTGGAGCAATTTATTCAAATCTTTGATGATTTCGTTATGTTTGGATTACGATGGACCTATTATTCGTGGGTTAGGTGTCTCAAAATTATATTTGTGATGAATCAAATATAAATGAATGAGAAATTAAACAATATTACAACGCTTTATCTCACTGAATGTCATTATTAATAAGGACACTGTTCATCATTTCATGTAAGTATGGTTCAAATAAGAAAGAGAATGATACCAACTTACTGGAAAGTATTTGTTTTTTCAAGAATTCCATTCAAAGGATCAATAATGCATCTCTGAAGTCAATTTTCATAATTTCTTTATTTAAATTCAATCCTCATAATATTTTGAATCAACAATTCAATAAGAGTAAACATATATTTATGTAAAACATGATTTTCTGGGGAAAACTCAAATAAAACAATTCAATAAACTCAAGAATATTTTTTATTTAATCACTTTGGTCAATTTACGTTTTAGAATGTTGGATGTTTCTTTGATATGTTTGTTGAGGATTCTTATTTTGAAATACGTTTTACACCTAAAAAATAGATTTTTGGCATCATCACTCAAATTATTAGTCTGGGCTGATTTAGACAAATTTTTTAGGTAGTTTTTCTAAATTTGTTCAAGAAACCATTCTCCATCAAAAAAAAGTCATGGGGCAAACTAATCTAAACTATAATATAGAAAATTTCCTGCAGGCTCTACACAATATACTTTCACTCTAAAATCTACTGCCAGTAAAACTACTAGTGTATTGAATATTTTCAAATTAGTAGGTTTATTTTTCTCAAGAGTCGATTGTTCAATATTATTTCAATCTTATTGTTTATTAGTATTTCCAAGAGCCCTATACTTCTACTCAAATCTAAATTCCAGTAGAATAGTTCAAAGTACTGAAACCCTACAATGAGCTCATACTAAAAGAATATGAATAAAAATACCCGCATTTATAAGAGTATATGATACACGTTATGTACGTTTTTTTCAAAAACCTCTCTTCATTTCTTTCATCAAGATTGTCCTGTAATTCTGTTTCAGGTTGTGGTGTTTTTGGGAGGTTGAGTGAAGGTATGGCATCAGTTTTCAATTTCCATTTATTCTTTGATAATTTCACAAGTTTGTATGCTTCTGGTAACATTTCTGAACCCATACATTGCAAATTTCTTTGGATTTTGGAAAAGTGAAGAATCGGTAACTGGTAGAGTTTTTGCTCTTTTTATTGTTGTTACTCGAACAACCCACCACAGCACAATAAATCATCGTTTTTTGAAAAAAAAAAAAAAAAATCAAACCAAACTGATCTAAACAAACCACAAACACTGCGTTCTTGTAGCGCGCCAGCCGAAATTTGTCACGTGGTGACGTATGCGGTGCGAGAGAGACAGGAAATGAATATGCGCGTGAGCACCGCGTCTATCCACCTTTGTATCATGGGTACTACCCTCATCATTACACACCTTCATTCTCTTATCCTGTACCATCTCTATTTCCAGAGTTATACAGGTTATTCAAAAATATTCAAAACTCCTTTACATTATTGTTTGTTGAAAATTCTAGAACAATTTACTCCCTAACAGCCTCTAAACAACAAACCCCTAACAGCAAAATGCAGGGAGATGAATTAGTAAAGGACGTCCTGGTATGTGTTATAATTTAAGTGTTTTTTGATGGAATAATAAATTGCCTTGTAGTAACCAAACAAAAAAAAACTTGTTCTAATTTGTATATTTGTTCCTTATTTTCATCATTACAAAATCTGTGCAAATTCTAATCCTAATCATATATTCCTAATGCAGGCTTATTGGTTAAGGTCTGCTTAGGATTATTTTTTGATTATCCTACAGTTTTGTGAAATGAATAGTTATTTATTATACAAGGGAAAAAAGTAGTAGATTTTAGCTCCAGGTTGTGTTGTCTCCCGACGCGTAGCGGAGGGAGACAACAAACCGTGAGCTAAAATCTAATATTTTTCCCGTGTATAATACACTATTTTTTTCTGTGACAGAAGGAAGGACGAATCAATATTGGGAAGATATTACATTATTTCGAAATCTGAAAATTATCGACGTGAAATTTCAAGTTTTTAACAGTAGGGACACCTGCGTTTTATATACATCTTTATCATTCTTTTGAAGTAATCAAATATCTGATGTCACTTCTGTCAGTTCAATTCTGTGATTTGATTTTGAAAATTTGCGAATTCAGTAGTTGTTTAGTAATATACGAAACCGCGAAGTCGAATGGAAGATAAAAGGACTTGCAGTTCTTTCTCGGAGACGGTATTATTGACTTATTTTTCGGAACTATAGCACAACAAAAGCCATTAACAGAGTATATATATATGTGATATATATCCGGGAAAAAAGTACTCACTTTTTTCCCAAGGGAAAAAAGTAATTTATGAAAAGTGACATTTTATAACCTGCCAACAGAGATGAAATGCCAAACTTTTTTCCCGTCACAGAAAAAATGAATTTTTTGTGGCTCTGTCGCCATACTCAATCATATACTAACATTTTCTCATAATAACTTATAAATCAATCATAAGGATTGAATGTCTTAATCAATTCAATAACAATAATAATGAAATAAAATTTGATCAAAATAGACTAAAAATATTAGAAATTAGACTTGATTTGCACTATACAATATTTACTATCTTCCATCTCATTATCTAACATACAAGGTATTTTATAACTTATGTAATCAAATCAATAAATTGAAAGAAAAAAATATGAATGAAAAAGGTTGAACATATTTTAAACAAAACTACATTAGGTAAATACTGACTCATCTTTGTTCAAAGTAACCATTTTCATAATTTTAGAGAGAAATAAATACAAGTGAAACATTAAATTCTTCCTTTTCATTGGAAAATGAAATAATTAACAAATTGAAAATATATTTTATAAGAATTCTTGATGGGTTTGAGAAAAATATTTTCAGCTCCTTTGGAAGTCACAGCGTTTTCATTATTAGACTAATCATAATTTGCTATAATTCGGGAGTTTTTCGAGCCAATGAAATATTTTTCATTTTTCTTCACCTTTTGCAGAGATGAGTTAACTTATCTCTGCCTTTTGGAAAAATAACCAAATTGTTCATGGAAATAAACTTCTGGAAGTTTAAAGTGAATCAAATTGAAATTCTTTTTGCCTAACTAAAACTTCTACAGAACATGGATTAGAGATTACTAGTGATTGATCACATTTGAGATCAGTATTAGATATTTCACATTATAAAATGTTCATGAAAATTGTTTTTTTTTTTCATTTTATCCATAACTACAAAAATTTCACATACATTCATTGTATCACTGGAACTAAATATTTCAAAATACATTCGATTTAAGCATGTAACTTTGAGGAACTATAATAATCATTAAGGTTCCTATTAAAAAAAAAATGTGTGACCAACCTGAAAATGGGACATATAAGTAAAACTTTTTTCACACAGATAAAACTTAGTGGGTGCATTTTTGAGGGGTGAAATGTCAAAAAATCATACAAGCAATTTTTCATGGAAAATTGGAATGCACCTCTGGAGTGAGCGCCACCTTGAAATAGCTTCAAGTGGAATGTATCTTAGGTTCATTTCACTAACTAACAATAGATGGGAATGAGTGTTCACACAATGAGGGGACCACACAGGACGGACATGATACCAGTAATCAGTATTGATATGTGCAAGGGAACCCAGGAAATACAGACATCTAAGACCAAAAACCACAAAAAGGATGAGACTTTACTCATGCAGGAAGACGAATTATTTGAGATAGTGTACAGCTCTGCTCAACAAAAACGGATTGTCCATAAGTTGTTCCATTTCATTTGAGCACCACTGTACTCAGGTTTTCATCCAGATATGAATATTGAATTTTTTTAGTTTCATCAAAATATTGTATAAAAAATAGTCTTCAGTTACTAGTCAGCCTTTTGTATTTTTTAATGAATTTATTGTTATTTTTTATTCTTTCTCTTAAATATGTTGCCAATTGATCTCAGGCATATGTATTTCCTGGGCTGTATCCTAGAAGCGGTCTTTTCCAGACAGCATATCAGGATCATTCAACATTTGGAGATCTTGGAATTGCAAGAACTTTTCTTGATCTCTTATATGTGCATAATTGGCAGATAGGCACATTAGGTAATGTATCTAAAACAAATTTGAAGGATTTTTAGTCAATATTTTTCAAAATTTGTAGTTACTACTTTTAGCAGTTGTGTTTAGGATACTTGAAAAACAAATAATGATTAATTGCCTATGGTATTTAACAATTATTTCAATACTGAAATTTTTAGACTGTGAACTCACATAATCAGAATAGATGACTTACCAAACTTAAAATAACCAGTACTGAAGATACAGTTGCCAAAATGAACAAGAGTTCTACCTTCTCAACATAATCCTTACAAAATGCTTTTACATCACTTTGACCAGAGACCTTCATGTGTTCTTGTCGTGTACCATCAGGAAACAAAAAATCTATAATTGAAAATCAATTCAGATAAGAACATGAGTCATTGCATTTCATTGTAGTCTGGATTTTTACTGGCAAATGATAGTGAATACTCACAAAATTGTGTAAGATCAATGTCATCTTGCAATGAAGCTACCCTTGGGTTTTCACACATTTTCCAAAATATTGTGAAAATGAAAGTAACCACAACCAAGAAGCAGAACTTCAGGATCCATGCTATTTGCAGTGTGTAAGTGATACCCATAAACTGAAATAAATACCTTATTAGCATTATTGATGGCCAAAGGAAGAAAAACAGAATTTCTTTATATTTTACACACAGAGTATTCTCTTCATGGAATTCACTTATTAATTCAGTTGATATATTTCTGGCCTGATTCCTTTTGTTCTTGATTTGAAGTTATTTAGAATATAATATGTATATATGTAACTTACAACCACACAGCTGAGTCTGCCTCCAACTCGTGAGCCCCACCCTCTATAAACCTTGTGTCTTGTTGCTCCAGTGGCTAGGAAACCAACCATCAAGATCATGAGGCCCAAGGCACCCATACATGCCCCAATGAAAACAAATGTCATTTTAACTTGATCAACCCTAAAATCCCAGATCAAAACAATAGAACAATAGATGGTTTATCTATACGTTACCAAAAAAGCTGCATTTTGAAAACTTCACTGAACATCAGAACAGCTAAAGTGGCTCCCCGATACATTGTTCCACAATAAATTACTACACCCAGTGCACACATTGCAGTGGCAATCAATGTGGCATAGGGTATTCTGGTGAGGAACCTCTCACATGAACCTGAAAAGAAAACAGTAAGTAAGTATTTCTTTCAAAACACCTCCTCTACAGCTGAAAAATTACTTCCAGTTTGATGATCTTCCACAGAATATAATGAATATGTCTGGGAATATATTGATTCTTGAGATTTGGATATTTCATGATCAAGATTGGTTTCTAACAATTTCAATGGCACTGGTTTAGTTGGAGCCATTCTGGTTTGTGTAGCATCCAACAATTTCAACATAGAATACCTTCATGATTCATTTTATTATACTCGAAGATTGTAGTAAACTGATTAGAAACTCCTATCTAGAGATAATATGGGATGATACCACACCTCATGAAGATAAGATAAAGGTAAGATAGATTCGACAATATTATGAGGGTAATTTGGAATACTGTACTTACCCATCTTTTTAATTCTGTCCCGTTTATTCGTTGTTTATTAGGATATTGAGCTATTCAAAAGAGAATGTTTTTGGCAGTGAAAACATAATGAATCTATGAATCAGAATCCAGAATGTGAGGAATAAAGATTTTTAACATTTAACAACAAAGTTATAAGAGTAGAGGTTAGGCAACAGGCAGTGACTACTGCTCCCATCATCATCATCACGCACCATCTGATCTGATCATCAGCAGAATTCTGATTCTGTAAAACTTCTCAGCACTTGCTTCAACACCACATTCTTTGACTAAATTATTATGAATCTCAATATATGAATATATTATGAACATGGGTCCACAACGGCTTGATTGAACTACCATAAGGAGTAAAAATAATTGCAGTGTACGTTATTGGAAAGTTAATTTATTTTTATCTCTTTTTTATTAATTTCGTGATAGTATTCGGTATTATGCACTCGTATGTGACAAAAATTATGAAGATTCCAGTGATCTGCGCATTGAATTTGCCCAATGAAACCCTGATTTACCACACAAACATTTGGTCAGTGCATGAAATCATGACCTTTGTTTTCCTCTATTTATCCACTCACGCACCTCATTACATTTCATCAATATCACAATCATACTAAATTTCAGAAATGGATTCATTACCTACCATTGTTTTCGATTCAAAGATCTGCCTTGGCGTTTTATTAGCCACATCCCGAATGCTCTCTGCTGTCATCTCTCATCTGCTGTCAGGGATATGGATAACTTTTCTTTTGTAACCTAAGCCATAGGCGGACCATATTGCCGGGCACTGCGCCATCGGGGGAGTATAAAATATATGAAATATATGTAAAAATAATGTGAATGCATGACATCATTCATTTACTCATTGCTTGACTAGTACATTGTGCTCCATTCAGTCCGGAAAATACATAGCTAGTCACTTATCAGCTCATATATTCAATCGTGACGTCTTAGGACCTGCCTTTGGCGTTAATAACTGATTAATAATTCTTTCTAAGTACCAGAGATCAGTCACCCACTGACTGATCTCTGTAAGTACTCACATAAGTAAAGTAGCAAACATATTACTTACTATGGCAACATAGTTTTTAAACCCATTACATTATAATATGAGTCGTTTTACTGCTTATGTTTGATTTCAATGGTTTAATAAGTCGCCCCACCCATCTGAAAGATTATCGACATTGATCTGCCAATTTTAACATCAATGAACATTATAGGGATTCCCTTTCGTGCGCTCCAAGCGATAAGAAAAAACAAAAAAAAATCAACTTCCAAAATTAGTTCGTGGAAAAAAGTTAGTATATGTAACGCTTGTATATAAACTCCTCTAGACACTCGCTTACAGAACATTCGTTACTATAAACGGACGTTTTCGTGCGGAATTGTATGCGAAGAGAGTACTTCGCGTTCTTCACACAGTATGCGTAGTACAACTCCGCTTCCGTTAGCCATAAAATATTTGGCATACAGTTTCATTTAATAAAATAGAAATCGGAGATACATATAAACCTCCAAAATACGTATACCATGGCCGCAAAACTTTTCGGCGACCTCAATGTTATCTGCGTAGTCCGGAAACGGCCTCTGCGATAACAATTTTTTTTTCTACAAACGTCGACAGATATTTAGTAAGTAATTTATGCTTAGCTTCATATAAGTAGTGTTGAAATGGCTTAAAATGCCTCAATTATTGTTATACTTTTAGAAATAAATGATTTCTTGGAATTTTGCTCGATTGAGAACCATAAAGGTTAGAATACAAACATCTCATATAGTTTTTACGATGCATTTCGCGCGCTGTTTTACTTCACGCACAGTTAGGAAACTGAAAGAAAAGTGTCACCTTGCATACTATTGTTAACAATTCGCGAACCTAACAAAAAACGTATCGTTCGGCCTTCAGCAATCACATGCGGAAAAGTTTTACTTTCCACACTGGTTAGCTATACAGTTTTTTTTCTATCAGCGTGCGGAAAAAACCCAAATTTCACTTTGCCGCACACATATGAGTGTTGAAAGAATCAATTTTTCCGCACGCTAGTATAAAAATAAATATTTAAACTTCAACACTCAATACACAATATAGTATACTATTGAAATATTCGTCGCTAAGCAACATTTTTAGTTTTGGAATGGGGAATGAAAGAAGTTGTCATAGGACTAAATAGTATGGGACGATATCAATATTTTGGAAATAACATTACCTATATATATAACATTTGGCACTATAATACACACTACACTTTTTACCACTAATCAAACCGATTTTTTATACGCCTCGACCAGAGATTCGACACATGTTTCAGTAACTATGTAAGCATCTTCAGAAGATTAAAACTGAATGAGCAAAACGCGTATCGAGGCGTTTAAAAAATCGGTTTGGTTAGTGGTAAAACAGTGAACAGTACCTATAAGTAATTTACGAGAAGTGGCAGATGTTGAAATATCCAATACTGAGGCAGGTTCAGGTTGGGTTCAGATAGGATAATGATAATGAGAGTTCGAGAGTTGTCCGAAGAAAACGAGACTTGCATGCAGGATTAATTCAAAGGTTAATAATGCCCTCTCGCCAGGTGTCATGGTACGTCTGTGGTCGGTGCGCATGCGTTGGTTCTTCTGTTGTTGCCCTTTTGACGTTTTGACAATTCCGAAGAATTCAGTCACTGTTTACCTGTTGTCAGTGGAAGTAGGAAGCTTAGTAACTACAGTTCTGTGACAACGTGCTAGTGACTACCCAGTGAAATACCTATAATGGAGCTCAGCTGTATGGAGAATGTTACAAATACGACCGATTGCATCGCTGGAAGGGATCGGGGAATTTTCGACAATACACGTGTTATTAACAATTTGCTAAACGATGAAGTATTTTGTATTCCTAGATGTGATTATTTCAGAACTGTTCAGAACGACATTCAACCGTTTATGCGAAAAGTTGTCACTACTTGGATGCTGGAGGTGAGTAATAAAATAATTCATTATTATTATTATACATATTTGTAGTTTGAATAATTTTCTGCTGATCACAGATCATGAGATCAAACATTCCTTTGACGACATATTTATCGAAATATATGATGAAACAAACCTCTGATATCTAGGCTTTGATATTGGAATTAGAATATAAATAGGTAGGTAATACACGAGGTAATACATAAAATTATTGGGATTGAAAACCGGTTTTATGCTCATCACTATTATTATTTACCTACCTAAATAACAAATTCACCCACTGAAAGATCATGAAAATCATGAAATGTAGAACAATATAGTGAAATGCAACAATTGCAACATACAGCTACTATAATATAGTCTTTGGGTCTTTCAACTTTTTTGCTAAGAAATGTTTGGACCTGAAAATTCATCAATTTTGTCTCACTTGTCATAGGTATCCATTGTAACACATGAGACATGACATGCCACAACTCCTTGGAGTTTTCTGGGATTTGTTGTGTAAATGGGTATAAACTGTGGTGAACTTTTCTTTGAATCAACTCAAATTCCTAGATTTTTTGGAATTATTTGGGTGGACTGCGATAGAATTCTGGTCTGCAAACAACTTCATAATTCTATGAAATATTGTCAAATCTCTATCATCTAGGTCCATTATTGTCCAATATTGTCAAATACCTATCAACTATGTCCATTATTGTCAAATATTGTCAAATTAAGTCCAATGCTGTCCAATTCCGTCTAATATTAACAAATGCAATCTTTTGTGTACTTTTTTTGGAACAGTATTGCTGTCAATTTTCGTCTAATATTAACAAATGCAATCTTTTGTGTACGTTTTTTGGAACAGTATATTATACCATCGTGTGTCCCAAATTCGATCCCTCGCTCGATCCTCACCATTGGGATCTCAGTACCTTCGAGAGATAGAGAAACGGCCAAATCAAGGGAGTTTCAGAAATTTCAATCATGATTCAAAGTCCGTATAGAAATTTTGACTAGCTTTAGTAATTTCTGAGTTATCTCGAAAACTATTGATTGTATGAAAATACGACTTCGGCATTATGACGGTACTTTTTTAGTGATCTTTTGAATGGTTTTGTCTGTTCCGCAAAAAAGAAAAGAGAATAAAAAAATAAGTTGGTGGTCATATCTCTGAAATGTCATATTTAAAAAAAAAAATTATGGAACCATCTGAAAGATCACTGAAAAGTACCATTGAAATGTCGAAGTCGTTTTATCATACAATCAATCATTTTCGAGATATTCGAGAAGAACAAAGTTACAAAATTTCAGTTTTTCTTGAATAACTCAAAAACTAATGAAGCTAGTCTAGATTTCTTAACGGATTCTGAATCAAGATTGAATTTTCTGTCACTTTCGTAACTCAACCGACACTCTATCTCTCATAGCTACCGAGATTTTAATGGCGAGGATCGAATTTGGGACATACTGTATCGAGTACTGTATACATGAGCCTATACACCACATACCTTAAAGAACATAACATTATCTCAAATTGAACTAAAAATGGACTTTATCCAAATTGTGATTGAATGCCAGAATCTTCATCATCTATTAATAATACTGACAATTAATTAAATGCCTAATTTCAAAAAATATGTATACAGTATGATGCAAATGTATGGAATAAATTCATTTCAAAACAAGACGACTTCCGAAAAAAATCCAAAAAGTAGAGTTCAGAACTTTTTTATCGATGTATTTTTTCAACTAGACGAATCTTCGATGTTCAATTCTCAGTAGAAGATCTCTGCAAGATTCAGTTGACCAAATGATAATCCATTTTAATTTCAATCTTTTTTTGCAAAATTTTGACTATTGGATAGACGATCAGTAGACCTTTCAAACGAGGTGTCACATGGCCCCTGTTTGTATTTAAAAAAACCGTCCATTACGTCATTACTCCAACACCGGTGACGTAACATCTCTCATATGAATGTCATGAGATGAGGTTTCAAAAATTAAAACACGTGTTTTTGGAATTTCTTCAAATGTCGCCCATTTCTGAAATCATGAATTTATTCCATACATTTGCATCATACTGTATATATCTTTTAATGAAAATACCAACATGATTATGTGCAGTATGGGTTCCTATATATCAAGGTTCTTTTTCAAGCATTATTCTATAGGCTTCAAAATACGGAATTGTTCACTAAGTTTTGTTCATAAAATTGTTCCCAATGCATCATCATTTCATGGAATTTTCAGGTCTGTGAAGAACAACTGTGTGAAGACCAAATTCTTCCTCTAGCTATCAACGTGATGGATCGCTTTCTGTGCGTCTGTGTAATCAGAAAGCAGCAACTGCAGCTATTGGGTGCCACCTGTCTTCTGATAGCATCCAAACTTCGAAGCACAAACTTACTTCCTGTGGAACTCTTATGCGCTTACACCGATTACAGTGTCACGTACGAGCACATTGTGGTAAGTGTTTTTTGTTGTCTTTAGTTCTCCCCATATATTTTCACACCAGGTGACACCGAAGCAGAAGACACCTAACAGAGCCATCAATGTTCATTCTAGGGATCGACCGATATAGAAATTTTAGCCGATACCGATAATCGGCCGATACCGATATTTCAAATACCGATATACCGATATATCGGTCTATCGGCCGTTAACAAGTTTTCTCTGAAGCTGGTAATATTTTTGATGCAAAACGTAGCAGGCTAACTTCTATATTTTATATTTCTCATTTCTCCTGCAATGAAGAAAACTTGGTTCGCGAATTCATCATTCATCCGGGAACTGCTAAGAATCACCCAGTATAGCCTTGTTACTGACATTAGTGACATTTGACATTTGTCGAAATGATCAACATAGAAAATAAATTAGAAAACAGGGATTAAAATCGTGTCAGAAACTTGGAAAAGCGAACCTGTTAGCTGAAAATCTTCGATGAAATCCATATTTTCGATTTAAATGCAGATTCCGTAAGTTATAACATAAACAATGAATGCCGCGGTGTATGTTTGGTTGCCTATAAAACAATCGTGCATTAATTGACAAATCGTTCATTGATAGGGGTCATTAATGAACGATTTCATATACATTAAACTCAGTCGTTAATACGAGGTCGACGAAAAATTAGTATATTATGTAACAAGTGTTATAAACGTCCTTTTAGTAACGAGTATTTTAAGCACGAGCGAAGCAGAGCGGAGCGAGTGTTTAATAAACGAGTGTCTAGAAGAGTTTATAAACGCGTTACATACTATGATTTTTCTACGAACTCCGAAAATTACATTAACATACCTGCAATTCCTGCTAACCTACAAATCAATTCGAAAGGAATGGGAATTGAGAACATAATACATGCAACTAGCGAGACACGTATAAGTGATATTGGTTGTAGATGTGTACGGTCCAGTCAGGGCCTACTCTAGAGATAGAGTAGGCCCTGGTCCAGTCCATTGCTTACTAACCTTTGTTTCACGTTTATTGTCATGCTTAGCGCAGAATAAATAAATTGTTCTAAAAGATGGATGCTTCATTTTCACACTTCTTGGAGATATGCAAGTACCAGAACATTCTCTTCGATTTCACTTTCGTATACTTTATTTTTAATGAAGAATTCTGATACAAACGAATATTGTTTGAATAATTCTGATACAAAATTTGAAAATAACAGTTGACAGTTAATACAATTGACAGGTCAGACATGTCTCAAATTACCAAAGCTGTGTTTAATGAACTGCGTTGCCATGGTAATGTGTTTAAGAAATCGTGTTGCCATGGTAACGTGTTTAATATTTCGAATAAATCACAGATCGACAATCCGTGATTAATCGATCATTTAGCGTGGTACATATCCGTACGCTAAATGCCATTTTAGTTATGTGAGTAGAAAAACTTGTTTTATTTTGAACATTTTGATGATACCCTATATCTAAGTACGGTTCTTTGGAAAAACAGTCCAAGAAAGCTATTTCCTTATTTTTCTGCAAGGAATCAATCCCCAAATTTTTTTACCACATTATTGAAACCTCATATGCCTGCATGCCTACATACATATTTCCGGAATTTAATCACGATAAGGTGAAATGGTGATTCCTGCAAGTAATTGATAATATCCAGAACGTACACAAAAGAAAGGACGTGACAAATTTATCAGTCCGAGAAACAATGTGGCCGGCATACGACAACAATAACTTCCTTCAAATGTTCCAACTTTATCTATGGAGATCTTCTGTTCCTCTGACCCACAGGCCTCGTGCCTCCATCGGGTCAGGTCATTAATTTGATTGTCGTTTTCCTTGGAAAAGTTGATACGGTCTTACCGCAAATTGCCCGAATTGCTTCTTACAAAGGGTGGCCAACCACCTTACATCCTGTGCGGCGGTGGTAAGATGATATCCTTCGTTTTTTTTTCTCGTGGGTGCTTCTATTTTGCTCGAGAAACAATCACTATCGTGATGAGCTACAGGTGTGAATGAGGGGATGAGGGGTTTACATTGTACAATAACATTTTTCAAAAATTAAATACAGGAACATTTTAAAAGTCCATACAGGGTGACATTGAAATATATACATAAAAACTACGAGATAGCCACAATGGTCAAAGTGGATCAAACCATCAGGAAAGCAGTTGTTTTTCTCCCGAAATCTACCATTGTTGTTCATTTTATGAGCATTGTGTGGAAATGACTGAGCCTTTTGTATTTATTTAAATACATCAAATTTAAACCCTATATGTATAAAGGTGGATTCATGCAACATCAACTAAATTATAATGAATTTAAGATTTAAACGAATTTTAAATTAAAAATATATGGGTGTTCATGCAATATCCTTTCATCAGCTGTTTAATTCTTTTCCCAGCGCGGCTAGTTATTATTTGGCGCATGTGTTGTCGTGAATTATGGAAGAAATTAATTTCTTAGTTGAATGTTGGCCATCTTTCTTAGTTTTAATTTTAGTTTTAATTCTTTAGTTTCTTGCATGAGCACCTACAATCTACATTACATTTCATAGTTTTATATTATTGGTTTAAGTTTAAAATTCATTTAAGTTTTAAATTTTGCTTGCATGAATCCACCAAGTCTTCCCTAAGGTATACTATCGAATGGCACCATTGAAAAAAATATGGGTGTCAAAATAAGATGTTTTTCATTAAGTTGGCATCATATGGCCCATATGGGAAACATTTTTCTAGCAATGATTTATTTTGGAGTTCGACAAGTTGGTACTTCGTTATTTTTCGATTGGCAGTTGAATTGTATTTTATTGAAAAATGTCAAGGTGGCAAATGATATGAAATCTGAAGGACACTGGTATTCTTCCAATATTTTTAGTTTAGTATTCAATAATTTTTTAAACATAAATTTCAGCTGCTATTGCTCTATCTTAGGAAAATCACATGAGATCAATTGCTAAAATTGCATCCCGAAAACTTGGTTTTCTGTTTCGGGCCAGGAGCTATTTCATTTCCAGTCAGCTGCTTATGATCTATAAGGCACAGATCCGACCTGTCCTGGAATACTGTTCCCATATTTGGAGTGCGGCACCCAAACATACCCTGAAACTGTTGAGTTTTGTCCAAAAAAGGGTCAATTCTTCTCGTGGGTGATGCCTCACTCACAAAACTCACTCACTTCTCTGGAACACCGTTGAGAAGTTGGCGATCTGGCTCTATTTTATAGATATTTTCATGGATGCTCTTGTGAAATATCAACAATTGTTCCTCCCTTGGCAGTCCCCGCAAGATTAACCCGTCGAGTTGAGGCTTCGCACCCCTTCGTGGTCACTTTAAAACCCTCTTTTCAAAGACTCGTTTATCCAACGAACAGCGAGACTCTGGAACACATTGCCAAGGGAGGTGTTCCTCGAGGCATATAACCTCCAGAAGTTTAAGAAGAACACCAAGTCCTACCTTATTTCCCTTGGCTCACGATGTGTTCGTGGGAACCAGAACATAAAAAAAATCTACAAAGGGAAATTTCATAAGTCTATATACAGTGTCTTTCATTAAGTTGGCATCATATGGGAAACATTTTTCAACAATGATTTATTTATTTTGAAATTCGACTTGGGCTTCAAAAAAGATGAAAAAAGGCATACTCGGTCGGAGTCACGTGACTCGCTACATGTCAAAAGTTTTACATTTTTTCAAATTAATCTCTGAATATATACTTATTTGTTCAAATTTCAAAAAAGTTTTCAAAGAAAAGTTGTTTTCAACTCTCTTTTATTAGATTCATGGCGGCTTCAAAATGGCGGACCAGTTTTGTAATTATGATCCGAATTTATTCAAAATTGTATCTGAGAGTTCTCAGGGTCGGGGATTATTATTATGATTCTTTTATCAGAAATAGTGGATTCAAGATGGCGGATCCAAAATGGCGGATGACTTTAGTAATTATGATCCGATTCGAGTCAAAATTGGTATTTGGGGATTTTCGAGGTAGCTGATTATGATTCTCTCGTCAAAATTGGTAAATTTAAACTACTATTTTGATTCCAATTTTACACATTTATCTCTAATTTGAATGTTCTATTGCAACTTTTAGTTCTTGATATTTTTTTATTTATTCGTATTGTAACTTCGACAAAAACTGTACTAAACTTTGGTTAGAAACGTGAAGTAGTTTGATGATATTTTGATAGGATAACTTTAGCATCATTTTCCTAAATAGGTATTTATATTTCTCTCAATTTATGAAAAATCTCGCAATGTTTCGTATACATCATACTATTTTTCAAACTCCAGTCCAAAATAAACCACCAATCTCTCCAAAATCATTATTTTCTGACGAATCCCCGCGCATCTTGACAAAAATTCTGATGAAATTCTGTGAATTTTAGCAAAAAATCGATCGATTCTTGACAACCTTCGATCTCCTCTCAATTGCCTCCAAGATTGCACAAAAGAATATCACAATATCTTACGTATTATTGAATATTCCAATCGGACCCAAATCATTTTATCTTACCTGAAGAAACTCCAAAAGGGTTGAGGATGTTAGTTTCCGTTCTTCCCGTTCGAACATTATCATTCAATATTCCATCCCTTTGTTGCTTGCTGATATGATTACAAATGATGTAAATCTTCCCAGCTAGGTTCCGGTTTTTTTCGGACCCCTTTCCGATTTCCATCCCCTCAGGGATGAATGCCTATGAACGGTCCTCGTAACTAAATCAGTGTTGTCCCGTATCGGAATCCGGTCGGCCATTGTTACAATAGGGATTCGCACTTTCTCACACTACCCTTAAATACCTTTTCCCTAAAAATAATTCTAGGTTTCTAGGGGGTAAGGTTCCAACGTTACGTTTGTTTGGCCATGGGAAATTTTACTAGTATGGTGTGTACCACCTGCGCTGATGCCTTTATTTTCGGTTTTTGCAGGTTTTCGGTCTCACAAATTCGGTTTCGGGATTGATTTATCTGGGAAAAATAAATCTTCACAATAGAGGTTGTTGTGAAT